TTGTTGCTTTATTGTTTGATGTCAGTCGACGAAGAATGATTGTGATTGCCATCACTGTGAGAACCATCATTTCGCTCCACGTGTCACGTGATTGGAAACGATTGATTGCAGTCACGACACAGGTTTCGTCTGTCACAATAACGAATGAATCAATCCAAAAGCATTGTAAAATTGACATGATATAAGTTTACAACTAGACAGTTAGGATAAGTTAGCCCAATAAGCTGCGCAAGTATACCCAATAACACTCGCAGCTGAATACAGTTTCTCTTTTAGAAACAGGCTGTACAACAGTCACAAATAATTTTCGGACTGTTTCCCCCACAATCCGAAGTCAGCTGAATTAGATTCTTGGACGTATCGCTATCATCCTGTCGCACCAAGTCACAGATTTCTTGGGGCATGGTCCCCGTCAAATCACTCAAGTGCAAAAACAAGTTTCGAAGATTCGTCAGTTGCCCCAATTCAGTCGGGACAGTTCCACTGACCCCGGTGTTGAAGAAAGAGATCAGCTGGAGTCCCGCTAGACTTCCAAGGAAGGTGGGTATCGTCCCGCTGAAATTTTCATTGTTATTGATCAAAAAGACCCTCAGCTCGCTCATTCCACTCCATGCTTGAGGTAACGATCCGCTGAGATTGTTGTCGTCCAACGTTAGGAATCGTAGTTGATTCATGGTTCCCATTTCTGGAGGAAGCGTTCCAACTAGATTGTTCTGGTCGAGAAACAAGATCTGAAGATCTGTCAACTCAGCAAATCTAGGTGAAATGGTGCCACTGAGGTTGTTGGTATCAAGATCCAGTGCCTTCATCAGTGATGCATCGAAGATGGAATTGGGTATTGTTCCTGTCAAAATGTTGTTGTCCAAATCCAAGGTCTCGAGGTTATCGAGAGTTCCCAAGGAAGCTGGAATATTGCCAGAAATGAAACGGTTTCCATCGAAATCAATGTCCACCAACTGTCCAAGAACACTGAGTTCATTAGGTAATCGTCCAACGAGATTGTTGTTATCGATAGAGATACCTGTAATTTCTTGTTGCGAGCAGGTGATGCCGAACCAGAAGCAAACATCCACGGCACTCAGGAACCGTGTGCTATCTGACGGACATGGACTGTTTGTTGTCCGACTACAGTCGTTCCAGTTGTCACCTCCAGTAGCAAAGTAAAGAGTTGCCAATGTATACCGCTGTTCAATATCCAAAATGTTGTCAGGGCAAACTTGTGCTGTGTCAGTATTTACCAACCATTCGAAAGCTTGTGATTGTGCTGTCCCCGAAGTGAAGGTGCCGATGTTGGATAAATCCAAGCAAATCTCTTCCAGTTGCTGTCGTCTCTGGCTTGCAGTAATGCCGTTACAGACACTCGCTTGTGTTGGCGGAGCAGTTGTAGGTGGAGGCGTAGGAAATGGTGTTGGTGGAGGAGTCGGCTGGGGAGTAGGAGATTGCGTTGGGGGCGGCGTTGGGGGTGGAGTTGGCTGTTTCGTTGGAGAAGCAGTTCCACCGACTGCAGTTGGCCCAGGGGTAGGTGGAGGCGTAGGAAATGGTGTTGGTGGTCTAGTCGGAAATGGTGTCGGTGATCTAGTCGGAAATGGTGTCGGTGGAGGCGTAGCACCTGGTGACGGTGGTCTAGTCGGTGGAGGAGTCGGTTGCCGCGTGGGTGACGGTGTACCTCCAGGAACAGGTTGCGGTGTTGGAAATGCAGTGTTCTACCAAGAGAAGAAATAATGAAATGAGAAACAAAGCAAAGGAATCTTGCATACAGTATTCCGGAATACTCACCATACTGAACTGCGAGATATATACGTCCTCTAACATTTCACCGAGCATGTCCTCATCTAAAAAGAGTTCCTTTGCGACCTTGTTCAGCCGCATCCCAGTTGTTTCAAGTAGTGGTCTATTTGGCTTTGGATCTTCATGGTAGAAAGTTTCGACGCCAATCTTGTGTGTCCTCACGTTGAGATTTTCAATCAGTGATTGAGTTCGTCGTTGATTTTGTTGCTGGTGGTGGTTGGATGCACTTCGGAGTCTCCTTGATTGCGACTCAATGTCTTGTTCATGAATGGCTTCTTCTTGTCTCCGAAAGGACTCTCTTCTAGCCCGAAGCGACTTTTGACTAATGTCATCTATGGATGATGATGATGATGATGATGATTCTTCTACTTCATAAAGTTGCTTGTGATGGCGAGTTGCATTCGAATTTGAAATCAGCAGCGATGTTGCAATCCCCAGCAGTAATCTCGTTCGTTTCAGCGGCATTATAGACTATTGTGTTGCTGTTCCCAGGACTTTTGATGAAGTTGCAACAAGGTATTCTTTGACAGACAATCGTTCTCACGCCCCGCCTGGTGTGACTGAGTTTGTTGTACGGTAGATGAGAAATTGATGATCGTTGAGACAGAGATATGCCGTTAGAATATCGGTTTTGTTAGTCAAACGGTTGGGATATGCGACATTATTGTGACCGATTTACTTATACACAGCTGTTTGTTTACTTAAGGCCATTTTTTTGAATTTTTTGAAAACAACGGTTTTGAAGAATCGGATGATTCAACTTCCCAAGTTTTGGACGTTGAAAGGTTGGCACGAACGTTCCAACGTAACGATGGAAGTTGGAGGCAACGACAGGATCCGCAACCACAGTCTCTTGCATCAAGCACCTACGATACATATCAACGATGTTGGCTACCTCCATTCTCTTGTGATGCATACCCCAAGCTAAGGGCACCTGTTGGTGAATTGTGATTGAAATTAGCTGATGAGAATACTCAATAGCAGATGAAAATACCACTTCCTCAATCAAGAGTATAGCCTCAATGATATGGGTGCAAGAGATCATGAGTGTCGTCGACACCGTAATTCATCAGTTGCATAATGGAATTGAATCAAGCTGCCCATCAAATGACATCCCAAACTTGTTTTGTATTGAAGACAACCCATCAAAACTACCAGAAGCTATGCTCTGAAGACGACACGAACCACTATTTGGATCGGTCAAGCGGCATCACCGACAACTCAAGATACATGGGACGGTTTCCTGCTCAATCAATGATTCAGACTTGACGTCGGCACGGGTCTGATTTCAACAAGGTCTCTTCGCAACGGCTGTGGCTCCTGTGACGACAATATGCAACGGCTGGATGCATCCCTATTGATTTGATATGACGACATGTGTTTAATTTATTTAAAGCGGATAGGATGCTATATCTTCACGCTGATTTGTATTGCTTATCGACGGAATCTCTGCAACTTTTAGAGCAAGCCAATGATTGAGAAAGAAGAAGGCAAGGCTTGGATGCAAATGCACGGATAAATGAATCTGTTAATGTGACATCAAGCTACAATCAACCCTCTTCAACGGATCCTGCAGCCGACTGACTGATTAAACTTTTGTCTTCCTGCGTGATAACCTACCGGTTCGGCATAATTCTGTTTTATGTGAACCTTATCTGTCTGACATCTGAAAGATACACTTTACGACAAAAAGACGGAAAGACTTGGCTACGAATGTGCTGTACAAAGCGAATATTAATACATGTATTCGAATATCAAAAGCTACAATCAACATGTTGATGAATGGATCTTGAAACTGATTGACAGATTGCTTTTGTTGTTCCGCGCGGCAACCTAATGGGTCGATAGGATTCTGTTTCTTGTGAACCTTGGCTTTCCCAAAAGTGAAGCATTCCATTGGCAGTCAATAAGGTATCAACTTTGTTTCTCTCATTAAATCTTGACCCACTTTATCACGAGCGAGCCTCAACAGTAGAGCTCTTGTTGGTGATGGAATCCAATCTGAGAAGAAATCCATGTAAAATAGTGACGGAATAATTACAAGATACCTACCTACCTACCCAACTCACCATACTGAGTCGCTGCCTGATTTGTATCAATAGTCCTGCCTGGTAGTCACCTTATGTTGACTACTTGATTCATCATTGGGTTGGACATAGCTTGACTGCTTCGCTTTGCTGATTCGCTTAATCGGTACTGAAAGTTGGGTATACTAACGGTGAAGTACGAATAGACTTCGTTCTCAACTTTCAATGTTTATAGCTTAGCTGCTGCTACCAAGATCACAAGTTCTTTTCCAAGATTGATTCAACCGTGACGCTATTCGAGCGCTAATCCTTGGGATAAAAGGTTTGTTTCTACCAAGTGAATGATGTGGCAGCAGTGATATGCATCATCGACGTTCAGCGTCCTACGCATTATCATTCCCCGTAGCAACAGTCTCAGTTGTTTGACGAAATCGTCTTCTGATTATAGGTTTCCCTAGAACCTGTAACAATAATTGCCACTGTAAATCAAGAAATGCCATCGGTATCCTTTGACAAATACTCTGGAAGACCCTCCAAAATCGACCTGGTTTTCGTGGCATCTTTCTCGGCCACAAAGATATGATCCGTGCTGTAGGCTGCATAAGGCAAGACCGAAATGTCGTGATCCGCCAGAGCTCTAGTGACAACGGCCATGAATCCCACTAGGGATGGATGCAAAACGACATTGTCAAAGGTAAAGAGTCGATACTTGATACCATTGTCGGTACCAGCACCCAAGAAGTCGTCTTGTCTGTCAGTAATGTTCATGTTCTTGCAATACTCCAGGTAAAGATCGCTTGGAACCAACATTGTGATCTCGTCCTTGTCCACCAAGAATCCTCCAAAAGACGGTGGTGGTTTTGGCTGTGTAGTAGTTGTGGTAGTAGTAGTAGTGGTGGTGGTGGTGGTGGTAGAAACAGTGGAACTCATGAGGGAATCGTTCCAAAGTCGGAGGGCAAGACCCATGGACGATGTCGGAAATCTTACGAGTGTGTAGTTACGATCATCGCTGTACAGAGTCGAGTTTCGAAAGGCTTCCGGCAGAGTCTTTGCTGCTGGAACAGATGTTGCTGCAGCAACGTCAGTGGCCGTTGCAAAGCCGCGAATGGCGGCAATGGTAGGAGTTCTTGCTTCAAACCTTCCACTACCAATCGATGCTCTTTGTTGCTGACGCAGAGGAAGAACGAATCTCCATGAAATCTTTTGTAGGCATCTCCTTTGTGCCATTATTGTTTCAACTTTTGGACAAGCAAATGTCAGGGATAACTGTTATTACAATTTGTGGTGCTTTGAAAGAGGTAATACGCTGTTCTTCTTGCGTGAAAGCGTGTTGACAGACGATGAGAGAGATGATGATTCGGATGATCGAGAAATAAAAATGAAAAGGAAACAGCAGTTTCTGATTCATTCGACTGCTTTGTAAACACACCATCATATATTATATGGTGCGTAGACAACTCAGTCGTTTGCCCTTAGACATAACTACTGAATCGAAAGATAGGAATCAATGACTACTGCTACCGATTCCAAGGCAACGAAGAAGAAGTAGTACCAAAAAGTCTTCGAGAACTCAATTTCAATTCATGCATTCAGGTTTTGCCTGACATGGCTGTGACATGGGTGTGGGCTGTCGGAGGAAGCAACTCTGCCTGCAGGATTATTCAAGATTGGCTACGATACTTTTTCGGGCGTGCGAGAGGCTGTTGGAAATAATCAAAATTTGCAGCACAGTGCAAGTAATCTTTTTGGGCAATCTGAAGAAACAATAGGTTGAGTTTGAAGGTTCACCGTCTTCAGCTGAAGACAATTGGTGACGACGCTTTTCTTGCTTGCCGTTCACTAGAAAGATTCAAGATCCCCTCGTTGGTGATCATGGTTGGCGAAAATGCCTCACACAGCTGCGAGGCCATGGTACAAGACGATCTATCGACGAGGTCAATCACCAAGATTCCCCAGAGCATGGGTTTCATTGGTTTTGTCTCCCTGCAAACTGTGAGTCTGTGAAATACACTGGGACGTATCGTTAGCTATGGATTCTGTGGCTGTATTTGCTTGGTTTACAGTGCTATTTCCTATGGATTCACAGTCAATCAAGATTGGATACGGATCCTTCATTGGATGCAGTGCTACGCTTTTCGAATCCGTGTTCTTCCGCAAATAAGTCCAATACCGACAATCAAACGAATTTTCACGGTTCCAAAGTGTTGCAAGATCGTTTTGGTGACGAAACCTATAGTATTATTGCTGGTTTGGCGGTTGTCTTTTCCACAGACTATGCTACTATACCATTCCTCTGTCACCGCTCCAGAACGCTGTCGTTGCATTGAGGACCAATATCCTCTTTTCGTCTGTCGGACCAAGGAGTCAAGAGCTGCTCGACGTCTGTCCTTCTGGATAGAAACAACTACTACTATTCATGTCACACTACCATTCGAAACTTGGAAGATGCCAATGGCAAACGCCCATTGGATTACTTGGTCTCCAACTGGACTGAAGCCACTAACTATTTGTATGAACAAACACTACAAAGATGGATGGTTGATCGAATGGTTTGTCGGGGTGCAACATCTTGGACGGAAGCCATATGAAGTAGGGTCAAAGCAATACTGGATGAAGATGATATAGAACAGAGAGCAACTTTGTGCACGAGTGTTTATGCTGCCTTTGTACAATACAAACGTTTGGAAGCAACGTCAACATTGGAAATGACCTTATGGAAAGGACAACTCAAGAGTGGGTGGAGCAATGATGGTTCCAAGCCCGAGCAACAGGCGCTCGACCTAGAAGAGTGCCGGTGTTCTCTTTGGATCCAATGTTGTGATTCCCAACGTGTTAATAGTAGCATTCTCATAAATCTTTAGGACTATCTAGCATACAAATCTTAACTCTTTAGGACTATCTAGTATACAAATCTTAACTCTTTAGGACTATCTAGTATACAAATCTTAAATCTTTAGGACTATGTAATATGGAAACCCCAATGGCCATAAGATAGCATTACAGATTTTGATACCGGCAAAGTCTTTCATTTTTCTCATGCATCCTCGTTGGAAGACTTTTTTCGTTCATGGACGAGCACGGTTTGTTCCGTTTTGAATGCATGCGCATGAACCATCAAACAATGCCAATCAAACGCACAAATGAAATGGATTGCACATACTGCAGTCTCACTCAGTTGTTTGACGAAATCATCTTCTTGTTCTTGGCAGTAGGTTTCCTTGAAAAATCAATAAGGACCATCATCAATCAAGAATTGCCATCGGTATCCTTTGACAAATACTCTGGGAGACCCTCCAAAATCGATCTGGTTTTCGTGGCATCTTTCTCGGCCACAAAGATATGATCCGTGCTGTAGGCTGCATAAGGCAAGACGGAAATGTCGTGATCTGCCAGAGCTCTAGTAATAACGGCCATGAATCCCACCAGGGATGGATGCAAAACGACATCGTCAAAGGTAAAGAGTCGATACTTGATACCATTGTCGGTACCAGCATCCAATGAATCATCTTGTTTGCCAGTAGTCTTGTTCATGTTGTTCATTGCAATACTCCAGGTGTATACATCGCTTGGCACCAACATTGTAATCTCGTCCTTGTCCACCAAGAATCCACCAAAGGATGGCGGTGGTTTTGACGGTGCAGTAGTAGTAGTAGTAGTAGTAGTAGCAGTAGTAGTATTAGATAAAGTGGAGGCCACGAGCGCATGGTTCCAAAGTTGGAGGGCAAGACCCATGGAAGATGTGGGAAATCTGACGAGTGTGTAGTTACGATCATCGCAGCACAGAGTCGAGTTTCGAAAGGCTTCCGGGAGAGTCTTTGCTGCAGGAACAGAATTTGCTGCAACGTCAGTGGCCGTTGCAAAGCCTCGAACGGAAGCAACCTTTGTGTTTGGAATTCTTGCTCCCAAATTTCCACCGCCAATCGATGCTCTCTGTTGCTGTCTTGAAGGACGAACGAATCGACACGAAATCTTTTGGAGGCACCTCCTTTGTGCCATTATTGTTTCAGCTTTTGTGCAAGCAAATGTCAGGGATATATGTTGTTACAATTTGTTCTACTTTGTAATAGTTAGTCTCGTGTCCTTCTTTTGAAAGCGTGTTGACATGTATGAGGCGAGATGAGGAGACGATGGACGATGATGCATCATGCGATGCATGCGATGCGATAGTTGATATGTGACTCATTCGACTGTTTAATCTCATCGTGATACAGTGTCATCTCAATCATAACGACCAGCAACTCCAGTCATACTTGCACTGCAGACAACGACTTCATTTGCCCTTGGACGTATCCCTCCTGTATTGAATGATGGGAGGAGATCGAGAACCGCTTTCGAGGCAACGAGGGGGAGCAATAAGTTCCAAGAAATGTTGAAAAAACTGATTTTTTCAGATTTTGCCTGATGATTTGTGCTTCAATTGCGAGAGTTTGCGGGAAGTAACTCTGCCCGAAGCATTAATCAGGATTGGTGATAGTGGGGCCTTTTGGCAATGTGCGAGCTTATTGGAAATCACGATCTGCTGCACCATAGAATCTATTGGAGAGATATCGTTTGAGGGTTTGCCGCCGCCTGAAGAAAGTTTAAGGTTGCAGGTTCATCGTCTTCGCCCCCCTCGGCTGAAGACAATTGGCGGCGACGCTTTCTGTAATTGCCCTTCACTTGAACGAATCAAGTTTCCCCCATCGGTGAACGAGATTGGAACACATGCCTTTGATTGGTGTAGCGGCTTGATAGAAGCTGATCTATCGACAATCTCTATTACGGAAGTTTCCGAAGGGGTGTTTGTTGGTTGTGGCTCGCTGCAAACTGTAAGCCTGCCGACTTCGCTGTGGCGCATTTGTGACAATGCATTTGGTGGCTGCGATCGCTTGGTTACTGTGACGGTGCCAATGGATTCCAGACCAATCAGGATTCGACACAGTTCTTCTTTTCTATAGGTGCAAATCTCTTGCAAATCTCGTGCTTTCGAAATGGTCCAAGGCCGACGATGAGCCGTCACTTTCCTTCGAAGCATCTTTTGATGAAGATTCCGATGACGAAGAAGTAGGGCCTTTTGTTGATTGCAAACCTTTGCAAGATCGCTTTGGTGAAAGAAACAGAAAGCATTGGTTGCCGTTTGATACGCCGGTTTGACGGTTTTCCTGTCCATAGACTATGCTACTATACCATTCCTCTACCAGCGCCGCAGAACTCCGTCATTGCATTGAGGACCAAGAAGAGGTGGAAGCATCGCTCGTGGACAATTTTGGAATGACTCCATTCCATATCCTCTTTTCGTCTGTAGGAACAAGTCAAGGAGAGCTGCTCGACGTCCTTCTGGATAAGTACTACTGTTCATGCCACACCATTCTAAACTTGGAAGATGCCAATGGCAAACGCCCGTTGGATTATTTGGTCGCCAACTGGACTGAAGCCACTAAATATTTGTATGAACAAACACTACAAAGATGGATGGTTGATCTAATGGGTTGTTTGGGTGCTTTGTTCTGGATGGAAGCCATCTGAGGTAAGGTCCAAGCTACACTTGAGGAAGATGACAAAGAACAGAGGTCAACATTGTACACTAGTGTTTATTCTGCCTTTGCACAATACAAAGGTATGGAAGCAACGTCAATATTGGAAATGAGCTTGTGGAAAGGACACCTCAACAAGAGTGGGTGGAGCAGTGATCGTTCCAAGAGGCAGGCGCTGGATCGAGAAGAGTGCCGGTGCGTCTGTGGATTCGATGTTGTGATCCCGAGTGTACTATAGTAGCATTATTATAACTCTTTAGCACTATCCAGTACACAAACCTAAATGGCCAAAAGGTTGCCTTCAGCGTTTTCTGCAGTCAAAGTTTGTCCTTTCTTTGAAACGATTCATTTCCATTCTGAAGACTGCAGGAGAATCATAAAAAACTGGCAATCAAACGCACGAATTCAGTGGACTGCACATCCTTACATCCAACTAGGATAATCTATTACAAAGTGAACTAAAGTTATTTGAACTAAACCTGAAACATGTTTCAATTCATTGTATTTCATAAACCCTGAAAATCCCCAATGCTTTCCAATTCCAAAAGATCGATATTGGTAAGATCAGGAGGCGTTTAGTTTATTTTAGCTTCTTCTTGGGTCGAAGTTGCGAAGTGTGTCCACACTTCTTCTTGCGGCAGTTCTTGGCGCGTGGGGGAAGACGGGCATAACACTTTCTGCAAATGGCCTTCTCGCAGTTGAAAGATCTGGCAAGCATGGCCAAAGAAGGATCGTAAACTCCTCCTCTCAATCTGAGAACCAAGTGAAGAGTGGATTCCTTTTGGATATTGTAATCACTCAATGTTCGGCCATCCTCCAATTGCTTTCCGGCGAAAATCAAACGTTGCTGATCTGGGGGAATTCCTTCCTTATCTTGGATCTTGGTCTTCACGTTGTCGATGGTGTCACTTGGCTCGACATCCAAAGTGATGGTCTTTCCGGTCAAGGTCTTGACGAAGATTTGCATGGTGGGATAGTTCCTAAAGTGTTGCTAATCTTGAAACGATGAGGTCTTGCTGCCATGAGCGATGTCAAAACTCAGACCGATGCTCTCGTAGGCAAGTCTGCGCATAAACTCGTGCGTTGTTTTGGGACGAAGTAACCGGAAACGCGGTAAGGACTATGTAAGTCAGCTGTTCTCTGTCGTCTTGCCTTCGCTCGATTTTACGCATTAGTACATGACTAATATTTTGTATTCAGTAACCCGGATGAGTTATCAATGCCCTTCTGGTTTCGGTGAAACTCGGCGGCGCTGAGTCGGAGGTTAAAATTACACTAGGAAAAGTTGCGTGTCAAAAAATTTCATAACGTGTTTTGTGCAAACGGCGAAAACAAAAGTTGTTCCGAAATGACGTGTTGTCATAGAGAAAAGTTGCGTGTGAAAGAGTCGCAGAGCGTTTTGTTGAAGAAAAAATGACAAAAGCTGTTCCGAAATGACGCGTTGTGTGAGATATTGTCCCCCACAATATTTCCGTGTCTTTTGAAACATCCCAAAACTACTGTCACAAAACTAAGTACATAATTTCAATATGGCTCCACTCAACATGATCGACCTCGACATTAGCCAAACTTCAACCAATGAAACCGATCTCAAGCAAGACCTAGGAATGGCTACCTTCAAGTCTTTGGAGGATTACGACGATGTTTCTGCTGCCACCCCAGCCACTGCTGGCATGAGTTCTGGTCTTTCGTTTCAAGACTACCTTGACTTTTTGGTCACTGATAGTCCAGATCAAGCGCCCGAGGAAGAGTGCTCAACACCTCTACTAGAGCAAAATCCCCTCGGAGGCTTGCTCGATGAGTTTTTGGTCGATGGTGAACAGCCAGATAACGTGAAACGATATTCAAGTTGTTCACTGCAGCGCCAGCCCGATGCGCCGTCTATTCATACGTCTATCCAGGCGAGGAGATTGAACAACATCTTGAACAATATGGATGGAACCAGCATGCGCGTTCCATCAAAGGCTCACAAAGAGTCATCCTCCAAGAAGTTGGAAAGAAACTCGTCCATGTTAGAGGTTCAAAAAGGAAAGAGAGGACGCCGACCTACTACGCGTGCCTCCGCTCCTGACCTCCGAGCCAAGTCTATGGTTGCTAAGTCCCCATCAAAAGCTGCTGGAAGACGCAATACGAGTTTTCCAACTGTCCGCGAAGACAACAGTTCCTCACTTGTGAGCAGGGACGAGATGGATGCGGCGATTCGTGAAGCTTTGGTTGCTGCACGTCGACCAACCTCATCAGCTGAAGAGAAGTTTTCAGCCAAGCCCAAACTTCCAGCCATCAAGGACAAGCTCCTAAGCCCTCCTTCTAGAAAGAAGTCTGCACGCAACATGTCAGTGAGCAAACTAGTACGAAGCGCAAGCACACCAGACAGACTCATCACCGACTCCAAGGTTCTCTCCAAGGTTCTACATAAATCCTCTGGTTCTACTCTCTCTCGAATCAGTGGCAAGAGCACAGCAGTTTCCGAACTGTTGAAGAATGTGGTGGGAACACGTGCAAATTTCCAGAAAACAATGGACGAGAGTATCAACACTGTCGACTCGGTGGCCATTCTGAAAGCCAAGAAGAATGAGTTGCAGACTAGCAGGACTGATCGTCAACAAGCGTCTATGGAAAGGGAACTGCAAGAGAAAGAAGAAATGATCAAGGCACTTTCTCGACAACTAGAGGAAGCAAGAGCATTGAATCAAAAGAGGGATATGGAAATCATTCGGAGAAAGTCAGTCGATAAAACCAGAAGGACACCAAGACCGTCTGTACAGCCCGTTACCAAACGAAGCAGCCCGCGGTCTTCCGTTCCACTTAGTGTTGTTGACCGACAGAGCGAGCTGTCGTTGCCTAGCACCAAATCACGAAACCAAGCTACTGCCGAGGACAGTGGATCCATGGTTCAGAAGAAGAAAGCAAAGACTTCCAGAATCAAGGATTCTCTTCGGTCTTTGGAACAATACGATGAAATGAATATCCAAGAAGAAACAATCGGAAGCAGCTCATGCAAGAAACTGAAGAAGGTTCGCGTTTCGGTGACTTCGAGAAAGCCAAAAAGATCGACATCTAACGCTTCAAAGAAACGGCAGACAACCCCACTCTCGAAGGTCAAGAGGAGCAGATCTGAGGGGTCAATTTTAAAGAAAGGAACAAAGTACTAAATAGCCCTATTAGTCCTATAGTGATGCACATATAAGAGATGTATTTCTCATATTCTTTTAGTCTTCTACCCATTCCGATAACATAGTCTTTGTCTAGAGTAACATTGATTGTATTTGAAAAGATTTTTCGATTAGGACTATAGAGGACAGTATCCAGATTAGATATTTTGATATGAATAATATATCTGTGACGGGAAAATCCAGTCCTTTTGGCTTCGGCGAAACTTCGTGCCATGGGAAACTCAAAACAAATTGTGTCAAAAAGTAGCAAAGTGTTCCCGTGAACAACAGTTGTTCCGACACTACGTGTTGGGAAATTTTACAACAATATTCCGTGGTCAATTGCAAAATCTTATAAAATAAAACTATCGTACTGTGCCATAATAATTTCAACATGGCTCCACTCAACAAGATGATTGATCTGGACATTAGCCAAGCTTCGGTAAATGAGTCCGATCTCAATCAAGACCGAGGGATGAAGGAGCCACAGCATAGGGATATGGCTGTCTTCAAGCGTTTGGAGGATGACGAGGACGTCCCTGCCGCCACCAAACCTACCATGTGTTCTGGCGCTCTTTCTTTTCAAGACTACATTGAATTTTTGGTCGATGCTAACGCAGTTCCAGCGCGTGAGAAGGAGTGGTCAACAGATTTACTGGAGCACCAGCCCTTTGACCTTGACTGTTTGCTCGAGGACTTTTTGGTCGGCAGTGAACATCATGATCCAGAACCAACCAAGAAATCGTGTTCAAAAAGTTCACGGCACAAGCTCGATGAAGCGCCATCTATTCATATGTGTATTCAGACGAGGAGATTGAACAACATGTTGGACAATGTGGATGGCAGTAGCATGCGCATAGCATCTAAGGCTCACAAAGAGCCATCATCCAAGAAGGTCCAAAAAGGAAAGAGAGGACGCCGACCAATCTCCCGCTCCTCAGCTCCTGACCTCCGAGCCAAGTCTATGGCTGCTAAGTCCACGTCTAAGCATGCTGGAAGTCACAATTCATCTTTTTCTACGCTCCAAGAAGCCAAAAGTTCCTCACTCGTGAGCAGAGATGAGATGCAAGCGGCGATTCGTGAAGCCCTGATTGGTGTCCGCCAATCAACCTCACCAGCTGAAAAGAAGTTTGCAACACAGGACGAACTTCCTCCAGCGATGATTGACGAGAGCCCAGGCCAGCCCACCAAAAAGAAGCCTGCAAGCAAGAAAATAAGTACACCAGACAGGCTCATCGCTGACTCCAAGGTTCTCGCCAAGATTCTACACGCATCCTCTGGTTCCACTCTCTCTCGAATAATACGCTCAAATTTCCAGAAGACGATGGACGAGAGTGATCTGAATGTCGACTCAGCGGACATTCAGAAAGCCAAAGTGGAGGAGCAGCAAGCATCTATGAAAAAGGAACTGCGAGAGAAAGAAGAAACAATTAAGGCTCTCTCTCGACAACTAGAGGAAGCAAGAAAATTGAATCAACAGAAGGAAATGGAAATCATTAGGAGAAAGGCAGTGGATAAAACCAGAAGGCCATCAAGACCTGTAAAGCCCGTTGCCAGACGAAACGCGGTTCCGCGTCGTGTTATCCAACATAGCGAACTGACGCCTGACAGCGCGAGGCGAAGCACCAAACCACGCATTGGTGTTGTTGACCGACATAGCGAACTGTCGTTGCCTAACACCAAATCACGAAAACAAACTGCTTCCGAGGGCAGTGCTGAATCCATAGTTCGGAGAAAGAAAGCAAAGGCCGCTAGAACCAAGGATCCTCTTCAGTGTGTAAGTGTCGATGCAACGGATATGCAAGAAGAAACAAGCATGAGCCGCCCATGCCAAAAGGTGAAGAATAATCGCGTTTCGGAGACTTCGACAAAGAGAAAGTCAAGAAGATCGACATCTAGTAACGCTTCGAAAGGGCAGACAGTCCCAAGAAGATCGACATCTCACCGAGGAGGAAAGACTTCGAAAGGGCACACAGATTTGAAAGTCAAAAGGAGTACATCTGAGGGATCAATTCTAAAAAAAGGAACCGAGTACTAAGTTCTTCATACGATTGATTACTAAGATTATGTAAATATCACTCGCACATGTTCTTCTAGCCTTTCTCTAAAATGACATTGCTTTTTAAAAGGCGACGAAGGAACAGAGAACCAACCCACTGGATATCAGAGCGCAGAAATCTAAAACTCGGTGGATTTGCACTGGAATAGTGAGTGTCAAAAAGTCTCAGGTGCTCTATAAAAAGAATCCTTTAGCCGTGGAAAAACGTTGTTCCGAAAATGGCTCTTCGGAGAATTTTCACTTCAAAGGCAAATCTTTTGAAAATGACAAATTACGAAAATCACAAACTAGGAACAGGGTCGTACCGGTACTTTCAGCATGGCTACATTAAACAAGGCCAATCTGGACATTAGCCAAACTTGGATCCATCAGTCTGATCCAAAACAAGGCGCAGGTCTAAAGGAGCCACAGAATGATGATATGTTTGCCTTCAAGGATGTGGATGATGACGAAGTCTCTGTTTCCACCCCAACCACTGCCATGACAAGTTCAGGCAGTCTTCTTCAAGACCTCTTTTTTGAAAACCTTGACTCATTGCACGATAGTGCAAATTCATTTGATGAGAAACCACGGAGTTCAAGAAGTTCTCTGCAACACCCGCCCAATAAAAAGCCATCAAGTCAGACAAGATTAAACAACAGCTTCAGCGATATCAGATCGGAGGTTCGGATGATTGGTATGGATGGAACCATTATGCGCATTCCATCAAAGGCACAGGAAGATTCAGTATCCAAGTTGACAAGCACCGCGTCCATGCCAGTGAATCAAAAAGGAAAAAGAGGACACCGAGGACCGAGTACGTTTGCCACAGCCCCTGAACTCCGAGTCAAGTCAATGGTAGCTAAATGCCCATCAAGGCCTGTTCGGCGACCTTTTTCATCGTTTCCAATCTGCGACAAAGACACCAGCTCTTCACTTTTGAGAATGAACGAGGTACAATCGGCGATTTGTGAAGTGTTGACGGCCCATGATGACAAACGCGAAACTTCACCAGCTGAAGAGAGGTTTGCAGCCCAGTTCAAACTTCCTCCAGCGGTCATTGACGAGCGCCCAAGATGTCCTACTAGAAAGAAGTCTAACGACAAATTGAGTTTAGTCGCACGAAATCCAAGCTCATCAGACCAACGCTCTGACTTCAACGTTCTACATGCCCGAACTCCATCCACTAGCTCCACACTCTCTCGAAGAAATGGCAAGAGTAGAGTTTCCGAACTCGTGATGAAGGTGAAAGCGTCACGTGCATCCTTCCAGAAACTAATGGATGAGAGTGTACGTACTGTCGAGCCAGAGAGTCTTCGGAAAACCAATGACGAGGCGCATACTAGCAGGTCCATGCATCTTCAACAAACGTCTATGGAAAAACAACTAGAAGAGAAAGAAGAAATGATCAAGAAACTCTCGCGACAATTGCAGGATGCAAGAGCATTGAATCAAAAGAAAGATTTGGAAGCTGCTAGGAGAAAACCAGTGGTAAAAATCAGAAGGAAACCAAAATCCCCAGAGCCCAACAAACGAAACACCTGGCAGAATGAAAAGCCAAGAAGATCGACATCTCGACTAGGAGCAAAAACTTCGAAAGGGCAAAACGTTTCGAAGATCAAGAGGAATGGATCTGAGAGTCTATTTTAGAAAGGATTAATATTAAGTTGATGCATGTAACCCGCATATTCTTCTTGGCTTTTTAAAAAGAGCAAGTTTAGAAAAATAAGGGCGTGTGCGTTGCAACCCCCCAAAAGTGGAGAATTTCAAAAATCGACCACTCTGACTACACAAAAACTACTAAGAAAAACACAGTCAACAACCGCCTTGGAATTGCCCACCATAAATCCAGATACACTATGTAACTCGATGAGAAACAGTAACTGGTGTGTGCAAAATTAGAATGTAGAACGGTCCGTGCAAGGTACAATACTGCCTAAAAGGGGAAATTGCTAGTAAATTCCACTTTTTGGGTTGCCAAAACCGGCAACGCACAAGATAAGAGCCGAGGTAGGAGGCGCTTGAGATCAGATTGCAAAAATGTGACTTTTGGCGAATATCGCGTGAAACAGAATTCGAGGGAACGTTGAGCTCTCCACACACATGTTTTACCGCATGAATTCATTTATATGGGGCAATTCAGCTCCGCGCACGGCGGCCCTCCATGACCGTCAAGCCAGCAACCTAACGGAATTTCTTGGCATCAGGTCGAACAAATGCTATTTCGATGTATTGCAATCTTCGCCTGAATATGGTCACGGTAAGGCTATGGCTAATATCACTGCTAGCTATACATGTTGTAAATGGTGAAACGATAAGGAGGGAAAGAAAGCGAGAAAAGGAAAGCAAACACGAATCGATTCAACTTCGAACACGATGGTTTATGCATGCGGCGCAAAATGCAAAGGCGTCTGCAGCTGGATTTGATACCGAAGATGAGACATTAATGCTACAGTTCGAAGCAATGATTGAAGAGAATATGAGTATCGCTACGGCGAGTCCATCTGCTGCAAGTATTGCCCCCTCGCCCACAACGAGAATAAGTAGTTTTCCAACTACATTGCCGTCAGAAGGAGGAATGACACCATCTCCCACCAAGTCTCCATCCGAAGTACCAAGTTCAACAACAGCACAGCCTAGCGAATCTCAGTCAGCATCACCCTCTGAAGGTGTAATGGATGGCACACCCATCGGGGTTCCTATGAATTCTCCGACAAGTATACCAAGCCTTCGTAGTGGCGTTCCCACACTTTCTCCTAGTCTGTCGCTCCCGGAGGTACCATCAGCCTCTCCTAGTGTCATTCCAACATCAAGTTCAACAACTCCATGCAACATGTCTCCTCAAAATCGTGCAGATAGCATGCTGGCTCTAATCAATGTCATATCTAGGCAAAATGATGTTATTCGGGGCGGAAGTCCGCAGAACTTGGCTGCAAATTGGATCATCAATGGCGACGAAGCAAAACTGTGTCCTCAAGATGATACCTGGATTCAGCGCTACATTATGGCAGTCTTTTACTACAGTACCAATGGTAATCGCTGGTTTCAATGCCAATCACCGAGTGATACAGGACTATCAATTTCTGAGGCAAATGAAGCATGTAACCTAACTAGTACATCAGCGGAAGGTACTTATGCCTGGTTGACTCCAGACAGCGAATGTCTATGGGCTGGAATCACGTGTGATGATAGTGAAAATACCATTGAACAGCTTGCAATTGGTAAGACAAAGCCGCTAATTCAGTTTGAATAAAATTCATTATTTGCTCACGATGAATCTCTTTTTCAACAGAATCGAATGGCGTAAGTGGCACAATACCCTTTGAAATACGAAGCCTTCAATCTTTGGTGAACTTGTCGCTGGAACGGGGTATAATAACTGTAAGTTCGAGTCGTACATAGATTCTCGTGCTGGTGTATCTGAGGGGATTCATCTTATCCCAATGGCTATTGCTACATGATACAGGGTACCATCCCAGAAGATGTTGGATTCATAAGGGGTCTCGAAACACTCGATCTTGATAATAACATAATTGAAGGGACGATTCCGTTGTCCATTTATCGATTGACGAACTTGCAGCAGCTTGATTTGGACCAAAACGAGCTTCAAGGTACTTCGAATTTGTCACTTAACTTCAAATTTGTCATCAGTTGCTAACAATGCAGTTTTCTTTTGTTTCTTGGACTTCAAGGTACCATCAGCCCTACAATCGAAAGGATGACTAATCTACGACTACTGCAACTGAACAGTAATAATCTCAGTGGCACGATTCCGACAGAGCTTGGAAAACTACCGAACCTCAGTGTTGCTACATTCGAACGGAATCAAATGGATGGTACAATGCCTAGCGAAGTATGTGCCAACGTCGACGTATTGAGTACACTTACCACTGACTGCTTGGGTGCTCCAAATCGACCATCTCCGCCTTTTGTTGCTTGTTCCTGTTGCTCTGGATGCTTCTAAAAGAAATCTTGTAAAAGAAATCATTACTTTCTGGCAGTTATCATCTGCAAGAAGAACAGGGTTTGCTCAACAACAAACTCCGAGGAGGACGGCGCAACACCCATGACACATACAACATAGCCCATTTCATAACACAATTCATAACATAATTCATAACATAATTCATAACATGACTCATATAATAACATATTATAGCTCATAAAAGAGTTCATAAAAGAGTTCATAACATAATTCAATCCTTCACAGGTATCCTTTGCGTACACAACTGGTACACGTGCTACTCTCTTGAGAGTGGGAGACGCACTCATACGCAGATTTTTTTTCTGCGTCAATTGGTACGGTATTTTTTGTAGCGATCCGATTGCGACACGCGATGTTCTAAGTAAATATCGCCCGCGCAGCAAATTTAACGGTTGTTGTCGTGTCTTCGCTAAATTGCGTGAAAAACACACAAACCGAAAAATCTTGAGGGCAATCAATCATCCCATTGGATGCCAAAACAACAACAACAGTAAAGCATGGCGGAATTCATCACAGAAGCTGAAGACATTGTAGTTTCTTCTACCAAAGTCGAGACAAAGTCAGAAAGACTAAACACTGAGGCTGAAACCGAAGTCGAGGACTGTCGGGCAGATGATGCTGTTGGCCGAGAACATGAGGACGGTAGAGAACAAGTTGTTGATATTCAAGAAGAAGGAGAAGATGTAGAGGAGGACGATGAAGAGGATGATGACGAAGATGACGAGGAGGACTTGATTGAAAAGAACGCAATTGCTGCCGTCACGGAGATGCTATCCACTGCGATCTTGGAATCCATCGGAGACGAGCAACTCCACGATGCCGAAAAACCTCCTCAAGACCCTGTTCTTAGTGTCAAAGCAACGACTTTGCTTTATGATATTTCCGGCAAAATGAATGATCCTACCAAGAACCTTGCGGATTTGTTGGCCGCAATTAACCCACCAGAGGATGGTGAATTCAATCGAGCCTATATGATTCGTCGCAAGAATGCTTGTGGGGCTATGCATTTGTTGACCGCAGAAAAGGGCAAGCAACGCATCCAAATCTGTTGGACCAAAGGTGTTCTGGACTCCCTCAAGTCCGTAATGGAGGACTGTATGGAACTCGGTATTGAAGGCTTTCTCCCAAATGATCAAACCCGTGACGAATACAAGGATGCTCGACGAAGAGCCGTGGCCACATTGATGAACTTGTCGGCTGCCCAAGAAAACAGACTCGTGCTACTCCACTTTCCCAATTTGATTTCGTCACTCCTTTCCACCATTTCATCCGCACCCGAGTGCAGCAAGGGTGGAGCCGCCACCCTTGCACATTTGTCCAAGACCAAGGAGAATCGCCTATTCTTGGCCAAGATTCCTGGTCTGTTTGATACCGTTGCTGATATTCTCGTTCCAGGGGCCGATGACCATGTCATTGAAGGCGCCGATGATGAAATGACGGTAATATCGCAAATGTACGATGAGCGTGGAGGCGCAGACCTCAAAGGAGCTCGCCAGAATATGTTTGCACTGCTATTTCACTTGGGAAAAGAAAAAGACAACACTGTAAGTCAAAGAAGTCGGAAACAATATCATACTTGTGCTTCATCAATCTACAAAGCTAACCAGCACATCCCTTCTTCATAAACAACAGTACCACATGGCACGAAATGGTCGTCTCATTGATGCTCTGGCAGCCGTCAATTCCTATTTGATGAGCGACTTTCAAGAGTACGCTAGCAAGGTGCTTGCCAACTTGTCCCGTCACCATGGAAACACCAGGCACATTTGTTTTCGACACCCCAACGTCATTCAATCCTTGGTCACTTCGTCATACTCGTTCAATGAGGACACTCGCAAGTTGTCATGTCAGGCACTCCAAAATTTTGCACATGACCAACCTTGTCGATTGGAGCTATCCAATATGAGGATTGTCATTCCATCTCTTTGCGATCGAGTTCGCGACGGAACAGATGAGGAAGAACGACTGTCGGCGTTACAAAGCATCAAGAGCCTTTCCGAAGAGCCATCCAATTTGATTGTCATGTCCAATACTCCCAATTGTATGCCAACCCTGATCATGATTTCGGATGGTACCGATGAAACTGCCTCCGAGATGATGCGATATGTGGCATCGGATGCCTTGGCCAACTTTTCGTCGCATTGTCGATTGCTTGCCACTGCCGGCCACAAGGCAGACTTGGAGAACAAAGGAGAAGAGGATCCAAAAGTGGATCTATTTGTTCCTACGTTCAATGTCACAACGTGGGAACAATGGAAGTAACCAAAACAACACTAAAACCGAAATGCTTCAGCATCGTCGGAACGATTAGGGCAAAGAAAAATAGGTGTGTGAGTAGAAGGCTAGTTTCTAATGGTGTCTAATAATAATACATTGATTGACGAAAAAATGTTGTGAGAAAGATACAGACGGAGTAGACCCTACCTGGTACTGCTCGGATAGCCAACGAGTGTCTACTGCGACACTCGGGCATGCGACATTCTGCTAAAAACAGAATATTTGGATCGTATGCTTTCCGTTGGATGACGTACCGGTATACTTAGAGACAACGTCTCTTGTAATATGAAAAACCTCCGAAAATCGTTCGTTTCGCAATATTTTAAAAAGAATGCAAACCGTGGCCGTCACACAATCTTTCTCTTCTTCAACAAAACCAACAAAACAATGACGTCTCGACTTATTGTAACTCTTTTGTCGCACTTTTGTTTGCTCCATGTGGCAGCCTCCAGAACCATTTTGATCGACTGGTTTATTCCTCAAGACGAGGACAGCTATTATGCGGATAGACAAGCTGCGCCAGGCGATGTCATTGTATTCAACTTTGACCCCGATGGCAGAAATGACGTATACATTCATCCCACGGGAGATTGCGAACGCGAGGATTCCATTTTGATTGCTGCTCAAGGATCTGGGACAGGAAACTATACCTTTGTCGAGAGTGAAATCAATTCCACCATTTTTTTCACGTCTCAGGCACCAATGCATTGTAGTTTGGGACAGTTTATTAACGTCACTGTAGTGGAAGCCGCGGAGACCATGGCACCTTCCGAGTCACCATCTTCTGGCGATTCCGAAATGCCATCGGATGCTCCATCCAGTGTTCCATCCAAGCTTCCTACCATGTCTCCCACTGTCAGTCCTACTGCCCCACCCACTGTATTACCGCCATCGTCCATTTTTACATTGGCGGCGGAAAAGGGTACCTACACGACACTTCTTTCGGCCGCAAACTCCACTGGAGTCTTGGCGGATTTGGAACAGCTAACGGGACCATTGAGTAAGTACAAATGAAGAATCGTAATGCTGAATGCAGTATCTATCCTTTTTGGATTGCTTCTAACCCGCACTTTTTTGCTTATTGTTCTCCTCCTGCTCCTCGCTCCTCCGCCTTTCAACACAGCCGTTTTTGGCCCCACTGATACCGCCTTTGCTGGAGTTTCATTGGAGGGCGTGACCAATGAAGGACTCATCGGCATCCTTTCGGGCCATGTGGTCCAAGGAATTACACGGCTGCTGATTTGATTGCCGAAGGATGCATTGAATTGCAAACCTTGGCGGGAGTTTTGATCAGTGTTTCGGCTGGAGATGCAGGTGTCGTCATTAATGGCGGAGCCACAGTCGTGGACCCGAACATTATTGCGGACGATGGTGTCTTGCACGGCATTGATGGGATTATTGGTAGCTTTGTGGCCTGTCCCACACCCATGCCCTCTTCCAGTTCCATTCCCAGTGACATGCCCTCGTTGGTTCCCAGTGACATGCCATCCATGGTCCCCACGGCCATGATTCCGGCTACTCCCACTGTCACTCCCGCGACTGGAACACCCACCATTACACGAACGGACCCACCAAATGCACCACGAGGATTTGATCCTGGATCTGGGGCATCCACCAGTACTATGGGTAGTATGCTTTCAGCATCTGTTGTCACGACACTTGTGATTGTGTCAATGATGATGGTATAAAGGAACAAACCAAAATGAGTTATTGTTCATGATGATGGAGATCTATGAAAAAGTGACATTATCCAGGTTTGGACCAGTTTATAGTTGGTCACTTGCTTTGTTGTATGCTACTACCACTATTTTTTAATATAATACATGTCGATATTTATAATATTTAAAGTTAAGAAATTCACAGTCCGGTACTGTAGTACAATTCTGTTTCTAACTACTGCATTATCGAGTTCAAAGTATCCCATTCGTACTAAACCTAAACATACTATCCAGCAACGAAAGAACAGCAGTGGATTGACAGCCTGGAATGCAATCGGACTAATAATACATATTACATACACAATTTCTATCTCACTATAACACTTAATTTAAAAAAAAAACATTGATTCTCGAATAACTAATTTCCATCTCATCTCGTCGCCCAACATGGAATTCTATCTATACGGTGGCCAAAAATGGGACGAGACGCTTTCTAGTTTGTCGTCCTTTCTTCGTTTTCTCTCACAGTATTAGACTGACCATTGTTGTCACAAGCACTGCGACGAATAATGACTTGCGGGTGGCGATAATAATGCCAAAAGCACTGCTTTGTTCCTCAGCAGTCGTCGCGGCATCTTCATTGTTGGTGGTGCGAGCACCAGCAGTCCCATCTGCAGTGTTGGATTCAATGGGCACTCCTGGTAAAGCAGCAGCAAGGTCGTCTTCTGGTTTGTTGACGCTCGTCGTCGGTCTCGTCAAGAAGGATGATGGTGCTGGCGAGGGTGGCTGTGGAGTAGGAAAGACTCGAAAGCGAGCTTGCTGACCCTGCTCACAGTGACTTCCTGCATCACAGACGAAGAGCATTTCATTCCCAAAGAAATCACTGTCGTTTTCTTGAAAGGTATAGGTCACGCTATTACTATTTTGTTTGGGAACCAGTTCGTTGCGATTACTCGGATCACAGGATAGAGAGGGATGAATAAAGACCGTATGCGGGCCATAGACCTTGAACGTGACTGTGTCACCGGCGGTGACAAATTGTTCTGGCAGCGGTTCATGGTCCAAGGTGGGGGACCAGAATTCAATCAAAAGGTCTTTGGCAGAAACGGATGGAATGTGGCATGTTTGGATGAGGAGTATCAGCAAGAGTACTGTGGAATAAGATGGAAGGAGGCACGATGCTGACGATGACGATGATTGTCTTGTTCTTGACATGATGTTGTTTGATGATGATGCTGCTGCGATGCTGATGCTAGTGTTGATCGTGTGGGTGTGTGGGTGGTACTGCCTGATTGATTGATTGTGTGACTGAATAGCTAGGTCCGTCTTGTTGCAAAACGATTATAGGAGTAAATTGAAAATTGATATCAACACGACTGGTTAAACGACCGTTGTCTTAAACAAAAAAGCCGAGAATAATAGACTCGTGAGTGTATGTTTTGGCTTCCATTTGAGATTTCAAAACGGCCCCTGTAATGCAGATGGTGGTGGTCGGAGTCACGCAAAAAGTGACGACGACGATATTTGAAATTTTCATTCCGAGTCGACCCAATTGATTCAACGGTTTACAAGATTTGAATAACTCCAACTCCGTTATATATATCGCAAGCTTCCACTTTTTGTGTTGCGGAACAGTCCCATGTTGCATGTGATTCTTCGAGAACAATCATCCAACAAAAGCTTCCACAACAATCTTCACTAGTTTCTTGTGTCATTGGATGCCCCCCATCGTGCGTATGTATTAAAAAATACCTACCGGTACCCTATCATTAACGACGAGAAGTAATTTATAAGCATGAGTATGCATAAACCATCACCATCACTGCTTTCGTTGCAAGACTATGCGACCTTTCAATACATGTTGGCACCTCCTTCCATTGCATCTCCCATTGTCCGCAGCATTGAATCCTTTGTCTTTTACAACGAACCGTACAATCCAAACAAGGCCGAAAAAGATCACCGACGCATGATCAAGGGGACTGTGAATCTAATTTCGTATTATGGGTGTTGTCTAGTACTCCTTCCATCTCATTTATTGGGCATGAGCAAATGGATATCATCATCGTCAGAGGACGAAGACAATAAGAAGAACAAGCCCAACAAGAATGACAGCAATGATTCCAAAAAGGTCCTGCGACGATTTCGATATTCCTACTTTTGCGGGATGGTGCAAGTCGACACCAGACATGTGCAACTTTCAGAAAAGGAGGAGAAGGAGGATGGTGCTAGTAATCCAACTTCGTTTCGATTGGTGGAATACCTGGACATTTCGCCATGGGCTTGGGTCATTTGCGAAGCTTTTTATATAACAATCATTGCATCTGCCATTGGGTTCCATCAAACACTCATTAGTACGGATCCGTCACTCTCGGTGGTCTGGACGACATTTGTGACTACGGTCGCGGCACTCAATGCTGCTGGACTCCTCTTTCTAAAAATTCGAAACAACTTTGAATAACTGCTGAGGAGGAGGAGTAGAAGTAGTACTATAAGAAAGCAAGATATGGAATGTGTGAAACATACAAAGAAAAGAGAGAATTTGGGCCACTTTACAGCCAATTAACGGCGGTGAATAACAAGCAAGCAATCTTTGTACCCTCCAACAGAAAGTGTTCCATGGAGACAGGCGGCTTGTCGCAATTTCCTTCCTGGTGGTTGTGGTGGTGGTCGATATTGGAAGCTTGTACTTTTGCTGTAGCTCAGCATGACAAGTCAGCATGGTAGTATTGGCAAAGATTGTCTACAGATAGTTTGAGAGTCAGTCCCCAAAAAGGAACGTTCTATACAAATGAAATGTTTAATCCAAATCCAAGACATCTTCATCTTCCTCGCCTTCTTCTTCATCTTCGTCGACCGTCTCGTAATACTCTCCTTCATCCTCGTCTTCAAACATGTAGTCTCCTTCTGGCATGTCCTCGGGAGCCATGTTCCATTTGGCCGCCTCTTCTTCCATACGTTGTCGACGTTTTCGTTCCATTTCGGCAATCTCCTCGGGCGTCTTTTCCTTGTAATTCGGATTGTTCTTGCGATGTTCCGCCCGACGTCGGTCCCGTTCGGCCTTGCGACCTTCCTTGGTACCATCGTTGGTTTGAAAGGCGCCACCCGGTGTGGTTCCACCATCTTGTCGCTTTTGTTGATCGCTGCGTCGTTCCCGTTTGGCCTTTTCTTCCTGTTCCAACTTTTTCGTTCGCGTCTTGATCGTGGGAAGGGTGGAGACCTTTTTCATGTCCGCCTTTTTCGAGACAACCTCACCAATCAAGTTGCTCATGGGACCGTATCCGACTCCATGTCCTGGCAATGTGGCAAGGGACGTCTTGAGTCGGCCATCCTTCTTGCCAGTCCCACCCGTCACCTTTTGGAATACCACAAAACGAGGTTGTCCGGATGAAAATTCGGGCAAGTATTCGGCTTCAATGCCCTTGACGTACAAAACGCTAGTGTCAATCGCCGCAAAGGCAACCTTGGGGAATTCTACCAAAAGTTTGGACATGGCATCCTTGACATAGTTGGGGGATACCTTTCCTCCTTTTAGTAACAAGGCACAGACATCCTTGTCCAGACATTTGGATCTCAAATCTTGGGTCGTTTCAATCTTTTCTGCCTTTGGAACCAACAAGTTCTTGAGTGCCTTGACCAACATGGATCCTGTCTTTAAATGTTTGGCGGGGACCTGATTATTGTTTGTGTGGAAATAGTAGAGATCATTGTTGGTCAGTTATGGACTGGTTGATTGATTGATTGATTGATTGATTCATTGATTGATTGGTCGATCACTTCGTTGCAAAGCTGCTGCTGGTCGAATGAATGAATCTTTTGTATAAAGTAGTACTTACTTGCTTTGGTGGTCCAATCTTTCCAGACACAAAAATAGTTGGCCGTTGCTTCTTGTTGAGGTTGAACCGTTCATATATTGTCTTTTCACTTGACACTAATACATGGTTGCAGTCCAAGAGACGGAATTCGGCGGGTGCACCGCCATCGGAACTAGCATCAGCAAATACCGAACTAATGGGAAATGTAGCATTCTCGGCGTGGCATAGAACCGCGTAGTTCTTGCCTTCAGCTTCCCCAAAGAGGACTTCTCTCAATTCCAATTCGTCCATGACATTGACTCGGATCACCTGATGATAATAGTATTAGTATTATAGTGTTGTTATTGTCGTTTGAGACATTGCCAGGAGCGTACAAAGCAACAAGAGTGAGAATGACGGAATCAACATCACACAGAACAACACAAGTCCCTGTCCTTTTCATCGCACCTCCGAGTTGATTCCCTTGAAGAACTGATACACAATCATGGCCAAGGCAACGGCGATGGCTGGCTTTAACAGCTTCTCCACTTCAGGAGGCCTTTGGCTTCCCTTGCTGGTCTTTTTCTTTCCTGCCATATTATATATAATATATCAATTGAATGGAAGGGCTTTGGTTTTGATTAGTCCAATGATACAGAGAGAGCAAGACGAAGTATGTATAGTCTACTACTATACGACAAGATTGCTGACACTTTTGTTGTCCATCATCCATCCTCGTCCATCATCCTCCTCCAAAAAAACAAAGTTCCCCAAAATTCGCCGCGTGGAACCACAAAAATGTCGTCCGTCCTTTCTTCCATAGATTAGATCCAGACAGACCGTCCGTGAATGAATGAGATGATTCGAAATCCATTGATAAAAAAGAATTCTTTCATACTCTTATTTCTACAGTCAAGAATAGGTACCGATGTGGTGCTTTAGCGTATTGCATCGCTGGCTGCGGACAATCGTCAGACCGTTCGGGAATGAGAACCAAGATCCACTGATAAAAGAATACAAGATTGATAAAAAGGGATAATATTCTCAAACCACATGGAACACACACCTTTTTCTCTCCAAGTGTGTGTTGGAAGTCTTTTAAAGGCCAACGCGTTGGGAAACACATCACATCGCACCCACCCATCACACAAACAAAAAGCCCTCACGATTGCACACCGACCAGAAATTCAACAAAAAAAAAACCCGCTTCCCATCGAAACGTCAAAGATTTCTCATAAAAGCAAGAAGTAGAAGAATAACACACCAAGAAGAAGGAAGCATACTACATAATAAAAAGTAAAAACAGAAGAAACAGCAAACATGGGCGTAGTTGTAATCATTCCAGAATCTCTGATAAAGACCATACTCCTCGAGGATGGAGAAGATATCATGACGGACGACGGTGATGGTTCTGAAACGAATATGAATATTCATCATAACCCAGCACTGACGACCCGACGGGCGGAAACTTCCAGTGTTACAGACTCGGTAGAGCTCCTCATTGAACGGCGTCCGCTCTTGTTCAATCCTCCTCATCCTGATGACACTGTGGATGGAAAGAACTATGATGAGTACGACTTTGAAGAGGGGGGTTCTGATTACGATGAGAACGATGACGATGATTATTTTGATGACTATTCCGACACGGAGTATAACATGCCACTGAATGATAGCTTCGAGCAAGAACAGGAGGGCAGAACCACCACTGCATCCAGAACGACAGACCCCAGCATAATACGAAGACAGTCATCATCGATTGCTTCATCGGAACTATTGCTGGATGCAGAAGGGAGATTTCATGATGGCGAGACCCCAAGTCGTGGTATTGACTTTGGAGACGACTATCCATTGGACGATGACGACCAAGATTCCATCGAATTTCCTTCGTTCCGAAATTCTCAGCCAGTTCCTCGGACCGTAATTCTCCCAGGAGGTACTACCGGCACTCGGATAGGAACTACAATGTAGTCACCACCAATTGTCTCTGGGATGAACAAACAAGATTTGGGACACTTTACACACATCCACACACACAAACGACCAAAGGTGCCAAAAGCGGTACCAGATTAGAATAGAACAAATACTAACTTCTGAAAGAAAATATACGACCATCATTCCTGGTATAACACCATCGTCATTCCTCGTATTGTACTAACTAGCCACCAAAAAATTAAATCTAGAGTATTCAAGCAGATCTGGCAACAAAAGTGATACAAAGAGAGGGTTCAAACTTGAGTGGGCGAGGATGTACCGATAGCTAGCTACCACTGTAGTGATGTGCAAGTTTCGTCTCATGGTAGTAATTCAGAATCCTTTTTCAAAATTGTTGCTCCCACACCACCCCACAGCGAAGTCGCCCTTGCAAATAAAGCTTGTGCCAAGCAAGTCGCCCTTCCACGACGAGAGGAGTCACAAACGCTCCTTCGCCTCTCCATTTCGGCATTGGGGTAGGTACCTTACCTACCTACCTAATAGAATTACCTTCAACCCTTTCGGAATCCTTTTTCCCCATAGCATTTCTAGCAAAATTATTCTCTTGCTTTCTACCACGAGAGGGAGTACGTTCCCTACCTGTAGCACAAAAGGCTTCTTCGCATGCGGCATTCTACCGCACCTTCAACACTTTCTTCGGAATTTGCTCCCAAAGACGCCAAGCTGTGTCTTTTGGGGGAGGCGCCAGTCTCATGTGTGGCATAATAAGCTCCTCGTTGTGGCCGTTGGTGGTGGCTCTTCGACGCGACTTCTGATCAAATCGGATCTGACTCATTCGAATGCCTATGTTCGACCTCGTAACTTCTGATCAAAACGAATCTGACTCATTCGAGTCTGACTCATTGGACGATGCAGATGGCGCAGGTTCCGTCCGACACGTGGTACTGGACTGCCGTTCATTTAGGCGTAGGATCAGATCAGAACCGCTACTACAATAGGGTAGGAGACTGGCACGTGACAGTTTGGAGTGAGTGAGTCGTATCCAGAGGCTGTACACTAACCGAAACGATCGTCTTTCATCTCACAATTCTCACAAATTCCGGCCACCACCGTAGCGTAGCGTATCACTCCACAGATCTTCACAGCCACGAAAAAGCACGAACACCACAAAATGAACACAAGCAATAATACTAACAATAACATCAAAATGGCTTCTCACCACCATCGATCCAGTTCGGACCTATCCCTGAGTTCCACTGACAGCAACGTGTCAGCAGCTCGCAAACTTCGACGCATGAAACGAAAACTTTTGTTGGATTTCGTGAACGATGATAACATTAACACTAACAACGATGCCAATGCCAATGATACTTCCACCAACAACATGAATGATGAACGAGAAATCCTCTCGCTTTTCATTTGGTCGGCTGACGGCAGCCCCAAACCATTTCCTCGTCAGCATTGAAACGAAACGACCATCCAAACTGCCATTTACCCACGACTCCACGTCGACCAAAACAGGCACGAGTTTGGCAACCACAATTCCAAGACGGACAATCATTGGGAGAGCCAAGAAGGTTGAGGTGGAAGCAAACCTTTCTTGGCTAAATCTCCAAAGCATTTTCAGTGTCTTAAGATAGTCGTTGGTAGCTAGGGATTGACGGATTCTCAGGAACCAAACTCGAAACTGATGTGTTTGCTTAGTTTCGAAGATCCGACCCATGCGTTCGACGACAGCTTTTTTACTTTACGTACATACACTAATCATATATGTAATTCAAAGGAAACTTTACTATCAACTCTTTTCCCCTTTTCATTCAGTAGCTTCCTGACTGACTCAACTTATCCTATTAGATGTCACAAGATGATAGATACCGCAACACTTTTCTATGCAAATCTTCGTAGTGGGTACTGACACAGGCCTTTCTGTTGTCTCTATTAACGGTTACTGTCGGTAGGTATACGGCAATCTTCCTGCTGATGATACGGTTGGTTTGCCTCGAGGAGAACTACCCCCAGATAGTGAAAAAGTCATGCAACAATAAGATGGATTGCACTTAGCTGTTCTACAAACTGATTCTACCAATCGGCGCGAGATTGATTCATTCACTTATGGCTCAGCAAACTTGGGTCTGATGCTCCTTCTTTGATTCCTCTCTAATATGATCGTCTACTTTTCTCAACAGTGAAGTCATGTCATCGCATCTTAGGATCCGCACTTTATCAACATACACAGGGACACTCATACTCATTCTACTCCAACTTTTCCCTCCAATCTTCGTTTCTTGAATTCAGGAAGACTTGGAACATTTTCATCCTCTACATTCTCTCAGTGCTCAAATATGTTGGCGTGATCCCGTAGCAATGAGAACACAACTGAAGCTCTTGGCCTTTTCGCAAACAGCCCACGCCCGTCGTCAAAGCCGTCAAAATAGTTTATCGATGAAGCACGGTGGAAAATCAATGGCCACAAACCAACTGAAATGGAGTGGCTTGTGGACTCCACTTCGATGCCGCGTATCGCCCCCCTCGATTCACATTCATTGTAGACATACAGTAGTACAATCATATCGATCTTGCAGTCTTCTGATTTCTTGAATTCCATTGCGAGTTGCTCTAGACTTTTTGCTTTCATTGACTCTCTTCAACAAACAGCTGCAGCGATGCAGCATGCTCTCTTTCTGTGAGCGGAGATCTCGGATCGTTAAACGGGTTGAAGCTCAAGTGCAATCGCTTGAGACTCCTCATCAACTTTTATCTTCGTAAAAATCTTCATGATTGAATCGTAACTGATACGATTGATTGCGTCGTAAATCCAATTCTTGAACCTCGGAGTCCTCATTGCAAAGAATTGATTCCAAAGGTGATAGGTAGCAAATCCTGTTGTGCGGAAGCTCCAAAACTCTCAAGTTTGGAAATGAATTGCGCAATCCTTCCAAGTCATTGCTCGAAAGATCGACTGAGTTCAACTCAAGCCGCTTCAGACTTCTGTTCTCGACGGCTTTCCCTCGACTCGCACCGAATGCCGGCAAGTGAGATGTTTCACCAATTTTGAGTTCTTGCAATCTGCAGTCTTTGCAGTTCCGCCACCCCCGCAATACCTCCATGACTTGCTCTGATATATTTATCTTTTCTAGAGTCAATGAAAGAAGGTTGGGATGGTTTTGCAAGGTACGCAAGATCTCGGGGAGGCTGTCATCGTTCCCAAAACCTTCGGCAACCAATTCGAACTTCTCGAGGGATGCATTCCTTTTCAATCCTTCCCCCAATACAACGAATGTATGCTCATCTGGAATCTCTTCATAACAAACGAGCTCCAATCGCCCCAGACAAGTCGTGCTCACCATGGCCTCCGCCAAAACATTTACAGCGTCCACTGTCAAATCTTCAGCTTCAGTCAGTCTGAGTTCCCGAATCCCATCATTAGCCAAAAGCCCCTGCCGTTAGACAAAGAGTATGCTACTGTGTCTGACTTCTCAGACACAGTCGATTTCTAGTCGAATCGTTCTCTTCATTGTGGCCATGAGAATGGCCAATAATAACGCTGGGGAACTTGGTCGATCTTCGTCGATTGCCCCAATATTGATGCGCTTCCAAATTCTAGGATCATTTTGAAGGAGGCGGAGCAACTTGAGGACGGCATCATTCAAATTGGCGGTATGCCCGTCAATATAAAGTGTGTCATAAGATTCATGGATGTTTGCAATGTCAGTATAGTATCATCAAAATAGAGGTCATCAGTTATTGAGAGAGCAGGACTCAAAAGACTAACTTCTGGAGCCACCGCGTCTTCGTAAGTTTCCTCGATCAATGGTAGTAAATCCTCTGTCATTTTTGAAGGTTGAGTTGCTGCCATAGCTGCTCTTCATCGTCTGACAGGTATGTATTGCAGAATTTTTTGTCCGATCGAATGAATCAATTTAGTTTTTCTGTCGCGCCATATCGTTGCGCGCTTCACAGGTTTCATTCGCGATCCTCACCCATCAACTATTATATTTCAAAATAATATCGACGACGAGATGATGGGTAAGAGAACTTGGAAGCCAATTATTGTGGCAACGGCTTGCACATTATTGCAACATGCAGTCGTCACTGCATTTACGCCGACACCAATACACTTCCCCCAGCAGTCGAGAGAACTAACGGGGACTATATTTATGGCCGGAAAAGGATTCGGTGATAATTCTTCCAGTTCCAAGAAAGCCAAGAAAACCAACAAGAAACCAAGTAAAGACTCATCACCCCCAAAAAGTCCAATGGTTCTTGATGATTTCTCGAAAGATGATGGTGACAAAACTCCAACCGAATATCCGGCCATGAACCGAGCCGAGATCTCCAAGTGGCTGAGTCATATCCCAGTCTATGCTGTGACAGATGCCAAAGGCAACGCCAAGGCCATCAAGTTGGGCGACAAGGCCGTTGTGTACTTCTTCATGTCATCTGTGGTCGCGGAAGCTTACAAGAAAAAGCTGCAGGAATCGGGAGAAGACTTTGATGATGCTACCGTGTCGGGTTTGTTTCTTGGCAACATTTGGTATGACTTTTTGGATCAGGACTGTAATCAGAAAGAGGTACGACCTGCACACACACACACACACACACACACTTTGCCCACAGTACTCATGGTAGCTAACCTATACACTTCTCTTGCTCTTACCACTCGGTGTTCCAATCCTACATTCTGATCTTTCATCATTCCCATTCCATTCATTACTATGATGCAGGATAACACAGAGTTCCGATTGGTTCCCGATCCAAGGGATTTGACGTCGGCAAGGACCGTACTATCCATGGCGTCACCCGAAGAGATTGTTGAGAGTGAAGGTGACAGCAGTTCCGACGATGACGATGAGAAAATAACTATTGAATCCTTGATGGAGAATACTCCATTTGCCTCGGCGTACAACGAAATCCCGCTCTTTTATGTCGACAACATGCCGCTTGCCGACCACAGTGAAGATGTCAAAAAGTGGTTGAATCGTATGGTGTCGTCCACTTACATGTTCTTTAGCGCCCAAGGCATGTTTAAAGTGCTGGACAAATTCAAGGAAAGCGGCGAACCTGTGGAAGACTCGAATGACGCTTTGTGTTCCTTGTTTGATATCGTTTCCATGATGGAGCAACCCAGTACGACTGACTTTCGCAACATTGTGCTCATTCCACCAGCACCCATAGCCGAAGGGACAGTATCGGATTCGGTTCTTGCCAAGCAACTGGAAGATCCGTCGTCACTCATTTCACAGTCATTCTTCTTGCAACTCCTGCAAGATGAATCATCATCATGATAGATTTGACCTTTTTAATCCTTTTTGGGAAGCATAACTACAGTATAGTCTTGGACACTTCTTACAAGGTCTGTTCATGTGCGATCTCCCGTCTTTGACGACAAATAAGTCAGCACAATGAAGTTGTGCGAACGTGTTCACATGTTACCGATGAACAGTGGCGGTCGGTGATCTGCCATAATTCAATGCACTTGTGCTGCCATGCATTTCTCTTTCATGATATTCTCTGGGAATGATGAATGAACAATGCATTCCAAGACGATAGGGGTATACATGCAATCTTTGGCGTGGTAGAATATTCTAGTCAATGAGATCCTTCTTCTTCAAATCTTCCAGTATCATTACACCAGTTGTCGATAACTTCTCTTCTGGAAAGTCGGATTGGATCCATTCCAATTCAGCAACTTCTTCGTTTGGAGTCAAGGTTCCTTCATAGTCTGCCGAATAACACAGCATTCGTACCATGGTCCCCTCCGGTTTTCCAAAGGCTTGCGCAGCAAAGGTGCCATATGGCTTTATTGTTTTGGGGATGAGATCCACCGTCAATTCCTCTTTGCATTCACGTATTAGTGCCTGGGTGTCTGATTCTCCTGCTTCACGCTTTCCGCCAGGAGTGAAGAAGACTTGCTTTCCATGAGACCTTGCCACCAGTTGGCGTCGACCTCGAACCAAAATCAATGCTAGTTTGTCAATGGTATTACTATTAGGCATCATCACTGTGAAAGGTAGTGCGAGAAGAAATAGTGTCGGAATCATACAGACGCGAGTTAAGTGATGGTCTCTTGTAGACAGAGCTATACTGAGAGCCTATACCCGGTATATGAATTTAGATGGAGCTGTAAAGAGAGTACAATAAGTACCCGGATATGAAGGTCAAAATAATTCCCACACATATTATCATTGACAGCCACGAAAGCAATACGCAAGAATGGAATGAAGCATAACACTTGTGTCCAATGTTAGAGAGAATATGTGACAAAAACTGAATATTCAAGTTATGACTGACAACATATTATCATGGATCGAACAAAACTTACGGTCAAGTTCTCGAAGAGGAGGGAGGAGGACGAGATGGACATGATTTTAATTTGTTAGATCCCGGGTCATTTAGGAGCTCAGTTAATGGACAATATATTGATAACACTACTGACATGCAAGCCTTCATGAAGATTAATCTGCATTTCTGTCGATGGGGTGAAAACCATTTGAGTGATGACGTGCTCTACCATGGCTTCATGCTCCTAGCCTACTAGTACTACTATTCTTGTCTACTGTCGCCTCCTCCTGTCTAGCAACAGACATTTTGCACCTCATGGCATGCAGGATCCTTCCGGCAATTTCAGTGGGAGCTATTCCCGCAGAACACACGGGTCCAAAACCGTCAATGGGCCTGCTTTAACCCGAAACTTTTCCATTGAGCAGTGTTTAGGAGAGGCCCTATTGTGTTGACATATTTTTGAATGGCACATTCTTCTCCAGTTCCAGTGAGTACATAATGAATTCGGGTTTTTTCAGTCCCTTGCGAAAATCGCATTATGTGAGTCACTAGAATTTAAAAATTGAGGGACGGCAAAATTTTCTTCTTATCATCAATCAAAGAGCCAAATTACAACATTACTTCGGTGAATGGCCCACAATCAAAAGATAAAAGCAATTGAATGAGCTCGCAATACCGACAGCTATCAAGTACACAGCAGAAAGTTCTGAACATACTGCCGATCCCAAGTGCTATCATTAGTATACTGGGAAGCACTGCTATCATATCTCTTGCAAGACAAAGGCGAAAGTCGAAACAATGGACTCCCTATACTCGACTTCTCGTTGCAATGAGTGTCTCTGACATTGTATTTAGCTTAATCATGGGGATAGTCACTTTTCTTCGACCACAAGGGACAAGTAGTAGAGTGTGGGCATTTGGAAATAACGCTACATGCAGATTTGCGGCATTTGTGATTCAAGCAAGCACTGCAGGAATCTGGTATCAAGGGATGTTGTCAATCTACTTTCTTTTGACTACTCGATACGGTATGAAGAATGCTATAATCACAAAGCGCATTGAACCATTGATGCATCTTTTGGCGCTTGGATATCCCATTGCAAGTGCAACTACAGGCCTAGCGAAGGGCATTACTGGTGAGATCGCTGGAGGAGCCTCGTGTCACGTGAGCCTTTACGATAATTCCGATGTATCCAAGTCTTGGGAGCTCCAAGAGAAAAGCGTCGAACGCGCTGCATTTATGTTTATTTTTGCTGGTATACCCATGATTGGAGTAGCCCTGTGTTTGGTCTGTACGCAGTTGAGCATCTACTTCTTCGTCCGGCACCATACTCGGAAGCACCGCTCTAATGAAAGCGGATCTTCAGCATCAAACGATGTGAACGTACCATCAACCAAGTCCGCAACGAGCAATGGCGACGCATCATTTGGTTCGAGTGGGCGAAGCATACCTCCTATGGATTTATCTCAAGGATCTTCGAGTATCCCGACTAACGACGCACAAGCGTTGGGTCTTCAAAGCAGCAGCAAGAGGAACGAGAAACAGACACAACGACTGCAGTTGGTTTGCTCGCAAGCACTCCTTTTTGTGATGTCATTCGTGATGTGCAACGGCTGGAATGTGATTATCATACAAATGCAGTCAAGCGCTCGGACCCGGGCAGAAGAAATGGAAATGGTGGCAAAGTATTATCTTGTTTTCGTTATCCAAGCAATACTGCTCCCGTAAGTGTTGAAAGCAAAATTACTCCATCATGCATAAATACCTTTCTCATCCACTTTAGAATTCAAGGGCTGTTTAATTTTTTGATATACAGCCGACCTAAGTACTTAATGCTGAGACTGGAATTCCCAGATGAAAGGAGACTATGGACCGCTAGACGAATGTTTCTCGGCGACAAGCTTCTTCCGACTGCTGGCAGTGTTAGAAGACTTGGAACTCATGTTGACATCGCCGCCAACCGACAGAATGAATCAGATGGAGATGCTCCGGTTGGGGACAAACTAGCTTCCAAATCCTTTCAACACCGCATGGTATCGTCTTTGACTGCATGTGACGGCGACTTTGATGATGGCGTTGATGGACTAGGAGAAGACGAGCGATGGCACAACGTCAGTACGAATGCTAACCAGGGCACACAAGCCAACATTACCCCTCGTGCGAATCACCGCTCGACTTCGCTGGAAGCCATCAGTGAACTCTCAGAATCTTATTTTGAATTGACTCCGTATCAGGCTAATGGATCTTACCTATCAGCGGCTTCTATTCCATCGTCAACTCCAAAAGAGCCGTCAGAAAGTCGTTGGAGAGGAACAGGATCAACACCTTTGCGATCTCCTTTTTGTGGAAGCAGTGGAAGTATTAAGTCCGATGCATCTGATCTTCCCATTCAGGTCCCAACCCGTAGAAAGTCGGGTTCTTCTTCTTCACGGAGCAGTGGCAGTCGCAAGCCTGATTCAGACGACGTTTTCATTCGGGTGCCAAGGCGTAGAGAATCTGGATCTTCTTCTTCTCGGAGCAATGGAAGTCGCAATTCGGACAAGTCAGACCTCCCCATTCGGGCACCGAGACGGCGAGAGTCGGGATCTTCTTCTTCTCGGAGCAATGGAAGTCGCAAGTCGGATAAGTCAGACCTCCCCATTCAGGCACCGAAACGGCGAGAGTCAGGATCTTCTTCTTCACGGAGAAGTGGAACTCGCAAGTCGGGCACACCCGACCTCCCGATTCAGGTACCAAGCAGGCGAGAGTCCCCTATTTCTGCTCCAAGACAGCGAGATTTTGTACCAAGACAAAGAGAGTCGCCAATCTCTGTTCCAAAACCCACATGGCAAGCTCCAATTGATTCTCCTACACGGAGTTGCAATAGCGCTTCGGACTATTCACCAGTCCAAGAACGAACTGTATCAGGAGGAAAGCAAGCATTCGATTTGCCGCTGGCTCTACCAAGCCGGTTTGTGAGTCTATCCCCTTCTGAAATCGAAGATGATAGGGGAATCATATTTCTCAGGGAAAAGGGTATTGAATAGAAAAGAAGTCACGCATAGAAACAGCAGACAGATGTCCTATCGTAGCTGTATCATGCCCTGTCAGATCAGCATTCCCTCTGTGGGAACTCGTCATCTCATCTGTTTTCAATTAGTGATGAACTTCTCGCCATGTTGATGTCTCGATTCAATGTTCTTGTCGCCGAGCAATACCTACACACGTTGTCGTCGTCTCGGTCTCGATCAGCCTACACTTATTTCCACAAGGGAAACATTCGATTTGCATGATTGGCCCTACCTATGATAAGGCGATCGAGAACCACACAGTACCAATTCCGCCGAATACTAGGCAAAGATTCGATCTGTACAGTATCTCTAAGAAGATTCTTGAATGATTCATCACTAAAAGGTTTTTATTAAATGAATTATCCTATGCTCCAAACACTGTGCTATATCCAGTACTAATGCACTACTCTTACATCCACGAAACAACCGATCCAACCGCCATTGCAGCTACCATCGAGCTAAGACCAAGCGCTGAGCTGCTGCTATCGCCTGCGGCAGGAGCTGAATTGTCGCCTTCGTCGGATACAAGCTCAAGCTCAATCCACTTGCTGGCACATCCTGTGATGTAGTGATTAATTGCTGTCCATCCTGTCTCGTTCGATTGATGAGGGTCCCAGTAGGCCACTCCAAACTCGTAGGTTTGACCAGCTGTAAGCTGCGCATCAGTCATCGAAGAAGGTGTCTTGAGAAGACGAGACATTTCAAAGTGGTAGGTTCCGTCTTCGCCCTCGGTTGCGTTGGTACTGGTATGGGCCCACGCTCCTGCCCACTCGTTACCGGCATTGGCATCGTCATCATCGAAGCGGCAATAAGAGCTGACTGCGTACTCATCGTCCTTGTTGGCAATAGGATCGTTACCTGTACCTGCTGTGGCGGTGTTGTTGACAGGGTAGAGCGTACGTTGCTCTGTCGTTGCCAACTCCCAGTGAGCACCAATGTCAACTCGGTAGTCAGTACAGGTGTCTGGAACGCCATCTGCACATCCAGAAATAGCATCTGGACAGCCACCCATGTTTGTGTAGGTAGCTTCGGATCCAACCTTGAACATAGTAGCAATAGCAGCACAAAGATGGTTATCTGTAGCACTGAAGCGGTACTTGCCAGGGATCTCGAAGGCAAAGTAGATGTTCTCCGAGTCATACTGGCACTTGGCGGTTAGGTCACCATCGCCATACTCAGTTCCAGAGATCAACACAAGCGACGAGGTATAAGCCTCGACGTCTGCCCAATCACTGTGGTCAGCATCCAAAGTTGGTGTTGTTTTGACCGGATGACACTTCCACGTAGTGCTGCATGGTTCTGAAGCGGTGTGGCTAGCCCCCAGAACGGAAGAAGCAGATGCCAACAAGAGGGCAGCTTGGTAAGACTTGAAAGAAAGCTTCATGGTGGTCAGGAAGGAAAGAGGTTGGGTCCAACAAAAGTAGTAGAGCCGTCAATTTCACGATGAAAAGGACAGGGTCGTCAAATTATGATTGCATGATGGTCGTTTGCAAAAAAAGTTTGGTTGGTTGCGCCCTGCTACTGCCTTTTACGTGATACAATCGTATGTACGGTTTGGATGTCTTCCTACCACCTGCATCTTTTTAATCCGAACACTTACGGTATGAATAGCTTTTTTTGAATTTTGGGTTTCTGTCACGACCCAGCCAAACTATCAACGATAACTACTAGCTTTTGGAAACAACGGAGAAACTCTTTTCAACGCGTTTGTCGCGTCGATACTGTAATTTAGTAGCGATCTAGTACCGGTACTCCGTTTTACTCACTTGTTACAACCTCAACGTATACTATAACGTATAGTATGTTTTGCAAATTCAAATGAAGTTCGAGCTCTAGTAGCGGAGTACATATGCATACCGGTAAAGTGATCCTTCGCGATGAAATCTTTGGCACGATTGCTGATAATCGCTTAATAAAAAAGGTTTGTCCAGGACCCAGCCAAATTGTCAACGGACACGGGCTCTAATTGGGTTTTGGAACCATTGAGGATCCAAGAAACGAAGGTTGGAGCAACCAAATATGACACGGCTTACTCGTTCATGATAAAGTGCGGATAGCTAGGAAGATTGAAGCGCATGATTGCCAGGCATAATCAAACGATGATTGAGGTAATTACGAATAGTAACTCTTGGACGAGTCGGCAGGCACCCATCCCATCTTTTTGGAATATGCGACAGCTTTGGAGATACAATCACATCGTCGTTTATTGTCAGGTGATATCCATCGTCGACAACCTTTCTTGGTATTCAACTCTAATCTCCAGCGGAACTCTCCATCGCATGTCAAACCTTTTGCTCGGGCATCTGCCAAAGCTGCATCTATCTGTTCTTGAGTAAAGTCGCGTGCTTTCAGTCTTGCTGGCAAGGCGTCTTGTGAAATTAGTCCAAGACGCACTGATACCTTCAATGCCTTGTTGATGGAGTCGCATTTCTTCTTCCCGTCAGGACTGATCCAGATTTTTTGTCGTCGACTGGAGTTCCATGTCACCGACCATCCAGAAGGCAATCCACGTGATGCAGCTTCCTTGAGAGATCGCTCTTCTTCCTCAGCAGTCAGTGTGCGTTCTCGGTACTCTACGGGCATTTTGTCTGGAGGCAAGATCCCCATTGCCACGCTCATTTTCAATGCTTCCACGAGTGTCTTGGCAACTCTGCCGTCCGGAGATCGCCATCTCAGAGATCTCCGTCCATCATCCAAGAATTCCACTGTCCAAGAATCTGGAAGACCTCGATGCTTTGCATCTCGCATTGCTGATGCTGCACGGGCATCTGTAGACACTGATTGGGAAGCATCTTGTACTGGAGTGCTAGGGTAGGAAATGAGTCCCAATTCCATAGACTTGTGCAGTGCACTGGGCTAGAAAGAATCAAAGATTTCAGTGAGTGGGTCCATTGATACCGGTACCTGAACAATTAAATGTAGTCACTTACAATTCCTCTGCATTTGTACTTGCCACACGGCGATGTCCACATTCGTCGCTTTCGCTTCAAATCCCATGAGACTGTCCATCCACCTGGCAGCCCACGCAGTTCCGCTTGTTCCATAGCTATGTCTACTTCGTGTTTGGACATTGATGTCTTTCCTGTAGTCTCTTCGGCTCCTGATATACTAGCTGTTTCTTTGGCTAGCTCCGAATCAGCTGGCTTGATATCATCGTTCACGCCATTATCATCATTATCATCGTCGTCGTCCTGGTCGTCCTGAAATTTCGTCCAACCAATGTCCCCTTCATCAATATCATTAACAACATTATCATCACCATCATCAACAACATCCTCTTCTTCAACTGCAGTAGCTGCATTTGTATGAGCTGTTTGTGGTACCGATTCCTGTACATCCTTCGCCAAAGCAGCATCTATCAATTGCGTCAAGGCCGCCTGCTTCAATGGCCGAGGACTAATGATTCGGGTTTGTTTGCGCTTTCGTTTGGTTGGGGCCATTGCTGCTACTGGCCCGTCGTCGTTATCGTTTTCAAGTATTAATTCATGCTTGGTGGCATAGGCCAAGGCTGCAGGAATGCTGTTGCATACCTTTCCCTGAGGAGCAATCCACTGCTTTTGATTCTTTTTGGGATTCCATCGGACTGAAAAGCAATCTGGCAATCCACGTTCTTTGGCTTCCATCAGGGCCGCCTCTTCTTCCGCAGGAGTCAAACTTGTCTTTTGCGGCTTTACTATGGTCGGATCCAACCATCCCTTTTTGACCGAGTAGACGACAGCTTTGGAGATGCAATCGCAGCGTCGATTGTCCGGTGCAACCCAGACTCGTCGATGTTGCTTACTGTCCCTATGGATTGGAAAGAATGTATTGGGCAATGACACATTCTATTAGTTTTGGGACCATTTTGCGAGAAGAACTCGTCCACGTCTCCATTATATTGTAACCACTCACCATACGACCGTCCATGTTTCGGGCAAATTCTTTTTCTTGGCGGCCTTCCATGCCTTGGCCTTTTCTTCATTTGTCAGTTCTCGATCTTTGGCAAATTGGGGAGGAAGTTTGTCAGCGGGCAACCATTTCTGTTTGACAGCGTAGGCCAATGCCTTGTCCAATCCGTACAGGTTGCGAGCGCCATCTGGCGAACAAAACACCTTTTGATTGTACTTGGAGTCCCAAATGACATTCCACCCCTCCAATCCATGCGCCCTAGCTTCTTGTAGCCCCACCTGAATCTTTTCATGTGTTGTGAGGGGAATCTTATTACTATCCGTTGGAGCACGGGCATTGGAAATCAATCCTAATTCGGCAGCCGTTTTCAGGGCAGCCGGGATACCACCTTTGACTCGTCTGCCATCTGGCGTATACCAAACTCGACGCCTCTTTTTATTGTCCCTAGTATTTTGAACCATTATCAGCCAAGACCAAATAGTGGCAAGAGTTATGAGTTCTTATTCCAACAGCAGGATAACCATCTCTTAAATTGTACTCACCATCGACACGTGAACGATTCTGGCAAGCCTTGTTGACGGGCTTCTCGCAAGGCCGCTTCCAATTCTTTTGGAGACAGTTCCTTGTCTTGATAAGATTCTGGCATCTTGGCGGGTGGCAATAGTCCAATTTGACACGCATGCGCCATGGCACTTGGAACCGAATGAAACCGTTTGCTTTTTAGCATCCAGAATTTGCGGCCAGTCTCATCCCATTGGACATGGAATTGTTCAGGAAGTCCTTGTTCTCTTGCTACAGTCAACGCTTGTTGAATCTCTTCCGCCGTTGGCTCTCGTTCGACAACGTCAACATCTTCTTGTCCGGTTGTGGACATGTTACTGTGTTTTTGTTGATCTTTTAGTATCGTTCGATGCTCAAACCTGCTCTTGCGTGCGGTCAATGCTACCCACTATCGTCTGCCCAATATAGTTTCTAGAGGAAGAAATAATGGTGGCGACAGACATGAGATGATGCGTTGATTGTGGATTTTCTCCTGTTTGTGCTTTAGCAATGACACTCGTCGTCGCTATATCGCATCAACGTTCTCTGTCGTATATTTTGCTGGCACCTTCAAGAGCGAAACTCCAAAGGTACTGACAAAGCCGCTTATGTTGTCTCGTCATGCACTTCAGGCTCAGTCAGTTAAAAAAAGAAGTAATGTAACAAGAAGTTAAAAAGTTCTGCAACAAGCTGTTCTAGAAAATTGATACCGAGAGATTCATTCGCCCACTGGTGCTGGCTGAGCAATGCAAATTGGTCCTCGTAAGAAGCTTCCTCTGCCTTGTTCTTTGATTCCAGCACTCTTACTATGGCACTGCTGCGGTAGTACTAGACTAGTAAGCATCCTACTGTAGTGTGGCATGTTAGCATAGACAGGCAGATACACTCTGTCAAATTCATTCTACCCTCCAACCTGAAGTCGCTGTCGACCGCCACAGGCAGGAACAGGTTGGAACTATAGGCGCCAATAGGATCTGTGACGCGCATGAAAGTGCAGTCACGGCAAGGATAAAAATAACGGTATATTTTGGCTGTAGGAACATATTGGAACGTGGCAGTTCTCTGACATCGCCACCACAAAATCTTCGTTTCGTTTCACAAATCTCAAATCATCTCCACGTGACACAAAGATAACTCAAGAGACACAAAACGAACACCAAAATCGCACTATCTGCTCCCCCACAACATTTTAAAATGGCTACTCACAACTCTCGATCCAATTCTGATCTTTCTGCTTCCTCTCAAAATTCGAATGAGAGGAGCCACGTTTCAGCAGCTCGAAAGCTTCGACGACTGAAACGCAAACTTCTGTTGGATTTCGTCAACGATGACACTAACAACAGCACCAATGATGACATTTCCACCATCGCCACCACCACCACCACCACCATGCATGATGAAAGAGGAATCGAATTGTAACCTCCTTCTTGCTGATGCCAATGTTGGTTTCCTCAACAAGGCAGCAGAACTCTCCTAGCACCAGATGTTGAAGATTTCATTCAGCAAGAAGATTGTAACAATTTTTTTACAGTACAAGGAACTGTTCTACAAACTGCTACAGACTGAGAGATTGATGGATTGATTGATTGATTCACTGGAGGTGGTGGTGACTAAGCAAAATTTGGTGGGAAGCTTTGTCTTCAATCACTCCTCTTCTCCCTTTTTCTTGATCTACATTTCTCGACCGTGATGAAACCATCGCGTAGCTAGTTATAGCATTCATAATAGATCTACACGTTATCACAGACAGATACACTCGATATTTATTGTACTCAAATACTGAAGGTGGATTCCCCTTCAAATTCAAGCATATCGTAGCTAATCTTCATCATGGAGGATATTTGCGATATCAGTATCATCGTGAAAAGTGATTTTGCGAACTGCACCAGCAGAACTCGAAAGTTACTAATAAATGAATGGATCATCTAACAGGTTCATTTCTCCGTATGTTTCTCCCATCCATGGTGGTAGTAAGTCGTCAGTCATTACGAACAAGCAACAAGATGGTTCAGTTATTATTATCACAGCTTCCCTTCTTGGATAAGTGTCAAATAGGGCAGGAGCGGGCCACGAGGTTATCAGGGATTCTCCTGAACACTGTACAGTTGGTACAGAACATGATTTTTTGATGTGTTTCCATGCGGTATCTTGGCGGTATATAAAAAATTGCACAGTGTGTGGAGGTTACAGACAGGCCATGAATTGTACACGTGTACGTGCACACGTGTACGTATGTCGACCGTCAGTTATTATTCCCTTCTTGGATAAGTGTCAAATAGGGCAGGAGCGGGCCACGAGGTTATCAGGGATTCTCCTGAACACTGTACAGTTGGTACAGAACATGATTTTTTGGATGTTTTCCGTGCGGTATCTTGGTCATATATTGTACAGTGTGGAGGTTACAGACAGGGACGGCCAACATTTACTCCCAAGAATTGTATGCTAAATTTCTATTTCCCGGCCGTTCCAGGCCATGTTCGTCAACCGGTACTGTAGCTATGCGTGTGTACGTATGTCGACCGTCAATGAAACACGATTGAGAATAGACGATTCAGTCTTGGACGATGATTGACCAGTCAGTCAGTCAGAAGAAGAAAAAACAGGTTTTTGATCAGAACATAACGACAGCTTGCGCATCTTCGTACATGTATCGTACTTGACACAATATCAGACATCATATATAATAATACGATACCGATATACAACACAAAAGGCAGTTTTTGAAATGGCATCTACCTTGATTTCCACAACAGCACCTGGAAAGGTCTTCTCATCGCGAAGCGAACTGGCAGAGCATTACAAGAGCGATTGGCATAAATATAACTTGAAACGAAGAGAAGCAGGCCTGCCACTGCTGGCAGAGAATGATTTTGTGACTCGCTGGGAAGCTGCTCTAGCACTAAAGCGCGAGAAGGATGCGAAGGCTAAGCGTGGAAAGGATCACATTAAAAATCCCGAAAAGAAGAATAAACAGAAAAGTGGAGAAAACAAGATTTCAGTCAATGAAAGCATCGCTGCCAGCCAAGAAAATCCTGAAATCAATCCCTATCAGAGTATCTTCGACTCCAAAAGCTTTGATTCCTTGGAAGAGAACGTTTCCTACATGAACAAAAACTATGGATTCTTTATTCCAGATTCAGAACACCTGACGGATCTCGAGGGTCTGTTGGGGTACTGTCACGAAAAGGTCAAGCTTGGTCACTACTGTCTTTACTGCAGTCGGGTCTTTCCAACCTGGCAAGGCTGTCAAAATCACATGATCAGCACCCGACATACAAAGCTACGGTACGAGCAAGGCTTTTGGGAGGAGCTTGATCCGTTTTACGACTTCACAAGGGATAACCAAAACTTTATGGGAGACAGCAATAACGACGAGAAAGGGGAAGAGGTTGCGTCCAACAACATCAAAAATATTGCTGTGACAGATGATGACGATGAAGACTGGGAGGATGTTTCGGAAACTGGTGATGATGACGACGATTCTGCGCGCGAGTTTAGAGGATACGAGAAAGAAATTGCAAGATTTGGATTGGATATCACTCCCCTTGGTGAGCTTGTTTTTCCAGACGGTCGTATTGTTGGTCATCGGGCACTTCACAAGTATTATAAACAGAACATTCGATCTACAGCCACAAATGATGCAGTTGTTGCTGCAAAAACAGCTGCTGGTGAAAGAATGTACGAAGGTCGGGTTGTCAACATCAAGAGTCCTCTGCCAGCTGAAACGAATGGTGGCTCCGGCAAAGGCATTCTTGTTCCGTTGAAGGGAGGTCCCGAAGCTTTTAGTGCTTTGTCTTTGTATCGCTACACGGCGGCTGTCAGGAAGCAGCGCGTAGACGATGACAAGGGACGTCGATTGAAGTATAGAACCACCCAGAACATGAATCGAATGGACAAGAAGGCAAATCGTCTGATGAATGGAGTCAGTGTGGCACATGCAGCAAGATAGATTACTTTATTCTAAAAATATTATGAAATACTATCGTGACAATCAAGCGACACTCGGATTATTTTGTGAGAGCAGTTGTGCAACGTAATTTTCAATTCAAGCCAAGCCACTATGACGAAGAAGAGCATCTGGTGTTGGTTCCCTCCCACGGAACTCCTTGAAAACTTCCATAGGAGGCACACCTCCACCCAAGGACAACACAGTATCGCGGAATTTCCTTCCAACTCTCTGAATTCCTTCCTCATTATCCAAACCTACATCCTCAAAGGCTCCAAAGGCATCTGCACTCATAACTTCAGCCCATTTGTAGGAATAGTATCCAGCCGAGTATCCGCCAGCAAAGATGTGCCCAAAGGCACAGAGGAAACGATCTTCCTCGAGTGGCATCGAATGTGGAATGTATTTTGCCGCAACCTCTTTTTGTACATCAAAAATGGTCCTTCCCTCTCCCTTTTGAGCCGCTTTGGAATCGAAAGTTTCAGAATGAAGTTCCATATCCATCTGACCAAAGTATAGTTGCCGACAAGCCATCATACCAGCATTAAATACTTTTTGATCGCATAGCTTCTGAAACATCTCTTCTGGCAATGGCTCGCCCGTTTCCCAGTGTTTGGCAAATCCATAGACCGTTGGACGATCATAGCACCAGTTTTCCATGAATTGCGATGGGAGTTCAACCGCATCCCACTATTTAAGAGACCAGCGGAGAGAACAAGAAAAATTGGAATCAGTTGTGAAAAATACAAGTCAACATTGAAGTATTCCAAAGCCTTACCTCCACACCATTGATCCCGGCAACATCACCAACGGTTGCAGAAGTCATCATGTGCTGCAGTCCGTGTCCGAATTCGTGAAAGAGTGTTTCAACTTCTCGGAATGTCATGAGCGAAGGTGTCTTGCCCACAGGTGGGGAGCCATTGCAGGTCAAATAGGCTACTGGAATTTCACGATTCGTTGCTTCTGACTTTCCAATGCAATCAGCCATCCACGCACCGCCACGTTTGTTTTCCGGTCGAGAGTATGGGTCCAAGAAGAAACTAGCAAGGTGCTTCCCCGAGTCCTTATCCAAGATCTTGAAGAATCGGACATCTGGGTGCCAAACTTCGGCATCCCCATCTGCTACTTTGACTTCAATGTTGAACAATCGCTCTACCAACCCGAACATGCCATCTAAAACGGCTGGTAATGCAAAGTATGGCCGCAATTCTTCATCCTTCATATCGAATTTGCTTTCCTTCAGGCGCTCACTCCAAAATGTAGTATCCCATGGCATCAGCTCTTTCACGTCTTTCAACTCGACTCCACCTTTTTCGCGCGCTAACGCAGTGATTTCTTCTAAATCCTTTTTCGCAGCTGGAACCGCTTTCGCAGCCATGAGATCGGTCAATTCCGTTACGGAATCCACACTTGGTGCCATTTTGGAGGCCAAACTGAGCTGGGCATAATTTTCAAAACCCAACATTTTGGCCATTTCCTGCTTCAGCTCGAGGATCTCGTAGATGAGAGGAATGTTATTCTTCTCATCCATGTCACTCTTTTCTGAAGCTCTTTGCAAGTTTGCCATGTACACTTCTTTTCGCAACTCTCTATCAGGAATGTGCTGAAGAGCGGGAAGGTAGCTGGGCATATCCAGAGTGATTCGCCATGGTCCTTTTTGAGGATTCATCTCGGGCAACTCTGCCACTTCTTCGCCTTCTTTTTGTTGCGATTTCAAGAATTGCAAGTGTGCATTCGCCCATTGTGCCTTGGCAGAGTCGGGAACGCCCTCCAACTTGTAGGCGTCCTCGGTTTCAACAGTCAAGCTGAATGATTTTGTTGCATCTAGCACATTGTTGGAGAAGTTGGTGGACAACGCGGCCAATCGGAGCTTAATTTCATTGAAGCGTTCCTTTTCGGCACCTTCCAAACCAACTCCTCCCAATCTCATTCCACGCAAGGAATTATCAATGGCTCTCTTTTTTTGCTGCAACACAAAGGGCGGATCGGAAGCGTCAGCCGCCTTCTTTTCAATGGCTTCCAAAGCATCGTACAAAGCTTTGGATTGTGAGAATTTAGTCATGGCTTGCACGACTTTAGGCTGATTTTGCTCGTAGGCCTCACGAAGTTCGTCGCCGTTCTTGACGCCATTCAGGTGAGCTGCGACTCCCCATGTGTAACCTAAGGGAGCTTGAATACGTTCGACAGCCGGCAAGACTTGATCGTAGTCAAGATCCAACTCCTTCTTAGAATCATCTTTTGTGAAAGAAGTTTCCAAAGTGGCAAAGTCTTGCTCAAGCTTTTTAAGCAGCTCTTCTACTGCAGGAGTTAGATGCTTGGGTTCGATACTTTCAAACTTTGGCAATCCTTCTTGCTCCAAAAGAGGATTGGCAGTGACAGTAGACGACATGAACAAACGGTTTGAAAGAGTGGCTGCAGCGACGCGACGAGAGGCACGAGGGGAAAATGCTCGCGTGGTACTGGGAGATGGAGCCAGGGATGCGATGAAAAAGACGGCGCTTGCTTTGATCTTCATCTCCTTCTGCTTTTTATGGCGACGTGAGATTTGTATCCTTTCACAATTCAGCTCGCATGAGACTGACTCACTCACTCACTCACTCACTCACTCACTCACTCACGCACATGGGCAAATTCGGTCAGCGACCCCGTTTTAACAGAACCAAGGACAGATCGATGAGTTTAACGGACGATCCTCAGTCCTGAGTCCGCCTGTCGTCCGTAGAGTGGCCATCGTCCGTTTTGACGAAATCCCTTCGACCAAGAGTAGCTATTCTTGCTTCGACTTATTTCCCTTCAATACTGTATTGCGTGGTGCACTGAACTGATGTGTACTGTAGCTAGCTTCCTCTCGTCATCATTAGAGCTGAGCACCCGACTCGTCATTGGACCTGCCTGCGGATCCTGCCTGTCCCATACATCATTGTTATCATTTCGTATTTTACCTGTGATGCCTGATTGCCCCTATGTCAAGTGAGTCCAACAACCGCCCTCAACAACCTTGTCTCAACTATAGTACGACACTTTCCTCAACTATAGTACAACACTTTTCTTGTTAGATTTTGCTTAATTATGACTTGAAATTGCAGCCCCCTTGATACCCATTGGGTTCCACCCCCCTTTACTTGGCGGGGGCAAGGCCGCCAAATCCCACTACCAGAACACGACTTTAACAGAAAGTTCGCGCAACATTCCGTTAACGGGGTCGACTGTCTGTACCTTTACTCTACAAGACTTGAATCATCATACGTCGACTCACTCCTGGTGGGTCGACCAACAATCGCGTGACAGCTGCAATCGCTAAAAAATTAGTCTTACAACCGCCACCAAAAAATCTGCTCTTCTTCTCACAATTCTCAAATCGTCAGCACAAAATCTGATCGAAAGACACACAACCTCAGACCCACAACACAGATATCCCATAAAAATGAATAGCAACACTACAACCATGAATACCTCCAAGAACAACAGCAAGATGGAATCTCACCTGAATCGATCCATCTCTGATCTATCTGCTTCCTCTCAAGGTTCAGCTGACAGCAACGTTTCAGCAGCTCGCAAGCTGCGACGCATGAAACGAAAACTTCTGTTGGATTTCGTGAACGATGATCCTACTAACAACGACACCAATGATTACAATGACAATGACGATGATGATGCTTCCACTGTCGTTATGAGTAATGAACGAGAGGTTCTATCCCTTTTCAGTTGGTCGGCGGACAACAACCCAAGATTGGCCAGTCAGCATTGAAATCAAAAAGCCAAAACCGATGAAGCACGACTACGCCTGGACACAAACAAGCGGAGTTTGGCAACATTGGTTTTGGACGACAGTCCCAGGGTGAAGAGAAATGTTAGAGTCAAGAAGTTTAAAGTGGAAGCAAACCTCTCTTAGTTGAGTCAAAATTTCAGCGATTATTGGTACTTTGGACGGCATCATCAGTTGTGCGATGCAGCTGATAGTCATTCATAGTCTGTCATGGAGGATCATCACTTACCAGGAAAACTTGCTCAGTTTCAAGGATCAGATTCATGATATATCTTACATAGTCCTTTATAATTCAATATAATATTTGAATAGCCACAGCACTAGTATTCATCATACCAGCAACAGTACTGGCCTGCAGTGTAGGCTTTTTCTCTCAGACTTGCACTCATTTTTTCACAGCCGCACTTCTCTTCACCAACAATATTAGCGTATGGTGTTTCGCGCGATCTTTGCATGCAACACCATCCGTCGACTGGAAACCTTTACAACCTGGTACCGGTACACGTACCAGCAGGGTACAGCATCGATAGCAAGAAACAAACCTTGCGCATTTTCGGTTTTTGGTTTTGAATCTTTGGTCTGGTCAAATGGGTCGACTTTGGACGGGATGGGGTCATTCTGAACGACGGACAGAACGCAAGAAAGCCCGAGGATGTGGTCGTGGTGTGTCATCATACCCATGAAAAAACAGCAAACTGATTGATTCATTCAGCGTCATCCTGATTGTACAGCTAGCTATCAACTAGCAATAGCTGCATCTCCATTCCTTGGCTAGACTAGCCAATCGATTGATCCCCTCGTTCACTCTCCAATATTCATCACAAAGGAAATTATGCTGAGCAACAGGGAACGTTCGCCCGTTCGACGAGCTCTTAGGAGGAACCGATCAGCCGATCAACATTCCCTCCTCCCCATGGTGACAACTTCACGGCAGGGGCCACCAAGGGGACGAGTATCTAGTGGAGATGAAGGTAGCGCTACTAGTACTCCGCGATTGCGACGAAATCGATCTGGCAGCGGCAGTGGCGATTTTGGTAATTTGGATATGTCACTGCCCTATGGGTCCAGCAAATACGCCAGCCGCAGGGGAGGTGTCGACACTAACATGATCCTCAAGATTGCCATTGCCGTACTCTTTTTTATTGGGATGGCCAAGTTTATACTTAGCACTGATCACACAGCATCCAAAGTCAGAGGCATCTATTGTCCCATGGAGTATCCCGAACCCTTTTCGAAATGTACTCTCCCGTTTGGCACCGAGTGTCCATTCCAGTGCATCAACATGCCAGTTTATACCAGGGAGGGCAAATGTACAGGTGAAGTCCAATGTACTCCAGAAAAACATTGCACATGCGACAAATCGAGGGGCGGAGAATGGTTTTGTTTTGGAGGAAGAACACACATGGATGATGAGTGCAAGCAACGCAATTATGAAACCTATGAACCATGTGTCTGTCCTCGAACATTGGCACAACGAACAACTCCATAAAATGATCAACAGCATCAAACAACAAGCAAGCAAGAACAAAATAGATAATCAACAACAGACTAACACACATCTTTCACCATTCGACTTCAGTACTTTTTCGCTCCAACCAGGTTTCGTTTGCGCTTCTTCGATATCAAAGTGCACGATGTTTGCAAGCATTAGCTGAAGGACTGCATATTTAGCAATATATTGATTCCATTTCTCTTTCAAAATGAATATTGAACTTCAAGTGTGGTACATATGTGTGCTCTACGACCACGATGCCAACTCTAGCCAGCACCAGCAGTACGAAGCAACCTCGTCAGAAAAAGTTGTACTGCTGGAACATCTGCAGAAACAGGATCAACTGGAGAAGCTTCCCCAACTAGGTCATCCTGACACTGCAAGAATGAGACGAAATCAATTCGACGACAAGGACATGCTCAAGAGGTAGGTGATGAAGGGCCTTTGTTCCTCTGATCATCTCAAGCAGAAGACAGCAGATCAGCATGACAGGAAGAAAATACTACCAGGTACCTGTGGTGAAAAAAAGACTCGATGATAGAAGCACCAACGCAAAGGTCGGAAGCAAATCATGTTCTATAAAAATTGATCTACCGTTTATATCTCTCCTCCAATTGAATGGCCAATGGTAGTTTTACAAATCAGAAATAATTAGCCCATTACTGCTGTTGCAGCCAACTCCATGATTGATTCCTTTTGCACAATTAAGCTAGAGGAAGGATGTCAGCAACGTTTCCAAGCTTATCATGGACCATAAGACCAAGGATTCCCATCATGGCAGCACGGCCTTGGTTCAACTCGATGCTGCGCTTTCTTCTCTTCCAATCATCGGATTGGCTGTCCCATCCGAAATCAATGAATTGGTTGCGGAAGTCACCCTTGAATTCGGCCTTGGATTCTCCTCCATCAATCATTCCCCATGGGGCCTTGAATTGATCTTGGTTGGCGGCTTCCATTACAGCCCAAGTAGCAAAGGCTTGGGCCCAGACCATGCCTGGAAGAGCATCCAACGCGGCGAATCCAGCGGGGATGTCTTCGGCACCAGGGAATCGGACACCAGCGTAGGTGACAAGGTATCCAACCACGGCAAGCATGGCAACACGTCCGTGTTTGAGTTCGACCCATCTCTTGCGCTCGAACTCTTCGAGTTCTGCCGCACTGACATTGGAAGGATCGGTACCGCAAAAGCCCAAGGGATCGTGAAATCCAAGAGGAAATTGGGCACCAATTTGTTTGGTCAAGTCCGCGTTAAGGGCAGTGGAGCGAGACGCTTGTTGTTGAGCAGGGGCAAAGGCGGCAGCACTGGCAATGAGGGAGGCAAGGATGGCAGTCTTCATTGTTTTAGATATTTTTTTGTTTGTTCTGGTTGGGTGCAACTAGGATATATTGTGAGGTTAAAGGCTTAGGAACTTGAACTTCAAGCGACAAAAAATGCTTTTTGAGCCGGCAATTTGAAGATCCAAGATACCTTGCGTGTTGCAAACGTACTTGTGGTACGGTACTGTAGGAATTGTGTGCAAAAGAACACAAATGCAGTGCGTGGCGGTGGGTGTCAACCAACAAACATGCAGGCGAATTGGATTTCGTAAAATGTTCCATAAGTAGCCATCTGTCAAACGAACATTCGTGACGTGCATAAAATATGGAATATTTGGCTGTGGATCTGTACCAGTAGATCTAGTGCAAGTTCGAAAGTGCAAGTAGGTAGGTTTGAGTGCAAGCAAGTCCCTCCACCAATGCTCAACCATCGATTGCCCCTAACCGCCAGCATCACCAGCCTTCCGTAGTTGTATCTTGTGATGTATGGCTCTTATTGGCTTAGGATTTATATGACATGTATGCACTCTTCTCAGGACGAAATTGAACCCCAACGATTTGCAAAACTAAAGCATCATGCCTTTGTAGTTTACTACATCTATATTGTGGCGGAAATGTGAAATGCATCAACTATATGTTACAGATTCTTTTATCTATCAAGGTAATAGAAAAATTATGGAAGGATGTCAGCAACGTTTCCAAGTTGATCATGGACCATTAGACCGGCAATTCCCATCATGGCGGCACGGCCTTGGTTCAACTCAATGGTGCGCTTTCTTCTCTTCCAAGCATCAGATTGGCTGTCCCATCCGAAATCAATGAATTTGTTGCGGAAGTCACCCTTGAATTCGGCCTTGCTTTCACCCTCAGCAGTTCCCCATGGGGCCTTGAATTGATCTTGGTTGGCGGCTTCCATCATGGCGGTGGTGGCAGCGAACTGGGCCCAGACCATACCTGGAACAGCGGACAAGGCAGCGAATCCAGCGGGAACGTCTTCGGCACCTGGGAATCGGACACCTGCGTAAGTGACAAGGTATCCAACCACGGCAAGCATGGCAATGCGTCCGTGCTTAAGCTCGATCCATCTCTTGCGTTCGAACTCTTCCACTTCCTCTGGACTGGCGTTGGTAGGATTTCCACCGCAAGATTCAGTGGGATCAAAGAATCCGAGAGGAGCTTGGGCGCCAATCTCCTTGGTGAGGTCCACACCGTTCAAGGCAGTGGAGCGGACTGCTTGATGAGCAGGAGCAAAGGCAGCAGCGCTGGCAATAAGAGTGGCAATGATGGTGGTCTTCATGATTCTTTTTGGATTTTGTGGCTGTCAAACTGGATCGATCGGCACTTCAGGGAAGAATTCACGTGCCTGTTGGTGGATCGATTGATGATCCTGCCTACTTGACGTTGAACCAAGATTTGACACCAAAAGATACCAACCAAAGGTAACCCGGGCGTGTCCGTCCTACACTGATTTGGAAATAGCGGGGGCTTCCGAATAAAGGGGTCAACTGTCCACCTTTTATATTAGCAAATGTTGCGGTGGTGAAATCTAGGCTTTATCATCGTTCATTCTATGTATAATAGTAAGTAATTTATTCATATTCGCCTTGCATGTATCGAATCAGTTTGGGAGTGAGGAAAAAGCTTACGCATACTACAACCTTTCCTGGAGCAACATCTCGAACCATTCGAGTTGAAAATTGGGTGCCAAAGGCATTGTCCATTTCACGCCGTCGATGTCGGCCTGGTTTTTCGCCTTCCCTATCAAAGTCGTCATCGTCGTCATCATCGTTTCGGGGTGTATTCATGGCTGGCAGTAGCTCATCGGCAATTATATCCAAAGCAATTTCTTCTTCGTTATCCTTGTCGGCAATGTCCTTGGCAAAGGTGTACACATGAAATCTGGGATAGGTATTGTGCATGTGATAAAATTTTTGGACATGTTTCCATTGCCACCACCGTAAAGCTCCCAAGTAGGTAGGCCCGTGCAACGGAAAGTTCATCAACACATGATCTGGCATTCCACCAGGAGGCCCCTTTTTCTTTTTCTTCTTTCCCTTCTTGAGCTTTCCCCCACCAATTCCTCCCGTTCCAAGATCCATGAGAAAGTCATAGGCATCCCCTTGAGACAAGAAAAATCGATCCGAGTCCATTCCAGAATTCGAATGGATGGACTTTTGAAAGTATTCAATCGCTTTGGGGTTCCAGTCGTTCGCTAATATGGTCACATTCTTGCCAATCTCCGGTGCTTGCTTTGCTAGAAGCAAACAGACCGCACCAACTCCAGAAAAGGCATCGGCAACTATGAGCTCTCTTTCCCCATCCCCCGTGTCGCTCGTTCCCTTCTTTTCGGCAGAAGCAGCAACTGACTTTGGTGGTACAGCGGATGGGTTCAGAATGTCCTGTATCAAAACCTGCCGTTCTCCACCCAGTCGATTGGACCAATAACATTCTCCAAGATGCAATTCAATTTTCACTCCATGTTCCACCACTGTCGTTTCCAACTTTTCAGGACCGGCCAACACGTCAAAGTCGTACGTCCGGTAATCCCCATGGACTTCTCCCACCTTGGTCACCACAGTTTCAATGGTAGGATTGGTTTCCGTAAGCACCTCTGCAATTAGTTTTCCATATGGTTCATGAATCGGCTTGAGATTAAAATGGGCAATGTGCCCAATTTGTTCGTACGAGGTGGGAATGGGAATTCCCATGGGGGTCAAGAGTTTGGACAAAATGTATTGATAGGAGAGCTGCGAATAGGAAACGTCCATGTCCAACATGGGTCCTCTTTGGATAGTCCCTGGACCGAGTTCCAACGAGTCTGTGAGGTGATCGATAATATCACCACCACCATTATCATTACCGTCATTGTTGACCGCTTCATTCGTTATCAGTATGAGTTTGTGAGTATCGCTGTGATCCTTGACCATTTTGATGCGAGGATGAACGTGCTTTGCAACTTCCGAGTTCTTTGCCAGATATGGTTGTAGCTTGGGGACGAGTAATGTAAGTGATTCCACAGGAACCAGTATTGTTGGAAACTCTAACTTTGGGTTGACGCTTGGGTGTTCTCTCCAGCCATCCAAAATGTCTTGTCTGTCACCAAGCTCCAAAGAGTCTTCATCCGTTCTTGAGGACGTCGCCCATCTGAATGTTGATCTTGTGACTTGGGCAGGATGAGTTTGTCGTATCCGGTGAGTATATGTGCGACTGCGGGGCGTGAGTGCCTGGGCACCTTTTAGAAGCGAGTGTGATGTTTGGAACATCGGCAGAAAGAAGATATAAGTTGCCAGAATGTTCCGCCGTCCTCTATCATTCATACTTTTTTCCTATTTAGTTTCTTTGTGAATCATATCATTCTCGCAAAGCGATATATCTGTGTCTCTCTCTGTGTGTGTGTGTGTGTGTGTGTGTTTGTGTGTATGCGTGTGCGTTTTGATCTGCTTTGTCCAAGTCGGCAGTGATTAGAAATTGACTTTCATCGACGTGTGCGATTTGATGTATGTATCGTGATCGTGACTTGATGGTTGAACTTCGTTTGGGTAGCGGTTGTCGGACAGGCGAAGCAGTGAGAGTATTAGAAAAATATGATTCATTGCAACAGTTACATGACATTTGTACAAAAGTGAATGCTACAATTAAAACAAACACAAATTGATAAAGGATGAACATTTCTGTTTCTACGGTAAACGTTCGAAGGCTGCAACACTTGTTGAAATGTTAAAATAATACCTCGAGGGTGAAAAAGAAACTTAGCACGGGCAGGATTTGAACCTACGCGGAGGAACTCCAACAGATTTCGAATCTGTCGCCTTAACCACTCGGCCACCGTGCCATACGGTTTGATACGTGAATGTTGCAGTTCAATAACATATTGTGCAGTGGTGCAAGTCTGAAATATCATGTAATTTTTACCTGGGTAAGAGCCCATGATTTTAAAAAAGACATGATTCCTCTATATGATTGACTGGTAAAAATTATAACATGCAGTGCCATTATTACATCCATTGCACTCTCCTACCACTTCCCCCACCACTACCTAGTACAATAAAAATACTAACAATAAAAATACTAATCTTACATGGCCATATCATAAATGTAGTCCGGAATCTCTTCCTCGTCCCCAACCATGTTGCAAGCCACCCCACGCAATCCCACCGTGTACAGCATTGGGAAATCTTCTTCATAAAGTTCTTGGAATTTCGCTTCGGCTAGTTCCAACAAGGTATAGTCCACAATGGTTTGTGCCAAAGAAGGACAATGAATGAAACTATCCGTGTAGGCGTCGTACCACCGCTTGGTGTACGCTTTGCTCTTGAGGGCCGACTCTTTCAAAATTTCAATCGTCTCATCATCAATTTCATCGTAAATTTCCGTTTCTTCGGCTGTTCGAATAATTTCGACAATTTCTTGTAGAATGATAGTGTCACGATCAATCTTGGAGGAGCCCTTTTTGGAAGCTCGGGCGGATTCTCTCTTGGCTTCAGATTCAGAAATAACTGGAACTTCCATGACTTCATCTCCGTTTTCTGCTTCTGCTTCAGTGGGTGCTTCTGGTTCGGGAGTGACAGGTTCTGCTTCTTTCTCCACTGTTGCTGGTTCTTCAGCAGTTGTTGGTTCCGCCGCTGCAGGTGCGGCATCATCCTCAGTGACACTAGATCCAACAGTCGTAGGGGAGAGGGTTGCCTCTGTGGGGTCTGTCGTCGTTGGTTCGTCCGTGTCACTCTTGGCCTTTTCTGGCTGTTGTTGTTGTTGTTGTTGTTGTGATTGTCCAAAGGGTGCAATGGGAAAGTTTGAATGCTTCTTGGCCTCATGCATGCGGCGGCCCGGCAATGGAGAGAATTTATCCAATCGACTGGTACGTTTTCCACGCATCTTCATGGGAGCCGCACCTGGAGCCCCGGGAACAATATCAAATTTTTTGGCACGTTCGTTCATGGCCGCTTCGTAGGCCCGGGCTCGGTCCGCAATGGTCATATTTTTAGGACCCTTTGGAGCCGGTGGCTTGGCGGCAGCCGCAGTTGGAGTAGTAACTTTCTTTTCGCCACCCTCCTTGAAGGCTGCAAATCCAGCCGCCTTGGGAACGGCAGTGATCGTTTTGGATGGTCGTTGTTCTTGCTTCTTTTCGCCACCCTCTTTGAAGGCTTCAAATCCAGCTGCCTTGGGGACGGAAGTGGGTGTTTTGGATGGTCGTTTTTCTTGTTCCTTCTTTTCGTCTCCATTCTTTTCAAACGCGGATGGAACGACCAGCTTTTTCTTTCCGATATTCAGTTTCTGTTGCACCACTCTCGGACTGGCAAATAGAGCAACGTCTTCAATGGCCTGCCGAGCACTCTTTCCAGCAGTTTTAGTAGCTCCAAAGGTGGCCCCAGCAACCTTTTTGGTGCCTCCAATGGTACCCCCCACGACAGTCTTGGTTGCTCCAAAGGTACCTTTGGCGACAGTCTTTCCAGCACCAAATGTTCCCTTGGCCACGGTTTTCGTAGCTCCAATGGTTCCCCCTACCACGGTCTTGGTCGCTGATTTGGTACCATCCACCATGGTTTTGGCGGTTCCAAAGGTAGCTTTCTTTAGCTTGGTTCCAATATTCCCAGTGGAAGCCCGGGATTCCCACATTTTTCGAGTGTCCTTGACGCTATTTTCTTCCTTGTTATCGCCAGAAGACGATTGCTCCGTTGCCGGAGTGGAAGCTCTGGGGGTGATGGATCTCATATTACTATGATACTGATATTTGGTGGTATTATTTGTGTGGTTGTCGTCTGGTTAGGTTGGAGCGACTGATTCCGTAAAAGATGAATACGTATACTGGAAGGGAAGCCTTTGGAGAGTCTTGGATTACTTTGGGATCTTTTGCTGCAAACGGAATGCTGTTGTAACGCTAACAACAGAGTGAATAGGTTGCTGAGTTTTAGGACGACAGCACTCGTCAAAACCTTTTTGGCCACCAGGATGATTTGGTGGCTGGATGTGATTTTCGAAGAAGAGTTCTTGACACATGGGCGAGAAGCCCGAATTAGGGGAGAGTTCCAAAAAAGCTTGATCATGATGCCAATAAGTGAAGTTGCACTTCTTGATTTAATTCTGGCGAAACAGATGTTAAATGAGAATACATCACGCCACCAATACTATTAAAGCTGACAGGCAGGTTTTGTTATCGCATTGAAATCCACGAATAACAAGGTTTGTTCTTCCGAAAAATTCTGAATAACGCGAGTGAAAAGATCTGCCCGGGACTTGATAGATCGCGACTCACAAACTACCTTACCAGCTCCACCACGACCCAACGGAATCGATGTGAAACGGCCTAAAACGGTCTGCACTGGCTTGTCATTGCCGGCGCTCTACGTAAAACTTTGGTACAAACATTTCGGAGTCACAAAATTTATCTGGGTCGAGTGCATGAACGGAAATGCCGACTCTTGTCTTGCCACAAATCTGACATCACAATATTTCCCACGACAGAGTTGTTTCCGTATTGCAAAAGTAAAAGTTCTACCACTACAAGCCGCCGAAATCACACTCAGAAGCATACCAGTGAAAAAAGTATCCGGTCTCTTGTAACATATTCACTTTTTTGAAATACACAAACCCACCTTTCCGTTGTCACCATGATGGTTCTTGCCCACCCCCCACACGCCGTTCCTCCCCATTCTTCATGGGGGGGAGGACCACACCAACAACTTGAAACTAGTATGGAAGAGGATGAACTTCAAGATATCTGTGATCATGTCCAACTCCACTCTAGTCAAATGATACCAACCGTAGAAGCTCGCCCAAATGTTCCCAAAGAGGTGCAATCACCGCCCCCACCATCCTCTGTCCAAGAACAAGAAGACCAGGAGCGGCAGGAGCAGGAGCAGGTTTCCTCACCGCAAGATAATGAGAATGGTGCTGATGATGATGATGATGACGATGACGACGACGACGACACGCCACTTTCGGAAGACCAAGCCCGATTTTGTGCCGTCAAGCGAGAAGCCATTCTGTTATTGTCAGGCGCTCACAAGTCTTGCAGCGGTGCCGAGCGAATAAAGGCCATGACTCTACTCGGAGCGCTCTACAAGGCCGAAACCAAGCATGATTTGGCCGTGTTGGGAGAAAAGATTCAAGAACTTTTGCAACAGAAAAGGGAGCAAGACGAAGAAACTTTGCGACAAAAGCAAGAAGAGGCCAACAATCGAACCCCCGAACGATTTTCGCGGATTCGGTCGGGCCTCACTCGCATGATGCAGCCAAACTCCTCGGATGTTGCCAGTGTGGCATCTCAGCCATGTCCACGAAGAAACGCAAGGCAAGACAATAATAACAATGGCCGAGGCTGGAGATTCTTTTGGCAACGCGGCGATGCCAATGAAGGCCGACGAAGACAGAGACATTCCCACGATGGCATTCATGGCCTTCAGGTGGCAACAGCTAGTGCAAATGCAGGTCGCAATGCTCGCATGCAAAGTCTGTCGGAACGACGAAAGATTTGGGATACTAGAACAATCTAAGAGACTCGTGTTCACTATCGTACAAGTGGCACGACGAGACACACAGACACATGCAAGATTGCAATGGATGGGACTGGCTTGTGCAGATGGCTCCGGTGTAAGTCGAAGCGAAGTAGCAGCTTGGCATACATAGATTTGTACTTTTATATATAGATAGGAATACTATTATTTTTTGAATACCACGAGACTAAACAGTAGCAATCGCAAGATGTTCCTAGTTCCATGCGATGGAAGGAAGGATTGGTTTAGACTGCACATGGTCTTTTCGATGGCAAGCATCGGCGACCCATTTCTGATGCCGCCACGATGAAAGAGGTTCCACCTTGTAGACGCATCATGGGATAGGGAATCAGCCGTTTGTGCAGTTCCAATACTTCGTTTGGCATCAAGGCCGCTCCAGGTTGGTTCAACGAAGAAAATCCGCAGGCCCACCACCACTTTCCACACGGTTTCATTTTGGTACCAAAGGCTTCCGTCCGACCTGGCTTGTCCATGCCATCATCGCAACAATGTAACACGACGTCATCACTCGTCTCTATATGATCACTATTATTATTATCATTCCACGGACTTTGAATGTTGGTGACATTGGAAAAGGGTGCTACCGTGTTTGGAATGTACCGGCTTGGACTGAGAAAAGAATCATGATGATTCGGAAGGTCCGCTTGATGGGGAATGGGTTGCCACCGGTGAGGAAAAAAGATCCATCCCTGATCCAATCCACTACGCAAGAGAGGCAAAATCTTGGGTTTGGTGTTGAGAATGGAATCGGGTTCGGTCAAGTAAAAGTACTGCCATTGACGTGCCGTTGAAGAACCAATCCACTTGGCTTGTTCTTGTGGAGGGAATTCATTCTGGAGTGCCTTTTGCATACCCAACAAGACACCTCTCGGTATATTGGCAGTAACTCGCTTGGTTTGGACCCAAGACTCTTCGAGTTGGACATAGGCCACTTGAGTGTCTCCGATTGCCAAGGACAGCGGATTTTTAAAATGACTGTTGCCACCAGAATCGTTGTCCAAAAAGATACCCTCCAATATAGTAAAAGCTTCCTTTACACGATCGGAATCAGATGGATGCTTGTACCCTCCCACCACAATGTGGCCAAACATTCCTACCTGAAGTAAGGAACCAATGGTAGCTGCCAAGGAATGCGCTGTGAGTTGATGCCCACGCTCCAATCCAACAGATGGTGGACTTTCGTAGGACTGAAAGGCAATCATGCCAATAGCTACTTTTTGTTGATTGGCTGGCTTGATCTTGGCAGTATTGTATCGGACCTTGTGCAGATACGTCTTTAGAATGCGCACCACTTGATCCGCCATGCCCGGGTTGGAATGCGACAAGGCCTGAAGATTCTTCCACCATTTACTCAAGTGCTCGACGGAAAAGTTGGTCCAATCCACAAACATTTTGTTTCGAGTAGTCTGGTGCTGCTGTTGTTGTTGTTGTTGTCGGCCATTACTGTCTTTCGCGTCTTCTTGGTGCTGCATTGAAACAGTTTCGTCGTCAATCACCTGGAAACAAGCATCTTCGACCGTCTCAATAGTGTCAACATTAATTTGGAGAAAGCTCTCTCGATTCATCAGCCAAGAGTCGGAAAAGTAGTCCAATCGTCCAAGATCCTGGGGAGATATCAAGAGACGGTTCCATTGTATGCCTGTTCCTTCTGGCTGGTTCAATGAGTCGTTGTTGGTCGGACTTATCCTGTTGGATGAACTAGTACTGCTACCGATGATGGAGAGGTTGGGAGAGTCCGTAAGTGACTGCATCTGATACCACCAGAAAATAAACGAGAACACCACACCTACAAGACAACGGCGAAGTCGCTTCCTTTTTTCATCATCTTTGGACCTTCGCCCAAAATGACCAAGGGATGAGCTCATCATATCAGTTTGATTCGCACTCTTGACTCAATGATTAATTCGGACACAGAGAATAACGCAGAGATTGATTCTCATGCAGTAATGCGTCTAAGAAAGAAGACAAGAGACCATGTTCAACAAGTTGGTTTCTGTTTTACGATCACAACACTGGGATTTGGCTTTGTATGTAGTGTCAACCTGCGATTGTCCATATTTTTTTATTCGTCAATCGTTCCGATGTCTGGTCGTCGTCGGTTTCAGATAAAGATCGTATCTTTTTCCGTTTCATGGAAAGCACCAATCACCTTCGTATGGTACTGTAGTGTCACACCCTCCATCACACAAAAAGATCTCCTTTCCTAGAACTACACATCTCAATGTCATCCTCCTCCTCATCTAGCGCATTACCGTCGTCCTATTCTTCCTTGAAAGGCAAGGTTGCCATTATCACTGGTAGTACCCAAGGACTTGGCGAAGCGACGGCACACTTGTTTCAAGAACGTGGGATTCGAGGACTGATATTGACGGGACGGAATGTGGAACGAGGTGAAGCGGTCGCCAAGAAGATCAATGACAAGCATCAGGCAGAAAATACAGAGGCGACGGGAAAAGATCGAGCGGTGGCGTACTTTGTCCAAGCCGATTTGAGAAAGATGGACGAAATTTCCAAACTCACCCAAGCGGCCGACGATCACTTTGGGACCCTACATATTTTGGTCAATGCGGCCGCTTACACGGGTCGTGGAAGTATTTGGGACACGACCCCCGACTTGATGGATGACATGATGGCGATTAACCTCAAGGCACCCTTTTTCCTCATGCAACGGGCCATTCAAATCATGGAACGCGACCAAATACAAGGCTCCATTGTCAATATATCCAGTACCGCATCCTATGGAAGTTTGCCCATGTTGGCACCCTACAGTATTTCCAAGGGTGCCTTGAATGTAGCGACCAAGAATGTAGCCTATGCCGTCATGAGAAGTCGGATCAAGGTCAATGCTTTGTGCATTGGATGGATGGATACACCAGGAGAAGATGATGTCCAAAAGGCAGTTCATGGCAAATCAGATGGGTGGCTACAAGAGGCGGAAGCCCAACAGCCATTTGGAAGATTGCTCAAGGTACAAGAAGTGGCCCGATGCATTGCCTATTGTGCATCTGAAGAATCTGGAATGATGACGGGATGTTTGATTGATTTTGACCAATCGGTGTTTGGTGGAGGACCAGCACCATGTCCTCCTCCACAACAAGAATGGGATCAAGCCAAGGGAGTCAAATATTCGTTTGATGATACTAGCCACTGGTGGTAGTAGCAGCAGCAGCTAAACAATCGAATCGGATTGCTTCCTTCTTTTATAAGCAGTGCTCCTGTAGCTAGCTAGCGAGTAGTACAATGATACTATAGACGATATACATGTGTAATCGAGAGTTGAAGAGTTTGTCGCATTCGAAGAAGATTCCCAGAAATCAGCACTATGCGCCATCTGGAACACTCTCTTCGATTTCGTCGCGACCCCTACAGAATATTTGGGAACAAGGGCGGGGTCGTGTGTACTGTCATGACTAGTACTGTAGGCTACTGTAGGCTACCGCCTACAGTACTACCTACTTCTTCAGCTGCAGAAGGTTGATTCTAAAACAATTCTTGAATATTTCAGAAGTGATCGCATGCCTTATCATATTGGCTATCCTTCAGGTGTCCTGTGCAATTGCAGCATGCCATTTGATCTGTTTCACATTGTCTGTATCTTTTGGTGTAACATGATGGATCGGTTCATACATTCTGAGGCACCTTCAAACCCGCAACAGATGCCAGTCCTGGAACAGGAGGCTGACCCAAAGCTAATAAGGACAGTATACATGTAAAAAAGTACAACAAGATGTGCCGTAGTAATTGAGTCTACTAGTTTACTAGCTACCGGTAGAACAGTCATTGAATATGACAAAAAAAGTTGTAGCAAGACTTGCGAAGACAAGCATGATTTCAGATTCCCAGCAGATGCCTGTTCCCACAAGCAGAAAATGTACAGGAGATGATACATAACAGATCTATTAGTTATACATCACCATCAACTGACATTGTCTAAGTAAAGTAATCAATCAATTTAGTTGACGTAAGCGGTAGGGTCAACTCCGGACTTGGCAATGGCAAAAAAGGTGAAGGTTCCGATGATGGATCCAACAGCAGAGAACCATCCTGGTAGTTCAAAGGCCAAGTCGTCAAACTCGTCAGTGACGGCAGTCATATCTGGGTTGGACTTGGCAGATCCAGTCAAGAAAGCTGGAAGAGTGGCTCTTTGCTTGCGCTCCAAGTCGGTAAGACCATCGTCGTAAGTGTATTCAATATCGGGGCGCTTCAATGGAACAATATTGAGTTGAGTGGTTCCAGTCTTGGAGTGGACTGGGGCAAAGGCAGATGCCGAAGCGAAAAGGCAGACAAGGGCGAAAAGGATAGACTTCATCATCTTGATTTCAACAGTTTTACGTTTGTGATGAGGAACCACAGAAAACGAAATTCGGGCAGTTGATTGCTACTAGTAGAGGCAAGGATACGCTACGACGTCACTGCAACTTGGGCGATGTAGGGGAGGAAGCATGGACAGTCATTCTCAGTACTTTGACTCCTGTACATTCTACTTCCTCCGTAGAGGAGCTACCAAAGAATGCCGTAAGATCGTCGAAATCGATCGATCGATTGAGGAACGTCCACGACATCATCATTCTTCCCTCAAAATAAATTCCCTCTTTGCCCGCCATCTTTATTTCCCCCACATCGACTCGATTGATTCATGTCGCCTTTTTCGAATTCCCAATCCTCAGCGCTGTATATATAACATTCCTAAAAGAAAGAAGAGAGTTCTGTTGACGCCTGTCTGACCGAACATTTATTCCCCTTCTTTCCGGTACTGTACGAGAATGGTAGGAAGGCTTGCTTCCCGGGTCCTGCCTGGATGTGGGAAGTTGTCAAGCGAACTTGCGATTTACGATAGTTGTGATACTGTACCACTATAGTACGTGGTAAGAAGAAAGCACACACACACACACACACAACCCAGCAACGACCACAACACACAAGACTAAACCACAAAACGGCAGTTGTAGCTTGACCTCTCATTATATTTCTCGAAGCTTGGAAACTAGAAAGAATCAGTAGTTGGAACAATTTGGAAAGAACATTCCTGCAATTCAATCAATCAATCAATCACTCAATTAATATCTAAAAATGAGCGATGACAAAGCCAAAAAGGTGAAGATTGAAGGCACGGAAAAGCTGGACAAGGAGGGTCTGAAAGAAGAAAGCGTCGATGAGGAGGATCTTGATGCAATCTTTGGGGACGAGGACGACTCTGTTCGGTTATCCAAGACCAAATTGGAAGGTTCCAAAAGTCAGCTCGATGTGGTTGTGGGCGATGGCGATGATGACGAGGAACTGGAAGATGATGACTCTTAACGGATCGACTTTATCTAGCATATCCTTATGGCTATGATTCTGCTAAAGCTCTTTGACGATCCGCTGAGAAACGCCCATGAGAGGCCATTCATTATTCATCATTACCGGCAGGCGCCTCTCTCATTTGTCAAGAGGAATATTTTTGATGAGGAATCCCAAGAGCACACGTATATCGGCTTCCCAACGATTTTTGTAATCATTGGTAACTTGGACATTAGGCGCAATGCACCGGTACGGCAAAGAAAAGGAGCACGTAGCTGCAATCTTTGCTGCTGTGAATCTTCAGATTCATTCATTCTTGGAGGTATCATTCTTCTCTTATTGTAAAAACGAGAATGGATGGTCTTTGACTTTCTCTGAATGTAACAATCGTGTATAGGTATATATCTTCTTGACAAACTATTTGATAGGTATAGATTTTTCTTGGATGAATTCAGGAGATGACATCAAAATCATTCGAACCTCCTGTTTCTTCCGGCAAAACCAATCGAGTTAGTTGGCCTTTTTGCCCCGAAAGGATGACGAGTGTGACACCTCGATTCGGTAAGCGTATGCCAAGAAAGCTATCTGAAAGGTGGTAGCACACCATGATGGCAAGAGCTTACCTACTAACCACATGTAAAACAGAAGTGGACTAACTCTCGATTGTACTCGTAATTAAATGCTCCAGACAGGACTAGTACTGCAAAGATAAGATCTCTTTGATGATGATTCATGTATACTAGAGCATCATAGTGTCTGTACAGAGTTCGACTATGATCAAAGGTAAAAATGATTAATCTAAAGTTTCCTATACTACAGTAGCTGGCTTGTGGTTGTTCTAGGAGCGCACCCTTGCCTTGGTCGATCGTCGCAATTTCCCAAACATGGACGGTGACTTTGGGGCGTCCATCATCATTGGCATTCGAAGATTCATCTTTCCAAATTTGGTGGTCGTCGTGGGGGACCCTTCCATGGTCGAAAATCGCGATTTCGTGGGGTTGCTGCTGCCTGTCAGAGACCACCACCCGCTATGCTGTGATGACGAGGAGTCGCTCGTTTGTGCCATCACCACCGTGGGTTTGATGGGAATTGCTGGAACTGTGCGGTTATTGATCGTACATGATTCGGCATCATCCATCATTTCCTCAGGTGGATCTTTTCTAATTCCAGAAGAATCGTTTTGATTCTTGCTAGTCTTTCTAGTGGTGGTCTTGGATGCTTTCGCCTTCGTGGACTTTCGCGACTTGGAACCTTTAGGTGTCCTTGGACTAGAAGAAGAAGAAGAATTTCTCATTTTCGGGCTTAGCGATATTCGCTTTTCAGATGATTGCTTCTTGACTTTGTCGGGAGACAAGCTACCATCTTGCCTTGATTCCTTGTTCTTGGACCTTCTTCTTTTTATGGACTTTTTGGAATCGGGAGAGCTGGGACCATCTCGCTCGTTCTCTTTGAATTTACCATTCTTGTTGGGAGTGGATTGATCTCGCTCCTCGCTTTTTGCTGAATCGCGAAGTGTGTTCTTGGTTTTAATGCTACTATTGGACTTCTTCTTCTTCTTGCTTTTCGATTTGGACTTGGATCCCGATCTGCTGTGAGAGGAATCTGGTTTTGCCACCACTGCAGGTTTCGAAGTTTTGCCTTTGCTAGCACTGCTGCTTCTCCTGCTGGACTTGGAGTCAAGGCTACGTGCGGAATCTTGCTTTGTCGCCAAGATCGGTTTGGAAATCTTTCCTTTGTCAGCGACACTTTTCGGTTTGGATGAAGATTTAATATTTTCCTTGCCCTTTGGTCTGAGTGACTTCGTCGCTTTCTTTTTGGAACCTCTAGGCTGCTTTGGTGGCTTGATCAAGGATACGGGTGTAAAGTGGCAGCATGAGCTGCTGCCATCGCTTTCAAAGATCCTAAAGCTGTCTTCACTCTCATCTTCCAGAATTGTCCCATCTACATTGCGAGGAGTACTGTTCAGCCATTTTTGATGAAAGTCGTCACCAAAGTCGTGATGCTTGGCAACTGGTCCTCCCGTCGTAGATCCACGTTCCGATGCAGAATCCACCGTCATTGTCAGAGTACTCATTGGAATCGAATGATTGGATACCACCAAATCAAAGCCTGAATCTTTTCGTTTAGGTCTTGTTTGATGGTCATTCGAGGAATGCCGAAAGGCTGGCGATTGCGGTATGCTCATGGACGGCGAGGCAGGCACCAAACATTCCGTCAAGGCGCTAACATCTCGATCCAAATCGGGGCGGAGCACCAGTGAAAAGCCTGAATCGCTGGTGTCGCATCGTGCGCGATTTCCAGCTGAAAAGCCCGAATTGTTGCTGTCACATCGTGCACGATTTCCAGCTGCTTGTGGCGACAGATTTTTACTGCTGCCCTTCAGTTTCCCTTTTCCAGTGGAAACTATCTTGCCATCGGCATTGGTTACATGGCGATGACGGGTATGAGAAGCATCATGTTCATCGTCATGCTCATCTGCCACTGTCACCTCGAGGAAGCTGGAGTTTTGGCTGCGACTGTCGAGGGTTTCTTCATCGAAGGATACCTCACTGACAATCGATCCTGTGCCATCCGTCTTCATTGTCATTTTTGAAAGTGATGGATTGGAGAAGACAAATGAGGTTAGATGTTTTGGAAAATGACGAGGGACACCTGTTTCCGTTCAAAATCGAGCTGTTGGCTTTTGTGAAGTAAATTGTGGATTGTGTGGCGTACAATTCTGGCGATTCACATGTAAATTTGTGACTGTTCTCAATGAAGAATGTTATTTTGGCAGGCTCTCACATTGTATTTTACGTGTGTTTTGCGTCATTTTTGTGATGAAGGTACTTATGGTTTTTAGAGTCGTTAAACAGATTTTCTGACACAACAAGCTCAAATGGGACTAAATTCGAAATTGATTCATCTTCAATCAAAAAATTTAATCGTGGGTCAGTTGGACAGATACAGTTTCTTTCTCTAAAAAAAGCGACTATTACAAACGACTTTCGACGAAAACTATTAGAGGCACTTGGGACCCAGCAAATTTCACGACCATACTTGGACTTAACCTCAGAGAGTTGATACTTTCATCGACAACATCAACGAATTGCTTTTCGATTTGAATTCACCACGAAGAGAAAACGAACGAAGGCCCATCATCTTGGCGTTTCAAAGGACTGGCTGACTCAGCAACGTTGCTAATTGTCACAAAGAATGAATGCCTGATACTTCTGAGCGCTTTATTCATTCATTCATATGATAAGATCGTTTCCAGAATCCATTCAGCCAACTTCAAAGCTGTGTCAAGTAAATCCGATGTCCTCTTCTAGCCAGATATTGGATAAGGTGACTATGATTTCACCAGCATCGCCAGGAGCAGCATCGCCGAAGGATGAAGACTTCAAACCTCAGCAGATTGTTCGTTCTTCCGAGAATAGCAAGCCTGCTGCTGTGAATCAACAGTCTCCGATGAAAAAATCGGATACGCGCACCCTGCGCTTTGCCCAACAACAGCGCATCAAGCCTATTTCGAATTCATTCTTGGCATCAGATAAGATACGTTCCGCTTTATGGTATCCAGTACAAGAACTCGAGGAACGAGAGAGACAGTGGAAAAATGAGACTCCCAACAACGAGATATTGAAGTGGGAAGAAGGGTTATTCTTTTTGCAAATGTTAGATCGCTCTCATATGGAAGCACCGCAGGACGATTGGTCACCGAAACAAGAAGAACGTGTACAACGTGCCATCAATGCCGTCCTTTCTGAACAAGGGAGACAGAACCAGCAGTTGCAACTTCAGCAGTTGCAACTTCAGCAACCACATCAACAAAAGCCCGATCCAACTCCTACTGAAATTGGGATATCAGCGGAAGAAAAGGATAGATTGGGCAAAAGGGATCAAACTCCCTTGTTTATGATTGCGATCCAGTACAGTTGGCACACTGGAACGGCGGCAGGAGCTGCCAAACATCGAGCAATTCAATTGGCAATGGAAATTCAGAGATTGTGGCAGGATGAAGACACAACGGCCACAAGGAAGGAAGAAGATGGGCAAGATAAGGTCTCCATTCAAGACGAGGAGGAGAAAAAGGAAGAAAAAGAAGTAGGCAAGGTGCAGCAAATGGAAGATGAACCCGACAGTATTGAGAAAGAAGACACTTTCGAGGAAGAATCTTCCGTGGATTTAGGAAACCTTCCTGAAAAAAACGAATCTGTATCAGGAAGATCTCTAGCGGACGGATCGGATGAAGCTCCAAAACCTGTACGACCTCGAGGAATTTTCAGAGGAAATTCTGATCACTCAGCACTGTCCGATATTGGTGGTCTACAGAAAAAGGGAAGCAGCCGCAGTGTGTTTAGCAATTCTTATTCTGATCCCTTGCTAGACCCCGAAGACTATCTTGGTGATTGGGTACACTTGGCGCTACCTACCAAATTTGCTGGCAAGGAGCATCCTCAAATTTCGGCCACTCTGAAGAAACAACGAAGTCGGGCTCGTTTGTCCGCAAGGAGCTTGGCCCTCAAGGAAGATATTCAAGTGAGTGGTACCAAAATGAGGAAAAACAATGTACTCAAAAGTATTCACGACCGGGGGGCCATGGCGTTGGACAAAGGGGGACGAAAGGAGGCATTTCAAGATTGTGTGAAAAAACTGATTACCCTGAACCGATTCTTTCAATCAGTCGAGGGTGTATCCAAAGATAGGGCTTTGGATACAGATAAGAAGAAGTTTTTGGAAGCTATTGCAGCCAAGAAATCAAACATATTTCACAGCATGGAAATTCCAGATAATATTCACGAACCAGCAGAAGAAACGAAGCTAGCAAATAAGGGAGCTCCCATCCAAGTCCATAGCATCTTGCTATCACCCGCCATCAAGGCATTGCGACCAAAACACAAGGTTGTATGGGGGGAGAAATTGCATCGGGTCAAATTCTTTCCAGAATTTCCACTTCAATTCGAAAAGGAAGAATACTTTTACACCTCCGAAGACATTAGCCGATTCCGTTTTGAGAAGTTCATGGAGGATAACAATGACGAATACGAAGAACAAGTTATGGGTTCTAATGAAGAGAAGGAGTTAGAAGCCTTGAATGAGGAGGGCGATGGCGATGAATCTTCGTACGAGTACGAGTCTTACGAAGAGCTTTCGTATCACTCGGACTCTGATGAATCGTACTATGAGGAGGAATTAGCCGAGCCAGTTCGAGACCTGGCAAATCTGTCCGAGACCCAATCCGTGTCTAGTGAGGGTAGAAGATTGAGTCTATAATGACTGTAATGTAACATTGGGGAAAACAAATTATTTATACAAATCATTGTCGAGCTGTTGATGCACTTGGGATCGTGATGGTATAGCATTCCTTTGTGAAGAATGCTCCAATCTCGCGTTTCTACTTGTAAAAAAAAGATTGAAACGGTCATTCCATAATCCAGAGAGATCTGAAGCTCAAGTGAGTCAATGCTTGAGAGCAGGCTAGGATGATAACTCTTCAAACAGCTCAAGAAAGGTTTCGGAGGCCTGTGCTCCTGAGAATGCATAGGGACGCGACTTGCCCTGGTCATCCTTTCCAACTACAAAGAAAGGCACACCCTTGATGCCATATCGCTGGCGGCCTGTTTTGATTTCTTGTTCCATACCTCTTTTGCCTTGTTCCTTTGCAAGGTATTCGTGGAGTTCGGATTCCTTTTCTTCTGGCAACCCCAACTCCTTTCCAATTTTCAAAAGAGTTTGAACATCTGATATGTTCTCACCATTCTCATATTCTGCTCGGAACAAACATTGATTCACCTCGTCAGTACTACATACTTCATTTTTGTGGCAATACTGAACCAACTGGTGTGCTCGTGACGTGTGGGGCCACCATTTCCAGTCTGAAAATTGTGCTCCATCTTTCCTGCCCTCCTGCTTCAGGTGATTTGTCCAACCAGCCCCTCCCCAACGACGTCTACAGTAGTCGTCTACAGTTTCGCCCTTTGGATCAGTATTTGGATCGATCATGAATGGCTTCCACTCCACTTTCACCGAGTCCTTCTCTGGAAATTCAGAGAGTGCTTTGTGGAGACGCTGTTGCCCCACATAGCACCAAGGTCAGGCTAAATCGCTGTATACGGTAACTTTGATACCAGGAGAGAAAGAAGCTGATGATGTCATGGCTGCTGCGTCAAAGTATTGGAAGCCAAAGATTGCCAGAAAGGAAAATGAAGATCTAAGCAGATAATTCTTCTTTCCAACTTGCATCCTTTAGAGTTCGTAAGAAATCTGCGAGATGATCATCGATCATCTCTTTTTTTGTTTCAGGTTGGTTGGGTTGGTCCTTCCGTCGTCCACGATCGAACGAGTCGCATTTTGGCGATGAAAATGTGAGCGATTATTGGACTTTAAGTTTTCAGAAAACATCGAAAAAAACAACGACAAGGAGGCTCCCAATTTCATTCCACACCCAAGCAAGCAATCTATCCATACTATACTTGCTCATCACGACGTACACCACAAAATTTGAAGCAAAGCAACAATGATCAAATTCTTCCATCGAACGAGAATACTCTTCGCACTGATCACTCTTCTTCAGCTGCCCAACCATTCCGCGGCGGCAAATCTCATGGTGAACTTTTGGAGCGTCAACTTGGATCGCTCCCCTTATCCACATAAGAGTGTTGTCGTTGGGGATTCCATCACTTTCAAACTGTTTGGTCCTCATTCCGTTTGGATCCACCCATCTGGGAATTGCGAGGATACCAATGGTCGTTTCGAAGTTGGAGCTCGCGGTAGCGACCTTGCAAAATATATATTCACACACAAAGATGCTGGAAAAACATTATTTTTTGTTTGCAATTCTGGGACGCATTGTGAAAAGGGCCAAAACATGCGAGTGACAGTATATGGTACTTTGGATAAGACTCCTGCTCTGGATGGCAAAATTATCATATCGGCGAACGGCTTCAGCAATGCCCAGCGTAAAATAGGAGCTGGTGCTCTATCATTTTCGTTGGCTGCATCAACTATTATTGGATGGATGTTGATGTCTATCTAGACGAAAAATCGAACACAGCATTTCTCGAGCATTGAAACGGCTGAGAGGTGAGGGACGACCTGGCAGGTTCCGAATGATTTATAACTCATATATTGTTGGTTCAATTTGAGAACATCAAGCAAACAACACAAATCACTAGTGTCCTTTGAGGCGCCGCCCGCATTCCATAATTGAACTATATTTGATAACGATAGAATCATTTGTCCTGCTCTCCTCTCCTCCTTTTATGCATAACGTACTGATCTATAGCCCAAATGCATACACTACTGTACCAATAAACTTCACTACTGGTATTGAGCAAATTCAAAATTCTGCATATATTTTATGTGATGGACCGCCAACTTTTTTATTGAACGACGACTGATTGATTCGAACAAGATCACACACTTACACGGTATTCACTTAGAGAAGTTTCTGACCTAGCCACACGGGAGCCATTTTACACTATAGGTCCAGAACAATATCTTCGCCACGAATTTCCCCAAAGCGCTGCAATCTGTCTGTTTCCGTGATTTGGCAAAGAAGTTTGTAGGAGTTTAAAATCCTTTTGTCGCATACCTCTTGTACCATGTGTGCCGGGTACCGGTACCGGTGCTGTACAGTACCTAATCAACGCGACTTCACGCGCGAATTATGAATGAGTCTGATTGGGCTTCTAAATTCGGCTTGAATTCGGCTTGAATTCGGCTTGAACCATCTTCCCAAACTTTCCAATCATCAGAGGACTTGTGGGATTTTTCGCCTTGCCGAAGGAGCCGGATCTTACTCCATAAGTCTCGCATTCGCGCATTTCCTGCAATACCTTAGAAGAAAATGACATGCGGGATAAAACCGCCGCGCTCATCTCATTCAAGTCATTTTAGATTGATCGCGCGCTGTGGACAGCAATTAATGGATTCACCGTAAGGCTGAAGTTTCGCACCAATATATATGTTAGTCGAACGAACGGAAATACTGTTTGGTCCTATTTGTGGTTCAGTGTTTTTGGTGGGAAGTTGCAACAATCATATATCTTGTGAAGCAGAAAAAAACGTGACCTTGACGTATCGTCACAAATTTCTTTCCTCGAAAAGATCACATTTCACTTTTCATCACATCGTAGAAGATGGAAAACTCCGCTGTTCAATCCTATACCGAGGAATCCACTGATGAAGGATCTCGATCAGCAACCATCATTGCTGGCAATAAAGAAACGAAGGCTCTGAAGTCTATTCGATTGGTTTCGATCTTCTTTCTATTCTGTGCTATCCCAATCGCAATCGCGATTTTCATGTACACCAAGAATAACGAAAGGGAAGAGTTTGAAAGCCAGTACATTGAGTTTGCCAACAAGGTTCTCGAGTCCATTGGAACAACTCTTGAGAACTCCTTCGGTTCACTGGATAACCTTGCAACTTCAGTTGTTGCCGCAGCGCACGCTGCCAACCAGACTTTTCCAAACATTCGTGTTGCCAACTTTGGCATCCATGCCGCAAAGACACTGTCGCTTTCCAGAGCCAAGATTCTAGTCATGTGTCCAGTGGTAAAAGGTGAAGAGTTTGAAGCATGGCACAATTGGACCTTACAAGAGGGTCGAACTTGGGTAGACGAGACCGTGAATGTACAAAAGTCTGACCCCAACTACTTCGGACCCATTGTTGAAGAGTATTTTACTCGTGATGAAATTCATACTCGAAGTGGTGCTACTGAAGCAACGTAAGTCTAACGGAATACCCCGAGAGTGTTTTCCTTGTTATGGTTCTGTCTAACAATAATTTCCTTCTTCTCCAATAGTGGTGTTGCCCTTCCATCGTGGCAAGCGTACCCGATTGTACCTACATGGCCTCCTTACAACTACGACTACATCACAGGCTTGAGCTATACCACGGCTCACACTGAAATGCTCGAGAAGGGATCCATCGTCATCACGGCGCCGTATCTGAACCCTGATCCCAACGATGAAGCTGCAATGAAGAGTGCGATGTCAACAGCCGATTGGCTGTCCGAGCGCTTGCATCCAGACGAAGAGCCACTTGAGCCAGCATCTGATCTCTACTTTCCAGTCTTTGATGACTTGGACACATTTGAAATTGACACAAGCAAGATGTCCCCAGTTGCCACCTTTGGCGTTACGTTCTACTGGCGCGACATGATTCGTGATATCCTTCCGGAATCTGCCAAGGGTATCCTTGTCGTGGTCGACAATCCGTGTTCTGCCTCCTTCACGTATCGCCTCGATGGACGCGAGACCACTCTGCTGGGACGGGGAGATCAGCACGAGAGCAAGTACGATGATATGGAGCTGACAAGTGTCATCACAGAGCTGAACTCCTTCCGCATCCGGCAAACAACATACTCTGGACCACAGCTGGATGACGAGACTTGTCCGATCTCCTTCCGTATCTTCCCATCTCAAGCCACAGAGGATGAATACATTACCAACAATAGCTGGTTATACAGCGGCTTCACAGTGTTGCTCTGTCTCACGGCTGGACTACTGTTCGTACTGTACGATCGCTATCAAGAGCGTCGTCAAATGGCCTTCAGGGAGAGCGCTGCAAAGAACAATGCCGTGGTATCAGCATTGTTCCCCGCTGCGATCCGAGAGAAGCTGTATGCGAACCAGCAGCTACAGCGAGAGATGGAGAAGAAGGGAGGCGGCATGAAAACGCTCGGTGTGAACAACGCTCCGATTGCTGAGCTGTACACCGACACGACTGTGTTGTTCGCCGATATTGCAGGTTTCACGGCATGGGCATCCACAAGGGAGGCATCCGATGTGTTTACATTGTTGGAATCGATCTACTTTGAGTTTGATATGCTAGCGAAGAAGTACCGCGTGTTCAAGGTCGAGACCGTTGGCGACTCGTATGTGGCCGTTTGCGGTTTGCCAGAGGTAAGACGAGCAACGCGAAATTGGCATTTTGCGATGCAATCCTTTTGCACTGTTCTCACTCACTTGGTGTCTTTGATGGATGTAGCCGAGAAGGGACCATGCTGTGGTCATGGCGAAATTCAGTGGTAAGAGCCGAGACAATTGATTGTGTACTTCTAGTATCGTTGAATGTTGGCCTTGTCTCACCCTATCTTGATATTTTTGATCCATGCAGCCGAATGTCGTGACAAACTGGTGATTCTTACCAAGGAACTGGCAAAGTCGCTTGGTCCAGGTACCGAGAGCATCACAATGAGATTTGGACTTAATTCGGGACCAACTACAGCAGGCGTGCTTCGAGGGGAGAAGAGCCGCTTCCAATTGTTCGGTGACACTACCAACACCGCAGCGAGGATGGAAAGCACATCATCACCGAACTGTATCCAAGCTTCGCAGAAGACGGCTGATCTTTTGATTGAGGCTGGGAAGTCCGATTGGATCAGCAAGCGAAAAGATTTGATAGCCGCAAAAGGCAAAGGTAGCATGGTTACTTATTGGATCAATCTCGGCGAAAAGAAGAACAGCGCATTTCAACCAGATAGTGCTCAACTGACCATGATGTCTGGTGTGACCGAGGACAGACTTCAGCATTTGGTTGACTTCAATGCAGAGATTTTGGAACACCTCTTACGAGATCTCGTTGTATACAACAGCACCAGTGATGGTCCCTCGAATCGAAAAATGATGAGCCGAGAAGATTCGAAGGAAGAAATGAAAGGATATGGCTTTGACAACACTTCCCCGCGAGAAGATATCGTGGAAGTTATTCCTATTCCAAAGATGGAGCCAAGCCAGAAGCAGAAGAAGCAAAAGACCTCGGCTGGCAAATCATTGGATGGGAAGGCGAAGGATCAACTTCATGACTTTGTCTCCCAGCTTGCTCACTATCATTCCAACGACAACCCCTTTCACAACTTTGACCATGCCACTCATGTGGCGATGTCTGTGCGAAAGCTCCTAGCTCGTATCTTGAAGCCATTGCATCAGCAAGAGGGTCCCAAATCCAGCAAGGGTTCAAAATCCATGACTTCAAAAGCTGCCAAGTTCGACAAGATTCTACGCAGTACGTATGTGCTGACATCGGACCCACTGATCCAGTTTGCAGTGTACTTTTCGGCTTTGATCCACGATGCAAAGCACCCAGGTGTGTCCAACGGAACTTTGTCGAATGAAAAACATGAGATGGCGATTCGATTCGACCACAAGAGCTGCGCAGAACAGAACTCTGTGGTTGTGATTTGGGATCTATTCTTGTCGGATCGGTATGATGCTTTACGAGACGCCATGTTCGGGGGCAACATGGAACGCTTGCGTCGCTTCCGCCAGATTGTTGTGAACTCGGTGTTGGCCACTGATATCTTTGATCGCGAGCTTCGAGATGTCCGTGAACGCCGATGGACCAAGGCCTTCCCAGATGACGATGTATCGGCATTGTCGCTTTCATCTCAAGAGATGGACAGCATGGAAGGCGACCTTCGAGCAACAATTGTGATTGAGTACATCATCCAAGCCAGTGATGTTGTGCACACGATGCAGCACTGGACCGTGTACCAGAAATGGAACAAGCGCTTGTTTTGTGAGATGATGTCGGCGTATCAAGCCGGGCGTGCGGACAAGGACCCCAGCGAGGGGTGGTATGGCGGGGAGCTTTGGTTCTTTGACAACTACATCATTCCGCTTGCAAAGAAGCTGAAGGAATGTGGTGTATTTGGGGTATCATGTGACGAGGTCTTGGACTATGCCCAAGACAATCGCTTGGAATGGGAGCAGAAAGGAAAGATGATCATCGCAGAATGGCAGAAAGAGCTGGAGCGGGACGACGAAAGTAGCGGCCAAATTGGCACTCGGTCAACTGGGGGAGATACATGTGAAGAGTCGTTGAGCGCATCTTCGAACAGAAGCAATTGATGGCTCAGCAAGCATCTGACAATTTTGTAATTCGTTTTCATGTTCTTGTTACTATCTGTTTCTTCTTCTCCTATCTATTAGTACTTGTCAATATGGGATTCGTAGCAGTTTTTCATTCATTCTTCGATCAAAATGGCGATCAAAGGAAAAGAAAGGGACAACGATGCCTTTGTATCAACTGGTACTTTTCTTGCGACGCTTCAAATTGATCTCCCTAATATTTTCAAAGGATGGTTCATCTCGTTTAGAATTCTTTAGCGGTCACAAGGACAAGTAGAGTGCTGTAGCACACACAGCAACGAGATTTGATCCCATTTTCTAATCTGGATTTTTTTACCACGACAGAAACCATCATATTCTGTTCTTGTGACATCAGGAGCGGAGAAATAGAAGGCTTTTCACGGAATTCTGTGAAAGAGGAGTATGATATTTTTTAAAAGAATCATCAATAAATCATCAGCTATTTCTGGTTGAAAAAGTTTGTTGCGTGGCAAAAGAGGATGTTCTTTTGACCACGTGGGTCTTTACTGACTCGAAGAGGAGGGCCTTTTTTATCTATATATCGAGCGCCAATTTATTACGGGTTGTAATGGACCGACTTTCGTTTCCCCTCCAACACCAACAATTAATGGAGGCAATGAGGGTATTTTGCGTGACCAAAAGCTTTTCAGTTCTGGCGAAAAGCAAAAAGCCGGCGTAGATTCATGCTCCCACTCACAAAAACCAACATTGTCCAAACTTACAAACAGCACACCGAGGACCATGGACAATTCATGCCACTTCTCGCACGCAGATGGCAGCACCAGCGATAGCACTTCTTCGCATTTCACCGCTGCGCAAAAAGAGACAAGGGGACTCAAGTCTGTTCGATTGGTTTCGATCTTCTTTCTATTCTGTGCTATCCCAATCGCAATCGCGATTTTCATGTACACCAAGAATAATGAAGGGGAAGAGTTTGAAAACCAGTACATTGAGTTTGCCAACAAGGTTCTCGAGTCCATTGGAACAACTCTTGAGAACTCCTTCGGTTCACTGGATAACCTTGCAACTTCAGTTGTTGCCGCAGCGCACGCTGCCAACCAGACTTTTCCAAACATTCGTGTTGCCAACTTTGGCATCCATGCCGCAAAGACACTGTCGCTTTCCAGAGCCAAGATTCTAGTCATGTGTCCAGTGGTAAAAGGTGAAGAGTTTGAAGCATGGCACAATTGGACCTTACAAGAGGGTCGAACTTGGGTAGACGAGACCGTGAATGTACAAAAGTCTGACCCCAACTACTTCGGACCCATTGTTGAAGAGTATTTTACTCGTGATGAAATTCATACTCGAAGTGGTGCTACTGAAGCAACGTAAGTCTAACGGAATACCCCGAGAGTGTTTTCCTTGTTATGGTTCTGTCTAACAATAATTTCCTTCTTCTCCAATAGTGGTGTTGCCCTTCCATCGTGGCAAGCGTACCCGATTGTACCTACATGGCCTCCTTACAACTACGACTACATCACAGGCTTGAGCTATACCACGGCTCACACTGAAATGCTCGAGAAGGGATCCATCGTCATCACGGCGCCGTATCTGAACCCTGATCCCAACGATGAAGCTGCAATGAAGAGTGCGATGTCAACAGCCGATTGGCTGTCCGAGCGCTTGCATCCAGACGAAGAGCCACTTGAGCCAGCATCTGATCTCTACTTTCCAGTCTTTGATGACTTGGACACATTTGAAATTGACACAAGCAAGATGTCCCCAGTTGCCACCTTTGGCGTTACGTTCTACTGGCGCGACATGATTCGTGATATCCTTCCGGAATCTGCCAAGGGTATCCTTGTCGTGGTCGACAATCCGTGTTCTGCCTCCTTCACGTATCGCCTCGATGGACGCGAGACCACTCTGCTGGGACGGGGAGATCAGCACGAGAGCAAGTACGATGATATGGAGCTGACAAGTGTCATCACAGAGCTGAACTCCTTCCGCATCCGGCAAACAACATACTCTGGACCACAGCTGGATGACGAGACTTGTCCGATCTCCTTCCGTATCTTCCCATCTCAAGCCACAGAGGATGAATACATTACCAACAATAGCTGGTTATACAGCGGCTTCACAGTGTTGCTCTGTCTCACGGCTGGACTACTGTTCGTACTGTACGATCGCTATCAAGAGCGTCGTCAAATGGCCTTCAGGGAGAGCGCTGCAAAGAACAATGCCGTGGTATCAGCATTGTTCCCCGCTGCGATCCGAGAGAAGCTGTATGCGAACCAGCAGCTACAGCGAGAGATGGAGAAGAAGGGAGGCGGCATGAAAACGCTCGGTGTGAACAACGCTCCGATTGCTGAGCTGTACACCGACACGACTGTGTTGTTCGCCGATATTGCAGGTTTCACGGCATGGGCATCCACAAGGGAGGCATCCGATGTGTTTACATTGTTGGAATCGATCTACTTTGAGTTTGATATGCTAGCGAAGAAGTACCGCGTGTTCAAGGTCGAGACCGTTGGCGACTCGTATGTGGCCGTTTGCGGTTTGCCAGAGGTAAGACGAGCAACGCGAAATTGGCATTTTGCGATGCAATCCTTTTGCACTGTTCTCACTCACTTGGTGTCTTTGATGGATGTAGCCGAGAAGGGACCATGCTGTGGTCATGGCGAAATTCAGTGGTAAGAGCCGAGACAATTGATTGTGTACTTCTAGTATCGTTGAATGTTGGCCTTGTCTCACCCTATCTTGATATTTTTGATCCATGCAGCCGAATGTCGTGACAAACTGGTGATTCTTACCAAGGAACTGGCAAAGTCGCTTGGTCCAGGTACTGAGAGCATCACAATGAGATTTGGACTTAATTCGGGACCAACTACAGCAGGCGTGCTTCGAGGGGAGAAGAGCCGCTTCCAATTGTTCGGTGATACTACCAACACCGCAGCAAGGATGGAAAATTCATCTTTGCCAAATCGTATCCAAGCTTCGCAGAAGACGGCTGATCTTTTGATTGAGGCTGGGAAGTCCGATTGGATCAGCAAGCGGAAAGATGTGGTAGCTGCTAAGGGCAAGGGTAACATGGTTACTTACTGGGTAGAACCGGGCGGAACGACCAGTCGAGATTCTCTATCAGATAGCCGTTCCTTGGCGTTGAGGCAGTGGGGTGTGCCTGACGACAGACTTCAGCATTTGGTTGACTTCAATGCAGGAATTTTGGAACACCTCCTACTTGATCTAATTGTTTACAACAAAACCGAGGACTCAACACAGGTAAAAAGTGATCCGAAGTCTATCAGACGAGAAGATTCAAAAGAACAAATGAAGAGCTATGGCTTTGACAACACTTCCCCGCGAGAAGATATCGTGGAAGTTATTCCTATTCCAAAGATGGATACGAACCAGAAGACACCAAAGCGAAAGTCAGCAGATCAAGCCTTGGGTGAAACGGTCAAGGGCCAACTTATTGACTTTGTGACTGAGGTTGGGCGCCATCATTCCAACGACAACCCCTTTCACAACTTTGACCATGCCACTCATGTGGCGATGTCTGTGCGAAAGCTCCTAGCTCGTATCTTGAAGCCATTGCATCAGCAAGAGGGTCCCAGATCCGGCAAGGGTTCAAAATCTGTGACTTCAAAAGCTGCCAAGTTCGACAAGATTCTACGCAGTACGTATGTGCTGACATCGGACCCACTGATCCAGTTCGCAGTGTACTTTTCCGCTTTGATCCACGATGCAAAGCACCCAGGTGTGTCCAACGGGACTCTATCGAATGAAAAACATGAGATGGCGATTCGATTCGACCACAAGAGCTGCGCAGAACAGAACTCTGTTGTTTTGGTTTGGGATCTATTCTTGTCGGATCGGTATGATGCTTTACGAGACGCCATGTTCGGGGGCAACATGGAACGCTTGCGTCGCTTCCGCCAGATTGTTGTGAACTCGGTGTTGGCCACTGATATCTTTGATCGCGAGCTTCGAGATGTCCGTGAACGCCGATGGACCAAGGCCTTCCCAGATGACGATGTATCGGCATTGTCGCTTTCATCTCAAGAGATGGACAGCATGGAAGGCGACCTTCGAGCAACAATTGTGATTGAGTACATCATCCAAGCCAGTGATGTTGTGCACACGATGCAGCACTGGACCGTGTACCAGAAATGGAACAAGCGCTTGTTTTGTGAGATGATGTCGGCGTATCAAGCCGGGCGTGCGGACAAGGACCCCAGCGAGGGGTGGTATGGCGGGGAGCTTTGGTTCTTTGACAACTACATCATTCCGCTTGCAAAGAAGCTGAAGGAATGTGGTGTATTTGGGGTATCATGTGACGAGGTCTTGGACTATGCCCAAGACAATCGCTTGGAATGGGAACAGAAAGGGAAGAAGATAGTCGAGCAGTGGAAAGGGGAAATGGATGACGCATCGAATGATGTATTCGACATGAATACAGCGGAAGATAATACATCCACAGAATCACTGAGTGAATCATCTTCCAATAAGAGTTATTGATAGAAATTATAAATACTGATAATCATGCTGTATTTTATATACACAATATACTGCACTAGATGATTCATTCATTCGAAAAAGGTGACTCTCTGATACTACAGTATAGCATGGGCCCAAATATTTTGGATAAACATGAAACGAAAACATACGGTACTACTGTATGTAATGCGTGTGTACCTAGGGTACTGTACCAGTATATTCGGGCAAATACGAAGTCAAAACATTCATTACACATACTATACACGATGCGTTAAGGAATAGTGAAATGGTGGAATGGTGCGGAATCTATGCCAATGGGCGCTCATGTGAGCTCACCACCTCACGATCAAACCATCCGCCTTTTGCTGTGGGCCCTCCCACACCTTTACAAAGAGTGATCAGTAGACAAATCATATCAAGTGAACCATATAATGCCAAGCCAGAAAATCGAACGTAAATGCTTGGGCGATGTCACCAACCAGGTTTCCACATCTTCAGTTGGTCCTTGCCGGAAAATTCAGCTAGAACAGAAGGTCCTTGAATTGAATGATCGACTGGATGCCCTGAGTGCCAAATTCGAAACCTTAATTTCGAATGTGCAAAGACAGGATCATGAGATCTCGAGATTATCGACGATTTCAACAACTAGCGGTGACGTGGTCGATTGCTCGTCCTTGGCGCAAACTCCATCTTCGGCCGTAGAAGAACGGAGCATGAAAGAACAGGTGAAACGTTCGATCTTGGGTGATGAAGGTTATTCCATTTATCGCAAAACTCTGAAGTCAAGTCGACAATGATTGACAACTATTTGGTAACTCTGATTGATAACACATACATATAAATGTATAGGTCCTAAAAGTCTATTAAAATAAATCTACATTCTTTTTTTAATTGGTACATTGCGTATCATGCATCACCATTGGTGTGACTATCGCATGCATGCTCATCTTTTGTAACACTCAGTGGGCCCAAAGTTCATATTCATCAGTCAGCCATCAATAATCAAATAGCATTATTCCGCGGGCGTCTTCATGCTCCTCTTTGGAAAATTAAGGACATCTGTAAACCATGGTTCTGCAAAGGTCAAGACCAAGACAAACCGATTCCGATCCGAATTGTTGGCCCGGCCTCGGTGCAAAATACGATAATCAAAACATACGACATCCCCTAGGTTCAGGGCTGGCCAGACGGGAACCCGCAGAGTGCCACGGCATTTGGCCGCTAGCATCTGCAAGTATGAGTTGTAATAGGAAAGAAGAAAAGAAAAACGGATGATTCGTGAGAATCATAATATTGGCAAAATGGAAAATGATGTGCAACAAGGTTCCCACCAAAACTCAAAATGATCGGACAAACATCATCCAACACACACTCGCATAACACATACAAAGCACACAAGTGCAAACAACAACACTCACCATTGGAGCTAGATTCCGAGTCAAATAGTGTGACTCTGGTCGGAATTCCGTGGGACCCATCTCTTCAGGCAAATCGTGAAGTGGAACAAAGACATTGGCACAGTGACAAGGCAAGTGCTGCTGGAGACTAGCGTGTCCTCCATCGGCATGCCACCCTTGGTCGGTAGATCCCGGTGTGCTTACCAAGATGGATAAATGGCACAACTTTAACGGAAGCGTACTCTTGTAACCGCCGCCCAAGCATTTGGGCAAAAGTGGTTCCAACGCACCCACAATCTTCTTAATATCAGGAACCTGATCTAGACAGTCCAATAAACTCAGTTCGTATCGCCCAGGACTTCGCATGACCATCTCTTTGAATCCATTCTTGGCGCCCAATCCCATCAAATACTCCTTTTCGTAGGGAATCGGTGCGTTGGTGTGTCCGTTCTCGTGCAGCAGCTGAAAGGATTTGATAAAGTAGGCTTCTCCAAAGTTTCTCCAATCTTCCAACAGACTAGGATCCAAGGCTTCCTGTAATAAAACAAAACCATCATTCTTAAAGGCAGCTGCCACACTGGTCGAGCTTTCTTTGGTCAATCGGAACATGTGATCTTCGGGAGACGCCGGCATTGTGTCAACATTTTCAGTGCTAGCGACCATGATTGATTGATTGATTCTTATATCGTGTATTTGTATTTGTATTTGTATTTGCTGAGGACGGAAGCTTCAGTTTGTGTCTTGAAAAGATATGCAGCCTAAAAGTTGTCAATGACTAGCTGTGGAGAAATTGAAAAAGGTAGCAGCAGACAACTAAAAAAGAGGACCGTTGCAATAGTGTGTGTTGCCATTACAACTCCATCCAAGCTCACGTTGAGAATTCTGCAATACGCAACGCAACGCCGGCCGGCCAGACTAGGTTCGACTGTTTCGAACCACTTCTGAAGAAGATTCGATGGTGTAACCACGATTGTTGAGACTGTACTATTCGACAACTCAAAGGAGGATTTCATGCACTGCTTCAGCTACTACATATAGAGGATGTAAAATGTGTAGAATTCTATTGTAATTTTATATCTATTATAACACGCTCCGCACAGAATTAGATCAAAGTGAGACCACAAGCAACGTTGTCAGCCTCGTCTCATGATCGTCCAGCTCATCTCTCCCTTTAGCCGCCTGTGCTTCTTTTCTTCTTCTTCAATCATTGCACCAATTATTACATCGCTAGAGCATTCTGATGATCACCCGAAATCTCTTCGACGACTTGTCGCAATGGCTTGGGCAATGCATTTGGCACTGCCTTGGCACAGGCCGCTCGGCCTCCATTCTCCCGAAAGATTTCTTCGGCAATGATATTATAGGAAGCCATCATTTCGGCATTGGGGAATCCCGAAAAGATCATTACGGGAGTCCCACGATTGACTGCTTCAATCGGTGCGACTAGGCTGGAATTATCAGAAGATGAAGAAGATTCGTCCCTGTCTGAGTCATCCTTATCATCAAGAACCCGAACCAAAGCTTCTTCTAGCGTCAGCTCCAACAACGGATCGTTCATATCGGGTATCCGTTGCAGTGTTACTCCCTTTTTACTCGATTTTGGTGCTCCATCTTCCAACATGTCTTCTAGCTCTTCGTCCAAGATTCCTGCTGGAATGTTGTACAGCAAAATGGCTGGACCCAAAGATTCGGCAGCGTCGTCCGAATCTTGCAATTTGACAAAGTCACCATCCCGCTCTTGCAGAAAGGCCTTGGAAATCTTATCCAACAGACCCATCTTCAGGGAAGAAGAAATGCCTGAGGAAGTTTGGATTTGCGGGCTTCTTTTTCGACCATGACCATTGGTGCTGCTTCTGCTGATGGAAGAGAACGATTGCAGTCCAAAGCCACTGATGCTGTGCAAAGTGAGTGCAAGCAATATAATGGATTTCTGAAACATGGTCCTCGGTTTTCTTGAAAGCTGAAAAATATAGACTGTTACTGTCACAAAATATCTGTGGTTCTGATGGTTCTCGATGATGGTGAATCATCAGTCATTAGTGCGATGGATGTGAATTTGGAAGTGAGTCAGTCACAGGGGGAATCGAAATCGGGTCAGTCGTTTTTGATCTCATTAAGTCTTTTTCTTCAACTTGAACATTTGAATTGTTACTGTAGTGATTACCGGCGGTAATGGATCCACTACGATACGGTATATGCACCACAGACTATTCAGTTTTTGGCATAGTCTCAGTATGACTGACATGTAAGATCTAGGACATCAATCTGCAAATATAGGTCAAAGACGAAGTTTATTAGCTCCATTGGAAAAGCTAGTACGGTACTAGCATTTCTCTGTTGTGCACAGTAACTGGACATGCTGTATGATATGTTGCTTGGTTCCCGTTGGTGCATGTTAGTTGAAGCGCCTCGGTAACATGGACTGATATTCGTACCTTGGTGCAATGCCGCCGATACAGAATGACTTTCGTGTTCCAGTACCGGTGGGACCGTACTTTGACTTTGGTCGATGTCATCTTTTTTTTTTAAACTCGTGCTGACACGAGAGCAGAAAGTTTCCATCACGGGGAATCACGACCACAACGGAAACGTGAAGGCGTGGAAGACATCCATCAGTGCGTGGCATGTGGAAAATCAACCTCGTGGCGCGTCGGCGGTTGAGTCGTAGTATTTGGAGGGTGCGTCATCAATCAGGACATAATTCGGCCAATCAAATACTCGTAAACGTGTCCTGATAGGTCCATTCGGACATGTGATTTTCGGCGATTGGTGAGAAGTCATCGTGGAACAAATATCTGTGCAGTCTTGGTTCGCGTTTACATCGCTTGGAGGTGTCAACCCGCCCTTTCAAGAGGAGTCAAGTAGACAACCAATGATCGGTGGCAACACTGCTACAATTCACAAAAACGACAAAAATCAATAGTCCATCAACAACAGCAAATAGAAGACACCAACAGACATCGTCTTTCACAATAAGCACGATGGCCACAGTTCAAAATACCCCTCAATTGAGAGGCGAAGAAGTGGGTTCGCTTCAGACCATGGCTCCCTCGCCGCCTCAAATGGTATTCCAATCCCCTTCCATCATCCTTCATAAGCAACTGTCAGAAGTGGAAGAGAAGCCACCATTGGATTTGACTCTCTTTCTCATCCGACACGGCGAAGCATCACATAATGTGCTGGAAAAATTGGCGAAAGAAGAAGCATTGCAACAGGCTCTGAAAGAAGGCCTCAAGGCAGATGACGATTTGACCAAGGAACGAGTCGAATTGGCTCGTCAACGAGTCCTATTGGACGATAATCTGTTTGATGCTCCTCTGTCAGACCTGGGAAAAGAAGAAGCTCGTGGTGCTCGTGCAGCATTGGCATCCCTTTCAGATGCTGAGAACTTGCCATTTCCCGAAGAAATATTAGTCAGTCCATTGACCAGAACTCTGGAAACTGCCAATCTAGTCTTTCCCCATCATTCCAATGTCCATGTGCGAGAAGAGTTGAGAGAGCGCTGCACTGGGAAACCACCGGACACGAGGTCACCCACTGATCAATTACGTTCACGGATTTCCTTCTCCCGCTTCTCCATGGATCGGCTCGCAGAATTGACCACGCTTCAACACTCTCAACAACAATATGAAAAGCAAAAGAAAGAAGAAAACAAGTCCATGCTGAGAGAGCGAACCCGTCAGCTCTTTCGACTTTTGGCGGAGTGTCCACCCACTCAAAAGAGCATTGCGGTTGTGACCCACAAGGCATACTTGAGAGAATTAGAACGTGGTCCCTTTGGAAACCCAGAGTCTCCAGAGTTCAAGAATGGGGAAATCCGTGTGTACAAGATTCGACTGCATCCAGAAACGGAATTCATTGAGCATGCCAGCAGAATTGTGTGATACAGACGTGGTGCTGAGAACTCTGGAAATGCAGCAGTAGGTAGAATATGTACATTACATATAAATAGCACTGGAAATAAATTTTGACACTGATCATATACTTGCGCGTGTGTGAGAGTGTGTGTGTGTATCCGACGTTGCTCATTGTCAAAAAATCTTAACAAGATAGCAATATGATGCTTACAATATTCAATATTGATGAACGAGAACTGTAAGAGCAGTTTGAAGTCGGCGTAGTCGACTTCTGTCAAATTCGTGACTACATTTTAATAGTAATATTATTAAAAATTATTCCACATGCGTTGGGATTTATTGTCATCAAAATTCGTATCTTGGGATGAAACTTTTGCAAGACTTGGTGCCACTACTGAAACGCTTCATCAGTTGACACCCTTGTCACTTTGTATCAACCCACTTTTGAAGCGGATCACCATGAAAGTTGGTGGGATAACTATGATGAGTCTCAGGACTTCTCCTGATTGTCTGCTACTTGTTGTACTGTCGTTGCTCCTCTTTGCCACTACGAATGCCCATGTCAGGCCAGGTCAACACCACACATCAATGATTCAAAAATCAGCTGATCTTAGAGTTCTCAGTGATCCAGCCGAGCAGACGAAGCCCTCCATGTCAGTACTGATGAGTCCACAATCGCAGGATTTGACACGTCACCTCCAAGAACAAGAAGATGAGAAAGACGACGATGGTGACGACGATGATGACGACGAAGATGATGACGACAACGACGATGACGACAACAACGATGATGACGACGATGGTTTCATTTCCCAAGAAGCCATCACCACCACCGCGACTGCTGCAACAATAGAGAGCATTGTTTCCACCAGCGCTGTGGTTGAACCACATGATGGACCCTCGATTTCAAACAGTTCCCAGAACAGCTCTGATGGTCGCACATGGGAATGGAATCTGGGCCCGCTTTGTGTCGTTGGTGCTGCGGCAATCGCTCTTATCGTGTCGCTAATTGCATTGAAGCAGCGCAAGAAGAAGCAGGAAATACCCCAACAGCGCACCATGGGAGGATTCACATCTGACGTTGTTGACTTTTATCTTCGTGACCCCGAACTGGACTTGTCAACTGTTGCAACTGGTAGCACGACTAGTCTTTCAAGCAAAGCAATTGGCGGCGGATAAAAGAGTGATGCATCCCATTCAATGGCTCCTCCTCTTGATTCTGAAAGCTAGGACTCTTGTTCGGCCATGCAAGGATAGCCGCAGGCAGACCAATAAAGGGCCTTGAAAGAACCCGAACATACATCCATACGCCAAGGAAGCAACGTCAAGCAACGTCTGCTCTTTTCTTGATTGGGGATCATATGATTCAGTGGCACTGTGTATTCCAGATGGAATAGCGGATAGTGGGGCATGTTGACTGCGCACTGTTCTTGTCTGTTCTGTGATTGCAGCCAGTGAATGTGGTCAGGATTGCGACTAGTCCTTGCAGTTGCGAATATGATATTTTTCGGTGGAAATGTCTTATCACCCTAAGACAAGAACAGAACCCTGCTTAGGGAATAGCTATTTATTTAGTATACATTTTCGTGAAGCTCCGTTTCGCACAATGTCGCAGTTGACTAATCGACAATATGTTCGACCCAGCCAGTCGACTTCTATTTTAGCCTTTACGGCACGTTATGTCTGCTTCTCCCACCGACGCAGTTGCAGACCCTACCCTGTACGTGTACACTTATAGGAACAGGATGGACTTTGTCAGTATAAAAGCTACTGTTGTGAGTGTGATTCGACAGGACTGAACGTAATCCGCCTTCTATATCTTCTCCGGTTCATATTGTATAGCCACATAGATCCAATAGTGCCGAAGATTTATATTTTTGAATGTATGTTGGAAAATAGCCTTCACGAAAAATGTTCATGCCTTCGGTTCCAATGATGAAGGTTTAGATAAACATAACTATAATACAGCAGCAATTATATTTTCGTTCATTGGAAACTCCAGAACTTGGTCCCTAAAATCCGAATCTTGTGATGAAACATTGCAAGACTTGCCACCAAAACCGTTAGTGAGTAATGTATCAACCAATTCCTACGGAATCGATAGCATACTATCGAAGCTACTCATCATAAAAGTCTGTCTTGGGACTTCTTGCTGCCTTCTCCTTGTTCGCAACCACAAATGCTCATGCCCGGCCATGTCAGCAGCACATATCAATAATTCGAAAACTAACCGCGTTGAGAGCTTCGAATGATACAGCCGAGTAGAACCCTCTGTTTCATTACAGTAGCGGGTCCCAACCTCTTGTTACCTTTCAGAACGAGAGGACGAGAAAGAAGGGGCGACGACGACAGCGACAACAATGATGATCTCGCTCCCCAGAAATAAATATCACCACCACGGCTACTGCTTCAATTGTTTCCACCATCGCTATGGTTGAATATGGACCCTCGATTAGAAAAGAGCCGAGCAGCAGCTGTGTTGGCCACACGTAGGAATGGATGCGTCTGGGTCCTCTTTGTGTCGTTCGTGCTGCGGCAATCGCTCTTATCGTGTCGAAGATTGAATTGAAGCAGCGCAAAAAGAAGGGAGGACTCCAGCAACGTACTAGGCGAGGGTTCACGCCTGATTTTATCGACTCACCGCTGATGGTCACACGTGGAAATGGAGTCTGGGCCCTCTTTGTGGACTTGTCAACTGTTGCAACGAGTTGTGCGACTAGTCTTTCTGTTGAGGTAGATTTGGGACAGACAGATATCATCATCCGTAAAGGATCGCCTTTTGGCCGAGTGACCAGATTCTTGGAAAGTAATTGGATAGAACAGCGATTCTTCCCTTCCTTCTCAGGTCTCGCGAGACGGAACATGTAATGCAAGGGTGTCTCCAGTCTAACGAACCAACGCAGCCCGGAATGTACATCCAAGCGTCAACAAAGTGACGTCGAGCAGCGTCGGCTATTTTCGGTATGATTCGGGTGCAGAATGGTTCATTCATTCAATCGGAACGAGCCTGTGGCAACAGAAAAATGAAATGATGGGTAGAGCATATGTTGACTGCAAACCGAAAGAGCACTTGCCGGTGTTACTTGTCGGTGTTAGTTGGCTCTGTCAACTCGGTCATAAAACCCCTTTCATACGGATGACATGTTCCGCGTGAAAGTGAGACATTGAGCGGTAATGAACACTGAAGAGGGCATATTCGAATATATAATTCTTCGGTCATTTTCACTACTAGTGCGACCTAAATTCCTTTTTTTCCATTTAATCAATGAAACAACACCTCCTCCCTCGAAGGAGATTACGAAGAAAAGAACAGAGCCCTTTCAAAGGAAAAAGTGATAGTCATCGTTTTCTCGTTCTGAGCTCACAAAACTGACCTCGAATACAAAACGATGAATTTCATCACAGCGAATAATGGCTGCCCTATGGATGCAATGCACACAAACATTGCGAATTTTGATATCGCAACACCCACGAAACTATCGATGTTGCCGACTTGCCATGCTCTCCCCCCGCATCGGATGCATTTGAAGAGGAAACACGATCATCGTATGGATAGTGCGAGAGAGAAGCAGTCTTCAAAGTCCTTCTGCAGCTTGGACTATTTGACCCGAGAGGCACACATGATCTCAACTTGTACTTTTGCTGCTTCCAGCAGCAATTTGAAGTTGCACCAACACAGTTGGAAGTCCGTCAGCCGATTCTCTGAAACGAATGGAACAATGAAAAACGCAGTTTTCGAGATTTATGGTTCAAGAACAAGACGACGCCCAGCTCGCACCAACAGTGCGGCACATGATATTATGAGAAAGGAGCTACTACTAGACGACATGGGCAGTCTACTTCGAAGAATGAAGGAATATCAAATACAGGTAAAATCCAAAACATTCATCCCAGATTTTGATAGTGATTCGGATGAAGAAGATCTCGAATGAGGAATCATTCATAGCCCCCGAAGTGGTTGGGGATCACACACCTGGCAATCATGATAGGATGCAGTTTTGGATGAGGTATGCATACAATTTTTCATAATTTAGGTTTTTCATCTTGACAGTCATTATAATATATATTCCGTACCATGCCACTTCTTGCGAACTTGATGACTTGAGCCACAATTTCTATGGCAGAATCTGGGAACACGAGTTTCCAAGTTTGATGGGAATACAACTTGTCTTGTCCCCCTGCTACTGTCATTATAATACTCCTCTTCCCAACCACAAATTAGCACATATCAATGATTCGAAGCGGAAAGCACCGAGTCCACAATCACTGGGTTTGATACCCTTCCTTCCAGAACAGGACGATGAGCAAAGAAGGGGACGACGCACAACGAACATCATGGTGACAACGATGATGATCTCGCTCTCCAAAAAGGAAACAACCTCGCCCACTACTGCAACAATAGAGAGGGTTCTTTCCACCAGCGCTATGGCTCAACACGGAAACTCAATTGCAAACAATGCGAGTAACAGCTCTGATGGTCACACGTGGAAATGGAGTCTGGGCCCTCTTTCTGGACTTGTGAACTGTTGCAACGAGTAGTGCGACTAGTCTGTCCAGCAACGCAATTGGCGGAGGTTCCACTCGTTTCTGGGGCTCGCAATGCCTCCCTGAAAGCTAGGAGTCTTTGACGTAATATGTTATGTATGGATGGACAAGCAATGCAGCCCGAAAGGGCGTTGGGGAGAACTCGAACCTACATCCAAACGTTTCGGGAATGGGCGTTCAATATGATTGAATGAATTGGAAACATGAATCAGCGGCTTGACCAGGTTGAATGCAAACCGTAGTTGCCCCTTTTGAAATTTCTTCACTTGTGAATGTGAAGATTGTGCATGTTCTCTTTTGGTCTATACCGGGTAGTCGTATATCTCGCTTCCATATATTTCTGCACAGGGAAGCGAAGTGGTACGGTTTGAGCCCTTGGCGAACACTGAAGAGGGCTTAAGTTTTATGTCATTGGTCCCGCGAAGTGGGAAGGGAGGGTCCCGTCTATATGCTACCATTGGGACCAATAATTGGAAAAAAGCGTGTTGACAGGTAAACTCGTACATACGAAGAAAAGAACAGAACCCTTATTTTAAAAAAAGAAAGAAGAGTGATCACAAAAAATGATGCAGTGAAAACGATGTCCATCGTTTTCTCTTTGAGCTCACAAAACTGACCTCAAATACAAAGCGATGAATTTCATCACAGCGAATAATGGCTGCCCTATGGATGCAATGCACACAAACATTGCGAATTTTGATATCGCAACACCCACGAAACTATCGATGTTGCCGACTTGCCATGCTCTTCTTCTTCCGGATCGGATGCATTCGAAGAGGAACCACGATCGCATGGATAGCACGAGAGAGAAGCAGACATCAAAGTCCTTCTGCAGCTTGGACTATTTGACCCGAGAGGCACACATGATCTCAACTTGTACTTTTGCTGCTTCCAGCAGCAATTTGAAGTTGCACCAACACAGTTGGAAGTCCGTCAGCCGATTCTCTGAAACGAATGGAACAATGAAAAACGCAGTTTTCGAGATTTATGGTTCAAGAACAAGACGACGCCCTAGGGCATTGGTAGCTCGCAACAGCGCGGCACATGATCTTATGAGAAAGGAGCTACTGCTCGACGACATGGGCAGTCTACTTCGAAGAATGACGGAATACCGAAGACAGGTAAAATCCAAAACATTCATCCCAGATTTTGATAGTGATTCGGAAGAAGAAGATCTCGAATGAGGAATCATGAATAGCCCCCGAAGTGGTTGGGGCTCACACGCCTAGGAATCATGATATGGGCACGCTGTAATTTTGCATGAGGAATGTACATAATTTTTTTCATTATTTTTCAAATTTCAATATACCGGTATACAGGTATCATATCCACTTCAAGTGTTTTAACCATACCGGCACTCAGTACCCCTGGTACTCGGTGCTCGGTACTCGGTACTCGGTAATCGTACTCTTGCAAACTTGATGAGCTAAATTTGTCTCGCTTCTCATTTTTTCACATGTGCGAGAAGCGAACTGTGCGATTTTCCTTGCCCAAATTCGCACAATTTTTGCGCGAAGCTTGAAGTAGTCGTGTTTATTTTTTATTGTTCGTTTCGGTATGATAGATCTCACAAAATTCAAAGCAACACAACAACAATACAATTTCCATAACCAGTCCAACGAAACTACCAAGATGCACAAACTCTCCCTTCTGTTCACAATCATCTTCGTTATCCTCAATGTCAAGGATACCATCGAAGTCTTGCACGAGACAATGATGGTAAGCTAATTTCAACTTGGGGCATCCTCCTCCTCGGCAACTACAAGAGTAGCTGTCATAGTACATTATTAGAAGTAAAAATATGCTGTACCGTCTCCTGGGATGTACAGTATAGAATAGAGAACATGGGCATGGAACGATTATGAATACACATTTTTAAAAAGACTAGAAAGAACATATCAAGATTTCAAGAAAATGCTGGCCTGCTCTGTTAGAATACTATAGTACCATCAGTGTACCATCGTTTGTATCTACTACTATTGGTGGCTGTTGCTCATTTCAATATTTCGTAGTATTCTGCTCACGATTCTTGGGTGGACTGTGAGAAGTTTAACTATTTATAATTTTGTTACACGAAAAGGACCTAAATACTGTATTGAATATTTTATTTTCATATTCAATCTTTCTGATGTCTTTTCAAAATAAAATATGTACCTACTCCTACTTCTAACGTAGACGGAAGAAAGCGGTCGAACCAATGGACTCAATAGTGACTCCATGAACGACGGTAGGGCGACCGTCATCTCAGTATTGCACCAGCAACCTAAGTCCGATCTACACATATCGAACTTGTGTGCAAGTATACTGACAGAAAGATAGAGTCCCGAAAGCATCATCCTGGAAGCAAGTGAAGACGAAGAACATCTCTTTCTTTGGGTGGGTGGATCCAGGCCAAATTCGAATAGTGGGCAACTGATGTTATGGAAGCTTGAAACGTCTGAATTGTATGGAGAACTCGTAGACATGGATTCGGCTTGGCAATTGGATGACGAGGATGACGACGACTGGGATAGCGATTCTGATGCTCCTTCTTCGGCGTCAAAGGATCCCATTATTATTCAGTCGATAGAGGAAGGGCCGGTGTATTCGATTGACAAGCACGGCCAAACAGTAGCTGCAGTTGTGGGTCAAACCGTCCTCGTCTGGGAATTTTGGTCGTCCAATGGGGCATGTCTGATACCCATCAAGACCCTATCTCTACCAGGCGACTACCAAGAAACTCTATATACAGTTTCTTTATCCGACGATTTTCTTGTATCTGCGGGATTAGGAGAGTGCTTATTTGTATGGACCACGGATACATGGGACTTGGTCCATACCGTTTCGGTAGCCAGGACGAAGGAATCTTGTTTGGCCACATGTTGTGTTATGACTAGTAACTGGATGCCGAATGAAAAGGGAGTCTTAGCTTGCGGTGGCTACGATGGCTGTATTTCATTGTGGCGACTCGCCCATCGTTTGGAAAGTGAGGGTTGAAGTATTGACTTTTGTGGAAGAAGATTATGTTGGACTATGGACTATCTTAGGCCTTTTCTGGTTGTTTGTTCCAAGAACTACAGTATACTGTACGTCACGAAAAGCCGCACCGCATCGTATCTTTGATGTCTTTCGCTTGAGTGATGGCTACTTGTTCGACTTCGCTGTACAACTCATTCATCCGCATCACCGTTATCATTATGAGCTTGACACCCTTCTTGCAACCGGCGTCCATGACGCAGTGTGCTGCCTTTGTTCCGAAATCCTTGATGGGTCTGTCAAGAACTCGAATCATCAAACCTGTTCCCAACATCATGCGATGGATGTCGGTTGTGACGGTATCTACAGAGGGTAATACTCCCTGGAAATCCAAGTACGAAAACAAAATCACGGTGGGAGATCATACCTTCATTGCCGATGAACCACCTTCGATCGGGGGAATGGACATGGGGCCAAGTCCATACGACCTTCTCTTGGGAGCTCTGGGCAGTTGCACATCTATCACGCTGACCATGTACGCCCAACGCAAAGGGATTCCCATGGAAGGTGTCGATGTTACTCTCAGTCACACCAAAATTTACGAAAAGGACTGTGCAGAATGCGTTCAAAAGGATTCGGCCAAAGAAATTTCCAAAAAGAAGATTGATCATTTTGTTCGGACACTCAAATTTCGAGGAATGGACTTGACCGACGAAGACCACAAGAACTTGTTACAGATTGCCGATATGTGCCCCGTCCATAGGACATTGGAGTCCGATCATGTGCATATTGAAACCAAATTGTACCAGGAAGATGAACCAAGCTCGATGACAACATCCTTGAAGGCGCACAAGCTGACGTCGTTTGCTGGAAAACAAACCACCTTGTCGGTTGGCTTTGATATTCGTCGAATATTGCCGTATCACAAGAAACGATCCGTCGGCCCATTTATCTTTTTGGATCATTTTGGGCCAATTGATATCGCAGAAAGTGCTGCCATGGATGTCGGGCCGCACCCCCACATTGGATTGGCCACACTATCGTACTTGTACGAGGGTGCCATTCTGCATCGAGATTCTACAGGTGCAGAGCGAGCAATTGTCCCCGGAGAAGTGAATTTCATGATTGCAGGTAAGGGTGTTGTACATTCGGAGCGTGGCAACAAAGTAGACCTGGGGCCGCACCTGTCCGGGGAACTTCCAAGTACATCCCACGGCCTTCAGCTTTGGATGGCTCTGCCTAAAGGCGGAGAAGATGTTCATCCTTCCTTTCACCATGGAAAAGCAATAGCACTGCACACTGGCAATACAAGCGTCCAGGCGACTTTGGTGGTTGGATCGGCAAATGGAGTGTCACAGTCAGCAATTCCAATTGACAACCGATTGGGGAATAATTTTTTTGTAGATGTGGAGTTTGACAAAGAAGGCGAGTCGTTCAGCTTACAACAAATCGGAACGGGGACAGACCCTGTTGAAATTGGAATTTACGTATCAACTGGCTCAGTGAAGTTGGATTCTGGATACTGTAATATGGACGGAGACAACTCGGAAAGCGAAACCGTATTGGAAGAAGGTAACATGGTTGTCTACCAGCTCGGAAGAGAAGACGAGACTGTTGACATTGCATCATGGGTTGGAAAACTGACTGCCCTAAGTTCAGGTACTCGGCTCGCCATCTTGGGCGGGACTCCACTTCCAGAAAAGCGTCACATGTTTTGGAACTTTGTTTCCCACGATAAGCAAAAGGTTGAAGATGCAGCCGAGGCATGGGAGCAATTGGATCGTTCCATTTTTCCACCAGTGGTTAATGAGGACAATGAAGATTCCATTCCCTTACCGAGTCGAAGAAAGTCATGATAAGTAGACTATAGACTAAGTAGTACGAGCAAATATGCATTGACGCAATTCATGGATATTCTTACGTTACTACTACGAATACAAAGAAAACGTTCCTCTATCCCTAGTCTCATTCAATGTCTAAACTTCCGGAAGATTGGTCGACATTTGCGAACATCACGTCAAGAAATATGAGAATCCATCACGACCAAAGCGAACGTTGGTCTTTTTCGGGATATAATAATCTGCAATCGCGATCTCATAAAAACAATCCCCACAAAATAAAGTAGAAGAAGCAACAAAGATGTTGTCACGAACTTTAGTTCGACGTCTACCGGTGTCGAAGGCAACATTGGTCCGTGCCTTGTCTTCACACCCCCCAAATACACAAAATAGCAATACTACCGGCCGAAATCAGAATTCGTATTGGCTCGGCGCCCTGAGTGCACTCGGGGCTAGCATGGCAATTGGAGCCAGCATGACGCTCACAGAAGCCCCACAATTTAGCCAGCCAGATGCGATGATTCCAGTGGAGACTCCAACCTCGATCAAGGACCATCCAACTGTCAACTCTCCACCAGCTCGGCCCGATCTTCCTGTTTTTACACGAGAAGAAGTTTCCGAGCACTCGGATGAAGATTCACTCTGGTATACATTCCGTGGAGGAGTCTACGATTTGACTACATTTTATCAGGGACATCCTGGTGGTGCTCCGGTAGGTACCAGATGAACTGTGTCATTGCTGAAACGATGAATCATCTCACGTAATCCATATTCGATAGCGTCTTCTAATGGCAGCTGGACAAGATCTTGAACCATACTGGGAAATCTACCGCCAACACCTTCGAGGCCACGTAGTGGATTGGATGGAGAAGCATCGCATTGGGTCCTTGTCAAAGGAAGAGGCTGAAGCTGCAAGCAAGAGTTTTGAGTTTGGGGATGCATATGAAACAGATCCTGAGCGCGATGCGAATCTTCTCCCATGTACTCAGAAGCCATTCAATGGGGAACCTCGCATAGACTTGCTCACTCGAGACTACATCACACCGAACGAGCTCTTTTATGTTCGGAATCACTTGCCCGTTCCTGACATTGAAGCTAAGGAATACAGATTGATTGTCAAGGGAAAGGGTCTCAAGAAACACAAGTTTACTCTGGAAGATTTAAAGACGAAATTCAAGAAGCATGAGATCATTACTACTCTGCAGTGTGCTGGAAACCGTCGTGAGGATTTGCACAATGACCAGATGCGAGAGTTTCTGGCACCCCATTGGGTTGTCGGTGCCATTTCGACGGCAAAGTGGGGTGGAGTCCGGATCCGCGATGTGCTGAAGGAGTGTGGTCTTGATGTTGATGCTATGGCACTAGGCGAATTGGAGATCCCTGGTTTGGAACATATTCAATTTGAAGCATATGATCAGGATGAGACAGGCGTCCATTATGGAGGGTAAGTGTCTTCGAAATCCCCTTGCATTTTTCTTCAGCTTTGCGCTCACTCAATTGTTTCTCAGATCTGTGCCAGTAATGAAAGCGATAGACCCATTTGGCGATGCAATCTTTGCATTCGAGATGAATGGCGAGCCATTACCACGAGACCACGGATATCCATGCCGTGTAATATTGCCCGGTCACGCTGGATGCCGTCAATGTAAGTGGGTCCACAAGATGATTCTCTCAGACAAGGAATCCAACAAGTGTTGGCAGCAGAAGTCATACCGTCATTTCGCGCCGGACATCAACTTCGAGAAGGATCTCGCCACTTGGCCTCCCGAGCGATTGGACCAAGCTCCAATCTCACAAATGATGCCGGTACAGTCCATCATTTGCAATCCTCCTCAAAACACCATTCTTGGAGGCAAGAATGCCGACTCGGTCACTGTCAAGGGAGTCGCATGGTCCGGTGGTGGCAGAGAAATTCAGCGAGTCGATGTTTCCATTGATGGAGGTAAGAATTGGACTGCTGCAGAACTTTACAAACCGATCAAGCAAAGGTGGAATCACCACTGGGCGTGGACACAGTTTTACCAAACTGTCAAGCTCCCCGAAGAAATTCAGAAGAAGCTAAAGAATGGAGAAAAGGTGTCTTTAGATCTCTGCTCCAAAGCTCTGAACTCCGACTTCAATGTCCAGCCCGAACGAATGGAACCATACTGGAATGCCAGAGGGATTGGAATCAACCACTGGTACCATGTCAATGTAAGTGTCAGATCATGCTGTGTACGTTTTGTGTCGTCAATACCCCAAACTAACAAGTTCTTTGGATCATATTTCAATAGACTACATTGGACCCAAACGCAAACCCAGGAACCATTCAACGCGATGGTAGCACAGTAGAATTCGGTGGAAATACTCCAACGGGGGGCAAATTTGCTGAAAAGTGGGATATGCATGGATGGTCGGCTGATCCAGAACACCGTGGTCCATCTGGATTGAAGACCAAGCCAAAGAGTTTTTATGACAAGATGGATGATGACCGCAAAGCACGCATCCAAAAGGAGGTTGAAAAGTGCACTCCCAGTGACGAGTAGAGAGGCCTCAAGATCAACTAAAGTGATGCACAATGAAGTGATGATGATTAGTCTCATTATCGAGTTTTCACACACAAAAAAGTCACTGAAATATTACTTACGATTTCATAATTTGCAATTGTGCCCATCAAATCAATCTGTTCTAGATGTGTCTAGTAGATTGTCCGATGCATCGATCCCGATCGTTTGGTAAAGTCGAATTTCTCGATATCCGCCCAGGGAGTATGTTCTTCAACACTCTTTTCCAGAGTCTCGGATGGAACTTCCCTGGCAGCGGCATCCAACATGCCTTTTGCCGAATATCGTTCACCCCTACCAGAAAGTTTTCGCAATCGTCGCTGGTAGGCATTGTTCCCCTCTTCTCCCATGAACAAATGGAATGGAACGGCCACGAGCTGCTTCCGAATATGTTTCCATTGAGTGGGTGTGGTGGATGGGAAAATGGTTTTCAACCGATCTTCTTGTTCTTGACAGTATTCCATGTAGGTTTGCAATATTTCGAAACGAGTCTTTTTGGGCTTGTTTGAGGCACCCCACAGTACGGAATCCACGGTAGCGAACGAACATGGATGATTGATTGCCGCTCGACCCACCATGGCACCTGTCACTGCTTGCCCTTGCCACAATAAATTGTCCACTTGTTGTTGTTGTTGTTGTGGTTGTTGTTGTTGATCTCCAGCAGGATTGCCCCCTTTTGGTCTCTGTAGGCGATCTGCCACATCCGACATGGATTGAATGCCACCATTGGAAACAACCTCCCATTTACTACCAAAGTCACGTGCTATTTGTTCCACAACCTTGGGACGAAGAGGAGGCACACTTCGATTTTGGATAGTGGCCTGTCGGGCTTCTCGTTTGGCAAAATATTGGGCCCGCTTGTGATTGATCTTCTTGTTGGTTTCTGGTTCTCTATCGCCTTGTGAACCAACGACTGCTCCTTCTATTGCATCATCATCATCATCATCATCATCAATACCATCACCACCACCATCACCATTCGTAGTGTAAAGGTTATTGGTATCCCCAATTCCCAAGAGAGCCAGCCGTGCATGAACTTGAACCTTGGACAAGATGTTCGAACCAGACTCCATGACTTTCAAAAAGTCATGACAGGTTTGATAGGCGGCCTCATCAGTCTGTGCATGGTCCCAATCCGCATCGTACTCATTCGCAAAGGCTACCCCCAGTCGATGTTTGAGCGACAACTGAACTTGCTGATAATTATCATCATCATCATTCGTTTGGTGTTGGTGTTGGTAATGGATCATGGCTTGGGACATTTGCTCGAGACATTCCGCCACCAAGGTTGGTTCCAACATGAGTGCGGCACCCGCTTGATTCCCCTTGGCAACATTCGCAGAAGGGCATCCACAATTCAAATTGATTTGAGTATACCCAAAGGCCATGGCAATGGCCGTTGCCTTGCCCAATGTTTCGGGATTACGTCCTCCCAATTGCAGTACGATCGGATCCGTGTGATATTCATTATTGTTGATGTTGTTGTTGTTGTTGTTGTTGTACGGAGCCATGATCTCTTGTAGAATGCTATAGTGTAGCAGATTTCTTCCAGCAAAGTAACCAGCATTCTCTTCGGAATACAATACACTCGGAGTTTGCTGCTGGCACTGATATATCCGGTGGGCCAACTCTTGCATGGCCTCTGGATCGTCATAGGGGATCATCATTTCGCTGCTGGTCGATGAGGATGAAATAGTAGTAGTAGTACTAGTACTACTAGTTATTGCTCGGACGGCCAATTCAAAGACTTGAACAATTTGTGCCGATGGCATCATTTCCGTGTAAATGTGTGCATATTGACTGAGCTGTCGAAAGAAGAATCGATAATGTCGATTGGTATGTGCCATCATGGGAGCCACGGAAAAGAGTTCCAATTGATGATGAGATGGTTGTGGAATCCAAAGTTGTTGTGATTGAGGTGATGAGCGAGTATTCGTATTCGCTGAAGGTGAGGGTGACGATGATGTCATGGTAGACGATGGGGAAGAGAAGGCTCTGCAGGTATTGATAACAGAAACCAAGGGTAGGAAACTCAAAAGGCACCGCACCAGCAGAGAATGATGAGGCCTTGTTCTTGAAAAGGTCAGTCTTCTTTGAGGCGGAAGAGAAGAATCAAAATGCTGTATTGTTGTAGCAATCATTGCATAAATATGATATGAGTGCTTCAATGTATAGTAAATTGGATTCGTGCACTGATAGTATCAATAGATGATGATGATGACGACAAAAATCAAAATGGATGATGATGAGATGGATGATGGCTTCGTTGGCGGAATCTGGAATGTTCGAGACGACAAAAAGCATTCGTATGAATCAGTCCAAATGCTTGCCATCATCCGATATCCATCATCATCGCATTCGTCAGATGATGTTGTATTTTGTGTTTCCATTTTCAAAACGCTGAATAAGACAATGCGACAATACATACAAGTCGGACCTTAACAACACAGATAGGATGAAAGCCCACAGCCTTGTCACATTGTTTATCCTCCTTATCAAAGGATCCATCCTTTCTCCTACTTCTGCTGTCCATCCTGTAGTAGGCTCATCATTGAAAATAAGACGAGGACGACTCTTCCAACATCAGAGAAGAAGTACGCGTACGAATCATCGGCATCATCATCATCATCATCATCAGCAGCAGCAGCAGCAGCATCATCCCAATAGCACTACTACTCTCGCCCATGAGGATGAGAAGGATCCATCACCACCACTCATTCAAGTTCAAGAGATCTTGCCTACGAAACTAATCAACGAAATTGATCCAGAACTCAATCCTCCTCCTCCTCCTCCTCCTTCATCCCAAGATGAAAAAAACAGCATGTCAAAATCATCATCACGGCGTTGGATTTGGTGGGGAAACGACATGACTAAGCTCTGCAACGAGGATGATTCATCAGCCACAGCCAAAGGAACAAAGCAAAACGAAGAAGAACATCCTTTGCGGACCGATCTTTGGAGACTCCAAGTGCAATGGTTTCGTCGTGCGGGTGGAAAAATGAGCCTGTTGCAAAAATCCCACAATAGTAAGACTTATTTGCATATGGAGTTTCACAAGAATGGACGATGCCGACTATTGAGTCATGATCAACAACAAGTATTGGGTGTGGGGGAATGGAATGAGAAACCATATGCGGTCTGGTTTTGCGTGCGAGTATTATTATTAGGCAAAGAAGAAGAAGAAAAAGACGACGACAATCATAAGTACACCTTTACGGCACAATTGCATCACAATCCATTTGGCAAGCATCCCAAGATGCAACAAGGGACGATTCTATTTCAAAAGATTGCCCCGAAACAACATGAATACGATGTTGTGGAATACGATGAGGAACGAGATCGTTTATTCGTTCAACCAAGAGGGCAACCATGGTTCCGGCCCATTGTTGGAAAATTCACAGGAGTTGGCATTGGTGTTGATACCTTGGACTATAGCTATTCCAAGAGGATTTAGGAAGAAGGAATGCGATATTGAAAATGATGGATATGGATGCTTTTTGGATGTCGTCAGCACAGATATTGGACATTCATCAGTACTACTGTGCGAGTATGCCAAAAAAATGCACAGGTATATATATGCAGACCCTAGTTTGATGGATTGACGGATGATTCAAGGAACTACTTCTTGTTAGAAATCCCACAAGCCGGATTTTTATTTGAAGGGCCTCCACATTGATTTCCAAAAAGCCAACAACAGTGCATCCCCGTCTGCTACATGTTGACACATAGTGTGAAAGAGCCTTTGTTTGGTTGAATATAAGTAGACAAAAAGTGCATCGTTCTAGGACGGCCACACATATGGACAATTTATATAGATACAGTGATACATTTATAGCATGATCCAATATCGATTCTAATAATCAAAAGGGTTCTTCTTTGCCATTTCCTCGACGACGCTTGTCGATATTTCAACCAAACGTCTTCTTCTCGCCCGTTTGCTGGGCTCTTGTTCCTCTTGTTGCAATGGTTTTTGGTCGGTTCCTTTCGGTTTGTCCTCTTGTGGTGGTGGTGGTTGGTCGGTCCCTTTTCTTTTTCTAGCAGTAGCTGTACTAGCAGTTTTCTTTGGTTTGGTATCCTTCTTGGCAGCTGTTGCACCACTCGTAGCTTTCTTCTTTGCCGCAGGGGTTCTCTTCTTTGTTGCTGATTTTGCTGTGGTTGGTTTGGAATCCTTCTTGGAAGCTGCTGCGCCGCTAGTAGCTTTCTTCTTTGCTGCAGGAGCCGTCTTCGTTGTTGCTGATTTTGTTGTATTTGGTTTGACATCCTTCTTGGAAGCTGCTGTACCGGTACCACTCATAGAATTCAAAATTGCTGCAGTAGTCTTCTTTGTTGCTGCCTTTGTTTTGGTTGGTTTGGTACCAATAACACCCCCGCCATTCCACAATGCGTCGTCTCCCTCACTTTGTGGACTTGCATGCCGCTCAAAGACCAACGTATTGTTGTCGTCCGATTGGCTGGCAAACACATAATGACCATCACCAGTAAAGCATTGGAGTGCCTCCAAACTTGTCGGATTCGCCTTGGCGATATATCGCACAAACATTCCTCGCGCTTGCTTGGCGTACACGCTGGCCATTCGACCTCCATTGGCTGCCTGAAAAACAACGTCGACTACTTGCAATGATTCTTCTTCTTGGAGCTGTCTAAAATCAAGGACTTTGGAATATTCTTGGGATGCACAATTTAGTATGCATCGTCTTTCGTTGTTACTGCCGTCAGTAGCAGCAGCAGCAGCAAGTTCAGCGACTTGTTTGGTCAATCCATGCTGTTTCCAGAATTCGTATAGATTCTTGGAGCCGTCCACCGCCAACTTGGTTCCCATTTCCAATCGATAGGGTTGCATTGGGTCCTTTGGTCGAAGTAAGCCATAGAAACCAGATAAAATACACAGGGATGAATCCAATCGATCCAGCTCGTCGTCTGAAAAGTCGTGAAGGTTGAGCTTTTGAAAGGACGGACCATCAAACAGCCATCCTGCTGGATATTTAGGTTGATCCTCAAAGTTTTGATACCGATCATAGTTCAGTTTTGCCAAGGTGTCTGATAACTTCATCATGGATTTGATTTCGGATTGCTTTAGCTCTTTGGCTCGCTCCAAGAGAATCGAACGAGGCTTGGAAAGTGCCGCGATTTTGGAGGAGGAGGACGAGGAGGATGTGAATTCCTTGCAGGATTTCTCGGCCAGCGCTTTTGTGGGAGAAAGTAAGCACAGGAATTTCATATTGAGAGCTTCAACACGAGTTGGATGATGAAATGGATTATGAAGAAAAAGGAGCCAACGGAAGAATAGAATCAATGCCCTGTTTTTGGTCATGTGCATGATGGTGAGGGAAAAATAATGCGATGCGAATAAATGAAAACTATCGTGAAATGAGTCGCACTAATCCAATAATGAGGCAGTGGGAATCCCCGGATTTCTCCCCTAGTTGCGAGATTTTCCCACAGCTCAATTTTTCCCACAGCTCAATTTTTCCCACAACTCAATTTTGCTTCCCACAACTAGTTGTGGGAATTCCCTCAACAGTTGTGGGAAAATTGTCATTTCTACACAGAAAACCACGTAGGATATGTACTGAGACAAATTTGAAGTTTCCCACAACTCTAATTGTAGTTGTGGGAAGTTTCCCACAACTCTAATTGTTTTATTGGGAATTACGGGAAAACTGTCCGTTCTACGGAAAACTGTCTGTTCTACGCACAAAACAACGTTTGATATATGTACTGACTAGAAAATAGACAACTACATATGATGTTTCCCAAAAACTCTAATTGTTTTCGTGATATTTCGTGATACATTTAAAGGCAAAAATAACGGACATCTGAGCAACGGAAATTCCCACAACTAGTTGAGGGAAATTCCCACAACTAGTTGTAGGAATTTCCCACAACTATTTTTTAAGATTCCTACAACTAGTTGTGGGAATTTTTGGCAAAAATCTGTTCCCACAACTAGTTGTGGGAAATCGCGTTAAATATCGCGGGGACGAAATAAAATGAAAAGGGGGAATTCCCACTGCCTCAATATGGTATCCCTTTTGGCTTGGACCCTCATCTATTTTATATCAATATATATATATTGAATAGATTTCAAAAGTATGCAACATTCGAGTGCAATTGGTCCTATCATTTACCCCAGCCTTCGTTTCTTGGAAGCAGGAGGACTTGGAACATCCTCGTCAGGCTTTCCACAGCGCTCAAAGAGATTGGCGTTGTCCCGAAGCAATGAGAACACAACTGAAGCCCTAGTTCTGGTAGTTTTATCAGTTGGAGAATCCACGTTTCCACACCAATGACCTTCAATGCCGGCAAAGTAGGAAATAGATGAGGCCCGGTGGAGGATTTGAGGCAGTAATGCAGCTGATTCCGTTTCAGTGCCGTATCGAATTCCCCGATTGACGTTCATGGTATGACACAAGTCAACGGCATCCATTTCGCAGTCCATTGAGATTCGTTCTAGGCTTCTGCTTTGATTTGCACTTTCCAAAAACGGTTGTAGCGATGCGCATAAGGTATTATCTCGAGAAACGGATTGTAGCCCAAGTGCAAACGCCGAAGACTCTTCATCAGTTTTATCTTGGTCGAAAACTGCATGATCGAATCACGGCTGATATGATTGTGTCGCAAGTCCACCACTTGAATCTTACAGTTCTCCTTGCATAAAATACATTCCAACGAAGTGAGATCACAAATCTCGTTGTATTGGAGCGACAAATCGGTCAAGTTTGGAAATGCATTGTACAATCCTTCCAAGTCATCACTATCCGAAGCAATTGCGCTTTCCAAGACAAGGTTTTGCAAGGTTCTGCCTTCGAATACCTTTTCTCCGTCACTCGCGCTGAACACGGGCAAACGTGATGTCTAACGAAATTCGAGTTCTTCTAATCTGCAGTCTTCACGGCTTAGCCATTCTCGCAATACCTCCATATATTTGACGCAGATAGGTGCAATGAATGAATATTGGGGTGATTTGATAAGGTGCTCAAGAGCTCGGTTACCGAGTTCCATCTCCTCGAGAGAACGGTTCCTCTTCAAGGCTTCCGCCAATACGGCGCAGACCCGCTCGTCTCGAAAATTTCCACCCCGTAGCGTCAGTCGCTTGAGACAAGTGGTCCGTACCATGGTTTCAGCCAAAAAAGTTGCAGAGAGTCATACAACTCAATTTCTTGAATGCCGTCCTGCCCCAACAGACCTGTAGCTAGAACAGAGAAGGCTGCTGTATCAAGATCTCTGCGACCAACTTCTACGCACTTTGACTTCCTCATTGCGGTAATGAGCATGGCCATGAAGACTGGGGAGTTTGGTTGCCTTCTGCCTTGTGCAAAAAACCTCACAACTTTCCAGAACCAGTCATCGTTCCGAAGAGAGTTCAACAACTTGACCGTGTCATCACTGAAACTGGTGATCACCCCTCCAATGATAATGGAATCAAAACGGCCTGGCAGGGTTGCAATTTCCGTGTCTTGTACCAAGGATTCATCATCATTATCATCGGTATAACAACTAAAGTAAATGTCTATACGAGCATTCCAATCATAATCTTCTGGTGGTCTGTAATCTTCCTCGATCCATGGTAACACATTGTCAGTCATTGCGAATGCTCAATTGTTATCACAAATGCTCTTTTTCGGGAAAGTGTGAGATGTGGCAGCAGCCACCATAGGTCAGTTTGGGCTCTCTCAGCGTGTTCATACTTGTTGCTGATCATTTTGTTGCTGAAACGGATCTTCTCGATTTCTAAAATTCTGTGTGTGGTTTTGAAAATCGGCCTGCATTCCGCATACATAAAATCAGTCCCGTCCCGCGCGCCGGTACAGCCAACAGCATCCGACTGAGATGACTCACTTCAATGATGAGAGACCGCGACTTGCAATAAAGAATAAGTCATCGCATTATATTACAATTGTCACAACTATTATATATACTTGTACAGTAAACTGAACACATTGCAGGATTGTCACCGCCTTCCTCCCTTCATTCCAAAATGGCTTCCGAAACTACGTCCAAGCTCCCCACCCAAGAGAAAAAACAAGATGAAGGTGATCCATGGGAGGCAACCCTTCCGTTTACTGGTATTGTTGGTCGAGAAGAGGAATCGGTGGATCTCTTCTCGTGCGTCACCAATTTCTTTGAGAAACGAGATACGCTCTTTGATCGCAAACAATGGCCACCTACAAAAGCAGGTTTGAAAAAATTACTCTACCATTTGCAGCAAATTGGCCTCAGGCATGGGAGTGAGTTCAATGTTGATATCTCCAAAGGAATATTGGTCTGTAATCGATTTCGCAAGTACAGGGATAAGAAGTACAGGGATAGGAAGAAACACAAAAACAATCAGGACAATGACGACCGATATGATGATCAAGGTGGACAGACAGGAGCCCGAGCCATTCACACTTCAAAAGACCTTACAGGAGACAAGTTATGCAAATGCCGATTCAAATTGAAAATTCACAAGCAGGACCAGCCTGACGGTTTCATCTATGTCTCCTGCAGGGGAAATAAGTGTCACTCCTACCATCCGAAACCTGAAATTGTTCACCACCAACCGTTTGCGTTCAACCTACTCAACAAGCTACAAATGGATCCACCACCCCTCGATCTAGCCTCCAAATCGATAGCCGACATTCAACAGCAAGCAGCGAATATCCAGCAGCTTTGCACCAATCAAAAGTCCATCAATGTTGCTGCAGCGGTAATGACCGAGCTTGAAGAGTACCTCAATCACCAAAACAAAACCTCCGCTGCCCTGACAAGAGGTCAGAAGCGTACACGCATCGTTGCCACTGCAGACATGATACCATTGGAGCTACCAACAACAGACGCCAGCAGCAAGAAGAAGAGTAGTTCTCAGAATGCAAGAAGTCCACCCAAGAAGGCAAGGAAAGAGGAAACGAGCAATATTAATACAGCGTCAAATAGCCTACCGGTAGGCAATCTGTGGTACTCTAATCTATTTTAAAAAATACTGATATTATAGTCATACTCAAATTTGTGTTAGTTGAAGTAAGTCTTCAAAGCTTTTGAAATTCTGTAGACAGCAGAGCGTCGAAATACACTCGCTCTTGGTGGGTGTATGTTTTGGAGTATCTATTTACACGCATGACTATGATCCAGTAAGATACCCGTAGTTACTTGGTTTGAGCTCCTCGTTCTTCAGTCATCTTCACTTTTTGCTTCTTTGGCGCATGAGGACTTCGATTGTCTTATGCTTTTCCACAGTACTCAAAAATGTTGGGATGATCCCGGAGCAAAGAAAAGACAACGGAAGCCCTGGGACTTTTGTCAGTCGGCTTTCGCACATCCTCATAAGAAAAATCATGAATTGTGTCAAAGTGTCCTATGGAGGATAAGGCTCGGTGGAAGATTCTAGGCCACGATGAAAGTGAAAATCCGTGGTTCGCAGACTCCATTTCGATGCCATACCGACCCCCTTGGTTGACATTCATCGCATGGCACAATTCAGTTGCATCCATGTCGTGGAAATGTACTAAGACTCGTTCTAGGCTTTTGCTGTCGGCCAACCTATTCAAGAGCGGTTGAAGCGCTTGTGGTGGCGATCGGATCGGCCAATAAAGTGAATTGTCGAACAGATTTTTGTTCAAGTGCAACCGTCGAAGACTCTTAAATAGCCATATCTTATTCGCAAACTTCATGATAGAATCATGACTGATGCGGTTGGCTCGTAAATCCAACAATTGAATCTTGCAGTCCTCCTTGCCCAAAATATGGTGCAAAAGGAAAAGCATCTCACAATCCTTCCAAGTCATCGTTCGAGATGCCGGCGTTTTTCAACATCAGTCGCTGTAAACTTCTGCCTTCGAATACTTTCCCTCTAGCATTCGTGCTGAATTTGGGAAAGTGTGGTGAGAGTGGTGCAGAATAAATGTTGAGGTCTTTCTATCTGCAGTTTTCACTGCTTAGCCATTCTTGCAATACCTCCATAGCTTCCTCTGAAACAATTTAAGATCGCGTAGTCAATAAACGCATGTTGGGTTGGTTTCATAAGGTGCGCACGAGCTTCAGAATAGGGCTGCCATGGTCCCCAACAGCTTCAACATCGAGTACCACTTCCTTGAGGTTTTGATCCCTTGTCTAAGCTTCAACAAACACGGAAAAAATTTCATCTCGAAAACCGACACCTATAAGCTTCAATCGCTTAAGACAAGTGGAACACTCCATGGCCTCAGCCAGTGCTTTTGCAGCTTCCACTCCCAAATTGTCAGGACCATGCACTTCGAGTTCCTCAATCCCATCAGGTGCCAAAAGACCGGTTGCCAGGCAAGAGTACGCGGTTGAGTCTGACAATAAGTGTGAGATGTAGCAGTAGCCACTGCAGGTCAGTTTGGACTCCCTCAGCTTGTTCATCGTTTGTCAATTCTTTGCCTCAATTTGTATGCCTATTGATATTCATACCGCGGGCAGTATATTCAATGATCATTTTTCAAATCTTCACAGAAAATCGCCTGAACGGCCGGGAAATAGAAATTTAGCATACAATTCTTGGGAGTAAATATTGATTTTCCCGGCCGTCCCTGCATGCATTGCAGTGCCTGTTGACAGAAAGACAGCCGATGAGATAATACCGGTACAAGTCATGTGTGGTACGAGTACCAGGTACCAGGTACCGGTACCACAAATGACGATGATGATTGATTCTGAAAATGAGAAAATAAGTGATTCGCAGAATATTAAAATCGCATTTTGATGAACTATACTACTGTATCCTTTTTTACGTGGATGATTGATACCAGCAGTTAAGCAGACTACCGTAGCCTTATCAACCCCAATGGCTTCCCAAGATGCATCTGATCTCCCCACTCACGAGAAATTACAAGGTGGACCACAAGGCAAACCCAACGATGATGCTGAAACATCATGGGATGCAGTGCTTCCCTACACTGGTCTGCTTGGTCGTGAAGATGAATCAGTAGATCTCTTCTCATTTGTAACAAACGACGTTGAACCAAGAAATGGGCAATTTGATCCCAAACAATGGCCACCTACCAGAGCAGGTCTGAGGCTATTACTCGACCATTTGCAAAAAATTGCCATCCAGCATGGCAGTGATTTCAACGTGGACATTTCCAAAGGCTGGTTGCTGTGCAAACGATGTAGAAAGAACTACACCGAGAAGAATAAGCAATCCGATGAAGATGGTGAACCAACAAAAGCCCGAGCTATCCACACTTCAAAGGACAACACTTCAGAGAACAATAAGGTTTGCAAATGTCGAATACGAATGTTAATTCATAAGCCGGATAAGCCTGACGGGTATATCTATGTCTCCTGTAGGGGAGTCAAGTGTCACAAGTACCATCCCAGAGAAGACAGTAAGCAATTTTCTGTCAACCTAAATCAGCTCCTCGTGGATCAGCAAACAAAAAATCTACGGAACCAATCGCGAGACGACATTCAAAAGAAGGCAATGAATATCCACCGGCTTTGCGGCACCAATCAGAAGAGCGCCAATATAGTGGTAGCAACCATGGCTGAGCTTGAACGGTTCCTCAATCAACAAAAGAACATCGCCGCCGCAAAAGCACAACAAGCTCGGAAGCGTGAAGCCGATAGTGCGGCTGCCCTACTCACAATACGAAAAACCCAAAAAAAGGCAAGGAAAGAGGAAAAACACCGATAGCACATAGCCTAGCCATTTTATGATAATGATAGAATAATACTACAATACTAAACATTTTTTCAAAGCTGTTATACGACTATAGCGAGGTGGGCGTGGAAATATACTCCTGTTTGTCGAGTGCAAACAATCTTGGGTTTTGCGCGATCTTGTAGTCTTACATTGGAGTTCCGCTTTCTTCAACGACCCTACTGTAACGTCGCGTCGCTGAGTTAACACAAACGTTTACATATTACCGGCATTTCTAGCTCGGTTGGTGTCACCGAGATCGATTGCCCCTAGGGATGCTTTGACTTCCGAGTACTCGCATCTTGGAGTAATACATCGTGATAACAAGATTGCTATAATAGAAACACTAAACAATTTTTTACATAAGACTACAAAAGTCTCAAAACACGTTAACTCCTCGATCCATGATAAAAGATTATCGGTCATGATCAATTTTCAGTCATTTCCACGAATGCTCTTTTGGGAAAAGTTCGAGATGTAGCAACAGCCACTGCAGGTCAGTTTGGACCCTCTCAGCATGTTCATCCTTGTCAACCCTTGCACTTTTCAAATCGGCGGCAAGACGTTTTGATAGATAGGCAGACATTCAGGAAGACAGACAGACCCCTCTTCGACTCACACTGGTGACGAGAAGTTCGGGAGCGAGGGCGGAAACAAGGGAAGAAACAAGGCGCACCCTCGCTCCCTTTTTACGAAACGAAACCAAACGATGCGCACAATCTGCGCGAAAAAGGTCGAAAACGAGGGAACGAGTGGATAAACGAGGGTAATCGGTACCAATCCTGGCGCAAACAAGGGAGCCCTGGCGCAAACAAGGGAGCCCTCCCTCGAACACTCCCTCGTTCCCTCATCTCATATTCATTTTAGCAATCCCTCGTTCCCTCGTTTACCACCATGTTCCCGTCCTCCCTTGTTAACCACCTTCCAGTTTAACGGTTCTCATATAGTCCGCAACTAAGAAGCACTGGCCATCCTATTTCTACGGTTCCATTTGAATTCAAACCTTTTGCTATGTAGTGCGTGCAATATTACAACAATGATAAAGGAAAATTAATTTACATTCGCTGTTACTAGTAGTACACATCTCATTTCAGTTCAACAGCAGATCATCACACTGTGTGTATGTTTCGCCTTGAATGCCTGGTTTCCATTCATGCTTGCGCCGCCAGTAAAGTGTTCAGTTGCGCTTGTGTTCATCAATCACAATCACATAGTCTTGTTTGATCACACGTAGTCTTGTTTGATCACAGGTCTGAAGCTCTTCGTGTGCAATCACACTTTTTGACTCCAGTCTGGTTTGACAGCTGGTCACTTGGATTTCCCTCTATTTCTCTGGCCAATGACAACAGCTCGAAACAAATCTAAAAATAACTGGCATCCTATATTGTACCTGTGCAGTAATGTGAAATGATTGCGGTTAGTGCAATCCAGGATTTAAGTCACCACAAGCATCCTTGACTTACCGTCTCATGTCCCAGACATCGTCCTGGTCTGATCCTTCAAGCGTCAAACATCGAAGACAACCCAAACTCAAATAATAAGAGTGTTTTCAAGATGTGATGAAGGACTACTGGTACCAGGTACCTGGTGCCTACGGTACATTTGTACGTACCCATTTTTGCAGTACGATTGCACGCAAGCCTGCCCATATCATAGCCCATGCACATACATTTCAAATCGAACCGTTAACATTCGATTGAGTCGGATTTAAAAATTGACTCCTGTGATTTGATTAGATTGTATTCCTGTGGAAGAAACTAAGAGGTAACAGGCCTCGTCTCTTGCACCATATGACCTTGTTCCCATTACAATTTGTGATAAATTTCCGGGCGATATTTTTATTATGTATCTTTAATAGATCTGTGCATACTCTGAATCAAAGTTCTTTCAGTAGAATCGATAATATTAAGGAATTCCACAAAGTCAATTGAGGAGTAGGAAAGGAAGAAAAAATTATGCTGGCCTAGAATCTTTTTTTTTTGCCAGAGCCCTCCAAACCACCGCCCAAATTCGATTACTATATGTATTTTGACAACTTTGAACTTGGTGCCATCGTGTCAGGGTATCGACTCGGCTACTGGGAAGGATTCCAGCCACTCTCTTTAATGAACCTGGATTGATCCTCAATGCAGTGTGAGTGCTATTCAATCATTTTTACCTAAAAAGCGTCCACTCCAAAGCCACCGATCTTCTCATACATACCCATGGACGACAAATATGTGTTAGAACAAGTCATTTTTAGGAAATTCGGCCCACACCACCACTAAGTGGCTTTTTGGACAAGATTTCCATGATTTCTGACCCCATTTGGGCGGCATGATTCTTAATCTAGGCGGAACCACTGCCTGGGTCCCAGAAAATTTGAGTATTAGGCATCCAAGGGAGGCTCTGGTGTATTGTTGAATAGTTGGCTGTCTCCAGGGCGGCCACACCGACCCTCATGCTGAAAGGGGAACAGACAGCACCAAACACTGGAATTCCAATATCTCAGCAAGTAACCCAAACAAAACACATCCGATTGGATCTCCGAGTAGGTAGGATCACTGCCGAGCTTTCCAACACATGTTGAATGTGAGGCATTGGCCCTCTTGACTTTCTGCCGACCAGTTTTTGCAACCTGACAGAACCAGTCGAACGAAACAGGGTAGATTGTAGTGTAATTGAGGCGATTGGAAGTATGAATCGCCACTCCAGCCATAGTCTATCTATCAATTACGCTTGCCACAGCATGTTCGGAGGTTTTTACTTCTCTGGGCGTTCACACTGGCTTGTCCAAACGTGGGGAACAATCGCACCATGGCACCTTGATGTGCTCCAAATCGTCAATTTTGGTAGTTGAGATCCCAAAAATATACATTTGCGTAGATCTTGGTCTTGATGGTGACGGTAGATATGAGTCGCATTCGTCAAATACGTCTTCTTGACACCTATCCGTCCAGTCTAAGCAACAAACAGAACCAATCATGGTGGATTATTGTGTGATTGCGGCCCAGCAAACATTATTCAACATAAATACCGCCACTCCCGACGTAACGCAGGTATCAATTATGCTTGCCACAACCTCTAATTCCACTTTCTCCGCTCATGGGGTCCAGACCGTGCAATTTCATTGTCACCGACGAATTTGCAACTCAATGGTCTCCGTTGAAAATCGTCCTGTAGAAACCCATATAAAAACACATAAAATGGTATCATTGCCTTTCGTATAACAAGAGAAGTAACTTCCGCAGAAAATTCGAGCTCTATGTTGCCTTGGGACTTCGTAGACGTCCCGAAACCTCTCCAAAAGTAGTTTTCAGACCTTTTGGAGGTACTTCAGCAGTGATTTCAGAGGCAAATAGGGCAAATTCCTCCATGTCGCTTCGTATACACAAAATATATATGACTATAATATAGACAATGTCAGGGGTTCGAGGGAATTTCTAGCAGTGGATGATGAGTTCATTGGCCTCAAGCTTACCATTTCCACTTTTCAAACGGAGACATCAAATAAATACGTCTGCGCAATGGATATCGGTGGAGACATTCGGAGCTCGCAAGACCTCTTCACGATGTCAATTTATTCATGTGCATCACTTTCGCGGAAAATACGTCGATCAAAAAGCGAAGAATCAAGGGAATGAGGTTCGAAGCGAGGGAGAAAGGGAGTTTTCAAGGCAAAAAGGGAGTTTTAAAGGCAAAAAGGGAATAAGGGAGAAAACAAGGGAAAAAACGGTTGAATGCTGGACGAAACGTCCCTTGTTCCCTCAAATGCTCCCTCGTTCCCGAACTTCTCGTCAGCAGTGCACTCTCACCTCCGACACTTTTGACTCAATAAGACTCTTGGCTTTTATTGATATGATCATATCACATCTCAACTGCGACGAGCAATCTTATGCAGAAGTAGTTGTCACCACACACCAGTGTATGATACAGGCCCGTCACCGCTTTCTCAACTTCAATGGCTTCCCAAAATGCATCTGATCTCCCTAACCAAGAGAAATTACAAGGTGGAAAACAAGCCAAACCCAACGATGATGCTGAAACATCATGGGATGCAGTGCTTCCCTACACTGGTCTGCTTGGTCGTGAAGACGAATCAGTAGATCTCTTCTCGTTTGTGACAAACGACGTCGAGCTAAGAAATGGGCAATTTGATCGCAAACAATGGCCACCTACAAAAGCCGGTTTGAGACAATTACTCAGCCATTTGCAGGAAATTGCCATCCAGCATGGCAGTGATTTCAACGTGGACATTTCCAGGGGCGGGTTGATATGCAAACGATGTCGCAAGAACCACACGGAGAAGAAAAACGAAATCAAACAGAAGAAGAGGAAGCAATCCGATGACCATGATGAACCAACAAAAACCCGAGCTATCCATACTTCAAAGGACAACACTTCAGAGAACAATAAGTTCTGCAATTGTCGAATACGAATGTTAATTCATAAGCAGGATAAGCCTGACGGGTACATCTATGTCTCCTGTAAGGGTGTGAAGTGTCACATATATCATCCCAGAGAAGACAGTAAGCAATTTTCCTTCAAACTAAATCAGCTCCTCGCGGATCAGCAAACAAAAAATCTACGGATCCAATCGCGAGACGACATTCAAACGAAGGCGATGAATATCCACCGGCTTTGCGGCACCAATCAGAAGAGCGCCAATATAGTGGTAGCGACCATGGCCGAACTTGAACGGTTCCTCAATCAACAAAAGAACATCGCCGCCGCAAAAGCACAACAAGCTCGGAAGCGTGAAGCCGATAGTGCGGCTGCCCTACTTACAATACGAGAAACCCAAAAAGGTTCAAAGAAGGCGAGGAAGGAGGAAAAGAGCGATTGCAAATAGCCTAGCCATGGATAGAACAATACTACAGAACTAAATATTTTTTTCAAGGCTGTTATACGACTATAGCGAGGTGAGCGTGGAAATATACTCCTGTTTGTGGAGTGCAAACAATCTTGGGTTTTGCGCGATCTTGTGGTACAATAGAGTTCCGCTTTCTTCAACGAACCCAATGTAACGTCGCTGAATCCACACAGACGTTTACAGATCACCGGCATTTCTGGCTCGGTTGATGTCACCGAGATCGATGGTCCCTGTGGATGCTTTGACTTCCGAATACTTGGAGTAATCGTCTTGTCCAATGGGGACTTGAGAAAAGATTGCTAGAACCACCGCCAAGCCTATAGCACCTAGAACTTTGGTGAGCATTCCCGAGCCCTCTGATTCTTCCGCTTCCTTCCAGCCTTCCGACAAGAACATGGCTTCTGGAACCACAACTTCTGCTTCCGGTGCTGCCTGTGCCCCATCGTCAACAGCTCCTTCTTCGCCTTGATCAGCTTCTTCCCGTAGCTTTTTCAGTTGTTCTTCAAGTTTTGCAATTTCTTCTTCCTTATCGGTGGCCATTCGCAGAGTTTGGAGACTCGGCCGTACATTCGATGATGTGGATAATTTGATTGATCGGGTTCTACTGTGTGAGCTGGTGACCTGGAAAGCTTGTAGGGTTGATGTCTGGCATAATAATATCAGACTTATGCATAAGAGAAGCTGGTGAATACTATTCTTCATTTTGGCTAACGAGCTTGTTTGTTGAGTTGGAGATCCAGAATGTAGACCTCTATGCAAAGGCTTCTGATGTGTTGCAGGATTGCTGTGACGTTTTTGTTGATGCGACGATACCGGTACGTGATCGAGGTCGAATATTCCACTGAGCACCCGGATTTTTAAAAATCGGAGGATCCATGATGTTGATGTGTCGTCTCCATCGTCGGTGTACTAGTAAATAACAATAAGATACATGATTGGGGTATCGAGAAGAATACAATAGACGATAAATAGTTTTGGATGAGCGTGGTCAGAATCTATTGATGTGTAGGTCTAGATAATTTACTTTCCGATCCAAAGCTTTCCGGCATCGGTCTCGCCAGACTTAAGCTTCTTCCAGGCTTCGTGGGTCTCCTCGATGACTTCCTTGGTGGTGGCAACATCCAAGTACTTCTCGTCAAATCCAAAGGAGTTGATGGGCTTGTCATCGGGGGTCTTGTACCATCTGAACCATTCTCGGATTCCTGCCTTGATGGACTCAGGAACATCATCAATGTCGTTGTATTCCTTAGCCAATGGATCGTCAGTGGCAACGGCAAGGACCTTCCAGTCCAATTCACCGTCATCAATCATGGCCAAAACACCAAGGGGCTTGACTGGCTTGACGGATCCCATAGCAAGAGCCGCAGATCCGATTTCAACAACATCGATCGGATCGTCGTCTCCAAAGCACTTGAGCTCAGGGTGCTCAACGTTGGGGTCCTCCCAGGTTTGTGGAAGACACCCGTAGTTCCAGAAGATGGGTCCGTGGTAGTCCCTCAACTTTCCCTTCTTAATGTCTTGGGCAATTGGGTTGCTCTCTTCCTTGGTGGAGACTTCCATCTTAGCCTTGGTCATCTTGGGGATCTCGACAACCATATTGTAAGAACCGTCCTCAGAAGAGAGGGGGATGTCATGCCAAGGAGAGATGTCTCCATCCTCAGTCTTGAACTTAAGACGGAAGGACTCGGTGGCTTCCTCGCCGATAACCTCAGTGGAAGTGCTGAACAGGGCAGAAGCCATGGTAGCAAAGGTTGGGCGGGCAGCAGCAGGAGCCCATGCCGAAGCAGGGACGGTAAGAGCAAGAATAGAGACAATTGGGAACTTCATGGTTTGGTTGTTGTTGTTGACCGATGTGTATCTGTATTGCCGATAATACAAGCGACGTGCAAACCGAGAGAGGGTCGTACTACTTGGACGAAGATTCCTTACCACGGGTGGCATCACAAACGTATGCGTCGAACTGTGATGTGATTTGGCGGGCATTCATTGTCAGCAAGAAGCCTACACGTGGATGTCGGTGGATATTGTATTCGTACGAGTCGATTCATTCGTCTGATCAAAATGATGAAACGAAAAGCAATATCAAAACTGTTATTACTATTACATCCCGAAAGATGGATGCGATACCGACGTTTCAGCAATCCTATACTGATAGATTTGCTTGTATCTTGTACTGTATCGTGAGCTGGCTGATAAGTTTGTTCGTATGAACACTGAAGAAGCTCGGCCCGACTGACTGGACCCATGAGACTGCGCGTTTTCTCCCAAGCCGGCCTTTGCATAATTTCAATTTTATCAAAAACATGATCCAAACCAAAAAATCGTATCCATTGCGGATCGTCGTCTTCTTCGTCATCGTCGTCGCATCATCCTTTGCCATGCCAATCTCTTCCAAAGTCTTTATTGCCGGTGCTACTGGTGCTACGGGAAAACATGTGGTTCAACAACTTCTTGAGAAGGGAAACTCGGTCGTTGCTGTCACAAGATCCAAAGATACCATGATGGGTCTGATTCCACAGAAAGATTATGGAGATCGTTTGCAGATTCACGAGGCATCCATTTTGGATCTTTCCGATGACGAGCTCAAGTCATTGACCAAGGGCTGTTCGGCTGTGGTTAGTTGTCTGGGGCACAGACCTACCTTTGATGGCCTGTTTGGGCACCCAAAACGTTTGGTAACCGACGCCACGAAAAGGTTGACAGCTGCCATGCCATCCGACTCCAAATTCATCCTTATGGGAACCGAAGCAGTCCAACTACCAATTGATCCCAAGCGAACTTTCTTGGAACGTTCGGTTCTATTTCTACTGAGAAATCTGCTCCCACCTCATGTTGACAATGAAGAAGTGGCCGCCTTTTTGCAAGAGCACAAGGAAATCAATTGGTCCGCTCTTCGACCAACCAATCTGGTCGACGCGGATGAGGCCGATGGCATTTACAAAATCCAGGAAGAATCATCTCTTCCTTTGTTTGGGAGTCAGGCCATTTCCAGAGCAAATGTGGCCCATTTCATGGTCGAACTTGTGACCAACGAAAGCACCTATTCACAGTGGAAGCACAAGATGCCCGTCATTGTCGAGAAAGAAAGTGAAACGAAAGCTGAGCTGTAAACTATAGAGTGATGACACATATGTCAAATGTCTTATATGATCACATCGTGCATGATTGGATAATAGAGAAGTAGTGAGTGGTGCTGTGTACTATGGTCTTCTTGGTGTTCTTGTTCTTCCTTTCTTCGTTGAATTTCTTGCTAGTTAACACGAAGGGGGAAAGTGCCGAAACTCACAACCGAAATGAGTGCATGATTACAAATAAAATAGAACATTACAAAACATGCAAATCGAATCAAATGCATATACCGTATGGAGATGCTCCATTCGTCCGTCTACCGGTACTTCTCCATAACGATCAATAGAACAGCAATATAAAATAAGCCTCTTAAGACTCTTTCAAAAGGGTGTGGACATTGGGGGAGGGGACTTTTGAAAATGTCATACAAACTCATAAAATCACATCATTCAGAACAATGACAATGTTGACAATACATACATATAATGACTAATCTTATTCCTCAGCATGCTGAAATTCTTACCAAAGCCGTCGAGCTTGTACAGGCTTTCTACTTGGACCATCCTGAGATCAAGGTGTCTCACGGATGGAAGCATGTTCATGCCGTTTGGAAGCATACCCAACAGGCTCTGATTTCATACTTTCACAATGACGAAAACATTAATGAAAATGATAGCCGATCATCATGGTCGTCAAGTAAAATCTCTATAGAGATTCAGCTAGCATCCTTGTTGCACGATTTGGATGATCGAAAGTATTTTCCAAAACCAAAGATTACTCGTCTCTTGCCGAATAAATACAGCAATGCTGCGGCTCTCTTGGAGCAACTCGGAATTGAGGTTATTGAAGGACTACCGGTAGGCGGTAGTGGCAACGACACTTTGATCAAGAATTATAGTGATAGAATTTCCGGTCATATTATTCTGCAGATGATCTCCTGGGTTTCCTGTTCCGAAAATGGCAATCTAGTTCCTAAATTGGTCCAAGAGACAGGAGCCTATCATCTGTTGATACCACGATGGGCGGATCGGTTGGAAGCCGTTGGTGCCAGGGGAGTCGTTCGGTGCTATCAATACAATAAGGAACAACAGTCAGCCCCATTGTTCAGTGATCAATCGCCACGTCCAAAGAATGAGCAAGAGCTGTGGTTCCTGTTGCAATCCAATCCCAATCGACTCCATGACTACATGGATCGGGGAGGCACAAGCACAGATATGATATCCCACTACTACGACAAACTTTTGCCTGTGGCGAAGCCACCCAAGTCTATCGTTCGAAACCAATACCTTGAAACTCAAGCAGATCTTGGAGCCAAACATCTCGTGGAGGTCTGCGTCCGATTTGGAAAAAGTGGAACTGTAGACAAGGACTACATGGATCAACTCGCGATGACATTGGGCTGAACAATTACAGCTATGTGTGGCCTTGGAGGTGACTGCCAGCCCAACACTCGACATGCGCATGATTGGGCAACAAAGCAGCGAGAATTGCTGCGATTACTTCGTGAATCTCGAACGATCCGTAGCCGCAATCATCGAGTACTTTTCCTGTCAAATTGCGCATTCTTTGTTGCCACTAGAGCAAAAGCCAGTCTCTTCCCAACTGAAAGGATCTCGACTGGAATTCGTTTGATCACTTGATTGTCAGATGGCTTTGGGCATGGAGCTCATGGAAAATTCTACTACACAGCGCAATTGGCGGGTGCCGTGCCATCCGTGAAATTGTTGTTTGCTGAAGAAAAAAAACACACTCGCACAAGCATGAGGAAAAGGGTCATTTTTTTGAGAAAACAACAAGCGACTCGACCCATACCTAATGAGCAATTTCCCAAGACCGTCAAATCGGCTGGTACACTACCAGTCATTTGATTGTCGTTCAGCCAAAGCGTATTCAAGTTTAGATCACCGACCTCCGGAATGCTTCCTGTTATACGATTGTATGCCAGATTGAAGGAAGCTTCAGATACACAGATAGATGTGTGAGTCGACTGAATGAATACCCACATCTCCCATGACGAAGAAAACCGCAACAGCTTACATAGCGTCGAAATGTTGAACAAAGTCTGTGGTAGAGTTCCAGAGAAACGATTCACACTCAAACTCAGCGTTACCAAGGGCATGGCGCCAAACAGACTCGAAACTGTTCCGGTTATTTCATTGTCATCGATCCAAAGCCCAGTCAACTGAAGTCCAAGAATTTCTTTCGGAATGGGACCTATGAGTTGCAATCCATCCAAACAGTGAGCTACAATATTTGGCATCTAAATCACGATTGAAACACAGGACAAGCTTACCTGTCAAACGGTTCGATGCTAGAGCAAGTGCTGATAGCTTCGTGAGAGCTCCCAATTCGCTTGGAATACGTCTGCAGAAAGGATGAAGCACCGCAAAGCAGAACGGTCAGATTGAGATTGATTTCCACGGAGGACACTGCCGGCAAACAGGACTTACCCGCTCAAATTATTGTCCCAGAGTTCCAGACCACCGAGATCCGAGAGCAAGCCTTTAAAAAATGCAATGGTGAGCCAAGTATCGTCAAGTCTAATCATAACAACACTGTCTCGTTTTCAACCACCTACCCAATGTAGTCGGAATGGTACCGGTAAACGAATTGCCTCGTAACACGAGGTTATCTTCACAATGCGAAACAAATTAGAATCTATCGAAAGGTGTCAGTGTCATGCAAACAGTGCATACAGGTACTCACTTAATCTGGTCAATAGATACAGCTCGGTCGGTATCGTCCCTACTTGTGTAACAGCATCAGCTTCCAATTCAAGTGACGTGATGGAAAAAAAAGAACATGCAGTATGGAATGCTGGAATGCCAAACCCGTGACATTGATATGGTTCCCAGTTCGATGAGTTGAAGTGCACTGACGCGTTGAAAACTGCCAAAGCGAAACGCTCGAGCACAAAACCCTGATTCTCAGCCACACTGTTGTCATTGCATAAAAATTCGGATAACTCGTCGTTGGAAAGTACATTTGCCGCTGTGCCCTGTTCTGTCGATAGATCGAAAATCGAAAAATTACGACCCGACAATATCTCGGTCAAACACTTTGAAGGTACCCCAAATGACAGCTGAGTATCACTCCTCACGCTTCCAGATCGAATTGGGACTGATGTGGTATCAGGGCCATAGTAGATAGCAATATTGTGGTCCAAGCAAATGACGCCCAAGCAAATTGCGCTCGTTGATAGCTCACACCGGGATCCGAATGGCACGCGGATGGTCTCTGCATAGCTCCGTTTGCAATTCGTTTCGTTAATCAAAATATGCTGAGGGACGTGCAAGTAGGTTATACCATCGCATCGGACATTGACTGTGGCGGTGCTGCAGAAAGGATCGCTAAAGCCTACAATCGCATTCCACTCTTCACTATCAAGAATCTCAAAATCTCTCAGCTCGATTGTCACTGATGCCATCTTAGGATCCTCGCAAAACTCATATCCCAAAATATTGAATTCATCTATTCCCTGCGCTTGACTGTCGAGACCGAACGCGAAAGAGAGTCCGCCAAGACCGCACTGTGGCCCTCGACAGGAACCACCACAGCAATCACCGCCATCGTAATCATAGTACTCCGTGTTAAAGTAAGGATTGCAGAAGGCATCACTTTCAAATGCGGTAATGCAAAATGAAAAAGACGTGAGTGGAATGTAGTAGACGCTAGTTTCATACATCAGGAACTCGAACGCAGTGTCGACTCACCCCAGTGGCAATTGATGGCACAGTGCTCCGTAACCTCCATTTATACAATCGCATGTTTGATTCGCTCTGCAGACGCCTCCATAGCCGCAAGGATTGGTACTGTTGTTGCATGTTGCGCATTCTACAACCATTTCCACTGGCCTCGATGAATCTGCTGTCGGGTAGTTGTAAGGAACTCTAGGGTCCTGTTCCCGCATTCGAAACCATCGCAGGCCTAGTGGCGTATGTGAATTCGGTGTGCCTATCGTTGAGCCGGTAACAAGACTTACGTTGCCGCCAACGCTTATGGTTGCATTCAAAATCGACAAGAATTCTGGGTCGTTGTCCATGTATTCCTGCATCGACAGGTCATTTCCTGACGCCTTGGACTTCAGTTTGTCTGTGAGAACCCAGCTTTGTCCGGTAAAGAAGATGAGGTCAAAGCTCTGAGGAGTACTAGATGCTCCGACATATATCGGATGCGCTAGAGCCTCGTAGGTAAAGGCTGTGGCTTCCTTGCTGTTCACCATGGCCTTGGAGAAGAAGGTTGATCGCGGCACTTCTTGGTTGGCATCGATTGATCCTTCCACAGTCAGCTGCTCACATATTTCTGCAGAATTGTCAATGATAAATCTTTCGCATTCAGATGTTGGATTCAACACTCGTGAAATTTGTAGACTCCCAAGCGAAATGCCATCAATGGAAAACCATTGAGTATTGTCTGCTAGTTCAAGTATATCATATGTGGTTGTTGGTGAAGTTCTTCCCTGCCAATCATGACAAGGATCTGACGAGGAGCCAATCGAAAACGTCCAAGCTTGCTCGCCTCCAATGTCACTACAAAATCCAAAGTTTCCTCCAGTCTCCTCGAATCCAATCTGCCTGTATGGTAGTCGTCGGTCGTATTTCGGTCCTTTTCTATCCGCGCCATAGCAACCATTGAACAGTGCAGCAAAGGGTATAGCCCCTTCTGCCACTTCAAGCTTGATCACTTGTGCAGCCAGTCTACCTGTGTTTTGCCAGATGATAGCATAGAAGAAAAGTCCTAGCAATAAGCCAAGAACTCCAAAGATCCCAATCACGTGTGCATATTTGTAGAACCAGGCTCGACTCCAAGAGCTCTCGTCGACCCTGTTTCTGTTGTCTTGCTGAAACTTTGCTTCTGCAATACATTTTGCAGCATGTTCGCATTGGTTTCCAAAATACCCGAGCTGACCAAGGTTAAAGGCTAGATCATCAAGTTCGGAAACGAATTTTACTCCCAAGAAATTCTGAATCGAACAAACATAGTTAGACAAGAAAGTAAAAGAAACCACGAACCTTTGCATCCAAACATACCAGCAAAACATCAAATACCGTCTGTGATTGAACAGCAAGAACAAAAGAGGCCAAGACAGAGAGGAAACCCTGGAAGAACCGAATGAAGCAAGAGAAATTCCATTGAGCCTTGGTCATTCGTTGAAATCCATCATCTCCCTTGAACCTTGTCGGTAGGCCATCAAAGTATGCCTCAATAGCACTTCGCAGATCATCTTGATCCATAATGGCAATAATAGTCGCAAGCGCCTGAGCTAAATGGACAATAGTAGGGACATTGACCGGGAATACCACTACATCGGCCTCTGCTGTGCCTTGAGTCTGATCTGTAAGTAGGAGTGCTAGAAGGACAATTTGAACCGCAATAACCAATAAGGATATCCAAAAGGGTCGACTGTTGAATTCCCACGAGGAAACGATGGAGTACACGTCCCGGGGCAATTGATACTCCTCTTCTGCCTTAATATCAGAATCATTGAATTCTCCTTCTTCGCATCTGCTCACTGATAAGTCATCTTCTTCCTCATTTCCGATCCTACGCCATGGTAAATGGTTGTTATCGAGCGGTGAGATTCTTTTTTCAGCGATCGATAACCTCCTCTGTAGTTTCTTAATTTCCGCTTCAGAGTGCTGGACTTTGGTTTCTACATGGTCGACTCGTTCAATAAGGAGTTGAACCAAGGTGTCATCAGATTCAGACTTGTTGTTACTGTCTTCCACATGTGATTTGCTCTCGTCCTTCATCGCCAATGACCATGCATCCATATCACGCAGAGAAAAGATGATGATGAGGTAAAATGAAGCAGATGGGGACAGGGAGTTTTGCACATGTGTATTATGATATTGAAATTTGTGCGCTTCTGATGAGATTGGTATTGACTCCTCCGACTAACTGAGTACATTACTATGTTCTATACAATCCATGGAAATATAGACATCTTAAGGCATACAATCGCTCTTTCTATTCAAAAGAAAGGGCAAAGACAGTCGCAATCGCCAGCATTTCGGCAAGCTCCAATCAGCACCGAGTACAATCGTTGTTCAATCATCACACAGTGCAGACGGCAGGTGCTATCCCCCCACTGAAATTGTTGTTCTGAAGGGTGCAAACCGTCAAGTTCGTGAGCGCCAAAATGTCGAGTGGAATCTCCCCTGTTAACGAATTATTCATCAAATTCAAAGAAGCTGTGTCACCAGACGTACAACAAAAGCACACGGCGAAGCATGAGATGAAGACCAAGAAAGGAAAAGAATTTTCGCAGACGTTGAACTCACCTAACGGCAATGCTCCGAGTTCAGATGGCATGGGTCCCTGATTCAAAACAAAACGAGGCATCAGGAGTAAGTACATGGGCACCTAAGACCACAGCAAAAGATAAGCCAAACTCTTGCGCTCATCACTTACTGTCAAAAGGTTGTCATCAAACCAGATACCAGATAGATTCTTCAATCTTGCCAGTTCCGTTGGTATGGTACCAGTAACTACGATTGGGATCGGCAAAAGTCAGATACCACAATCGTCCTGACACGACAGCTGAAGGGTTTGTTGTACATCTTTTGACAGACTTACGTTTATTGGATGCCAATCCCAACGCAAGCAACGAAGAAAGGTTGGCCAATTCAGTCGGTATGCTTCCAGTCACTTCAGTCGGAATCGGCAACATTGATTGACAAGTGTTAGTCATCATAATAAACAAACAGTGTCTTTGGTAGAAACCTACGTTGGTTCCCCCAAATTTCAAGCCCTTCGAGCCGCGGTAGTGTCAGCTTCGGAATTGTTCCAATCAATCTGTTCAGCCTCAGTGTCAAAAACTCTTCAACGACAACATTGAGTTAGATATTTCTGCACAAAGCCAGCGTTATTTGACAGCGAGTCCTTACCAAGATTCGTCAGCAGATTAATCTCTGTAGGGATAGTTCCAGAGATCTCCCCTGCGTCAGCCGCAAGAGTCAAAGATGTAATCGACCAGTTTGAGCAGGCAGTCCTCACAGCGGGTATACCCCAACCGTGGCATTGCTATGCAGTAGAGAACACAAATTCAGTATATTGTTGACTTTTGCGCAAGTTTCAATGAGCAACTTACGTATGCATCCCAGTTGGAAGACTTGAAGTGAAGGGACGCGTTTAATACTGCCAATGCATACCGTTCGAACAGCAAGTTATTATGCTCAATGCAAATAAACTCGGATATACCATCATTGGAAAGGTCCCTTGCTGCCTGCCCTTGATGCGTCGATATATCAAAAATTGTAGAGCTGTGGCGAAGCAACGACTTCGTCAAGCACTTGGAAGGTACTCCAAATGACATCTTGGTTTGATTCTTCACGCTTCCTGATTGAATTGGCGCGGACTCGGTATCGCTACCGTAAAAGACGGTGACGTTGTGGTCCAAGCAAATTAGACCAAAGCAAGCTATGCTCGACGATAACTCACACTTGGACCCAAAAGGAACCTGAATGGTCTCGGTAAAAGACAAAGTACAATCAGATTCGTTGTTGAATGTGTGTGCTGGGAAATGCAAGTATGAGACGCCATCACATCTAACATTGATAGTCGAGGTACTGCAAAAGGTGGCGCCCTCCTCGTTCCCAGCAACTGCATTATACTCGTCATTCTGAAGAACCTTAAAATTATGCAACTCAATTGTCAGAGGCGCCATGGAAGGGTCCTCACAAAACTCATACCCCAAGATGCTAAACAGATCTCTTGACTGATCGCCATCAATATCAAAGGGACGCGAGAGACCTCCAAGTCCACATTGAGGCCCAATACACGAACCAGCTGCCAGATCCAAAACAACGGCAAGGAAACGTTGAGTGGTGCAATGGGTCGAATCATGATGGACGCAAAGTAAGAGCTCTTACCGCAGCAGTCGCCACCGTCCCAGCCAAACTGTTCTGAATTGAAATATGGATGGCACACTGCGTCTCCAATTGGAACATGAGTGCACAGAGCTCCAGAACCACCATTTATGCAGTCGCAAACTCCACCCTCCAAGCAAATGCCACCAAATGAGCAGGGATTGGTAATATTATTGCATGTTGCACAACTTAAATGGATCTCCACCGGTCGCGATTGATCTCCAGTTGGATAGTTGTACGGTAAAGTGGGATCTTGTTCCTGCATGCGGAACCACCGCATCCCCAGCGGTGTGTACTGGTTATCTTCGTTGTTTACTGAATTTGTAACAATGTTGACATGAGCCCCTGTATATATCATGTTTTTTAAGATTTCAGAGAATGCTGGATCACTGTCCAAGTATTCCTGCATTGAAAGCTCACTTTGTTCTCTAGTAATGTTGGACTCGATGAGGTCCGTCAGAACCCAGCTTTGTCCGGTGAACAAGACGAGATCATATTTGCCGGGAATGCTAGAATTGCCAACGAATATCGGGTGTGTCAGAGCTGGATATGTATAGACCGAACTGTCCGAATTGTTCAGAAAGACTTTGTTGAAGAACTTGGATCGTGACTCTTGCTGGCGGGCGGCATCAATGTGCCCGTCAAATTCCAGCTGTTCACAGATGATCACCCCGCTTTGGTCAAATGGAGTTCTTCCGCAAGCATTTACGGCTGCTCCCAACACTGATGAAACTTCAATGTTTCCAAATGGTTGGCCTTCTCGTGCAAACCACTGAGATCCTCCTGCACCATCAAGGATGCTGTATGTGGTTGTCGGCTCACTTCTTCCATTGTAATCACGACAAGGATCAGTCGCCAATTCGCCTATCATAAACGTCCACGCTTGTTCCCCTTCAAGATCACCACAAAAACCAAACTTCCCTCCAGACTTCTCAAAACCCATCTGCTCGTATTCGAGTCGTCTCTCGTGCCTTGTCCCTGCTTGACTCACTCTGTAACAGCCCCTGAACAACGAGGCGAAGGGAACTTCGCCATCGGCAGCTTGCATCCTAATAACTTGTGGAGAGAAAGCGCCACTATTTTGACTGATAAGGACGTAAAAGAAGAGTGCGAGCAACATTGCTAGAATTCCAAAGACTCCGAATACATGAGCATACTTGAAGAACCAAGCGCAACTCCACGTTGTCTCATCGACCTTGTTTCGGTTGTCTTGCTGGAATTGTGCTTCTGAAATACGTTTTGCTGCCCGCTCACATTTCCTCCCAAAATATCCGATTAGACTGAGGTTGAAGGCAAGATCGTCAAGCTCAGATACAAACTTGACTCCCAAAAAGTTCAATAGTACATCAAATACTGTCTCAGACTGAACAGCAAGAACAAAACTGGCAAACACGCTCAAGAACCCTTGTAGAAAACGGACAGCACAAGAAAAGTTCCATTGCATCTTGCTCATTCCGTGGAAAGCAATGTCACCTTTGAACCTTGTCGGCAGACCATCGAAAAATGCCTCGATAGCACTTCTGAGATCATCTTGATCCATAATCGCAATAATGGTAGCAAGTGCTTGAGCAGCATGGACAATACTTGGTACATTCGCCGGCACGACGACCAGTTCATTAGCTCCTGTAGATCCAATCTGATCCGTAAGCAACAGCAGGAGGAGCGTAATCTGAACTGCAATGACCATCAAGGCGGTGAAGAAGGGTCGACTTTTGGGTGGCCAAGCTGAAACAACAGAGTAAATGTCCATTGGAAGGTCGTATTCTTCATCTGGCTTGATGTCGCGATCTCTAAATTCTCCGTGCTCACATTTATCGGCTGCGCTCTTGGTGCAAGCAAGTATCCGTCTCCAAGGAATACCGTTGTTATCATGATGCGGTGAAAGTCTCTGTTCTGCTTTCACCAACCTTCTTTGTAGGTCTTCAATTACATGTTCCGACTTTGAAGCTTGGCTTTCAATGCGGTCAACTCTTTCAATTAGAAGTGACATCGACGACGGATCGTATGTATCGGACTCATCTTCATGTTTTTTCATGGTAATTGACCAAGCATCTGCTGCCATTTGGCTTGTTTGTGTATACTAACTATATTGTACTGTACATGTGATTCTGAGATGCGATCCGCGTGATCAACACAGATCAGAATTTCTCCTAAAAAAGCTACAGGAGTACCAAAGAATGTTCCGGCAATTGAACCAAGACCAAGTGAACAAGAGTACCTGGTACCAGGTAGAAGCAAGGCTTAAGACTCGAACTCGTACTGTACCGTACACTTCTACACTTTTGCAGAAATATGTGTTAATCCATTCCATCCAAGACCTGGTGATAGCATACTGTAGTTGTCCGATCTCACTACAGTGCTGGCTCCTGTAGTAGTAGCTACTAGTACGACTAGTACGAGCTCTTCCATTTTTGTTGCTTCCATCTCACTTTCCAATCGGAGTGCTCGTTCGCCCATATGATCCACTCTGGCAATCAGAAGATGACGCTTTGACCACTCATCATCAACATCATCATCATAAGACGATTTTGGATCTAAATGCGTGCCAGGTATTAAAATTTATGATGTTGCAGCTTTTGCAGTTCTCATTCACGAGCAGGAATCATTCCTCGGGTGGTGACGTCAGACACAAGAATTTGTCATTATTGACCTGACGAGGACGGAGTCCTCGAACCGAAGCATCCTCATCGTATCATCATCATCATCACCAAAGCTGTTATTTCGACAACGACAAACATCTGTTTTCTGTTGGCGAGCGCAATCTAAGATTTTGTAAATAGAGAAAGATAGAGAACTGTCAAACGATGCAATTCAAGATCACTTCCGCGCTCAGCGTCCTCCTGTTGGTTCCATCGACCTTTGGATTTTCCAACACAGCAGGAGTGTCCCAAGTATCTTGTTCCAGTCAGTCTCTGGTAACACCCAATAAGTCACTACACATTCTACAGAGCACCAATGATGTCGACAACGAAGCCAAGGTCCTCACCAAGGAAGAAATCACTGAAAGCTTGTACTTTCCATTGACCTTCGACGACATGGTCAAGCAAACCTCGTCCACAATGCAAGCGGCCTACGAAAAGGGCATGACACGACAGACCATTCGAATCTTACTTCCCCGCAGTACGGATAGCGAAAACCTAGGGCAGTTCTACGAGACAGATGCCGAAAATGAAATGGGCGACAGTGTTCTAGTCCCACCAGATGAAACCTGGCAAGGAGGAATTATGCAACTGTACCGAGCCTGCAGTTATTCCTGTCAAGAAATTCTTCGGTACGTATCTCTCAAGCTGCTATTGGAAAGTGGAGAATGGAAAGCCTTTTTCTTCTATGACCATTGTGGACTTATTCCTTGGCTGTCCCTGTCCTTCTCACATTTTAATGTGTCTATTCGTTTCCTTTCTTCTGTTGCTCTCGTCGTTTCTCCACCGAAACAGTCAGTTTACCCGGAATGCGGCTGGTGGTGTCGTCCCCCGCTTGCAAGAAGATCGATCGGTTGATGAATCTGGTGTCGATGGTATTGGTTTGTGGCTCACACAAGGTTCTACTCCCGCAGATGATGTTTCTTGCTTTGTGCAACCCGCTCAAGAAACGGTCAGTGCCATTGAATCCATCAGTCAACAAGCTGGCAGTCGATTGGTCACCTTGATGAATCCCCAATGGAGAATCACAGATGACGCCTTGGATACGGCCAGTCGATCCGAAGGTGCTTGGGGAACTTTTGCTTCCTTTTTGGGTGGCAAGGGTGGATCTCTTCGTAAATTGGAAGAGTTGGGCTTTACCAATGTCTTTGTCATGGAAGGTTATGTCTGTCGGGGTGGCAATACCCGCATGATGAAGCGCTTCGATTCCGACTGGGCTGTCTTTGCCGAGAATGATGCTGGAACCGAGTTCATCAAGGTTGGAACCAGCGAGACCCGACCCACCTACCAAGACATTGATGCCATGTTGGAAGAAAAGGGTGTGGCATTGAAGTATGCCCGTGACATTGGTTTGGCTCCCAAACTATAAATAAAATGAAAGCTGCATAATAAAGATAGTAGACACACGATTTTTGGCTTCGGTTTGAACTACAGCATACCAGCAGCTGTTGTTGGAACAGACTGCGAATTGGTTAGTGTCTCCTCCTTCTGAACCCAAGAATCCCGCTAGCTACAACATGACACACTGCCTTTTTTATAATACATCTTTTGCATACAGTATTTCATTATCTTATATACTCAAGAAGATTGCATACCGGTACATCCGATACAAATTGAAGGCAAGTCTATGACTGTGATATTATGAGCAAATTAGCCTCGGTCCCTTCACCGCCTCGAAAGTTCTACCTGCAGCGTAGTTGTGTTGTTGTTGGAACAGACTGTGAATTGGTTAGTGTCTCCTCCTGAACCTAAGAAGCCCGCTCTCGACAACATGAGACACAGGATTCTTTTCATTAATCTTTTGCATACAGCATTTCATTATTATACGATCAAGAACACTGCATACATACAATACAAAATGAAGGCAAGTCTATGTTTGTGATAGTATGAGCAAAGGATACCAGCAGGACGATATCGTCTCGAAAAATCTACCTGATCCCGACACCACCGAACGTCGCTTGGATTTCATTTGTCACAATGGTATTATTGGGTCTGTAGATGCTCGCTATTGCCAATACGGCGGAGGAAGCACTATCACTTACGAAGAAGAAAGGTGAAATATGGTTTATTGTTGTGAAATTGATTGATTCCAAATTGGTCATGTACCGTATTCAGGGAGAAAATATGTGGTCCCCGGGTTGCCACAATCAAATCGTCCAGCATAACAAAGGTCTCAATCGCATTGAATTCTTTGCTCTTCAACGTTTTATGATTTGAACACTGGCCGGAAACTATCGCTTCTGATGATTGATTCAGCAGAGCAGAAGATGCAAAGACAAATAAGAAGGATTATGCAACCATGGATACAAGTAATATCATACTGCCATCACTTTCACTTGATTTCCATTATATCGTAATTCTTCTATCGTAGTACACGCACGTCATTTACAGCAGTCCGGTATTACATTTTCATGGAAACAATAAACCTTTCATCATTTTGCGTTGATGGCCGTGTTTTAGCACAAAGTGCGTACGAAACGGCACTTTTGGTATCTTTGAAACGATGGTTCAGAACTTCTGCTGGATTGTCAAGACGCTTCTTCGCATTTCGAATTCAATTTGGAAGACTTGGATTGGCTCAAAATAATCGCAGTAGTCAATTTACTTGATTTTTCAGGTAGATTTGACCAACCACATCTGCCGTGACTACGACGGAAGTTTTCGGCTTATGGTTTTTACCGGCAGAGAAGGCATGTGGGTTCTCTGATGCTGCGCTCTGCTCTCACAAAAGTAAAAACACACATCAAAACTCACTGCCACTTTTGTCGATCACCTCGGACAACACTCACCCATTACATTACACCGTATTGCATTGAGCTTGACCGAGAACTTCTATCAAGTCGGTCTTCTAACATCTACCAATACCAGTAAAGGAAAAGTGGAGAAAGCAAACAAATTCGAGTTCTGAAAGATCTGACACCAAGAACCCTATAGCAAAAGTACCTGAACAAGCACAACAAAGCGAAAGCCATCATGAATACTACTTCACTACGTTCCAAGCAAACCCAAAACTTTGTCAAGAAGAGCCTTCGAGCCATCTCTTCCACAACAAAAGCAGCATCCACATTACCAAGCAACGGTTCTCTCATGTCCTGGAATGATGGTAATATTCAAAACGCTGTTGGTTCCACTCGCAAGGTCTCTGTTGCCTCGGCGAATGCTGGAAGTGACGACGGCGACGACAACTTTCCCATGAAATTGTCTCACTTTATTCAGAGACGCCGCACCGAACAACAAGTCGATGAACATCATCATTATTACTCCCAACAAGCACATCAGCAAACACAAACACTCCAAGAGAAATGGTCCAAACTCGCTTCACTCACCATGGATCCCAGTATTGGTGACCTGGCAAAAGCTTTTCATGTCGAATCATCTCAAGAATCGTCTTTGTCCGCATTACCACAGACACTGACAGAAGCCATGTCCGACTCGAGACCATGCATGATTTCCTCCGTTGATGATCCCTTTAAAATTGTCAATGTCAATCAAGCTTGGTGTCACGCTTATGGCTACTCCAAGGATAAAGTGTTGAATCAAAATATGGTAAAGTTGTTGGGCAACTCGCAAGCGTTGGAAGACTTTGTATCAGAGCAATTGATGTGGAACGAATCGACATCCACAAAAGCAACCAAAATGCCTCCAGCTACAATGCATTATAGCAGAGATGGAACTCCTGTTAACGAACCATTGCGAGTGGGAACCCTCTCCATTGGTGCCGATGTCTCGGATCGTTACATTGTCTGTGTGACGGAAATGGAGTCTACCTTTGACAATGCTTCTTCCTTTTCCATTCCACCACCAACACCTGCCACACAAAAGAATCAGAATCAGATGGTTACGTGTCTGGAAGATTATCATTTGCAGCAAGGGTGGTTTGGACAAGCAGGTTTGGCCTAAGAAGACTCACTCATTTTTTCCTATTCTATACTATCAATAAAATATACTACTAGCCACTTTTCATCTTTTACATGTTGTGTTGTATTGTATCCATAGCTACAGTAGTTTCAGAAATTTTTAGACGCTTGGTTTCATTGGAACGCGCAACTGACTAGTTTTCAGAATTAAAACCATCCTTTCATGCTACCAACTGCTTGTAAGAGTCCGCTGTGAGGCAAAGTTAGAGAAGGTCTGGTGCGTAGTATTCTTCCTGGGTTCAGGCAGACGAGGAATAGAATATTATCCTTCAGTGCCATTCGAAACGGCTATCATCTCCGTGGAAGGAAGAAGTTATCAACGGTCAACAAGTCGTCAAAAGCCGTTGCTGGCCCACTATATACTGCGTTTTCGCAATCTAATGGTAGACTCGCTCCATGCTCTTCATTGGCGACCGAAATTTTCCACTTGGTTCTTTCAGGAGGAGCGAGGAGATGGCACCAACAAGCTAAAAAGCCAAATCATGTCGCCATCCACATTTCATACTTCTTTCGCCTTGATTCTCAAACTCACTTTTAGTACGATTACACTATGATTATCACATGCTAAAGCAAACCTTTCGTCACTTTGAGTTTCTTTCAGAAGATGCGATTTGTATCAGAAATGTTCGGAAGAGATTCGGGAGTCAAACGCCTGTTCGCGACTAAAGTTCGGTCGACTTTGATTGGCTCCCAGAGGTCGCAGAACTAGCTCACAAAAGTGACCACCATGACGTAACCTTTTGTTTTCTGCACGTGATACATCCAGTACAATATATTTTCTTCGAACGAAATCTTCTCACAAAGTATCATAGCAACCGACTGTGAATTGCCAGAGCACAAAAAAGAACATAGACATCATGAGTGCTTCACTACGTTCTAAGCAAACGCAGAGATTTGTCACGACGAGTCTTCGAGCAATTTCTTCCACAGCAAAGACAGAATCTACGTTGACAGGACAAGGTTCTCGCGTGTCGTCCTGGAATCATGGCAGTAAGAAGAAGAATCAGAATACTGTCGGTTCCACTCCCACTCGCAACGTTTCAGGTACATCCTCGTCGGTTGCTGGAGACGACTTTCCCATGAAATTGTCTCACTTGGTTCAGAGTCGCAGGGAGTATCATCATGCTGAACATCATCATCATGCTGAACATCATCATCATGCTGAACATCATCATCATGGTGATGATCACAATGCACAAGAACCAACACTCCGAGAGAAATGGACCAAACTTGCCTCACTTACTATGGATCCTTACATCGGAGAAATGGCGGAAAATGTTGTGAAATGTCAAGAAGCATTGCCACAGACATTGAGCCAAGCCTTGTCCGACTCGAGACCTTGTATGGTTGCATCCATCCACAATCCCTTTACCATTGTCAATGTGAACGAAGCTTGGTGTCATGCGTATGGATATTCCAAGGAAAACGTTTTGAATCAAAACATGGTGAAATTACTTGGCAACTCACAAGCATTGGAAGACTTTGTATTGGAACAAGTTCTACTACTGTTGCATGAATCGCCGTCATCCGCAGAAACTCCAATTATTGCAAGTACAACCCATTATACAAAAGATGGAACTCCTGTCAACGAACCGTTGAGGATGGGAACTCTTTCCATTGGCGGTAGTGCCAATGTCTCGGATCGTTACATTGTATGTGTGACAGAAATGGACTATAATTTTGCCCCTGATGCCACAAGCAACAACTTTAATAATAAGATGATTACCAGTCTGGAGGATCATCGTTTGCAGCATGACGTGGGCTTTGGACATGTTACTGGTTTGGCCTGAACAAGAGACGACGACTGACCTACTCCATGATCACTGTACTACATGTGTATATATTGTACCCACTTTTCCTCCACCTTTTGTTACATCCCAACCATAGCTCAACTACCTAGAGTATAATATAATATATAATAGTACATTACTTCCTTTGATAAAGATGAGGTTCGAAGAGTACAGGTATCGATTTTGAGGAGGAGATGCAATGTGACACTTTTTGGCGACTGCGCACCCAAAAATTCACCTTCCGGGCAGAATGACCCATTCGATCGAACAGCAGACTCTCAACTCTCATCTTCAAACAAAAGAACAACCCTAGAGCAGCGACATATCTCTTCCAATCGACATATCTCTTCCAATCGACATATCTCTGTCTCTTTCTCTCTCTCATCGTTAGTCCATTCTTCAGTGACAAAGCTGCTGTGTTGAGTGTGTCAATATCAATCGACAACACAAGAATCACTAGAATATCTAGCTAGCTAGCTATAGCTATATTATACAATAACACAAACATACGAGACAACACAATAAGTACAAAAAGACACAACTATAATACTCCATCATGAGATTCCGCAAAAAGAAAACCAAGGTCGAAGACATTGGTGCCATGGACGAAACTCCTGAGGATGAGACCTTTTTCAAAGAGGAAGCCAAGCGCAATCTAGAAGAGTTGTGTAACGAATTGATTGAACGTACCAAGAGGGAAACCGAACTCATTCGACAGCACTTGGGAATTGATGATAGGGGGTGTTGTTTACGACATCCCAACCAATTCATTACTGACAAGGTATTGCCCAATCGGCGCTTTGAAACCATCAAAATTTGTTTGATTTGCGATTCCGAATTAAAGGCCGGTGGAAAAGCTCAGCGCAAGAGTATGACCAATGTGATTTCCGACTTGAACACCCTTATTGAAGACAAGACGGCCTGGCGCAACAAAACCAGTGTCATGTACAATGGACAAATTCCAGAAGAAGAGGAAGAAAATGAAGAAGAAGAAAACGCAGGCACCACCTTCAAGAAATGGGAACCCGCCAATCCAGAAGTGGAGCACAAGGATTTCTCCCACATGCTCAAATTCTACAACCCAGAAGTGGAAGAAGAACAAGCCAAGGCTCGAAAAAAGAGCTTTCGAAAGAAAAAGAAGGCAGGAGACGATGAATCGGAAGATATTTCCGCCATCATCGAGCATGAAGACGTTATGTGGAAGGAGGAAGTCAAGCAACGAGTAGCACACGTACGAGCATGGGATGGTGACATGGCACTGAAGCAGAATCCTGTCTATGCCAAGTACTTTCGAATGGTCAATGTTGGTAAGCACTTATTTTGCGTACTGTGCAGTATATTGCGATGTTTGATGTAGGGTTTGTTCACAAGCTCATATTGTTGTTGCTGTTTCGTGTGAATACTACTATATTAGGCATTCCCATGCAAGGCATCCAACAGGCAATGGAGATGGACGGCTTGGACATTCGTATCATGTCGTTGGATCCCAATCGGCCACTCCAAGATCAAGTTGATGACATTCCGGACATGTCCGAGGAGGAACGAGAAACGTTACGCCGGGGTGATCAATTGGCCTTGATGAGAGATGATGATATCTTTGAACCCTTGACCATTGACGAAACTGTGGAAATGATTCATCGAGCTTATGAACGACGGGCCTACTTTATGCAAGAACTAGAAGACGAAAGAAATCCGGAGAAACGAAAGTTGCAGAAGAAGCTCATGAAGAAACTTGGAAAGGGGAGAGCGCCTCCACCACCTCTGATTGAACCAAAAAGACGAGAATTGCCACCCAAACCAGAAGAGGAAGGAAAAGGAGAGGAAGAGGAGGAAGAAAATAAGATCGAAAGGCGACCAGCTCCTTCACCAAGAGCAAGGCCTGCGTCTTCTCCTCTTACCGTCGATACCACCGTGCCACCCAAGAGATCCAGCCGCGGCGTGTCCTGGTCAAACCGAGAACAAGTAACCACTACAGAAGATATCGACAGTAGTCTCAGGGGAGAGCCAAGGTCACAGTCCCGTATCCATACCCCGTCATCTGTGAGCAGCACCCACGCGACCATGGGCACCCCTAGAGCTGCTGCTACACCTTCTCCCAAGGGTGGTCTCTTGTCTGCTGATACAGCGGATTCCCAGCCTCCCGTACTCTTTCCCGAACCAGATGACAAATTGCCGGGGTTCTATTCGGACGAAGAATTGTTACGAATCTCGAAAAAGAGACGCCCCTTCAAGCCGGTCACCAAACTTGGTGCTACGAAATATGCCGTGGCCCGCACCAAGGAAGAACTCGCGCAAGCCGAAAAGGAATTGCTCCAACGAACGGTCATTACCAATAGTCTCAAGACGCAATTGGAACGTTTGCAAAAGGCATTGGAAGAGGCGGATATGGACGTGGAGGATTTGCAACACGAATTGTACCAACTGGACCCGGCCGATCCGCTCTGTACCCGCCCCTCCAAGCAAGAAGAAAAGCAGGACGAGGACGGTCCATCCTCACCCTTTAAAAATGTGGACCGCAGCGATGTCGTCAAGGCTCGCATGTCAAAATTGTCCATCATGCCAAGAACTCTTCCACGATGATGAGAGAGAAAAAAATGCAAAATAGTGAAAAAGTACGGATGAATGAGTGAATCAATCACCATCTAGTGTTGGCTAGATAGCATAGTAGTATTTTAAAATTTGATTCTAGACTACCTTTACTATATCTACAGCACGATCAAATATGACATGGCTTCATTACTGGTATCACAACATTTTGCTTCCGAATGAATGTATTGATGAATCATCGTGTCTTTTCCCCCCTTCCGAATAAGTGATTTCACAATTGCGCCAGGCCATTGCTAATCATCATCATAATCATGTGTAACTATATGCTGTGCCAATTCTGACTCGTTTTATTTTACATGTGATCATGATTTTTGTGATAATAATAACCATAGATCTGATATTGTTGTTTCTCTTGCTGTGTCATTCCATTAATTCCATTCCAAGCAGCTTGTTTTGCTCCCACTCTCTCTCTCCCAGTAGTTCTCCTCGAACTAACTCCTCGAGTACACCACCATTGCCTGTGAGGCCCATTTGTGTACATCCTTATTCGTCTCCCGAAATCTATCAAGTGCTTCGATAATCGGCAGACCCACTCGTTTTTCGTGCATCAAATCCTTGACTTCCTCAATTTGCCCCACCTCATAAAAATATATACATCCTCGTTTTTGGGCATATTCCTTTTCGGGCCATCGTTTCATGCATTCCAATACGAGATCAACACATTCTTCCGATGCCACTTCGGCCTTGATGGCATCGTCCACTTCTAACGATAGATTTGTTAATAGACCGAGTGCCGAAGATTTGAACAAGTAATCGTCTTGCGGACCTTCTTCGTGAGCTCGGACGGCTTCGATGATGGTCAAAATACCTCCCGAATTGACAATAAAGGTTTTGGTCGATGGGACAAAGAAGGATATACGAATCAGCAATTGAAATGTCATGTAGCAGAATTCTTGGGACTGTGTGTGCCACTTTTCCAATGCCATGAGGGCATTGCCGACTCCATCAAAATGGGCAATCTTCTCGGCCGAGTCTTTGCGCAAGCCCTTTTCGGAGGATTGATCTAGTGGCTTGTATAGTGCTTTAAGAGCTTCCGTGGCTTCCGCTACATCATTGGCCCGCCGTAATTTGCGGAGCATTTCATTGACTTCTTTTTCGGTTAGCCGTCCTCTCCGTATAGCGTACATATCTCGGAAGTGTGTCTTGGTGGATTGGAGCAACTCATCCACGGATTGACTACTTCGGAAGATCCGTAACATCGTGTCTGATAGTTGTCTGTTGCTTATTCGGTAATGGCAGAATGTATGTTTGTGACGGACGTGATAGTGATATTGTTATGTTGGCTTCCGTTTCTGTTTCTGTTTAGTCTGTTTCACCTTCTCATCTATTTCTCGAACCTCTACTGTAGTATAGTTAGATTGCAGGCAATACACACACAAACTCTCTCCCTTCAACTGTCAATAATGATGATGCTGCCTGTCATTCAAAAGTCGCGGTTATCGGTTTGAAATCTTTCCAAAGCCAGTCACGCTCTGCGTCACGCCGGTCGGCACGCTACAATGAAAAAGTCATAATTTTGGCGGAGCGTAAGATTGATTTCACATTCAAGCTTTGTCGTTCGGAGACCATTTACTTATACGACATTCGTTTTTGTTAAATACCAAAGATCGGCTAACTTCTTTCACTTATGGTTTGATAAGCGGATTAAACATTTTCGCCTCCAGTACGGCACCTCTTTCCATCGACGACGGTTCCGGGTAGCAATTAATCACCAAAAAAACACATCAGCCATCCTTGTATATGGCAGGCAAGAAGGAAAGTTGTCTTTTGTCTTGCGCAGAGCACTATAACTCGACAATTGATTTTCATCTCTTCCTTGCTGCTACACTTTTGTTTGGCTGATTTTTTGACTGCAATCATTGCATTATTTCTCAATAAAAATCAACGCTGATTAAGATGCCACTTTTTCGGAAATCCAAGAAACCGGTCGATAAAGGCTTGAGCGATCTTCCCGAGGAAGTGGATGAGAACTATGAAACAAATAATCCTGCAGCTTTGTCCCCCGAAGAAAAAGAAGAGGAAGAGGCTCGATTGCGAGGCACACGACAAAAGATGCGCAACAGCAAGGACAACAATCGATCTCCCTCTACACGACTGCAAGAAGCCGAGATACGGCGGAATCAAATGAAATTGGCTCGACAAATACCAGAAGATAATAATAATGCAGAAGAAGAAGAAAACGAAGATGCTGCCAAAATAGAAACCTTGTTGGGTGTTACCGAAACAGGTTGCTGTAAGAAACATACCATGTTTTTGATTCGATCCGGTTCGGTGGAAAAATCCAATCGATTCGAAACCATTTTGGATTGCAAATTGTGTCGGCAGGATTCCATGCAAGTCCAACAAGAAAAGAAGGATCAATTGTATCGGTTTGTCGATGCAGCTACCGGCCAAGTCAAACAATTCTTTAAAAATCCCACCAAGATGAAATGGAAGGACAAGAAGAATCAGGGAACCTACAAAAGTGACGAAGGAGATATCGATGGGGCCTGGAAGGAGCAAGCTTCCTTGAGGTTGGATCAAGTCTTGACTTGGGACATTGATAATGGTCCCCTCAAGAGTAATCCGCAATATGCCAAGTACTTTCGAATGATCAAAGATGGTACGTACTACTAATCAATTTTTGACCTGATTCATGATATGATGATGGTGGTGCAACAGTATTCTGAATGTGTATATTGTCTGTTTCCTTGCCATTGCTAACTACTGTTGCTATTAGGTTCCGATGTGCGAGCAGTCCGGGAAATCTGCAAAAAGGATGGCATGAATCCGCGGGTATTGGATTTTGATCCCTTTCTACCGTTAGAACAACAATTGAACGAATCCACAGTACTGTCGCAGACGACCAAGGACGAAATTCGGTTGAGTGCCTTGGGAGAAGGAACCACTCCCGAAGAATTGTACGAGGCAGTGAATAATTTACACAAGCTATATGTCAAGAAATACAACAAGGAAATTGCGTCGAGGCCGCCTCCGACGCCAAGGGGAATCAGTCCGACCAAGAGTTTGGTCAACAGCATTGCCAGCAGCTTTGCGATTCGACCAACCACTGTTAAGAAGGAGGCAGCGCCAATCACCGAATTACCATCCTCCTCTTCTGCCGCCAACAACTCCATGCAACCAAATAGCATGGCAACTCCTGTGATTGCGACACCCGTCAAGGCGACACCGGTTCAAAACAAATCATCGTCCGGGAAACCAATAAAGAAAGCCACGCCAAAAATGCCAATGGATGAAAAGGAATTTTTGAGAGAAAAGGAAATGCAAGAGATTCGAGAATTGCATCAGGATCAGAGAGAGGCGAAAGAAAGAAGACGAGAGAAGAGAAAGGTGGACAAGTTGACTGGTCTTGTTAAGGGCAAAAATCAAAAGCGCAACCTCAAGTTGCTGCGGGCAATGGAACAACTGGAATTGACCAAAGATCAGCTTCTTGGCGTTCGACTAAAAGTTGACGAAAAGAATGCCCAGGGTACCGACTTGATTGCTCAAATTCAAATGCTTCAAATCCAGTTTGACGAAAGGACCAAATACCAAAAGGCCCTTTCCACACGAGTTAATGACTTGCGAAAGGAACGGGGCATGCCCCCAAGACAAGCACGGCGTATGCCTCCAAGACGTGTGGAGTCAACGGATGACACTTCCACCGGATCATATGATGGATTTGGTGAATACTCCCCTAGGCAAAAAAGTGACCGCAGCCTGGGATCATCCGTTCCTATACCCTTGGCTCCCGGTGATTATGATGATAAGATGATATCCATTAGCGACAAGCTTCGAGCCGACGACGATGACGAAGAAAACGAAAATGACACACCGAGGACAAGGAAGCGAAAGTCGGCAAGAAGTGGCCGCCGAAGGCGCAAGTCCAATACTACCGTGGCATCGAAACGATCGGTGGCTTCCAAACGTCGCGAACCCAATTTCGATCCGGAGTTCTTGATTGAAAAGTTCCAAGAGGCAATCCGAAAGTTAATTACGATCAACCGATTCTTTCAACAAGCCAACGATCTGGCCATGGCCAAAGAGTCTAACGTGGACCAGAAGAGTTTTGGTATGCGCAAGAGTGTGTTGACTGACTTGGTATTGCCCGATTTTAATGAGGACGAGGAGTGGGAATACTACGATGTGGAAATTGAGGAAGACGAAGATTTTGATGAGGATGAATTTGACGGCGATGAGTCTACTGTAGACAGCTTAGGCCCGTTGCCATCATTTGGAAGAAATTCTCTTCAGAGCATGCCCTTGTTTAGTCCAGCTGGCAAGAACGGTCGAAAGTCCTTAGTACTTAAGAGATCGCCGAGTGTCGCAAGTATCCCGGCTCCACCACCCGTCAATCCGGATTCCAAGGTTAGATGGAATGACGACAAGCTCTATACTGTCCGAGTCATTCCGCGGCTACCAGAAGACGAAGATCTTTTCTATACAACGGACGAAATCAAATTATTCCGCTTTGAAAAATTCATGGACGACAATGCCGATGAATTTGAGGTCGTCGATGATGAAGAATGGGAAGAAGAAGAGATCATTGAAGACGACGACTATTCCATCGAATCCTTTGACGACGAAAGCTACTACTCGCAAGATGAATCTGTCAAAAGCGGACGATCCTTTCGGCGAAGTTCCGATGGGGCTTTTGCCTCAAATAAAAAGGGGTGGAGCTATGACGAATCAATGTTTGAAATTAAACCATTGGAAGCTGCTGCGCCAGCCAGCACCAATGAAAACGAGGCGAAACCCATTGAGTCCAAGCCAGCTTCTGTGGATACCATTTTCCGCGAGCGAAGTCCTAACACTGAGGACAAAACGGATCTCACCAGTCAAGCGTCAGCTAACATTTTGGATGATCTAATTGACCAAGTGGATGCTCTGATCAAACGAAAGACTTCCGAATTTGAACCGACGCCGTCCATGGCGAAAGAAAGCGCAACTGCAAGTAGGGGTTTGCCTGAAATGAACATCAAAAGCGATCAGCAAGCACCAGACGAGGATCCTGCGAGTGAGCCAAACGAATCACTCGCGGCCTTGGCAGATGATGAAATCCAAGAGTTGCGGCGAACATTCCATGCTTTTGATACCAATGGTTCAGGGTACATTGAACACGACGAATTGAAGGCGAACCTCAAAACTGTTGGTTACAATATCAACGAAGAAGGTATCGATAATTTGCTTTCAATGGTTGATTCCAAGGATGGCAGACTCAATTTCGAAGAGTTCATTGCTTGGAATCGTGTTCTCTGGAAGGATGATATGAATGAAAAGTTCAAGGCAATTGACGCTAAGAACCGAGGCTATATCGATCAGAGTCAGCTTAAGGCATACGTTGTTGACCTGGGCCATGGCTTTACCGACGAGGAACTGGAAGAACTGTGCTACGAAATGGATCCAGAGGGGAACGATAGAATCCTGTTGGACGGCTTCATCAATGTCATGGTACGGCACCTGGGTCAATATTCGTGAATTGTGTGCCCCATTCAATTATTCTGACTAACAAATTTTCTTGCTTTTCTAAAGGCTGCATCTCGAGCTGGCAATTCGTACTGCGTGGTGAATGGGGAGCTATACATCGAAAAGCTAAAGACTGACTTTCAATCAATGGACACTGACGACACTGGGTACATTACAAGGGAAAATTTGCAAGAAATGGCGACACAATCTGATTATATCTTATCGGAGAAAGAGTTGGACGAAACCATGAAGGAATTGGATCTTGACGGAAATGGTCAAATCAGCATTGATGAATTCATTGCGGCCTCCGTTCGAATCAAAGATCCGTCGGCTGCAGAGGAGCCGGATCAATCCAGTAGTAGCGATGGGTTCGCAAGCGGAAAGGGCGGCATTCATAGGTTGTCAGAGAGTAGAATGTCCCTACTAGATGAAGGAAAAGGTGGGCTGGAAACCGTTTTGGAGTCGAAACAGGAGCATCAAGCCACGGAGGCAGAGAAGTATCGCCAGATGATAGCAAGACTTGAAGCCAGAGAGAAATCATCCAAAAGTGAAGCAGGTGACGATGAAGAAACTCCAAAGGCTTCACCCAAGTCTTCGATCGCCAGCACATCCGAAACTGAAGCAGGTGATGATGAAGAAATTCCGAAGGCTTCACCCAAGTCGTCGATCGCCAGCACATCAGAAAATACTGAAAACTCGGTCCATAGCAAGGTCGCAGCTACGGGAGCCAAGGAAAAAAATACACTCTCCAATTTCTTTGGAAGAACATCCCAAAATCAGCAAGCAATACGACAGGGTAGCAAAAGTTCGCTCTCCTACATCGATCAGAAGAGAACTGTTGAAATGAACAAAAGCAATGAGGTTTCCTTGGCCGACCTGTCAGTACTGACCAGCGATGTCTTTGGTTCCGACAGTTATTCTGTACTACCATCACCCGACGTGAAAGAGCAACAACAGACGGAATCTACCAAAGTGGCGCCCGGAACTGAGGCATTCAAGAATATTGTTGACAATGTTCGAACAAAGATAGGAGCTCTAGCAGCAGAGGACACACCAAGTGAGGCGGATGGAAACGAGACAAAGAAAACGGAGGAAGTTTTTGTTCCCCCGGCAAACACGAGAATGTCGAGCATTACTGTCGACGAGACCCTGAAAAACTTGGACGACACCCCCGACAAGACAGAGGAGAGGAAGACTGCTTCTGCCCCTGCACCAGAACCTGCTGCTAAAATTCCCGATATCTTCAAAGAGAGGGCCAAGGCTCCTGCACCAGCACCTGTCGTCCCCAATGCCTTCAAAAAGAAGTCCCAATTTCTTCGAGAGTCTGATTCCAAAATGCCAAAGAAAAAGGCAATATTAAAACGAGAATCCACAGGTGGCTCCAAGTCGTCCATGTCCATGGACGATTGGAGCAGTGATGGCGGCGGTGACGAAACCGATACCCCACGATCTAGCAGACGCCAAGAAAGTCAAAATAACGATCCCAACAATGCCAGTCTCCCCCTCATCATAATGGGCGACAAGCTCGAAGCGGACAAAGAAGCAGGAGTGGATGGAATCGCTCCCAAAAAGAGACGGCGCAAGAGACGAACCTCCAAGAAAAAACCCGAACGAGAACCCAATTTGGATCCCCAGTTCCTTCGGGATACCTTCAAACAACGCATTCGCAAACTTATTTCTCTGAATCGTTTCTTCCAACAAGCCACCGATGCCAAATTTGACAAGGAAATGGGTACCGATCGCAAGTCTTTTGCGACAACTGGTAGTGGATTGTCGTTACTAAACAAGTTGAGTGCCAGTGACATTACCGAAATGGACGAGCTGTATGACAGCGATGATTCGGATGGCGAGACGGACGAGGTTGGCAGCATGGTTTCCTTTGGTTTGAGTGGTGTTACTAATGCGGCAAATGCTCATGCTGGTGGTCGAGGATTGAACCGTGAATTGTCAACCATGAGCATGCAATCCACCACCTGTTTTATTCCTCCTGCCATAAGTGCTCAACCCAAACGTAGTTCCGTCATGACCCAAGAACGGAAGGAAGCACGAGCTGGCATCAACGTTGGGTTCAAACCCGAAAGCAAGATGCTCAAGGTGAAATTGGTTCCATTCCTTACCGACGAACAGACCCAAGAATTCTTTTGGACGGAACAAGAATTGAAGTTATTTCGTTTCGAAAAGTTTATGGAAGACAATTCCAATGAATTTGCATTGGTGGATGACGATGAAGTCGAATATGAAGAGGAGGAATTCGAAGAGGTTTCTTGGGTTTCTGGTGATGTTAGCTATGACGAAGTTAGCTATGAGGAAGAAACCATTGCCGAGGATTGAACAGTGAACAGTAAATTGTCGACCATAAGCATGCAATCCGCCTCCAGCTTTGTTCCTCCTGCGATGAGTGCCCGACCCAAACGAAGTGCCGTTATGACCCAAGAAACCATTGAGTAAAGCTAGCTATGACGAAAAAACCAACCGAGACAGCACAATAAAATTATCATAATGTATTGAGTAGTGAAGAATCATCTATATATTGATATGAGCAATGACAAAAAATATATGAACAATGACAAATGAAATGAGTTGGCAAATGTCTTTGCTTCCATAGAAACGACTCGAACGATCCAATGCACGCAATCCAATCGTTTTTTATTCTCAAGTATCCGACGTTTCCACGATTTGAGTGAGAAAGGTTCCGTCTTGTGTGTTTCTCGTTCACAATTTCAGATCCAATATCATTGTATTATCAATGCTACAGGATAGATAATTTGTCTTCTTTCTCTTTTGCAAGCTCTATTTTTTAAAACTTGGTCTACGTACCGGTAGCTACTTTTCGTAGCATGATGAAGTGTAATGATACTAAGGACTAGCAGGAGGAGGAGTCACATGAGTTTTAAAACCAAAATGATGAAGATGTCACATCGCCAAAGTCACATATGGGAATCATTTTAAAAGTTGCAAATTATCCATCGGGAACCAATTTTTGAGGTGCACGATAACATTCCTTTGTCCATAGTACCTGGTACTACTCTTGTTGCTTGGTGCACCTTCTACTCACGAAATCGTCAAGCCGTTCAATATTTCAACAGTCTAGCAAAAGTTGGAATACTAAAACTCTACAGTACTATGCAACACACTGCTACAATACTAAACAATATTTCATTTTCAAATGGTATCAAAATCATTCTCTTTATATGCTATTGCACGTTATTCTATTGCTCAAACTTCCATGTGTCACATGCTCAAATTTGAACCTTGTTTTGAATTCTCATTGTCATGGCGTGCGCGAAATGCCCATATTTGTCGACGCACGAATGTGGGAGGGCAGGCGACTCTTGGCGCTCACCATCCCCCTTGGTAGGGCGATTGGAGAGATGTCGTTGGAAACCTACCAGAAACGATTGGATCGGAATACCATTGGTGCGCTGTACTTCCGTTGAGATATGTCCGGTCTCTAAGTAGTCATCCGTTGAGGACACAACTTCTCGAAAGACACGTGTAAGGTCGACGTTGTGTCTTGTACGGACAAACAAAATTCGTCACGTCCAAAAGTCCAAATAATCATCGGTTGAAAGCCAAACGAAGCAAGCGTTGTTGCGAATTCAAACCCAAACAAATAAGCGTTGCATCTAAACCTCAAACCAATATTGTTGTCTTGTCAAGAAGTCAATACATTAATTGTAGTCAGAACAAATCAACCATCCACAACGCCCACAAACCCAAACAAAGACAAAGACAAACACAACCACAAACACCGATAGAAAGATGATGAGAACGATTGCCACCACAGTGTGCCTCGTGGCCGCACTAGTCGCGACCACCGATGCTCGCAGTGTCAAGGGACGTCAACTACGAGACCCAGACGTAGATGAAATGGACATGGCCCTCTTTCGAGAACACGAAGAAGGTTTCCCAGGCGGTCTCTTTTACGAAGACACGGAAGGGGAGGCCAAGTTGCAGCAAATGGTTCCTCAATGGAGACAAGTTGGAACCACCAAGGGAAAAGGAAGCAGCTGGAAGTCCAAAAAGTGCGACAAGTCGCGACGCAACTTGCAAAGTGGCAAGGGTTCCAGCAAGAGCGGCAAGGGCGGAAAGGGTTCCAGCAAGGGCTGCAGCAATACTCCCACCACGGGTGGTGGTGGCGTCGTCTCTCCCCCCTCTCCTTGGTTTGGCAATCCATCCCCATCCATGCCCGTCACTTCCCCCACTTGGCCTTCGTCGCCTTCTTGGCCAACTTCTCCAACCAACCCAACTTCACCTACTACCCCTACTTCACCCACTACCCCTACATCTCCATCAACCCCCACCATTGCGGTCCCTGTTGGACAGCCAATTGCAGTCCCCGTTGGACAGCCCATTGCTGTCCCCGTGAGTCCCATTTCCAGTGACTGGCAAGGTTCGGACGGAGATGGTAGAACGGACACTGCCGTTCCACGAGACTGGGATGCCAACTCGGCCGTCTGCGCTTCCATTGCGGCGTCTTCCAACAAGAAGGCTGGTGGTCCCGCCATTGCCTTTAACGATTTGAGTCTTGATGTGGATTTGGATCTTCGCATTCGCAGTAAAAACAATCTGAATGTTCCGGTCCTAGTCGATACCTACTCCAAGTATGTCCGTCTCTATACTTTGGGATGCTTTGATGAGGCCAGTGCGGAATTGACCTCCGTGACTGGAAGAAGACGATTGCAGACGGAGCCACTCTTTCAGGCCACCATGAATAGTTGGTTTGGTAAGTAACAACATTGTGCCATCAATATATGAATGAAAATGGATATCTTGCATGCATGACCAATACTAACTTGGAATTTTTCAATCCCTCTCAACGAGCAGAAGATGGAAATACTTGTGTTGGAACAAGCCCCAAGACTTGTGATTATTTTAACAATATCTGGGTCTATTACCAAAACAATGGGAATGGTGCTCCCAATGAGGCGGAAGTCAAGCAACGTGTCCGAGAAGCTCTCTCTGTCATTGCGCAAGCCTTGGAAACCCATCCTGATGTTGATGATGTTGCCGTTGATACGGTTGCCATCTCTGCCGCAAGAGGAGGCGGTGAGAGCGATGGTGATACCACCAGTGCTGGAACCATTGTTGGTGCCACAGCTGGTGGTTTGGCGGCTTTGCTATTGCTTCTGTTCTTGGCCAAGCGCAACAAGGACAGTGATGAAGTCTCCCACCTCAAGTTTGTCGAAGACGACGAGACCTTTGTCAATGAGTTTGAAGGCAAGAATGGAATTTCCGACTCGGATTCGGACGCTGAAAACCGACGCGCCCACATTGTCGGTGAATCCGATTCCGTCATGTCCGGATGGACCGGATACTCGGTTGATGAAGATTCCATTTGCAGCGACGCCGATCGATCCGGCAAGCTGGGACACCAAATGGGAGACGTTCACATTTGTTCGTCGGCTACCTGCGAGACGTGCGAAAAGAGACGGCAATTGGGAGTGACGTTCATCAAGACGTCGGCGCCGCCCATGCCCGATCGACCGCCATCGGTACCACGAGATGCCACGAGAGAATATGTCGCGGAAGATGTGGTGGCACTGTAAATGCATGACCATGATATGCAAACATATATATCGTAAGCCTTCTTTTTATGGGAATGGAAGGGAGGATTTCTTTTGCGTTTCTTCGTCACGCATATATATCAGTGAATATTTCTTGGTGTGCTTGTATCACGCACACGTCCGTCTACCAACAACACACGCTTGTAACCATTAGAGATTATATATACTATAATAAAAATATGATTATTTCATTCATCATAATGTATCATTGCAATGAACACTGATTCTTACTGTTATAGGTACAGTAGTATGGATGGACAGATGGTTTATGCGGAATAATATCATGGTCGTGTAGTTGGCTGGAGTATACCTATACCAGTAATGAAACGACAGAAGCCTCTCTGTTCAAAACGAACCATCTTGTAGACTGTATATACATACGTACCATAGAGAGAGAGAGAACATGTCAACGAGAAACTTATATAGGAGCCAAAGGTGAAACTAGTTACCTCGTAAAGTTACTAGCTGGATACGCCTTCCTTACTTCTAGCTCTCTTCTAGTTGTATAGACGACTGTCACCAGTAAAGCACAGACGCCTGCGTCTTGCTCGCTCGTCAAACTATGAGCCAAAGGTAGGAAGAGCCAAACTATGAGCCAAAGGTAGGAAGAGCCAAACTATGAGCCAAAGGTAGGAAGAGCAAAGGTAGGAAGAGTCAAAGAATGAGCCAAAGAATGAGCCAAAGAATGAGCCAAAGAATGAGCCAAAGAATGAGCCAACGCTCGTATACCATCCAGAATCATGACGGTAGGGGGACAGGTACGACTAGTAATACTAGATCAATAAGAAGAAGCGTCATTTTTGTTTCTGGGCTTTTAGCATGAGCCAAAGAGATCAAGAGTGAGCCAAGAAGAAGTGGTATTGCAAGCATATCCCGAGTCAAGTGGAAAAGTGCCGAGCCAAATGAAGAGCCACTACGAGGAACGGAGCTGAGCTAGTATACAGAATAAGAATATCGAGCCACGAGGAAAGAGTACTTGCACCACAAAAGACTATAGTTGTCGGGCCAAACGGAACGAATTGGTGGTGAGCCACAAAGAAACCTGGCTCCGAGCCATGAAGGGGGTCAGCCATCATGTATGAGAGCCAAATGGTATTATCCTAAGTCCAGAAGTTGAGCTATACAGGAGAGCCACGAATGAAGGTACTGCCGAGATACGAGGAGGAATGGATCTTAGAAGGAATGGTGATGACGATCCATTCGAGAGCAACTGAAAGTGGTATTTTTAAGAATAGAGGCTGAGCCAAGCGGAACAGTACCGAGCCAAAGTGAATAACAATGGTGAGCCACGACGACAAATGTGAGCCAAGGTATGAGCCAAAGGGAACAGATCGTGAGCCAGGCATGGGATTTCGAGATTGGGAAAGGATGGGGGATAAAGAAGTTGACATGAGAGTGAAGAATGCGTCAAATAGTCCTACCGAGATCGGTTCCCGAGTTTAAGGGCCAAAGAGGTTTACAGCAGTGGGATCAAGCATATTAAAAGTTACTGTAAGTGTTCAGACGTGTTCAGTCAAATATGTATGACCCAACGATGAGATGAGACATCAACGATGAGCCACGACGAAAAAGTGAGATGATGAGCCACAGCGAACAAATTGATGAGCCAATGTATCGGATGAAGCACAGACAATTAGACTTTTTTTCAACTCTATCTCTGGCATGAGAGCCTTTTGGTTCGTACGAACTTTCATACGGGGTACCAGATACCATATCGGTAAAAATAAGCGCTACTAGAACAGAAAAGGCGGCAATCCTTCATATCAGGAAGTGCCAAGCACAACGATGGTCGGCCATGATGGCAGAACGAGTGGAACTATGCGTGGCGGGATGCTAACTTGCAGGCTTACGAGAACAATTTAGGGGTGTGAATGATGTAGATAGACATCAGACTACGTCACTTCCTGAACTCGAACCCGCTTTCGTTCGATACTCGGCTGCTTCAGCACGATTGCCGCTCGATTCAAGAGTATCAGCTATCTGTTGGCACGCAGCAGTGGCTCTCGAATGCTCATTTCCGTATTTCTTTTCGCAGATGCCAACTGCGTCTGTGTACATTTTCAAAGATTTTTTCAATCGGTTTTGCTTTAACAAAGTGGCACCCATCATCACGTAGGTGTTGGCAATACTCTCGTGCTCTTCACCATGCATCTTCTTTTACAGCCCAAGCGCTTTGTAATGCAACATCATGGCCCGTCCAAGGGTGCCCTGCTGAGACAGCACCAAGGCCATTCCGTTGTATATGAATGCTATCGATACGTCTTCGGACCCAAATGCTTCTTGGGACGCGTCCAGCGCCTTTTGGTATGAGGACATTGCCTCTTCTGGCTTGTCTTCTCCTGCGAGTTCCTTTGCCCTCTCCAGCTCGTATTCAATCAGTGCCAAGGTTTCCTCACCTAAACTCTTTTTCTTGATTTCAAGATACTTTTCGTATGCCTCATTTGCTTCATTGTCCTTTCCTTGCTTTCTCAAGAGGGAGCTGATCAATGCATAGATATCACCGACTGTCACATCATCGTCACCGAGCGCAATTCTCTGAATACCCAACGCCGACTGATACATCTCCAAGGCGCGATCATATTTCCGTTGGACACAAGACATGTCACCGACTTTTAAGAAGGCATTCGCTATCGACAAGTGTTCTTCTCCCAGTGTCCGTCTGTAGATTCCAATGGCCTTGAAATAGTGTTCTTCAGCCTTTTCCCGCTGTCCTTGTCCACTTAAAACGTTGGCAAGCTTGACGAGAGTATCGGCAACAAACGAGTGGTCCTCGCCCAACGTTTTCTTCAAGATGACTAGCGCCTTTTCATATCTTGACCGCGCCAATTCTGTTCTTCCTTGCAATTCCAGTATATTGCCCAAGTAGACAAACCTTTCTGCAACTTGTGCATCGTCTTCTCCAAGGGTCTTCTTTTTGATGGTCAGTGAGGTTTGGAACTTGTTCATTGCTCCATCAAGATCACCGCGGAGTTGGAGCACCGTTGCTTGATTGTTGTAAATGATAGCCAGCTTGGCTTGCATTTCGACTAATATCCTTGTGGTTCGTTTCAATGCTCGGTGAAAGGTTTCAAGAACATGTTCCAGCTCGTGGAGCGCATGGGTTGCCATGGACGCATTCTCGGAGGCATCCGCCCCAGAGAGTCCTTGATGGTCATCAGCCTTTCGGAAGTCTGCCAGAGAGGATTGGCAGCATTGTATGGCGTCATTCACAGTGGTAGCAGGGTCTTTCATTATATCATCAGCAGCAATATGATCTAGAACGCCATTAAGTGGAGCGCCAGAGGATGGTTGGAAGACACTGCTCAATTTGCGCTGAAATTGATCAATGCTTTTCATCAGCATATCTTCCGTCTGCGACATGCGAGACCTACTCTTGAAACGCAGCTTTATGCTTGAGCTATTTCCTTCATCCTGAAAGATGTCTCGATGATACTCCAAGGATGCGCACTGGGCTTGAAGCGCTTCTTGTAGCTTGGTTTGGGAACGAATCACTGAATTCACAGTCGCAATGAGACCTGAAAAATCGGAATGGCCTTCCGTGAGTATAATGCCTGTGAACATCGACCGGGCTTTTTCATAGGCCTCCATTGCTTCTTCCAAGTTTCCCTTCTTTTGAAGAACATCGCCCAGTCGATGGTAGGAATCGGCAATCATGTAATGATGCGATCCATACAATTGAATACGAATCAAAATCAGCCGTTTCAGCACCCGCAATGCCCAATCATGCTCACAGAGCTGTTTGTCAAACAAATCGGCAAGTCGCAGCAACCGTTCTTCTTCGGATGTTTCTTGTAGCATTTTGGTCAAGAAGGATTCGTCCAATGCCGCCCCCTCACTAATTAATTTCAAGTCATTCAACCTGTCCCCCAAGGCATCGGTAGCTCCAGCAAAGTACCGCCTGAAATACTCATAGTACTTGTGCGATTGCAATTCTTTTTCCAACGTCTTGATGGCTTGATGGTGAATCTGAACCTCGCAAACATGATAAAATGAGCCTCCTTGTTGTTGTTGTTGTTGTTGTTATTGTTGTTGTTGTTCCGAACTACAAGAACAATCCAGTTGGATGCAAATATTGATGTCTCGATACCCCGTCAGCGTCGGATTTTGAAAGCGATTCTTCGCCTTGACAATGTTAATGGAAGGATCCTTCTGAATGATGTCAACACAAGCAATGAGCTGTTCCGCAGAGTTGAATTCCATGCTGGCTCGGCAAACATCGTACAGCCACGTCACTTCGGAACCAGGAACACGATCCATGTAGTCATCCTCTGCTTTTTCTTGTGCTCGATTTCGGCCTTTCAATGGAGCCATGGTGACTTTGGCAATTTTCCCTTCTTCTTCTTTGTTCTTATTGTCTTGTAGTAGTGAATTGGTTGCTTCGACTTTTTGTACAATTCTCTCCAAGGTTGCTCTAAAGACAGGCAAGGCCTGTTCGGCAGCCTCATAGAGTTCCGCCAAGGATTTGACAGGTGTACCATCGATTGCTTGCTGCTGAAACTCGCTTTTGTAGTAGTAGTAGTAGTAGTAGTAGTAGTAGTAAACGTCGGATGATTTTTCGCTAGCACTAACAGCAGCAGCATTTTCTTTTTGATGCTATTGTTGTTGTTGTTCCAGAACAATCATTGGACTGCACGAAATATCCGGTAAATTGGCAATCTTATGACATTCATCGACCTCCTGATACTTGGCATCCATGAGTTCGCGACATTTCATGTATTGATTGCAGATATCCAAGAACTGTTTTGTCTCGGGACGAAGGCTTCCTAATGTTTCCATTGTAGTCATGTTGTGATTCCGTTGTATGCATATATGTATGCAAGCGCATCAGCTTTCAGCTATTTCATGTATCAACTGTTTCATAATGTTTTGCAAATAAATGCGATGAGATGAATAGTTTTGAAAGAAGCGTCAATCCGTCTATCGGTTTTCCATCGTCCACAATGAGTCCAGTGAATCGAAAATTCGCAACAGAATTCTGGTTGTCAGTTGTCGCGCAACTTCAGTCCGCACAAAAGGAAAACGAGATCTTTTTCAGCGTTGCATCATCATACGTGCAGATTATACAGTAGTTCCTTATTTCGGTATTGCGTGTCATACCAAAGTTTTACTTGCTCTACATCATGCCATCTCAACAACAACGAAACAGTAGAAGAACGAGGGGCTATCCCACAGCCTCCGAGATTCGAGGCCGTAACTGTATGATGCGGGAGCAAGATGATGAGCGAATTCTTGACAGTGTCATGAGTTATTCTTCCTTGAGAGGTAAGAGAGAGAGAGAGAGAGAGAGAGAATGTGTATTTATTGTTGGATTGACTCAGCTACACGTGGATACCTTCAAGCTTGGCAGTTTCACTCATCTCTTTCTTGTTTTGTGTGCTGCTTGCTGTTCTTCAGAAGAAGAGCAAGAACGGACCTTGACGCGGTTGACTCCCCTGAGAGGTAAGCGCAACATTACGGTCGCATGCACTGCACAACAACGAAAATGTATTATATTATACTAAACACACCCAATATTCGTACGTAATGTATGAAAAATCATCAGGTTACGAAGAACTGTCGGAACGACCATCAGCATCCACAAACACAAACACACCACCGAGACCAACAACAACAACAACAACAACAAGATCCTCCACTGCTGGTGGTGGAAAGGCTCGTCCTGTCTGTCATTTTTTTGCCCTGAATGGATCCTGCCGCAATGGTGATAACTGTGCCTTTTCCCATAACGTTACTCCTGGAGACACTCGATCAGTCGTTTGCTCGTTCTTTCGCAAGGGCAATTGTCGATACGGAGACTCGTGCCGCTTTAGTCACAATGATGGCAATGATAATTATGATGTTGATGTTGATCAACATCCTGCAACAGCCCCTTCAGTAGTATGCCAACCTTGCAATGACAATGATAACACGTCTACAACACAACAAGATGACGATGAGGACGAAGAATTGATGTGTGGTATTTGCATGGAGCATCCTACCAAATTTGGATTGCTCAGTTGCTGCGATCACGTCTTTTGCTTTGAATGTCTCATGGAATGGCGATCTTCCTGTGGCAAGGAAGAAGTGTACGCCGAACAAAAGTCCTTGGTCAAGGTGTGTCCCGTGTGTCGGACGCACTCGGATTACGTGCTTTCGAGTTATACCTACGCCAAGACGGGAAATGGCAAACAGGACTTGATGGAGGCCCACAAGCTTCGATTGTCTCAGATTCCCTGCAAACGATTCAATGGAGATTTGGGGTCTTGTCCCTTTGGAAGGGATTGCTTTTATCGGCATTGGGATGATTATGGAAATGATATTAAGCATTTGGATCAAAGCAAGCAAGACATTCAAGAGGAATTGGAACGCCGCAAACTACGACGACAGCTACATTTTCAATCTCAGCAGAATATTGACGCGGAATTGGACATCTTGGAAGCCCAACTAGCCCTTTTGCAATTGGGACTGGCCTCCTTTGCCTTTCAACTGGACATTTAAAAAGGAGGATGTGGGAGATGGTTCTTGTGTTATCGAGCCATTTATTTTCACAGCATCATGGAATGCAACTAAAAAAATGAGTCAGCAAGCCAAAAATATCCGAACAGAGAAGTCGCATTTCATACTCCTAGTAAATCGTCATACGGTACAAACATTAAATATGCACTGTTTACATAGTCCTAGGTGATGGCTGGTCAATATATGGATATGATCATACCTCAAGTTCCAATCAATATCATGCATGTACTGTACCAGTACCATAATACATAGTTGTTAATGCGTAGGAAGCAAGAGCTGAAATACTTCTCTTCAATTGTCACCAAGTTCAATCAGATCCATACAGCAATGCACCACTAGTAGCAATAATAATACTATGAATACAGATGACTTGTTATCAGACGCAAACGTGTGTATGTGTCTTATATATGTATATATTTGTTTCTCAAACACAAAGCAATTTGATTATAACTAGTTTACTTTAGATAAGTAAATTAGGGGGTGAATCCACTGGTGAATGCCTCGGAAATGTCGTGCATTTTTTGCTCAATCTCTTCAGTCAAGACGTATCCTCCATCGACAATATCAGACAAGACCTTGCTGTGGGCAGTCTTCATGTGCTCAAGGAAAGCAGCTTCGAATGCTGCGACGTGTTCGACATCGACGCGATCGCAGTATCCCTTGACACCAATGAAAAGGGAGGCGACAACTTCCTCGGGTTCATAAGGCTCGTACTGTCCTTGCTTGAGGAGTTCGTAAAGACGGACACCACGGTTCAACTGTTGTTGAGTGGCGGCATCAAGATCGGAACCGAACTTGGCGAAAGCAGCGACCTCACGGTATTGGGCAAGTTCGAGCTTCATGGTACCGGCAACGGATCGGGTGGCCTTGTATTGGGCTGCGGAACCGACACGAGAGACGGAAAGACCGACCGAAATGGCTGGACGTTGACCTTGGTAAAAGAGTTCGGATTCCAAGAAAATCTGTCCATCAGTAATGGAAATGACATTTGTAGGAATGTAAGCGGAGACATCACCGGCTTGGGTCTCAATGACTGGAAGGGCGGTGAGGGAACCTCCTCCGAGGTTGCGGTGCATCTTGGCAGCACGCTCCAAAAGACGGGAGTGGAGGTAGAAAACGTCACCTGGATAGGCCTCACGACCAGGAGGACGACGAAGCAACAGGGACATTTGACGGTAGGCAACAGCCTGCTTGGAAAGATCATCGTAAAAGATCACAGCGTGCTTTCCAGAGTCACGGAAGTATTCTCCCATGGCAGCTCCAGTGTAAGGAGCCAAGAACTGAAGTGGGGCAGCATCGGAAGCGGTAGCGGCAACAATGATGCAGTTGCCCATGGCACCACGTTCATCCAATTGACCAACAAGTTGGGCAATGGTCGATCTCTTTTGTCCAACACCAACGTAGATGCAGGCAAGAGGTTCCTTCTTGGTCTTTTGGTTGATAATGGTATCAATGGCAATGGCGGTCTTTCCGGTTTGACGATCACCAATGATCAACTCACGCTGTCCACGGCCAATAGGAATCAAGGCATCGACGGCCTTGAGTCCGGTAAGCATGGGCTCGGAAACGGATTCTCGTGGGATGATACCTGGTGCCTTAACCTCAGCACGAGAGCGCTTGCAAGAGTCCAAAGAGGCTCCTCCATCAATGGGTTGTCCAATACCATCGACAACACGTCCAAGAAGCTCAGGGCCGACTGGAACATCGACAATGGCTCCGGTACGCTTGACGGTATCACCTTCCAAGATATCACGATCATCACCAAAGATCACAACACCGACATTGTCCTCTTCCAAGTTCAGGGCCATTCCACGAAGGCCTCCCGAAAAGACAACCATCTCTCCGGCTTGGACATTGCTCAAACCGTAGACACGGGCGATACCATCTCCAACGGAAATGACGGATCCAGTCTCGGCGTATTTGACAGCAGAATCCTCAGATCCAGAAGCAGCTCCAATCTTGGCTTCCAAGAAACTGGAAAGCTCCAAGGTTTGACTGGCCATGCCACGAACACTGGTGGCACGGATAGTCTACAATCGTTGACGTGGTTACATCGATGAGAAGAGAGAAAGAGAGAGAGAGAGACGAAACAAAGCAAGTTGAGAAAAAGTCATTGAATCGAAGGAATCAGGAATCGACAAATGGAGAAATTGCACGTTGGACTGTTCAGGTCCACCATGATGCAACGGATCCAACTTGAAGCGTTCGATGGAGCTCTTGCTGGCAATATCAACACTTTCCAATGGAACAAAAAAACGATGACCCTTCGGCAGTGCTTGAGCATGTTTTGTTTGCGTTGAATTGGAGCAAGAGGCCTCGAAAACCACCGTTGGGTTTCCCATTCATCCTCCGATGACTTGATGGTTTGTGACTCGATTGGATTTGTCTCTTTTTCCTTTGCGTCTTCACTAATGTGCCCACAACTGGACTAACTACATACCTGAGCGACAGTGGCCAAAGCCACACGCTTTGCAACGGTGTTAACAGCAGATCGAAGGACCATGATCGGATATTGTTTTGCGTTTCCGAAACGCAGCAGGATGCAGCACCCACATCTTCCGTGGAGTTGGGAAGGCGGTCTGTAGATTCAGTACTTTTTTCTACGCAAGATCCCCAAGAGACCAACGTCAGACTTCGCTTGATTCCTTATCTGCCGATCCGGATGGAAGGACGGACCTGGTGACGACGGTGTGCGGGGTTGGCTTGCGCATCATGACCACAGTTCAAGTACAGTATCTGGTACAGTCCGTCAGTCCGTCAGTCTATGCCAGCGTGTGTAGGATATGAATGGCCTGAAAGAGACCCAACTCACGATATGAAGGCGATAAACGAATGAGAGTACTTTACTTCATGTTGTGCACGGTTATCCTATCCATAACGTTGCTGTAGTCGATTTGTAATTATCTAGTACTGCCTTGGTTCTAAAAACTTATTCGTCGGACAATTCCCCATTTTCCATGGCCAATGCTTGCTGCTCTTGTTCTTGTTCCAATTCTTCTTCCGATTTGCCCCCCACTTCGTCCAGCCACCCAATGAACAATAATGGATACAACGAACTTAGATTGCAAATGACAGTCAACAATCCCAAATTATCAAAATTCGTTTCCGTCACTCCCAATTGTTTCGTCAAGAGGGCCCCAATTTCCGTTCCCAGTGTGGATGCCCCATTGTTGACGCTCATCAGGGTAGCAAACAAGACGGCTTCCACTCCAGGAGGGCACAAGCGGGCCGCCAGGACCAAGGTCGGTAAAAAGGCAATCTCTCCTAGTATACTCAGTGCCACATCGTCACCAAAGACAAAGGCACCGTCGGGAATCCCCAGTGATCGATTGGCGTGCGTAATCAACAACAAGGATGATAAACCAAGGGGTGTCGACAAAATGGAAGACCACAGGAGAATGTCCTTGATGGGTTTCGTTTTGAGATACGAGTTGTACAACCAAACCCCAAACAGACTGGCCACGGCACACACCACACGGACTCTACCCAAAAATTCCGGACCAAAGCCCAATTCGTCCGTCATGAAAAACAAAAAGGCACCATCGCTGGTCGGAGTGGATTGCCATAAGAACAGAAAGAGAGCAGGTTTATAAATGGAAGGTTGTTTGATGGCCTGCCACAAGGAATCAAGCTGGGTTTGGATGTTCGGGGATCCTTCGACAATGAGGCCCGTGTCCGTATCCATACTCCCCACTGGCTTTTCGTCAATCAAAAAGGCAATCGACGCCACGGCAAATGGCAAGATGGCGGTAATCTGAAAAACGTCTTGCGGCTTCATGACTTCCAAGAGACTCCCCGAAAAGTAGGCTGATAACAAACCACCAATGGCCGCGGAACCCCAACAAATGCTTTGCAAGCTGCCCGCCAACTTGGGATCTTGGGAATCGCGTGACTTTTGCACGACAATGCCATCGGCCACGACATCGGAAAAGGCAATGCAAGCACTGCTGACAATCAAGGCGGCCACTGTCGAAGGAATGAGTAGAGAGTTGCTGGTACCATCGGCTGTGGACGGCAGTAGTCCAAAAAACGAGTTTCCCACCAAGGTATAACTAAAGGCTCCCAACAGTCCACACAATATGAGGTAAGATCGTCGTCGAAATCCAAACAATGGAATTCCGTCACTCAAAAAGCCATAGAGTGGCTTGATGGTCCAGGGCAAGGTAAAGAGACCCGTCAGGGCACTCAATTCGGCCGGTCCCAAGTGGAGTTCGTCTTTTAACAAAAACGTTTGGGCCAATCGGGCCAAACCCAAGGCACCTTCCACAAAGTAAATGGAGGCAATGGCAATGACATCTGGGGATGGATCGATCCCCAGAAATATGGTATCCTTGACAAAATTGGAAAGATCAAAGGTTGCAGTTTCATCGCCGTCTTTTTCTGTTGTCGTTGTCGTTGGTGATGATAGGATCTCGTCGTCGTCGTCATCATCATTCACTACCTTGTCGTCGGATGGACTGAGTTCCGCTTCCCGTTCAATGACAAACAGTGGTGGTGGCATTGCAGTTCTTTGTCTGCGTCGTTTGATTCCTCCAACGACTGATCTTTGTGGTGGTGTGGTACTGCCATGAAGACTCCTTGATCGGAATTGTTGGAATGAAAGAGAAGGAGGAGTGGGGAATGATTGAAAGCCATGTATCAGCGGTGCTGCTGTAAACACTACCATCAAAGACACGGCGAGTGGTGAATATTTGCAAGACTTCATGGGTAAAATCAAATATGTGTAGATTATTATGATGTACTATGTACGTGTTGCCAAAACAGAATCTAAGATAATGTATTGTTTGTTGATGATGATTTTTTGAAGAATGGGAAAGTTCGAAATCGTCAGGCTCGGTCGAATGAGTCAGAAGGCCACGTACATAACATAACCATCTGGAATACAGTGGACTAGTACGAACGCTGTAGAATGCAACGCCCAACTTGAAACTATATATCAGAGCAATAAAAGATAACGATGTGCGTTGTCATTTTATTGTTGCAGTGCTATTGTGATGACATCCTTGACAGTAGCACCCGTATTGTCATTCTTCCAAGAGTATAGTTTTGAACAGGATGACCGTCAACCTGAAATATTTTTCACGATACCATATGCTGGTGGGAGTGTTATATTAGGAATCACCAATCTGAGTTTGGTGTTCTGGATCCAAACCTTTTTCTTGCTTTCCATCCAATCACTGATGAATATGGTCGTGGCATTCGTGGTGCACAGATTCATTGTCTCGCCAAGACAGCAAAACAAACGAAATGGCTCCAGGATACAAGGATTCATGATTGGGTATGGATTCATCATTCCTTTTCTACTGCTGTATCCACTGGCCCTATTGGATGCGCTCGGACTGAAGAACATAACGTTGATGGTGTGTATCTGCGGGGCGTTGCCCAATCTGTTGCTCTTGAGGGTGGTGGAGGCAATGGTGAGTTTGATAATTCGTCTTGACTCGGATAATAATAGACAAATGTGGCTCATGTTATATATCTTATTTTTGATGTTGTTGTTTATCTACCATGGAAGCACGACACTTTGCCGTCCTTTGCTACAGAAAGTCGTGGAAACCTAGTTTTGTACTATGCCGGAACATTACAAGTCTTGATGGACGAAGAGACGGGACGACCTGTTCCATTGACAACATCAATCTTCGTCACCAAGGCAATGCGGTTCCTCTACATCTTTTTGCAAACTGGTTTTCTCTTTAGCCTCCTTATCCCCTGTGAATATCACATTGCACCGCAACGACAGATTGGGAGCTTTCTCGATCTATTCTATTGGGGTAACTTGTTCAACGCATACATGGTAGCGTTACTGACCAGTTCTATCCTGGACGGTATGTTCTATCGATCCATTATTGTTTTGTTGCATATTCAATATCGCATAATTGTATCTCATAACTCATGACATTCGCAATCGTCATTCATTTCAGGTGGAGCCTCTGGTTTGGGCATCTTGACTTCCATCTGCACAGGCATGGCCATGCAGAGTTTCTCAGACTTTCCCATGAGTAGATCCTCAAGTCCCTCTGATTTCTGGGGAAATCGTTGGGATAGACCCGTGGCATCTGGACTCAAACGAGGTGCCTTTGTTCCCATGCGAAAATGCGGCCTTTCCCGACATGCTTCTGCCATACTCACCTTTCTAGTGAGCGGTCTCATTCATGAATATATGCTCTTTTTGATGACAAAGCGGCAGGGTACTATTGGTTTCCGTAGCAGCAGCAGCAGCAGCAGCAACAACAGCAACAATGTGACACCAGAAGCGTATGCGCCGAACTATGGGAATCAAATTTTCTTTTTTCTCTGGAATGGAGTTGTGCTGCTGCTTGAGAGAGCGTTGGAGGGGAGTCCAATCATCCAATGGACGAGCAAGCACCTACCGCAGCCCTTGAAAACTGCTCTGGTGCTCCTCACGGTACTTCCTGTGGCACATTTATTTACGGATGAGTACATTAGGAGCTCTTTCTATGGAGACACGGCATTTGCCTTTCCCCTCATATCACTCCATCGACTTGAAGGGCCATCATCATAAAAGAGAATGGTTTATTTCATGGAGATTGCACGTACTGGTATCTTTGACGAGATGATGATTCGCATTGGTACTGTAGATATGCTCTGACAAGTGATCGATTGTATTTGCATTTGATTTTTTCGTACGATCGATGACCTGGAAAAAATGGTTGTGACATGTTCAATATCAAAGAGTCGTGGTTTAACTCCCGGGTGCGACGTTTTTTATTTAACGTGTCGTTTTGATTGCGGCACACCTGGTACCGTATCGGTGATTATTATCAATATTGCAACAACTGAGTAAACTGCTCACAAAACAAAAGAAAGGAAAATGTATTTGCTACTACAAACCATGAACGAAGGGAAAATATGGATGGAAACTGACGAACAAGCTTCTCTTGCTACTGAAGCACGAAATGACGATCAGAAACTTGCATCATCATCAACCAGCAATGAAGGAAGCACAATTCTTCCCTCCCACTTTTCTCCTGGAGAATACGATATCATCTGCGCAAGAGGAAGCCATGTCAAGAAGCATCCTGGAAATAAATTTTACCAATCAATAATTGAAGAGGCAGCTCCCCGGTATGGAGCCTCGCAGGGAAAGCTGGCAAAATCAATCATTGTATCCGCCATCATCGACACAATACGAGGACTCACTCCACAGGGTGGGTTTGTGAAGCCAGCTGGCCGACAATGGATCGAAATCGGCAATAAGAATGCCAGAGAGAAGGTTAGTCAAGCCCTCAGGGATCAGCTACATAGTCAATATCGGTCCAGTGCAAAATCCAAAAGGGAAAAGAAGGACGAGGCCAATGCCAGAATGAACGACAATTTGGATGCATTCGTCCAGTCAAACCAGTTTGTATCGGATAGGATGTCGACTCTGACAAATGCAATTGAGAATAATACACATACTCAATCTGATGCAGAACTGGAAGAACTGATGAGTCGAGTAAACCTAGAGATTTTACACGAACTGAGCGGAAGCCGCCACAGTGATGAGCCTGGAGTTTCGGAGCCTAGGGAGGGTGGCCTCGAGGAACCCAAGACACAGAAGTAGTACGCATTATTTTAACTATACATTATGGAAGTACGATACAGTATCGAATGGTAGCTTTCATTGATCTTTTTTATCTTATTATATCTGCCGTTTCATGTCCTTCAGTGCAAGAGACACAGGTCGACGTGACCTGAACTCATGCCATTCCTCACGGTAGCAGCTCCTTCTTGATTGGTTTATGACCTTTTCCAACAGACACCAACACTGGAGGGCGCATCCACGCGTGCTTGAGTATTGCCAACGCTTTCCATATTTACAACAGGTTTATTGGCGATATCAGACCCCACGCTATCACGGTCACTTTCATCAACAGCCACATGATCCCTTAGCCCCAACTTATACGCCGCTAATTGACAGGGTAACGAATGAACGGCATACGCCTGCGCGATTTGACCAATATCTCTTTCGTTCTGCATCAGTTGCTTCGATTGCTCGACTAGGACGGCCTTAATACTATCAGAAATGAGTTGTTGCCGTATTTTTGAACCTTCCCGCGTATATCCCTCGAGACCTCGTGCAAATTGATCTCTCTTGAGCTTCGAACCTTTGTTCATCCGCTTAATTGTCGATCTTCTCTCCTTCTTTATTTGATCAAAATCATCAAGATTAATGTAAGCCTTTCGTTTCTCTTCGACAGTACATCCAACCGTGGGGTGGAATTCTTCGCAATCTGCTGAAAAGTGGACATGGCACTTGCTTATATTGACTTTGATGTCATTGCTTGCATTGGCCACATGACAGCTCGTATCAGATGAGGTTTCGTCCTGAGACAGATTCGATTTAGTATCCTGAACTATCTGGATCTCGTGGTCTAATTCGAGCATTGATATCGTCGTTTCTGCCTGTGGTAGCATAATGAAGTAGCACAGAGAGAACGGAAAGAATCTTGGATTGATTTCTCCTTGCCAACAATTCGCGTGTGGTGCCTTTTCTCCGGGTTGATGTTGTCGACTATTGTACCGGCATAAAAATGTGTGTCTTTGTTTTTTATAAAACTCGTACAGTACCATTATACTCTATCAATCGCCAAAATAGTGAAAGGCTGTCGCTCTGATGACGTACGCATGACCGGCGGACGCATGATCATCACTACCATATGCATGATATCCGGTATACTCTTGACTCTTGACTATTATCACATGCTGTGCGTCGAGGATACAGTGCAATAATGTGGTATGTGGCACTGGTACTGTAGGCATCCTTTTGATTTGGAAAATAAGAAAAATGATCATATGCTTTCTATTTTTAAATGTTACTTGTAGAGGAGAATAGCAGCCACGTAGTCCAATTGCGTAGATTACTCCGTCATGGGCTCAGGAACGTCAACAAGATTGATGATTTCTGGCATCTCCCACTCTGGCATGACACGCTGATGTCTTCTCATTGCAGCATAGGCTGTGGCTACACGAACGACAGGTGCCTTGTACGCTCCGGTGACGGTCACAGGCTTTGGGCTTGTGCTAGGCATGGACCTTGCAGGCATAGAGGACCTTGTAGGCGTGGTTGTTGATTGGAAATAAAGCGTGTTCCTGTCAAAGGGAGCAGTAGGTCGAGCCATTTTGCTGTACTTTGCCTCGACTTCCGCCCGAATCGTTGCCATCGTCGTCGTTGAAGCGAAAGGACGGCGATTTCCAGTTCTCCTGGTGACTTCGGGCTTGGGAACAGTGAATGCAGTGAATGCAGAGCTTCGAAGTGTCGGTCCCCGAGCTGATTCTCGAACTTCGCCATTTTCTCGATTTTCCTCACTACTTGCAGAAGGGATTTCTTTTTCTGGTAATGGATCTGATACCAAGTGCTCTTGAGTTGACGAATCGTTTTCGATATCATCAACAATTTCAATTACAGCACGGAACTTGGGCGTTTGCTGGACGGATCCTTCAATTGTTGTGGGTTCATCTACGTTTTGCTCATCTACGTTTTGTTGCTGAGATTCCTCAAGCACTGCGGGTTCAGTGTAATTTTGCTGGCCAAATTTCTCAAGCACTGCGGGCTCAACATTGTTTTGATGGTCGGGTCCCTCAAGCATTTCTGGTTCAACAAGATCGATGACTTCTTCCACATTTCTCGACTCAACATCCAGGTCAATGATCTCCTCCACTTCTCTCGACTCAGCATCCTCTCGAACTTCGAGATCTTCATCTCTCATTTCGAATGATAGCTGTCCAAGCTCAGGCTCAATAGGTTCATATTCCTCAACAATTGATATTACAACGTCATCAGCTATTTCTTCAGTCTTGTCTTCTTGCACGATTTCTCTTTTAGCCGCGTTCGCGCTCGCTCTGATCTGTGCTTTCGATTGCTTCACAAGCTCATCCATATAGGAGAAGTCCGGAAGTTGCAATGGCTCCAATTGAAGCATTTGCTTGCGCTGCTGAAGAGACACAGATTTTGCTTCTGGGCGGTACCATTCTTGCTTCTCAGACTCTTGGTGAACGGTCTTTGGTACTGGAGCTTTGTACTCTTTGAGGAAATACTTTGTTTCCGGCTTCTCGACCTCTCGCAAGAGACCGACTTCGTAGCGCTTTACCAGTGTCATGACAAGGGCCTTGTACTCACACACCTGTTCCACAAAATCATCATAGATGACATCGTTTAGTGCACCAAGCAATGAGAGCTTGATGAGGAAGGAATCTCGTGACGTGGTCGATTGGAAGTACTCTTCCTCTCCATCTTCCACAGGGATGTCAATGATGTGTGGCTTGACTCGGCTGGGTGAGACACTTCTCGTGTCTTCATCCAAAGAGGTCCCGGAATCGTTCACGATTAACGATTTGGCATACTTGTCTTCACTTTGTTCGACCTCACCAGTTTCCTTGCGGTTCTCGGTCACTGACATTTTCGGAATGACTTCAATCGATACGGAATCTTCTTGAACCGTATTGAGATGATCACTTCCACTTTCTTCAACAGAGCCGTCGTCTTCGTCATCAGTCATGCTTACGCTGATGGTAAAGTCTAGAGACTCAGCAATCGATATATCATCTTCGTCCGCCGCAGATTGAGTTTCAACTTCGTCTTCCGTGTGACGAACATCAGCATGAACAGTAGTACTGGTTTTTGGTTCATCGGAAGATTCAATTGACAATGCCTTGTGATTGATGGAGACCGAGCTCCTAGAATCTTCAGTGTCACTCAAGTCTTGTGTTGTTTCGGTAGAAGCTGCACTGGTATCTGTTTCATCTGGTGAAGCATCCTCGACCACGGCCACTACCGGGGTCTCCTCAACGGCCATTGGAGTTATTTCCTCTGTTGTGAACGATGACTTGTCACTGTTGGAGATTGGACTTTCTTCAGCCTCGATCAAGTCTTGTTTTGCTTCGGTGCAAACTTCATTAGTATCCGTTTCATCGTCCGGGGCATCGTCAATCAAAGTCTCCTCAACGACCATTGGGGTTGTTTCCACTGGAAGCTGAACGACGATCTCTTCGTTAACTATATCGTCATTGTGATCGCTGATACCTTTAATGGGAGGAGGGACTTTCAACTGTGATTGAACAGGAAGTTGAGTTTCTGACTCAATTTCTCTGCTCCTATCGACGATATATTGTGCTGGTATCCTGTTGCCATGACCAAAAGGCATTATTAGCTCCAAGGCGAGTGCCACATCTGCTGCCGATGTCGTTATAGTTCGAAGGTTCATGGTTGTTGTCACAGAATATTGCAGATGTGGTGTTGGCTAACTGCGTGTTTTGTGAGTTGCTTCCACTAAATTTTCCAATTGGCGAGCTAAGAAATTATAGATCTACATGAATGGATGATTGAATATACGATATCGAGTTATTTAGCGAGATGATAATATTTTTAGTACATGAGAAAAGCGAACCGCCAACAAAACTGCTTCTCTTTTTTTTCGTGGTCTTTGTTCTTTTTATTTTTAAAAAAGTCAACCGCCAGAATGGAACATGAAAAAATGATTACGACATATATATCATTTCTTCCCGTTTTCATTGAATGTGACCTAAACAATGTCAATGTTGCCACGCCACCCAAAGATTCACCGGTTTATCCCATATCAATCAATAGTCATTGATTGTTGAAACAAGGGCATGGTGCTGCTTTCAATTCTACCGACGCTGCTACTCCGAAATAATTATGGGGGCAGATATTTCCTCGCAACAAGGACGAGAATGTGTGCTTGTGGGTAGTATGAAGGCTATCAGATGGCCTTGAGCTCCATTTCCATCTTGACTTTTAACGCACTGGTCACTATTTATTCATTATGGTTTCAAATACTACAGTACTCAGGCGCATGCAGAGTGGTGGGGTCGGACTCAGAGACAGCTTACTTGCTTAATGGACTTCGAATGAAAATCTAGTGCTTCGTTGTATCGTGCAACTCCCCAATCCCAAGAAGAACAAGGTTGGTTTCGAGTACCTACTATACTGATCGTCCTCTACAAGCTAGTAATGAAACTACGCAACGGAGTCCAAGTTCCTGAAAGAAATCGGTTGCTTTGTACCTATACTATACCTTTTATTAATATTTGATTACTGGAAAAAACAGCATTTCAATACTCTCTTGTGTAATCATATTAAAAATATGCAGATGATGGAATGGAACCAATTTCAAATTTCTTTCCGCCCTTTTTCGTCTTTGTTAGTACTACAGTATCAATAATTCTGCGGTGCACGTTGAACGGCTGGCGACGAATGCCGTCCTCTAATTACAGAAAATAATCCATGCTAGCGAAAATACATAGTCTTTCGTTTGGACTTTAACGTCAACATACTTAGGGAAAAATTTGGAACGCTCGCGATTTACCGTTGTGAGACTCGATCCTACTCAAACGCAACTCACATTTTCCCACGTCTATCCATCTCGCATTTCATACATCTATCTCGCATCCCCCAAGACGGAACGTTGCTATCATCATGGATATCATGGATGCACCAGAAGAAACGCTCAGAAATGTTAATGAGGGCATGCAGCAAGTCATGTCCCTTGTGGCCGATGAGCTCATGTTCATCTTTTTCCCTGAAGAGTATGCCCAAAACAATCCAGACTACTGGACATTCGATGACAGATCACTTTTGGATGGTCGATCGATGGCATCGTCTTACTACACTCGCGACGAGACAATCTCAACTTTGAGTAACAGAGGTTGGAAGAAAGTTGTCGGGGATCGTGGTCCCGGAAAGAAAAACAAAGGAAAACGAGAGGCACGAGAAGGATCCGTGGCCTCCAAAACTCAAACTTCTGACCAGCGCCAGGATGTTAGTGAAGTGGGAGGCAGCGATAAAATTGATGAGAACGATGTCATGAATCTTTTCATGTCCGAGACAGAAGACGTTGAGAGTCCTCCAGAAGAAGAAAGACGCGAGGATGCTAGCTTGACCAACTCGCAACCACGCATGGAGCCCGAAGAAATTGTTGACATCCGTCAAATTAGCTCTGGCACTAGCGCTAACGCAATTGATCTTTGCGATGCTGAAGAAGTGGATGGAGTCGTCGTTACCAGCGCTGATGGCGAAAATGAGGAACTCGCCGCCAACCTCGGCGAATCAACACTTCAGCGTCTCCAACGTCTTCGAGCCAAGCGTGAGGAGCTTAGACAGGAGCGAGAACGATATGAATCTGGTATTCCATTCAATCATGAGCCGCAAGACGACGAGCCTGAAGATGCGCGACCTGAACCACAAGGAGACTACGAAGTAGACGAAATGAACCAGAGAATGAACGCAATCATTTCCAGAGATCTCCAGCATGAGCCGGTTCACGTGCAATCCGAGGCCAACATCATTGATCAGCAACGTGAGCAAATTCAAGCCAAAGTTCAACAGTTGTCGAAAGTCTTGGACCAAATCATGATCAAGAAGTTGAACGGGGAGTTCCCTGATGATCCATCAACAAGGGCAATGGAAGCAGAAATTCGTGCTAACCTGCTTGAGTTCCAAAGATGGTGGCAGCCATCCCAGTCTGACAACAATATTCGAATTGCACCGACACCTGAATTTCAGAGGCAGTGGTAGACCTCGCTGCAACACCCCTAGCATACAGATCAAACCTTGTTTTAGTTTATATATTTCTTCTTGTAAGTCAGCTACTCCGTTACGCGTTTCTTCATATAGGTATCGCACAGCCCTTTGCCATACTCACAAAGCATGTCATAACGACATTGCGATACAGTACGACCATTTTGCAGAGTGAATCATGTGTGATTCGATCGAGTCGAAGATATACCTTTCTCAATATGAATAGATTTCATTCAATGTGACTCAAATGGACAACTTCAAGCCTCCCGCTTTCTCCATTCATGCCACAGATACGACTGATTGCAATTATCCAATGTTGTCTTGATGCACAATTCCTCCTTATTGTCTCAGCATGGTCCCTTCCACGCATGAAAGCCGCTTCATATTCCCGTCAATCACTCATTGGAGACAACAACGTTCAAACCGAGACGATATCACATCATCAATAACTTCGGATCCTTCCACCCAAGATAACTACCAGACGTCGCAATATTCCTATAAGAAAGCTTTCAAAAATAATGGGCTTAAGCAGGCGCCGTGGATGGCTCCTCCTTTCTACTGGAAACTAGCATATCGACTCAAGCTGAGAGCTCTCACATTTTTGTACGCATGGGAAAATAAGCCTAGAGGTGACGGCACAATATCCAAGATGATTCCCAACTCATCACTTTCATTACCGTTTCTATGGTGGAAGGCGCTGATGAAGTACCCCAACGTCGAGGCCGCATCCTGGGCCTAGGTGCGATTTTTTGTCTCAAAAGACGAGATGGATCTTTGTCAAGATACTGGGTCGCCTTTTTCCAAGGTTTTTTCATGTCAACGTTCAGTTGCGGACCACCTTTCTGGACGACCGAGTTGCTTCCATAGTTAAGGCGGTGAGATCACAACCCTCCAACCAATTCACTGGGAGCAAACGCATTCGATTGGTTGTTCTAGGTGCTGGGTATGACCTTCGTGCGACAAGGTTGTTGCACGAGGCTATCGTTGACGAAGCGATCGAACTCGACCTGCCGAGAGTGATCGAAGCAAAGAGGAGCATGCTGGAATCTGAAACTTTTCGAAATCGACGGCCGGGTTGCAAGCTACCAAGCATGAACGGTGTTGATCTGAACAACATCCCTCAAACCACCGCCACTCTCTCATCACTGTTAGAATCTATTGACCTAGAAGGAGGAAAAAGGAATGACTCTAAAAATGATACAGTCACTATATTTCTTTTGGAGGGTATACTGGTCCATTTAGAGCCACAGTGGAAATAGTCAGGCTTTTAAGCCGATCCTTTCCACTGTTCCTTCGTAGGGTGCGGTAAAATTGACTGACTTTCACCACTGATTCTTCAAAGTTTCTTTCGGACCATCTGTTTTCCACCAGCTGCATGAAGCGGAGGCCGCTTCCGATGAGCTGGCTGGTCAAGCCAATGGCGACCTTTCGTCTCAGCTTCCGGGGGGCAGAATCGTGCTCCTCTGCATGTGTCTCGAGAAAGTTTCGGTACAGCACATTGCCAGGGTGGAATTGCACAAGTCGACCTCTTCCAAATAGAATATCTTTCTCTCGAATTCCCGTAGTTATGGACAAAGTGGAAGATGCATAAGAGTGGAGAGCAGGTAGACTTTCGCTTTCATTCGCTGCCATGTGCCGATAAAGCCACAAGTTGAGGCTTTCTCGACGCAGACTACCATCCATGTTAAGCGGACGAGAATCAATAGGGATTCCAAACGCACTAAGAATATGCTGGAGCTCAGTGTTGCTTCCGTGGTGGAACCGCATTCTTGCTTGAAGATGCTGTGGAAGTTGTCTTGCCCCTGCCGCAACATTTGTATCGAGAATACGCATGTTGGTAGTCCCTGTCCTTACACAGGTGTGCAGTGCAGAGAAGCGGACAGGAAAGGATCTTTGTTCAGCTTGAGCCAATAACCCAAAGATAAGTCCAGGCATCACAAATTGCCTCCTCAGTTCCGGTGCCGACATGTCGTACACGATAAGAACAATACCCTTCATTTGTACGGCTTCGATCGAGCTCAAGATGTTGAAATAGAAATAATATGCGACACGTATCTATATATGGTAAAACGGATTTGAATCGTAAGTTTCTTGTTCATCAGGGTTCTCAACGAGGTCGCTGTGCTGTGTGGAAAGCAAAGATCACAAGACTTACCAGAGTTTCTGGCCTACATTTCTCCAGCATCTCAGTACCGCCAGTTATATACACAATCACCCTCCCCATTGGATCTCTATCGTTTTGAATATGAAAGATTCCAGACAAGAGAAGCCCAACCTCCTCTTCACTAAGATCGCTCAAGCAAATATCCCGGCTCACTTTATCTGCACCAAAGTACAACAACTTGTTGCGAAGAAAGTTCATCATATTATCAACAGCTTTCCCGATGTTGTGCATTTCAGCTCTCAGGAAGCGCAAACGAAATGATCGATTTTTGACATAGGCTCTGTTTTGGTTTACGGCCATTTCGTAAACTGGATTTCGTTCCCGACGGACCGCTTGATCAAATTCTGCAAGATTCTTTTTGACGATTTCAGTGGTTTCCCTGAGCTCTTTTCCAACACAATGGACGTCGTGAAGTGCCTCTGTTCTCTTTTCGGCAGTCAGGCTGTTCAAGGCAGACGCAAGTATCTGCTCTGTTTCGTTCATGAAAGGTTTTGTTTTAGACTGTCGTCTAGGCCGTTCAATCTCGGTAGATCTGTAATGCTTTCAACACGATTGATTAGTGTCGTGACAACGAAGAGATACAGTTTCTCTTGTTCTGTCAGCGAACAAGACATCTGTGACCATCGCGAGATGCAGCTCCCCTCATTACAGTACCAGGTACAGTATGTCAAGGGCACAAAACACACGGGAAAACCTTTTAATCATGCCAACAAGCTGGCGGAAAGCATATATAAAAGAGCTAAATCGTTCTGAAACGACAGATTTGTTGATACGTCGTGTAGTATGCGCGTCACTTTTGCAAGATGGATTGATTGATTGTGATTCGCTATTGCTCAAAAGCTTAAAATATCGAACGGCAGTTGTGACATTTGTAAAAGTGCTTGCAAGATTGGTGGATTCTGAATTCTCGTTCGAGCTCATATTATTATAAAAATATAGGTACAGTCTCCACGTCTTGTGGTCACGTCACGGTTTGAAGTTGGTAGGTACAGTACACGTGCACCGGTAGATCACATACCAGATGATTCTGTTAATCCATGCGCAGATGGACGCTCAAACCTATCTCCTACCCATAGCACTCATAACTTGTACATGTAGAACATGGCATTGAGCACTACTGCAATAGATTCATTCATTCGACCAATTCTTCAGCACGACTGAGAACAGATGACTTTTGAAAGCTACATAATCATGATGTGTATGATAGCCCTTTCGTTACAGCACTCATACTCTTTCTCTACCACTTTCTTTGTTAAATTGTGAAAGAGCACTTCAACGACCTTCGAATCTTTGATTTTGCTCTCGCAATGCTACGTCTAGTTTTGAATTCTTCTGAGTCAGTCAGTCCACTACAGCCTCTTGCTCCATCGAGGCACTAATTATCATGCCTAATGTCTACAGTCGTAAATTAGTGGCAGCCTACTTCTTTGCCTCCCTTTCCTCCTTATTTCTGTCCCATTTCTTAACAAACTTGTCCACACAAGGCTTGCAGTTTGGCTTTTCAGTCTTTGGGTGGATAAAATATTTCCCACTCAATTCACAGCCACAAGTATCGCAAGCAAAACATTCTGCATGAAAGCTTCCCACACCTGGAACGACTTTGACTCCCGATGTGATGGTTTTTCCACATTTGGTGCATTCTTTGTTGTTTCGAATGATTTTCTCAGTCACATCGTCTGCTACATCGGCGCATTTTGTGTGACAGGGTTTGCCGTTCACCTTGACATGATAAGGGCTTTTCTTATCGAAAGGTTTGTCGCATACGTTGCACTTGAAACAACTTTGATGATATTGGGAGCCGTCTCCCAATTCGACAGTTGGTTCTCCGTTTCCCAGAGTCTTGTCACAAGCATCACAAGTGCCACTATCATCTTCAAATTGAGCCTTGGAACAATCCTCGTGCATTGGTTTACCGTTCTCTAGAACACAGCTACCGCCACCCCCGAAAGGTTTGTTGCATTTTGCACACACGAAGCAGCTAACATGCCATGGTTTGTCCAGAGCGGTGAGAACGGACTCTCCTGGTTGGAACTCTTTGTCACATTTGGCGCAAATCTTCTTTCCCATGGCGCCAATATCTTGGATTCTAAAACAGATGTAGGATTCAAACAGGTTCTGTATAGGATTGTCTCGATATGACAATATCACGTTCTTTCTGTTGTTGATGTGGCGGCAAGATCGCACGTTTTATTTTATACAATTCGTACAGTATTTTATTGAATGACCGATCTTCGATGACCGTTTGAATAACTCGACCTATAAACTTTGGTATAAAATATTATAAATATCATATAGACCGCAATCCATCACAATACGCAGTATATAGTCTTTGTCAACAAAATGGGCGACGACGACAATGTTTACGAGACAGATGCAAGTGTCAACATGTATCTAGGATTGCATTACCCATCATCAGGGGAGAAAGAAGGGGTATCGGCGATTCTGCCACACACCAACGCTCCCACCTCCGCCCTACGATTTCCACAACGAGTTGGAGGTCTCTTGCAATCATTAGAGCCAACGAAAACCAACGGAAAAGCTTTGGACATTGGTTGTGCTGTCGGAGGATCGTCCTTTCAGCTTGCTAAAACTTTCGACCACGTGGATGCCTTTGATTACAGCCACGCATTTGTCCAAATGGCGCAACGAATGCAGGGTGAAGAATCTATCACTTTTAAAGTTCCCATCGAATCGGATATTCACGAGACTGTCCAAAGCGTTCATGAAGAAGGAATCACTGCCAAAATAAGGTCCAAAGTACAATTTTTCCAAGGGGATGCCTGCCAAATACCCGAAATGGTGCAAGATGGAAAGCTGACAACATATGATGGTGTCATCATGTCGAATCTACTATGTCGTCTCAAGGATCCCATGGCATGCCTTCGCGGAATTGCATCTATTGTCAATCGTGGTGGAGTCGTCGTGATTGTAACGCCCTTTAGTTGGTTGACGGAGTTCACATCTCGCGAGAACTGGTTGGGCGGGTACTATCATCAAGAAGAAGGAACTACTGAGAAGCCCGTTCAATCGAAGGATGTCCTGACAAAGGTCATGGAAGCGGAAGGCTTTGAAAAAGTCCATGACGAAGAAATGCCATTGATCATACGAGAGCATCAGAGAAAATATCAATACATCGTTAGTCAAGCCACAGGATGGCGAAAAAAGTGAAGTTTATAGAAAAGGCAATCTGTGTCAATTTCCAACAGAAAAAAAAATCACTAAAAGACATCCACTACTTTAGAGAACAACAATCAACTACAAACCAAACTTTTCACTGAACTCTTCATCAGTGTCACCCTCCAGAATGTATCGAACCCTTTGAGGACGAGTCCGATTATCAATCATTGTCGTCACGTTACTTCGTTCCGCAGCACTCCACTCTTCGTTTTGATGTTCGTCGTGGGGTTGCTGTTCTTCTTCGACGTCTTCTTCATCATCAACTACGCTTTCTTCCAAAACGGTCTCTTCGCCTTGCTCCGTCTCTGCCATTTCGTCGGACGGTGCTGACAATAGAGATGGGATGGAGTCAATGGTCTTGACAAAGAATACAATCCTTCCAAAGGATGTCATTTCGGTCTTCGCGCTTGCACAACTGTAGCTTACAAGAGTAGCCTTCTTTTCACGGACCAAATGGACCTTCGATACTTGATTTCCATGGACATCCACAAAGTGTGGAAAGATCCGCTTGGGGCTACTCCATAATACGACTTCGATTTCGCTAGCCTCAATTTCAGCAGAGTCGTCAAGAACGACAGTAGACTCATCTTGAATGGCATTGCCTTTGTGCTGCTTTCCGCTACTCTTCTTCGTTTCTTGCGGACCATTCTTCTCCATCGCCCGTCGCATCTCTGCAAGGACCATGTTCAACTGATAGACAACGGCATGGTCCTTGTCACCAGCCCATGCAAAACATCGAAGCAAATCACTAGCCTGGGCAGTACGACGATGGTGCGGAAATTCGACAAATCGCTGGCCATTCCTTGCATCCGAGGAAATCTTCCAGACGACTTCACATCCATTCCGAATGTAAAAGTCGGATTCGTCAATCGCCAGATCGCAAGCAGTCGTAGTGTCCCAATAATCTGGATGGTCGAGCCAAATGGTACAAAAGACAAGCCCATTGGGCAAGGCACAAGAGATCATCTTGTCCATTTCGTTGGAAAAGGATTCATCACCATTATGACACTTTTCCAAGACTGGAAAGAAGGGGGATTTGAAAGTACCATCATCGCCAACAGAGGAATAGGAGAGGGAATCCGTGTTCTCCAACTGCTGATGGGTATTATCAAAAAAGGAAAACACGGACGCTTGGCTTTTGGCGTCAATGGCCTGGTAGAAATTGTCGCCATTCCGATTGGAAAGTGCCAGTTTGATTCGTTCCCAATACTGGGACATGACATCGCAGTTGCCTTGGCAAAATGTTGCAGACTGGGTGTGGCTGGAAAAGCTTCGATTTACAGCATATTGGTTGCCACCAATCATTGCTTCAAATTCTCCAGCCTCGTCGTCATCATAGCTTTCTTCCAATTTGTCAGGGTCACGATTGACATCGACATTGTCCTCGTTGGAGTTTTCATTGTCATCAGTCTGGTCTTTCAACGTAGTGCTGGGCTCTTCCGTACTACGACTAACGTCACGACCACCCTCGTCGTCAACTACAAAGAGTCGCAACCCTTCGTAGCAGTGTTGGTAGGCTTCTTGCCCATCCTGTCCACAGTAGTCTGTCGGTAAAGAAGAGCAAACCTTGGAATGGCCGTGCTGGGTGCCATCATCGGACGACTTCTCGTTTCCGCCTTGACAATCCCGAACCAACCGAGCACTGGCATTGACACTTGCTTCCAGGGTCACTGCCGCGATATCCTGCAGACAGCACAGTTTCTCCTCTTCTTCCTCCTCCGACAAATCAGAATAGACCCCAAATTGCTCCAAGACAATCTGCTGATCCAAGAGGAACAACTGATGAGCCGTGGTCTCATCCTCCATGGTATCCTTGACCGAAATGTCCTTGGGGATCCCTCGTCTTCGACGGCTCTTTCGAGTGCTGGAGTCGTCCACTTTGGTAGTGGCCGCAGTCTTGGGCGTGGTAGCTACCTTCTTTAGTGCACCATCATGCTTGTCGCTGATGGAATCGTCATGGTTTTTGTTCAACGACGACGAGGATGATTCTTCATCAAGATTCAAATCAATGCCAACGTCCATGTCATGATTTTCATTCCCATTGGAACTACTATTGTCCGACAAAGAGATACAAGCCAATGGTGGATCCAAAAGAGAAGCATCCATGCCTCGGTGCAGACGAGATTCCTGTTCGAGTTCTTGCTCGAATTCCAAGAATTCCATGTCCTCATCATCATGATCATTGTGTGGTTGCATCATCATTTCGTCGCTTGGATAGAGCATGGTAGTTCACACAGCAGTACAACTTGTTTGTGAATCCTTGTGCTTTTTTCGTGGTGTACAAACTTGATCCGATACAATAGCAATACCTGGGAAAAAGTTGTGGCCGGAATCATCATACTATAGTATCGTGACGAGAAAGAATTGGATTGGATCGTATCGCATCCTAATCGGTCCTGTCTATCTATACCACTCCTTTTGATATACTCACTTTCATGGCCAATGGATTGATTGGATCATCGGACATGGTCGTGCCAACACCACTCCTAATAAGAGGGAGACAGTGCAAAACTCCAACATGTCATGGACGACTCCTCCCGCATTCATTCTGTAATAAAGTATTTCCGCGGCATATATTATACAGCACGTACACGTGTACCGGTATGTGGATGTTTTGTGGCGAAATTACTGTACAGTAAAATATTTTGAATGCGTTGAACGACACGACAGCGACACAAAGATGAGCCAGCTCACGTGTGTCATATGGTGGCAGCCTCGGATGCAACCAAGAATTTCGTCGTTGCCACACCAACACACAGGACTACTTCAAGACTAATATTGTGAGACTTTGTTGTGAACGTACTGTACCTAATATATAAAACATAGTGTGCGTGTACCCATTGGCAATCATCCAACTGAAAACCTTTCAAACAGCAAGAAACTTACAACCTAGCAAACACACGGCATAAGACACAACAAACACAAGAAACACAAGAAACACACAATCGTTCAACATGAGTCAAAACTCCAACAAGCGCATGTCACTCGAAGAATTTGATGCAACGGGAACTGCGGCCCCCTCTCCTTCTTCCTCTTCGGTGATGGATTATGCTTCTTCTTCGTATTCTACCAACTCCCAATCCACTCCCACTTCGGCACGCTCCACATCGCAGGCACACCATCATCATCATCATCATCCCATGACCGTTCCATCCAAGAAAAAGCCCGCCTGGTACCAAAAGGCACAGGACGAAAAGGATTCCCGGAATATGCAAGACTGCCTCGAGGATTATTTTGGGCACGATGCCTTTCGATTGGGACAGGGTGAATCAATTGAAACGGTTGTGGAAGGTCACGATGTGGCGATCATGTGGGATACCGAACGCAATCGTATGACGGGATACCCAAGACCCACCATCGAAACGACTTTTCGACGAAGAGTGGTGCACGATGCCTTGTATCAAGATTATTCAGCAGAATGCGACTATTCTTCAGATGAAGATGAATACTAGGAGACGCAGTGTTGAGAGTTTCGGATTCAGGCAATGTCTACTCTGACAACAGTGAATTCCTAGTTTTTTAAAATTATTTTTAATTTAAAAAAGATGTATGTAGGACTATACATGAGGAGGAAGCTGGTAGGACTATTTTTCGAAGTATGATATGCCCCAGCTGAAATAATCCAAGGCTATTTTACGGATGTGGCTTTGAAAGATTGCCTAGCTTGATCCCAAAAACCAAAGATTTCGAAGCTCGTTGAATACTATTTCATACTTTGAGAGAGAAATAGGTTGGTAGCGAAATATTATTACAGCGTAAAGGGTTAATAGGTACACAACATGATTGCCGCGGCTCTTGAAAAGTCCTCTGTTCTTAGTCGTACCGGTACCAATACGATCAGGAATAAGCGCAAGCATAGGTGACGTGAAGAATGATTGAGTCGAATCAATCTTCTTCATTCAATGCATGACCACAAGACGTATACACAAGTACTAACTATACTTCTCTTGCATCCGCTAATAAAAGGGCAGACGGACAACAGAACACGAGACCTCATTTGATCATTTTGTATTATAAAAAATAAAATGGAGACCGTCTCCGTGAATATGCTGAACCAACAGAACAGGCTTTTTTCATCAACGATGAGGGATGAGTTCCCGCATGAAGCGCTTATTCCCAAACATCTGTCATATATTTTAGTTGCTTTTCCGAAATGCGAACGCAGATGCTTTCATTTTTGCGTTAGTCGAGATAAATCTGTAATTTCAGATCAATAATCTTTTAGGACATAGATACACGTTTGTTAGCATAACAAATGCAAACAGCGTGTGTGTTTTCTGTTCTCGACCGTCTCTAAAAAATGTGAGCTGCACAACTGCTTTTCGCCTAGATACAAAAATAGAAAAGCCGCTTTTCGCTAACTTCCCACTATCAATCACACTCAGAGCATTGCATACCTACCAGGTTTGGGGCCAGCTTCTCGATTGTCGCCAGCTTGTTGGCATGATGAAATGGTTCTCCCGTGTGTTTTGCGCTCTTGTCGGCCATGAAACATAATGCAACCGGCATCATGGATCGCTGCTCTTCCCTGACAAGAAAAAGGCAGTCCATGCCTACCCATAATCTTCGATTCCCTGAGTCAACAAAAAAAAGTCTTGTCTCAAACTGCGAAGACAGTCTAAAACAAAACCTTTCATGAATGAAACAGAGCAGATACTTGTGTCTGCCTTGAACAGCCTGACTGTCCAAGAGAGAACAGAGGCACTTCATGATATCCATTGCGTTGGAAAAGAGCTCAGGGAAACCACTGAAATCGTCAAAAAGAATCTTGCAGAATTTGATCAAGCGGTCCGTCGGGAACGAAATCCAGTTTACGAAATGGCCGTAGACCAAAACAGAGCCTATGTCGAAAATCGATCATTTCGTTTGCGATTCCTGAGAGCTGAAATGCACAACATCGGGAAAGCTGTTGATAATATGATGAACTTTCTTCGCAATAAGTTGTTGCACTTTGGTGAAGATAAAGTGAGCCGGGATATTTGCTTGAGCGATCTTAGTGAAGAGGAGGTTGGGCTTCTCTTGTCTGGAATCTTTCATATTCAAAACGATAGAGATCCAATGGGGAGGGTGATTGTGTATATAACTGGCGGTACTGAGATGCTGGAGAAATGTAGGCCAGAAACTCTGGTAAGTCTTGTGATCTTTGCTTTCCACACAGCACAGCGACCTCGTTGAGAACCCTGATGAACAAGAAACTTACGATTCAAATCCGTTTTACCATATATAGATACGTGTCGCATATTATTTCTATTTCAACATCTTGAGCTCGATCGAAGCCGTACAAATGAAGGGTATTGTTCTTATCGTGTACGACATGTCGGCACCGGAACTGAGGAGGCAATTTGTGATGCCTGGACTTATCTTTGGGTTATTGGCTCAAGCTGAACAAAGATCCTTTCCTGTCCGCTTCTCTGCACTGCACACCTGTGTAAGGACAGGGACTACCAACATGCGTATTCTCGATACAAATGTTGCGGCAGGGGCAAGACAACTTCCACAGCATCTTCAAGCAAGAATGCGGTTCCACCACGGAAGCAACACTGAGCTCCAGCATATTCTTAGTGCGTTTGGAATCCCTATTGATTCTCGTCCGCTTAACATGGATGGTAGTCTGCGTCGAGAAAGCCTCAACTTGTGGCTTTATCGGCACATGGCAGCGAATGAAAGCGAAAGTCTACCTGCTCTCCACTCTTATGCATCTTCCACTTTGTCCATAACTACGGGAATTCGAGAGAAAGATATTCTATTTGGAAGAGGTCGACTTGTGCAATTCCACCCTGGCAATGTGCTGTACCGAAACTTTCTCGAGACACATGCAGAGGAGCACGATTCTGCCCCCCGGAAGCTGAGACGAAAGGTCGCCATTGGCTTGACCAGCCAGCTCATCGGAAGCGGCCTCCGCTTCATGCAGCTGGTGGAAAACAGATGGTCCGAAAGAAACTTTGAAGAATCAGTGGTGAAAGTCAGTCAATTTTACCGCACCCTGCGAAGGAATAGGGGTAGAGGATCGGTTTAAAAGCCTGACTATTCCTACTGCCACAGTGCCTCTATTGTCATGAGAATAGCCAAACGTCAATGATGCCCACGGTTATCACAGCATGGATATGAACCAACATATTCGTTTACTTTCCAGGCACAGCAACTCCAAAATGGGGTGTTTTGGTTGGAGTAGCCAGGAATTCCTTCAGTTCCCAATCGTTTTCTTGGAGGACGTTCTTCGCGAGATCTAGATTACGGTCCTTCACTCCTTCGATGCAGTCGCAAAACACGAGGCAGTCTCTTGGCCCATCCCCAGTGTTTCCGACTTGGCAAAAAGAGCTCAGCAGGCTCAACACTTTGGCGGCCGATCCCCTTTCCAAATGGACCAGTATACCCTCCAAAAGAAATATAGTGACTGTATCATTTTTAGAGTCATTCCTTTTTCCTCCTTCTTGGTCAGTAGATTCTAACAGTGATGAGTGAGTGGCGGTGGTTTGGGGGATGTTGTTCAGATCAACACCGTTCATGATTGGTAGCTCGCAACCCGGCCGTAGATCGCCCTTTTTTGCTTGACTCAATTCCGCCAGGTCAGTCTCGATCGCTTCGTCAACGATAGAATATTAGTACGACGTCTGATAGTTATCTTGGGTGGAAGGAACCATATCGTCTCGGTTTGACTATTGTCTCAATGACTGTAATATTGGCGGGAATGTGAAGCCTTTTTCATCATGCGTGGAAGGGACCATTGTGAGACAAGGAGGAACGGTGCATCCAGACAACACAGGACATATGCTATCAGTCGCATCTGTGGCGTGATTGCAGAAAGTGTCCATGATATCAGTCTGGGTAACATTCAATCAAAGAGTTCATGTCATGGAGATGGCATACTGTATCTTCGACGACTGACTGACTCATTCACTCCTCGTTACAATAAATCAATCAACGGACACGGCACGAACCTGGTACACGTGTACACCACACGTACACGTACGCGTACGTGTATATCGCGCGCAAAACCCGGATTTTTTTCAATTTGTATGCATTCGGGGCTGTCGCATACGACAGTCTATGGACAAATGTTGTGATTCAATCCTGCTATTGTTGGGATTGCGATCACAGTTCGCGAGAAAGGATAAAAAAATCCAAATCCAAAACAAGAGTCTCTATATGGAGGATTCGTCAAGCTCATTGCCGGGCATTGGTACGAGATTGGCACCAACAATGATGCTCGAGAACTAGTCAGTCAATCACTGCCTTTGAGACAAACTAAGCGAAAACCACCGCTCCAGTGCCAGCTCCAAACGGAAGAGAAAGAACGCAATCAATACCAAAATGAGCGACGAATTTGATGCTTTTGTGGCATCCAATCCATTTATCTCCAAGAGAATGAGAACCTTGTCAAGTGCCATTGAAACACACGGAAAGGTGGTGTGTTGATTGGAGACGTTCAACTGGAAATTTCAATGAACAGAATGGACAGTTAGATCTTGAACGAGTTCACGAAGGAGAGTTTTACTTCGCTTAGTGTATGCGCACCTCAATAAAGGCATCACTGCGCTCCTCTTTGAGAAGAATACTTTTGTACCGATACCTACAACAATACTTTTCTTGGTGGTTACATCATCAATTACATGTAAACAAATTTTAAAAACTCCAATGCCACATTCTCTCATAATACCACACGATACGATCTAGAACAGTTGTCTTATTTTACGATCAGCTTGAGCAGTCGTTGCAGACTGTGTGCTGTACTCGTAGAGTGCATCTCGTGTTAGCAAAATCTTCCAGCAGTTTTCGGACTCTCCAAATCGGCAGTTCACTTTTATTAGCTGTAAAAGTTTCAGTTCACTTACTTATCACTCTTCATGTCGTACACGACATGCTTACTTAACGTTGGTATTCATTGGGTGATCAACCAATCACAGATACATCCGATTAGATCCGCAATGGGAAGAATAACATGAGTCTCACAAAAGAACTGACAATACAACAAAAAAGAAAACTACCAACCAACTGCAAACATGATCCAATTTTTTCGACAACAACCTGATTACCAGTACCTTACTCAAGCTGCCAACAGAGAAGAAGGGAAAACAGTCCTACCCGATTCCTTTACTCCGAGCGAAAACGATGTCATCTGTTCTAGAGCAAAGGTATCTCAAAGCCATCCTGGAAATCTTGCCTTCAATGCAATCATCAACAGTTGTGTTTCTGAATATGCAAATGCTAGTGGAAAAATTGAGAAGTCCATTATTGTTTCCAACATTATCAATACAGTTCGAAGCAAAAGTCCAAATGGAGGATTTGTCAAGCAAATTGCTGGACAATGGTACGAGATTGGGACCTCCACTGCTCGAGAAAGAGTCAGCCAAGCACTTCGAGATAGACTAAGTGGAAAATACCGCTCCAGTTCTAGCTCCAAGCGAAAGAGAAAGAACGAAATCAACGCTGAAATGAACGATCATTTGGACGCCTTTGTGGAATCAAATCAATTCGTCGCCAAGATAATGAGAACATTGTCGGGTGCCATCAAGACACATGCTAGAGTGATGGGAGACGTACAGCTGGGAATGATGATGAACAGAATGAACAGTGAAATTCTGAACGAACTGAAAAAGACATCGACGATGATCCTTCCGTCCCTATCTCAATAGAAACATCATCATCGACAATTTCGAATAATGTTGAATATAAAACAATATCAGTGATTCCTCCTGGATGGATATCGCACTGTATGCTTTGTGGAGCGAGGTCGTACCTCTGATAGTATAGAGACTATCCGTATCATTTATTCTTAAGCATGTCGACTACCCCGACTGAACCTCCTAGTTTCAAACCAATCAATCTCGCATTTTCACACTTTTATAATAGTACCAGGTACAATACATATACCATCATCTACAGTTCCGGTAGCGAATAAAGCAAGCCATGGCTACACCGGGCTACGGTCGAAGTCAAATTATTGCACTGTATCGAAGCTGCCGTCGATCGATGTTACGAATTCCAGATCCAGCACAACGTGAAATATATAATACTCACCTTAGAGCCAGCTTCAGAGCCAAAGGACAGTTGTTTCCCGAATCAAGGGAGGCAATCTTGGCAATTGACGATGCCAGAGAGCAACTCGATCGAATGGAATACTATCATTCAATACGTGAAGAGAAAGAGCGACAACAACGATTGGACCTTTCGTCGAAACAAAATGGATCACCGTTCCCGACTGAATCAGAAGGTGCTAAAATGAATTATACAAATGCAACTGGCGTAAGGAATGAGGTTGTGCGAAATTGGTTGGGAAGAACACTCCCCCAGTTGCATTCTGACGATCTGGCTCACTACGCATCTCGTCTGGTCGAGGATGGCTTTGATTCAGCCGAAATATTGGAAACGGACTTGATGGAAGAAGACTTGGACTTTATGAAAAAGGCTCATCGCAGAGCACTGATTAGAGTGAAGGGCCTTGACGATACAGCAGTAAGCAAGGTAGAATAGATTTTCTACAGGAGTAAAGTCATGAACTGAGAGTTGCTGTATATGTACAATATGCTCTAAGTCATTTGTATAACCCATTCAATGAATGGTTCTGCCGATGGAGCAGCAACCAGATGCGAGCGTATCCAATCTCGCCGACTAGGTATATCAATATGCTGTGGATCATAAAATCGGAAGTAGGCGCTGGAACAGTTGTCATTGACTGAAAAGCGATCGGAAGTCCTACAAAACCTTTGCATCTATTCGAATCCAACAGATGCTGTTTGAGAGTATGGAAACGTCACTTTCGTCCTTTCGTTTGCATTTAAACGGGTGTAGAATGTGACATTCAAGGCTCTCTATCTTGTTTCCAATGCAGGCATAGCCAAACTGTACAGAATCATACTGCTCCATCACCATTTTTGGTAGTTTCCGCCATTTTTGGATCGTTCAATATATTTTCATATATTATCGCTGCCATGTAGAGGGCCTCGACATCAGAGACCTGGGGGGCCAGGTGAATCCAATCAAAGGCATTGTCCCACATTGGTGAAACAATGAACCGCGTATCCAGAAACTCCACAAGATTGCGGCCAATGGCAGTTTTCTTTTTGACTTCCTCCACTGCCTTTTGGATCACGTGGGTGTATCCATCCATCACCACTGGCGAACGCCAATCCGTTATTGGACAGGCTCCAGTGACATCCCCAATTGGAATGTGGTGGATGGATCTCATGTACACCTTCACGTCTTCCTCCTTGTCGGCAAATGTCGATACTGCAACGTTCACGATTCGTTTCATTTCGGTATAAAATCGATCAAACAAATATGGCGATCCTTGCATGAGGCTACCGGGCCACTGGGCCACTCCCACAATAAAGCGAGTGCAACTGTGGTTTGTGTGATAGTGGTCGAACATCCATGGACTAATGTCAGATGGATACCGTGCCTGGATATGGTGTACATACTTTCCCAATCCAATAGCGTTGAAGGATTTTCCAAGAAACCGACTGTGGGAATACCCAACGAGACATATTTTTGGCATCTTTGGCACAGTTCTGGCTGCAATTTTGAGTCTCTCACCCCAAGCTTCTCGAGCCTCCTTGTTCTCCCATTCGAAAGAATAAGATTCGAGAGCTGTACCATTCATTGGCACCGCACATCTTTCTATTTGGGGGTTTCGGCGACAGTGCCGTGGTTGGTATCGCGTGTACAAGGGTTTTGGTATGGATGCTGATGCCATGTTGGTGGAAACCCACCGTCCCGTGGGTCGAAGATGTGGAGTACTTTGGATGGCTTCTTCAATCGTGACATAAGCTTCCTCTCCCGTAATACGGTTGTAGGTCGGATCTTCTAAACAATCCTTTTGGAAATCATAAGATAGCCACGCCGATTCATTCTGCTTCCTCGTCACTGCATTGATTCCAAAATCGTTGCAGAACAGGATAATGATATCCAAAAAGTAGGTTCCGGGTTCGAGCCACTGTTTGTTGTACGAGCCACAGTGTACAAACTCGCTACTGCTTTCCCCAGTACTTTCTTCTTTCCATTCCAACAGGGCAAGTGATGGACCAGAGAGCCGCCCAAGAAAGGCAGGGTGTGGACATCGGGAATTTTCCGCGAGTGACACACAAATGGATTGGTTTTCTGGATCATGCCAAATAACAAATACATCAGAAGCAACAGTGGAATTCGAATTCGAAGGAATCTGAACCTTTTCCCAGCTTTGTTGGATATCTGATGATGAGCGAACTAGAGTTCCCTTGTTTGTGTCTCTCTTTGGGTGAATTTCGTCGTTCTTGTCCTCATTGTTCTTGTTCCATGTAGTACTAGTGGTGCTGCTGGTGCTGGTCCTCGTTGCATTGAATTTCGCTGTGTAGTGCAATGGTTGCCGAAACGAATTCAAGGAGCGACTTTCATACAGAAGAGAACACAGGATAGTTGCTGCAGCACCGATGATTACTAGTCTACAATCACCGCGTATCATGATGGTTGGCAACGGTACAGTGTAGGGACGTTTCGATGTGTCAAGGAAATTTGGATTTTCCGTTAGGATTTCAACTACCGGCCGGCGCGCACGCATGCTGGGCAGCAAATCGGGTCCAATACTGTTTGCTGATAATTCGGTGTTGTTGTGCAGCCTCTGATATGAACAAAAGACACCTGATGAAACCTACTGTAGATCCTGCATAATTACTCTGTCTACCTATTTTTCGATGGTATGTAGTTTCGATTATCTCTTAGTAGTCTGTGTCCAAGGATAAGGCCGAAAACTCGACCAAGCACATGTATCCTTATGCATTAAACTTGAGCAAGGCCTCTGTATCGTCGTCACACCACATGCAAGGCTACTTGTACTGTATCATCGTAACACCGCATACGACATGCAATGGGATGCAGGCTCTCTCTTGATTTTCAATTGCCCCCCCCCCCCCCCTCTCTTGATTTTCAATTGCCCCCCCCCCCCACCCCCCAATTGTACAGCAGCAGGCATGTCGTGTTTGCTCATCCGGTTTCTTCTTGAGAGTTCGTGCTCACAATGTAAAAAAGGCTTTCCATGACGGTAATAAATGATATTCAAATATCTGCCCCAAATTTACAATCATGTTCAATTACTTAACGATCACGTCCCCCATTTAATAAGCGCTAGTGATGAGTCAGATTTGACTACGACGTCATTTGGAAGGAATCGGGGACAAGCAGTATACTCTGTACGTACGTGTACACGTACGCCGGTCCAGAGAAATATAAAAAGTCAGATCACGAGCGCCGCGCTTCTTTCTAGCATGTTCTGGAAGATCTAAAATTCAGGTCGTGATGGATGAGCTTATCGTTATCAGCGCATTATTCGTTTGGTGTGTGCAAACCACACAGGAAGAGAAGGTTTCATAAAAACAAACAAGTGTTTGTTCCGACACAACTCTCATAATACTCTCAGACTCCCAGCCGTTGTTGCTTCTAATAACAGCATCGACCACAGTACCTGATTAATACTGAAGTTATCTTAACGACAACCACCTTTTAACACATCAGCACTCACATTGTCCATAAATTTGCTCGAAACAATGACATCGACTGATACAAATCACGCCGATCCCCCAGGCTTCAAGGATCCACCTACCTACGATGCTAACAGCAAGAAATCCAAGGTGGTTGCTGAAACTGAAGTCGCGAGTGACGACGAATCCGCCAAGCCTGTGGTTCCCATGGCCACGCTTGCTGAGGTTTTCAGCTTTGCGGAAAAGACTTCCACCAAGATTTACATTGCGCTCGGTATTTTCTTTGCAATTATCTCTGGATTGGCTCTTCCTGCTTCCATCTTTTACTTTGCTGATGTCATGGGAGACATTTCCGCACTAGCGGAAGAAGGTCTTGATCCCATTATTGGTGTAGCTTATGTTATGATGGTCTTAGGATGCATTTCTTTGGTTTGTGAGACTATGCAATGTAAGAAAAAAATGCTAGGGTGGCGAATGTTGATACTGACTTGAAGTGAATGCTGGAATCGATCTCACCTATTTCTTACTCATCTGTGTTATCAATTCACAGCTGCATTCATGACGACGGCTGCTAATGAAATGACACTCAACCTCAAATTGAAATGGTTCGAAGCTGTCGTCCGTCAAGACATGTCCTACTTTGATCTTCAAGATATTTCGGGTACTTCCACCATTATCAGCACCAATGGCGCCCGATTCAACAAGGGTATTTCTCGAAAATTGGCCAGTGGAATTCAATTCACAGTGACAGTTCTTGCCGGGTTTGGATTGGCCTTTTGGGGATCCTGGCAAGTCACTCTAGCCGTCATTGCGACAGTTCCCGTCATGGCTGCCTCTACCAACTGGGTGCTCAAGTTGAATCAAACCAAGACGAGCCGTGATTCTGCTGCGTATGCCAAGGCTGGAGCCGTGGTATACTCTACCGTCAGTAATATTCGTACCGTGTTGGCACTCAACGCGGGAGAAGAAATGATTGAAAGGTTTTCCGCATCGACCCAAGAAGCCTACGATGGAGCTGTTTCTCAACTCGTTTGGATTGGTCTCGCCAATGGAGGTCTCATGGCCAGTTTCAACTTGGCCTATGTTGTGGTTGTTGGTTTTGGAGCCTATCTGCTCTACGACGGAGTCAGAACAGATGGTTGCGATCCTTCTGGTGCTGTCCATACCGAGTGTGAACCCAAGGGAGCTGACGTTTTTATGGCCTTGATGGGAGTCATCTTTGCCGGAGCCACCATTCCCCAAGTTTCCACTGCCATTGAATCCTTTGCTGGAACACGTGCCGCTTGTTTCCCTGCCATTCAAGCGATGAGTCGCCAATCCTATACTGGAGACGAAGTTAGGGATACCCACATTATGGAACAAGCGGAATCCATTCAACGCAGATCCAAGGGAGAACCACTGCCCGAATACAAGATTGATGTGTCGTCTCCACTCGGGCTCACACCAGAGACTGTTTCTGGGACTATCAAGTTCAGCGGCGTGAACTTTGTCTATCCAACCCGTAAAGATACTCAAGTCTTTAAAGACTTTTCTTTGACCATCCCTGCTGGAAAGACTGTTGCTCTGGTTGGTCCTTCTGGATCTGGTAAATCGACATCCATTCAACTTATTGAACGTTTCTACGATCCTACATCTGGTACCATCACTTTGGATGGGAATAACTTGAAGGATTTGAATGTCGAGTGGCTTCGTTCGCACATTGGACTTGTTTCGCAAGAACCCAAGCTCTTTGCTACTTCGATCCGCAAGAACATTGCGGTTGCCAAGCCCGATGCTACTCAAGAAGAGATTGAAGAAGCTGCTCGTCGTGCCAATGCCCACGACTTTATTGTTTCGTTGCAACATGGATATGATACGGATGTCGGTGATGCTGGTGCTCAATTATCGGGTGGACAAAAGCAGCGCATTGCGTAAGTTGAAACTGAAACAGATCAAAAGGTGGTTGGCGTGACCTTTGTATATTCTAACCAACCCATTCTCTCGATCACTGCAGTATTGCTCGAACTCTTATTACCCAACCAAAGATTATCCTACTTGATGAAGCTACCTCTGCTCTTGACTCTGAATCCGAAGCCACTGTCCAAGAAGCATTGGATACCGTCATGGCCGCAGGAAACGCTACGATTGTTGTCATCGCCCACCGTTTGTCTACCATTCGTAACGCCGATATCATTGCTGTTGTCGACAAGGGCAAGGTTTACGAAACTGGCACTCACGACGAATTGTTGAAGAAGAAGGGCAAATACTTTGATCTGGTCCAGGCTCAAAAAGGAAAGTTGGGTCGTCAATCTTCTTCCACCATTTCAGATGAATCGATGTCCAGATCTGGTAGTGAAACCAGCTTGGAGAACATGGAGGAGGCCTTGACAAAAGAGGCGACTGGAGTCATCGCGGCCAACCACATCGACTTTGCCTACCCTTCCAGACCTGACAATAAGATTTTCAAAGATTTGATCATTGGAGTTGATGAAGGTCAAACGTTGGCCTTTGTCGGACCTTCTGGACAAGGAAAGTCCACCATTATTCAGCTGATCGAGCAATTCTACAACCCACACAATGGTATTGTTTCTTACAATGGAGATGACTTGAAGGACCTCAACACCCGCTGGTACCGCAACGAAGTTGGTCTTGTTTCCCAAGAACCCACTTTGTTCGACACTACTATTGCCGAGAACATCAAGTTTGGTATGCGCGAGGCCAGTCAAGCCGACATCGAGGAAGCTGCCAAGAAAGCCAACGCCCACAGCTTTATCATGAAGTTCCCCGATGGTTATGACACCCAAGTCGGTAACGCTGGGTCTTCCCAAATCAGTGGAGGACAAAAGCAACGCATTGCTATTGCCAGGGCTCTTCTTCGCAAGCCAAAGGTACTCTTGCTCGATGAAGCTACAAGGTACGGATCGATGCGTTACTCCCCATTTTCTTGTCTCATCGCTTGAATTTGATGCTCACCATTTCCCCTTGTTTAATGCAGTGCTCTTGATACCGAATCCGAAAAGGTCGTCCAAGACGCTTTGGACAAGATTATGGAAAACAAGAAGCTGATCACCATTGTCATTGCCCATCGTTTGTCTACCATCCGCGGAGCTGACAAGATTGCTTACATTTCTCACGGACGAGTTCGCGAAGTCGGCACCTACGAAGAATTGATGGCCAAGCCCCATGGTCATTACAAGCGTCTTGAACGACTTCAATCCATGGACGAAGTGGAAGACCGTGCCTCGATTCTTCAAAACAAGTCGAACGCCATCACAGCAGACAAGAAAGAGGAGAAGAAACAGAAGGCGGTTAAGTCCGAAGAAGAGGAAGAAGCCGACGAGAAGGCCAAAAAGGAATCCGAGAAGGCCAAGGCCAAGGAAAACCAAAAGCGTGCAAGAAGTCTTGCGAAGGACGAGATGCCCTTGTTCATTATTGGAAGTATCGGAGCTGCCTTGCACGGTCTTATTTTCCCCGGTCAAGGTTTTGTCTTTGCATACATGATTGAATGTTTCTACCAATACACTCTTCCCTGTAACGATGATCCAAACAACGGTACTGTCTTTGTTCCTGACAACTTCCCAACGTGCCAAGAATACTGGGATGCGATTGCGGACAACATGCAATCGCTTTCGTTCAACATTATCTGGCTGTTGATTGGTCTTATCTGCTGTACCTTGATTGGTTGTGTCATTATGTACAAAGCATTCGGAATGGCCACTGAGAGAATCAACAAGCGTGTGCGGGATGAAACCTTCAAAGCTTTGGTCCGTCAAGAAGTTGCTTGGTTTGACGTTCGTTCTGTCGGTGAAGTCACTTCGCAATTGTCTGACGATGCCGCCATGATCCATTCCTTCTCTGGAGAACCTATCCGTACCTTTGTCATGACAATTGCAAGTGTCGGAGTTGGTCTCGTCACTTCCTTTGTGTTTATGTGGGAATTTGCCTTTATCGCTTTGGGTATTTTGCCATTCATGGCCTTTGGAGAATACGTCCAAAATCAACAATTGATTGGAGAAGACCAAGGAGACGAAGACAAAAAGGCTGTCGAAGGTAGCGAGGGTGCTATTCTGGTCGAGACCTTGTTGAACATTCGTACCGTTGCCGCCCTTTGCATGGAAAACAAGCGTATTAATTCCTATTCCAATGCTCTTCACGAAAAGAACAAGAGAAACACCTTGCCCCGCAACACCATCAAGGGAGCAGGTCAAGGTTTGGGTTCCTTTTTCCAAATGTGGGGATATGCTCTTATGTTTTACTCCGGGTCTTGGTTGTTGATGAACCGTGGTTACACCATGAGAGATTATTTGATTTCGCTCTTTGCACTGATGCTGTCCTTGACTGGACTGGCCACTGCCATGGCTGGACTCACCGATGCCAAGAAGGCCGAAGAAGCTGCCGGACGCATCTTTGAATTGATTGATCGCAAGACGGAGATTGATCCCTTGAGTGACGAGGGCAAGATCCAATAAGCGAACACGAATTTGTGTTCTCGGTGAAAATGTTGCTGCTGTCGGTACACGACTATTCCCGGAACAAGATCAATGGAAAAAAGCAACAGCATTAGTGTACATGGCTTACTGATTGGTATTATATATATTACATAGCATCTAGGTATGATTGTGATGTTCCCTGCGTTCTTTTTCCTTTTACATCGAAAGTAGCTCCCCTACCTGTACACTACGACTGGTATATAGGTTATACACTACTACTGATATATAGGTTATACAATGATACGAGATAAAAGTTGTTATCAAAGTACATAGATAACTACTCGTAATCCACGGCGACACTTCATACATTGTCTGCAATCTATAGAGGAATCATAAAAAGTCATCATGATCATGATCATCATCATGATCATCATGCCAACAACAAATCCAAAATCAATTCGTCCCACGCCTCTCGTTCGTCTTCGGTATCTTGCGGGGTGCGCAATCCTGCTTGATCCAAAATCTTGCCACACAAAAAGAGCGACAAGTCTCGATTGCCATCTTCGCAGCCTTGACAACCATCTTGTTGTACTATAGCAGTCGTATCCATCAAGGTGCTGTCCGTGCCACTGGAAAGAGAACCCAAGGTAGTATCATCCAGTAGACTGGTAGTACAAGAAGAGGATGTTCCTTCGGATCGTTTCGAATCCAGACTCGATTTGAGATTGGGCGCGGGCTTGGTTTGGTTTGGAATGGGCCTTGTTCGTTGTTCGCCATTATTATTATCACTATTGGTGGTGGTGGTGGTACCCACAATTGATCGACGATTGTTGTGAGCAGTCATATGGTCCTTTCGAATTTCATCAAAGGGGACCTGTTGCGGCACCCAATAGTCTCGGTCCACCATGTCATTCTGCGCATGTTCTTCTAGTAAAAGTGTCGTCGAGTTGTTTCGTTGGATGGCCGCACGAGTTGCCGATTTGGTCCGTGCGGTGGTTCGTCTCGTGGCCACGGTTGTAGGAACGGGTGGTGGTGCTGCAATACGCTTCTCCTTTTGGGAACGACAGAGGACTCGGGAAAGAGCCCATGGTCTTCCTTTGGGTTGTTTCGGGGCGCCCTGGTGCTTTTGTTTGGAAGGAAATAGCTTCATGTTGATGTTGTTGTTGTTGTTGTTGTTGGTGGTGGTGGTGGTGGTGGTGCTGGTCCCAATACAAATGCTGCGGAAGTACGAGTACTTGTATATAGAGGAAGGATTTCGGAACAAACAAATTGGAACGATTGGTGGTCTTTGGATGGAATGACAATCGTGGATTCATGGATTGATTGATTGATTGATTCCACCATTATTCGAAAGAGAGCACCAACGAAGCAGTCTTGCGCCGTTTTCAGGATCGGGTCTGTCTTATCGACAAAGACTGGAACCACATGCAATATCCATGAGGTATGAAAAAATTGGGACTTTGAATTCCTCTTTCTGGGATTCAAAATTCCCTAGAAGATTCATGTGACAGCTACAACTGTCAAATGTCACGGCCAAGTGATTCTCGGGAATGCTTGGGCGGGAGGAAACACTCACAAGATTAATTGTACATGCGTTATTGTACCATTGCGTGGTAGGCATCTGGCTTCGGATGATGATGACGACGAGTCAGTCGCTGATATGATGATTGAGTTGAAGATACTGTACTGTGTATGTGATCGAATCAATCAATCAATCAACCCTTACGAAAATAAATGTTCGCGCCATAGTTGGTCGGACATTTTTTGTAACGAACATTGTCACGAACACTTTAACGAACAGCAATAAATCATTGTTGGTGGGATTTCAGATTACGGATCACGCACATAAAAAAACAAGAAGAGACCAACAATAAAGCAATAGGCAACAGTATAGCAACCACAAACGAACGAATACACAATCTTCTTGATCAACGTCAAGCAAACACAAGCAACACAATGGGCGATGAATTTGGAGATTCCTCCTTTCTAGATGACTTTGATGTTGATGCAATTGTTGCCGCGCAAAGTCAGCCGCCGCCTTTTGCGGCTTCCGCTATTCCAGAAGCCGCCATCAGCAGCAGCAAGGCACGTCAAGTGTCCCCCAACCAGCCTGTCACCAAGACGCCCTTTTCCTTTTCATCAACATCCTCGCCAACAACAACAACAATGCCAAGCAGTAACTTCAAACGAGTCAAGTCGTCTGATACCGCCAATAATTCAACTCAACGAGTGACGGACCAAGCCATGAAGGATGCCTTGGTCCAATACTTTGGATTTGACCGCTTTCGACCCGGTCAAATGGAAGTCTTGAAAGCATTGCTGCAAGACCAAAAAGACGTGGCGGTCTTTTGGGCTACGGGAAATGGAAAATCGCTCTGCTATCAATTGCCCGCCCTGATTACGGGCAAGATTTCCATTGTGGTGTCGCCCTTGATTAGTTTGATGCAAGATCAAGTGCGCAAATTGAATCATTCCGTGGCCGTTGCTGTTGATGGTGGTGGCGCTAACAACAAAAAGATTGCCACCTATCTAGGAAGTGCACAAAAGGATCCTTATGAAGAACAACGTGCCCTCCAAGGGGACTATCTGTTTGTTTACCTAACTCCCGAAAAGTTGCTCTCCAGCAGCTTTTTGGATTCGTTGCAAAACAATTTGGTATCCAAACACAAAATTGGACTGTTTGCCTTTGACGAAGCCCACTGCGTCAGTCAATGGGGACACGACTTTCGACCCGAATATCGTCAGGCCGGAATGGCCTTGCGTCAAACCATCCGGCAAAACATTCCAGTCATTGCCTTGACGGCCACGGCGGTGCCGTCCATTCAACACGACATTCTGGATTCCCTCCAGCTCAACCAACCGCTGGTGGAACAACAATCGTTGGATCGTTCCAATTTGCAAATTGGTATCCATGTCAAGGCGTCCAGCGAAGCCTCCAAAAGTGCCATGGAAGAATTGATTCAAGTGTTGATTCAGAATTCGTCCTCGTCCTCGTCCACTCGATCCGCACCGGCAGCCTCATTGTCTCTGTCTACCATTGTCTATGCACCAACCAAGGCCTTGGTGGAAGAATTGGCCTCCTATCTGGCACAACGATTGGCCACCACCACGTTGGCAACCAGCAAGAAGTTTGCTGGCAATAGCACTACGTCTCTGGCCAGACCATATCACGGAGGCATGGATACTAGTATCCGCCAACAGATTCACGAAGATTTTTTGACGGGCCAATTGCCCGTGGTGGTGGCCACTACCGCCTTTGGCATGGGAATTGACAAGCCGGACATTCGGCAGGTCATACACTTTGGACCGCCCAAAAATGTGGAAGAGTACTACCAGCAGATTGGACGAGCGGGACGGGATGGAAAACCGTCCAAAGTCAAAATGTACTATTCGCCGGCGGATTTTGACAAGTATCTGGGCGACTTTTACATCGGAAAGTTGCAAGGGTAAGACTATACGTTTATATGATCTTTTGATTTGATTTGATTTTGTCAATCATCTTTCTCGTTGTTTCACTCATTCACTCACTCATTCAATTACATCCATCATTGCACTTGTTGTGCTTTTAGAAAAGCCAAAATCAATGCCGTTGCTTCCACCAACGCACTCAAGAAGTTCTGCCTCGATTCTCAGACTTGCCGTCGCAAGGGTCTCTTGGACTTTTTCCAAGAAAAGGCACCCTTTGGAGAACGATGTGGTACCTGTGATACCTGTCTGGCCCAAACGGCCTACGGAAGCGATGCCACTCGTGACTTTGGTAAACTCGCCCGATTCATCCTATGTGGGATCACGTGCTTGAAGCAGCCAGCCATGACGACTCTGCTCTCTGTGCTGAACGCAAAAACGGTCGAAGACTATCGGTACAGTCGAAAGGTGGATGGCAACCATTTCAAACAAGTCCGCGAATCTATTGTTTCCGAGATGAAGATCAAGATCAACGATGATCTCCTCAAGGAAGTACTCCTTAGCCTTGTTTCCTCCAACCATGTCCAGACGGGTATCAAAAAATATTCGGCAGGAGGGTTTGATCGTTCGTCAACTTTTTACACTCTCAGTGCAAAAGGAAACAAAGCACTAGTGGCGACGACAGAATCCATCTTGTTGCCCGTTCCCAAAATCATTCGTCAACAGGAAGAGCGCCAAGCCAAGAAACGCCAAGAACTCCAAGAGAAACTGGCTAAAAAGGGTATGCACGTCCCACAAGACGAATTGGAAGACGTGGATGGGCCAACTGTCCGAGCCTACAGCACTTGGTTCAATTCGTTGGAGCGAAAGGAAGCACAGGGACAAGACGTTGCTATTTACGACGAATTGTTGCAACTGATTGAAAGCTGGAGATCTCACACGGCCATTCAACAACGCATGGCTCCGGCGGCGGTCATGGCGGAGCATCTAATGTTCTCGGTTGCCTACATGACCTCGAGCTTGCTTCCAGGATGTCAAGTGGAAGTGCCTGCTCTTGTGGCAGTCGGAGTGCGATCGAGTACGGTTCACGAACTGGCGGATATCCTGAACGACTGGGTGAGACGGAACAAGCCACACACACAGTCAACGTCTTCCGGTGCCGACCTTATTGACTTGCCAATGGTTCCTCCTGTTGGTCTTGTCAAGATGCCCAAATGGAAGTTTGCCGTCTACAAGGCAGCAAAAAAAACGGGGGAACCGGCATGGATGTCATCCTATGTGCGCTTTATGAAAGACGGGGAAACCACTCAAGAAATCGCCATGACAAAGCGCAACCGACCAATTCAAGCTGTCACTGTGGTGGGTCACTTGCAAGATGCCATCCAACTTGGATATCCCATGGACTTGGAACGCCTGCTACCAAATAGCAATGCGCCAACCAAACAACAGTGGGACCGTTTGGAAGAATCGATTGCCAGCCGGGGGTTGAGCGTAGTTGGGAATCCAGAGACTTCCGGGGTCGATGGGGCCAAATTCTTGATGACGGATTGTCTTCGAGGTATTGTGGGGGATGAGCTTTGCGATAAGACATTCAAGGATCGTAGTCCCGAAGAAGCGGAACAGATTCGTTTCTGGATGAACCATTTGAAATGGTACATGTGCTTGAAACGCGTTGGCTTTGTCCCATCGTTTGGGAATACTTCCGGCGGCATCCAATTGGCTCCCGATGCCTCCGAATACACCGTGCCGACTACCATGGATGATGACAAAGCAATGACTGAGAAGATTGGTACAAACAAGTGGGTCCTGCCAGTAAATTCGACGTAGTCATTGTGAATCCAAATATCAAATATCATATTCTCGATATTTTAATCTTTATTTTCTATCTCAGCATGTCCCAGTTTATTTATTTGTTCAAGGCGAGACACCGAAATTCCAACCCGAGGATTGCAGTGATCGACCTAAAGATTTCCATCGAAACCACATACTCCTGGTTTGGTGAAACTACTTACCTCGTAATGTTACTAGTTGGATACGCCTTCCCTACTGTACTTCTAGCTCTCTTCTAGTTGTGTACTCGGCGTCTTGCTCGGTCGTCAGTCAGTCAGTCGGGTTCGGACGAGTCAAACCTCTGCAAAATTTCAACGGATGATGATGCACTATGCGTAGCTTATTATTATTATTATTGAAAGACTCTACAAAACTAAAACTCTGCGCCTGTTGCATGAGATGATATCACAAAGATAGTGTTGTTCAGCGTGAAACATCAGAGAGGGAAACATTTGAAAAAGGACGAGGATTAAGAATTTTAAGATATCGTATGCAAGCGAGTTGGTATTCCCAACGACGTTGTCTTGAATTGAGACAAGAAGCACCGCTGCTATAGAGCCTCCGTCAGACTCAACAATTTCAATTTCAGGGCTGTTTGGTAGGCTGGTGTTTAGAGATTGTGAAAATGCTGACCGAACCGAATCGAAGCAGGGGCAGCAGTAGCGACGAACTTCCTATTACTACTGGAAATGATCAAGGCTTGAAGAAGCGATGGGTCTGTGTAGTGGTGGCGATAGCCTTTGTCTGGGTCAACTTGTACTCGCCAATGTTACTACGAACGATTCTTCGAGCATACCAATCGTCCAACTCTGCTACTGCTAAACCAAATACGCCAAGACTATTGGAGCTGTCAGATGAAGAAAGGAGGACCTTACAGAGAGTTACGACCAAAATCTACTTTTCTGGAATGCCACAAAATGCCCCCAATACGACCGGGGCTTTCATACATGTTGGAAAGACTGGTGGGTCTACGTTAGCAACTGTTCTCCGTAATGGGTGTCACTCTTTTCTTGATCGACCATGTCAGAAAGTGCGCAACGAAAGCATTGTCTCCAAGACTGTGACCTATTATCATACCCCTGACTGCGATCTATTGGCCCAACAACCACATGATTATTACATTTGGACTGTTCGAGATCCATTTACAAGAACGGTGTCGGCATTCTTGTATCAGCACCCATACAATGTTTACATTCGACTAAAACAGTACAATGAAAAGGTCTACGCCTTTCCCATGAGGAAACTATACCCAATATTCAGCAGATGTTTCAAAACACTGAATAGCTTTGCCAAAGCACTGAAACATCAATACCAACGCAATACAAATATTACATTAAATGCTGCGCAAACTCTGAAATGCGAGGTACTGGCGAGTGCCATGTTCCAACACAAAGCTGAGAGATTGAGTCACCATCTACACTACGATTATCGAATGTTTTCTCAACAGTTGGACGAAGGCAATAAACAAGCGGTACTTGTGATCCGAACTGAGTTTCTGTGGCACGACTGGACCGTGATCAACGAGCTCCTGGGACAAACACCAGGAACGGTGTTCTCCAATGAAACTTCGCAACTTCGCAATACTACAAAGTATGCCTTGCCAGTGAAGCCAATCATTGGAGACGAAGAACGAGACTACCTTTGCGAGAGCATCGCACCGGAATATCGTGTCTACTTTGATCTTTTGTCCAATGCCATTAATCTGAATAGAGAGGACGTGCGCAAAATGAAGGAAATCGCAAAAAAGAATTGCCCAAAACTGGAGTTACCACAAGACAAGTGAATGCAATATTTGCTTGCTAGTTTCTTCGTCTTGCGTTGAGTAGCAGCTCTTGTTGAACTTTAGTTCACAACCGGAAACGAAATGGAACATTCAAGGGAGAAATAGGGCAATCGCTGAAGGCTTCGTTTTAAGTGGTGTCCTCTATACCGGTAGTCACATTCCCTTTCCCCTTCCATTGACTGCTGGTACCGGAGAAGCAGCTCAACTCCAACAGCAGTTTTTCGACATGTCAGAAGACATTGCATCAGTGACGTTGATTCCAACTTGTCCGGGGAGATTTGACTTCTCGTTGTCCAGTTTACAATGATGATTGCAGTAGATAGTGCGTGATGCTCTGATTTAAAATAGTACAGGTATCTTTATGTATGCATGCAAGCATGAGTACCTCACCATTATCGGAGGTTTTTATCGATGGCGAGTGTGACCACGGAGGCCACAAACTAGGTTTCTGTTTCTTTTCAAACGATCGATCGCTCGAGCCATACTGGAAACTTGCATACAGCAGCTTGACACTATGCTTGTGTGATGTTTTTGAAGTGAATTGTGCAAAAAAGTGGAGCAAATGGCCGGCAAATCGCAAAATCTTAGCAAATCAACCAAACAAAGTGATTGAATCAACAAAGTTCAGTCGTCTTACCTCGGAGCTTAGCGGTCTTTGCATGTGGGGCCCTCTGTCCTCTGTGGACCCCAAAGGGCAAGCAGGCTGACCAAAACGATCCCAAAAACACTCATTGATTGCGGCATGACTGAGGTCCAACAAAAAATAGTCACGATACATGGTGTAGCCTAGATATACATGAAGTCTTCCGCTGCATATCTGATTCCACCTTTCCCCTAGTGGGGCCCATGTCATTCAATTCACCTGTTTCTGACGTATTTTGCCACTTGATGGACTCACTCGGTTGAGAATCTGCACCAAGACAGCCTGATATCCAACATCAAATGATTCCAATGCCTTCCATATACCAACAGAAGCAACTTTGACCGAATTTTTCAAGTACTTTGTGCATTGGAAGTGCGTGGGGTCCCAAAACCATGCGAAACTTCTATTCAGATGTTGATGATGGGCTTCAGCGGTCATTTTGGGGACCAAGAAACCGATGAGGCCAGATCATTTCATAGGAACAGGGTAGATACCAATAGTTTATAGGTAGTGTCAGCAGCGCATCAGCTTTCCTGAGATGAGTGACGAATGCAAGTGCTTCAAAGCTTCCCATAGTGGTGAAATCGAATCCATCAGCCTTTTTCATAGATTTCACCATTTGCACTCATCTTACATCTCCAATTCTTTGATATTATGCTTTTGTGATGTCGTTAGAAGTGAATTGTGAAAACAAGTGGAGATGACCGATGTTTTCTTGATGTCAACAGGGAGTCGGAAGGTTGATGATAAAAATGGCGATTTATTATTGTTGTTTTGACGATCTTATTATGGCATCATCTGTTGGAAGTCGTACAGACGACTGCCCCGAGTCAGATATATAGTGACGAGTCTAAACCGCCGTCATACTACCAACCGTGAGAGTATGGAGAACCAGTCATGGGCAGACGTTGTTTGAAAGATGAATGATTGAATTACAGTAGTTAAAGCTGTGTAGGGAGTTTTTGGGATGACCGAAAGCATGAGCTTTGCTCGAGCTTTGATTTGGTAATTCGAAAACTCTTATCCAAACTAAAGCAAGTTTTATTGACGGCTTTAAGGTTCACGTTATGCCAAACAACTGAAGACTATGTGTCTCAGAGTATCGTGGGGTCTTTTATTACCTAACATAAGAGTTTTTGAAAATATATATATTTTCTAATATCTGAACAACAATCGCTACATTGACCAAGAAGAGCAAGGAAGAGCTTGTTCAAGACTTGAAAGAAATAGAGTCAAAGGTACAGAAGTTGACAATAGACCTCGGGAAGGAGAGGAGCGACAAAAGCAAAACAAATGAACGGAAATTGGTGATGAAGTATTGATATAGAAGCCTAAGAAAGGGCAGGAAACGATTGGAACAATCGAATCGTTTGGGAAGAAGTTTGTCACGGTGAAGACGGCAACAAAACGATCAAGAGAATCCTACAGAACTTGAAGAAAGTGGGAAGATGAAGAAGAAAGATCTGGAATCGCCATGAGCTCTATGGGATACAGATCAACTACGGTCAAGGGGCTCAAGCAATTGAAGGCGCCCGAGGAAGATAGACCTTGAGGACTTCTTGACGAATCTGACTGACGAAGCCGTCATCAGGTGCCGCATCAGGTGGGCGGACGGAGGCGATGTGGGCTACATTCTGGGAAAAAATGTGGAGCCTGAGATAATGGAGCCTGACCCTTTAACGGTTGCGTAAGAGGCCAACACCAGAAAGTTCAGAGTGTGTGATCGGTTGATGGATAAGTACAAAGATCGGAAGGACGCCTTTCAAACTAACACAATCGCTATGTTTCAATTAATCATGAGCAATGTGACTACCACAATGAGAAACAAGATAAAATTGGCTGACGGCCATCTGGCTGCCAGCAAGAATAAAGATCTGGTTTGGCTCATGAGCACCATTGAAGACATCGCCTCTGGATATGAAGAAGGAATCGCGCCTGTGGAGCTTGCGCTAGAGCAGATCTTCAAGATGCCAAACGGAACCTGTTAGAATAAAGCAAAATGTGCTCTATCGTGAGTGCCTTTAGCGCTCAGAACAAACTCTCTGCAATCTAAATTCGTAATCAACTGTACAACAATTTCACGACAATAGTTCTCCTGTGTTAGGTATACTTTGAGTGAAATTGTTCCTATTTGATTAATGTTTGGCTTGAATTGATGATTCAATCACAAAAGTGAGTTCAACAATTTTCCCTTGGAAAATCCCTTGTTTACAGAACTCGATTCAACTTCTACGAGGATTCTGTGTTGAATGCAGTACTTTGGGACATCTTGTATTATTCCCTACTGCATCATACACAACATCGATATTCCACTTCTATAGGGTCTTTCCCTTTTTGTGTGGATACAGATTGTCCGGCAGACTTGCGTCGAATCCTGACATCGCGATCAAAGTCCGATCGCATGTGTCAAAAACTTTGTACTTGAATAGTTTCTTTTGGAACGTAAAAACTCATATTTCGTCATATATCCCAATACACTCCTGCCATTGTGACAATCACCATTGGCAGCAATGGGACATGCTCTCATTCATTGATTATTTTGTTTTGTTTGTATTTTGAACATATACATACTCGTCTGACCTAGTCCTGTGGACCAAGAATCAGATCCCTGAACTTGCGAAACTTCTCACCTTAGTCATAAAATCCGCAATTATATTGTCAGTTGGAAAGTATTCGATCTTAACATTTCCTTTCTCAAGTTGATCTGTGATAAAGAAATAAAGAATATTGATAGCTCGGCTTCTTTTGCCCGTGCTCTTGCGACCATTCTCTTCCAGTAGAATCGTGCTTTTGTTATCCTGATACAAGATATTCTTCTCGATCGGATACCCTTGCCACTCCATGAACAACTTTGTCCATAGTATCATCATGACAACATCCTCAACAGCAATCAGTTCCGCTTCCGTACTGCTTCTGCTGTTTAGTTTTTGTTTCTTCGACATCACTTGAGCTGCATCTCCTCCAAAGGACAGAGTGCCGCCAGTATGGCTCTTGAAATCTGGATGCACCACAAAAGATGCGTCGATCATCCATTTCATGACTCGTAGTGATTCTGCGGAAAGTGTCAGGTGATACAACAATGTACAAAACAAATAACGCATCATGCGAACACACTTCTTCCAATCAGACTGTGTAGGTTCTCGAACTCTCGAGGCAATAATAGTAATTGTTGGATGGAAATCCAAACGAGCTCTCTTAGAGACATAAAGTCCCCTTGCAACAGTAGTATGAAAGATTTGACGGTAATCAGCTCTGAGTAACTTTCCTTTACCATCCTCCAGTAAATCGTTACCAGCTGGTGTTTCCTGCTTTGAATCCTTGTTGAACTTGATAGGAAAATCTTCCAACATGTTCTTGACATAGTTGTCCATGCGGATCTTGAGTTTTCCTTTCACCGAGAAATCCAAAGTCATTCCAAGATATCTGTGTATCTTTCCTCTGACGATTGTACATGCCTTGATTGAACCATATCTCATGTTCAACCACTTAGCAAATTCGTCATTTACTTTCGGATCTATGTGACTTGACATAAGATCGTCAACATGAAACCTGATAGTTTGCTGTTTTTCAATACACGGGTCATACGGATTGAAAACAAATCCCTTTGCCTCCAAATCACTTCAAAACGGATTATAGAATAGGAGGCTCGATTGCAACATCCTATATATAGCACGTAGTACCCGCACATAGATTACTCGCTTTCCGTTCTCTTAAAAAACGTATTCGCGATACTCTGGGGCCATGTCAATCAATATCTGGACCATCATGCCAGTGATTTTCATGTAGATACAATCTTCTCCTTCCTTAGCTTCAGGCATATAAGTTTGAATGAAAGCGTTAGGTACGTCCATCGTCATTATATCTCTACCTTTGTGTGCATCAATAACACAAGTAGTGGTGATTGCTTCTTGCGAAGCAGTTGGACTTGCAGTGTCCTCTCACGATAACCATTCACGAGTTCGACCTTTAATTGTCTTTTCAAATTGCTTTTCCGCGAGTAACATCATCGCTGATTGGGCCTGCTTTTGCTCAGACGCAGTCATGTCTTTCACAAATTTGGGAGTAAAACAATCTCTTAGGAGCATTTGTCTCAATTCCTTATCCACAGCATCTTCTCCATTGTCACCAAACTTCTTCAGTCCTTGATTGATGCAATACTGTTGAATGAAGTTCAGACCTTGGTCAGTATCAAACTTTGCCTTGATCTGCATCATACAACGAGCGATCAGAATAGCGTCGTGCTCTTCATAATCAGCTTTCATCTCATTCCCAATCTGTCGGAAACATAGATTGTGCTGTGCTTCAAGGTTAGCTTTACTGTCTTTAGTACTGCGACTTCCTCTTTGGTACAAATACCAGACTTCAATTTGTCCTTTAACGGTTTCATTTCCCTCTCTTGATGCTTGCGTCTTGTTGCAACTCAATTCTTGTTCTTATTGGCAGAACTGCCACTCCTGCTTGAAGGCCATTCTCTTGGTTTCTTTGGAACTTGAGAAAGGTTCAGCCCTGACATCGCAGCTTGCGCATACGTTTGCCCAGATTGAGTGACTTTTGCTACTTGAGGCTCTTCAGGCTCAAATACAATCTCTTCTTCTGGCGGTTCTTGTCGATCCTCCAGATCAGTAACAAGGCTCCCAATATCATCGGTTCCTCTATCGACATTTTCTTGATGGTGATTCAAATCAGCCACAATAGGTTCTTCCTCTTCATCGCCTTCATCACCTGAATCGTCGTCATCTGATTCATAGTCATCATCCCCTTGGAATCTGACAGTGAGTTCCGGCATATCATCGACATCATTGTCTGCATCTGCCAAGAGCTCAAATCTTTTTGTAGTCATCAATATCATCGAATTGTCCATAACACCTTCGGCAGCAGCCCAAGCTTCAACACGCTGGATTACTTGATCGGTAACGGGTAGTACGACAACCTTGGGTTGAGAAATCATCTTCTTAGTGTTGAGGTTGAGCACTTGGTGCCCAGTACGTTGTCCCTTTGTAGGTTCAATGTAGATCGCTTCAATACTTCACCATGTCACTCTTGTAGTTGATATTGACATTATCAATGAGTTGCTGCGGACTGAAATGTGAGGAAATACTGTCTTTCTGGGGAAAGACATTCAATAGCTCGGCGGCTCGACGTCCAAGACATTCAG